AAATACATTCCAACATTTCCAATAAGGTCAACTTCCAAAGCGTTGTTAATTTACAGTTAAAACACATTGACAGCTAATAAAATGCAAAACACAAAATAATAAATGAGGCAGGGTATTTAGTAACTCGGTTATAAATCAACATACATTTGGAAAATTCCAATCGAGAAGGGACTATACTAATCAATGTTGGTTACAAGATATAAAACAATCACAACTCCCATACTTATATTATGGTTTACCTTGGATAGTATCTTAACGGATTCACGTTGTGACAAACGCGTACTGACAATGACAATATAGCAATGTTGCTCAGAGCTTGATTGTCTTATTCGGTTGGAATTCTTTTGACTTTGATATTCGAAGAACTCTTCAGGGGATTTTAGTGTCAAACATTCGTTCAAACTTAGAAAAATCGAGATAGATAGATGGGTGAAAGTATTACACAATATTTCTTTTTATAAAACACACTCTTGGACTCACTCGTAGCCAATCTGCATTCATGTCTGGTTGTGTATCTCTCATGTAGCCTTGGTTTGTGAAAAATCCCTCATAAATTCCCTTTGCACCGAAATGGAGTGAAGTGAATTTTCATGAGTTTGAAGTACTTATACTTTGTCAAAAATATGCATTTTGTCTTTTGTAAACATTTAATGGACGAGACAAATTGAATAAGTACAAATCTATATAACTGACAACAGTGTACTATTGCAGCAGCTGACTGATCCTTGCAATCATTTCTTTTTTTTTGTTGAAAATAGAGTCACTTACTATAGGAATAAAAAAAACATATTTGTCCTTATGCCAAAATAAGCAAAGAGTTTCTTTCTCTTCGTCCACTCTTCATATATCCTTTTTTTTTTGTCATTCACATTTATTTTAATAATTTTACTTTCGCTTAAATAAAAAATATTTTTATATGTTACACAATATTTTAAAAAATATTATTGTAAAAAAAATTCATTTTGAATTCATTACTTTACAGTCATGAGTCAATCAAGACTAGTTATACTTTATTCATATGCTTTCTCCGCACACTAGTAAATATTTTATTTTCCATTTCAAATCAATTTTTTTTTTTTTAAAAAAAATAACTCACAACTAAATATCAGATACTTTTACTTTTTACTTTTTACTTTTCACAGATAAAATGAATATACATTAATTTATTATATTATATATTTATAAAATATTAATTTATTTAATCTATACACAAAAGTCAAATAAAAAACTTAATGGGAGTATGTAGGATTGTATCAATGGCTATAATTATATACTGAATTTTTATTTTTATTTTTTTACTATACACAAGTATTTTAAAAAGAACCATATTTCGGACATAGTTATATTGATTATAAGTGTAATATAGTATGATATTTTACAGGAGATTATGTGGTATTTTTGTAATTTTCTTTTTCAATAGAAATCAACTTTATTTATAGTAAATAGTTTTCAATACAAATACACTATTTACTTAACAAAAAATACTAATAGTTTTATATACAAAAAATTATATCATTAATATATAAATTATCAATATTTTGTGTTAAATTATTAATTTTGTATGAGATTTCAAAAATACTTAGTTATATATTTTGTATAATTATATGTATATATAACTTATTTTTAATGATAGTTATTGAAAATTGTATTATTAGAAAATGATTAGGAGAACACACTAAAATAATATATAAAAAAATAATGAAAACATTAGACATAAATATGATGAGTTTATATTCACCGTAAAATATTTTCGGAAAACAAAAATAATTTGTTTTGATTTTAATTTTAATTTGATCTATTTATTTGTGTTTTGATTTGATATTTTTTTTATAATATATATATATATATTTATATTAAAAACTATATTGATTGTTTAATAAAAAATTGTTTTGAGAAAACTAAAATAAAATTAGCAACTAAGAAAAATGGATGCAATGAAACAAACATTGGAGAAAAGATATGCAGCGTGTTCGAAATATATATTTATATCTACGTTAAAGAGAAAAGCTGAAAAATACAAAAATAGGGGAATATGACGAGGAACAAATTTTATTTTATTTTATTTTTTTTCAAAAAAAAAGAAAGAAAAAAAGTTCAAGAGGGGCAAGATATACAAAATTTTAAGATTTTAAATTTAAAAGATTATTTTAATTTAAAATAGACAATTAAATTAAAATATACAAAATTATTTCGAAAAAAAAAAATAAATGAAATTATATAAATACATATATTGGGTTGGGTATATCATCGAAATTACACACACCGAAGAAGCATCCCCAATATGTCGTAAATCACGTGACCTGTGTGGCACTACTACCGACAGTACATTTTGGAACATCATTATAAGTAGTGCTTAATTTGTTATTTTATTATGCAGAGTTACTTAATGGTGTGTGTATTTTTGCGGAGTACGATTTATTTTCATAAAATATTAAATAATATTATTTAGAATTTTAAAAGTATATTTTATAAGAAGCTCGTTCAAATTTAAATAAAATAATAAAAAAAATTCGATACCTGACTGCCATAAACGATGGGCAACTTGGCATATTCACTGCCACGCATTTATTCATATGTACATGTCAATTCTCACATACGATATTTTCCAGAGAAATACAATAATTTTAACTTTTTTATTTTTTATTTATAAAAGGACTGCAATAATTTTTTCGGGACTAGATATGGATAACAACGGAAACCTATAATTTATATATAACGTTAAATTTAATAAATTAAAGAGGCAGTACTGAAGGTACAGAGGATTCTAGTGCCGCTACAGAGGATGCGACAGGCACGTGTGTCTCCTTTAAACCGGTCCGCAGAACGTGATAAAGTTCTCCTTTCCACGTGCAGCTACTGAGATTTAAAAAAAACCCGGTTTAGGCATAAATTTAAAAAACCGCCTCCCACTAGTTTCTTCTGCTCTTCATATAAACAAAAAGTACGATTTCCAATGTCGCGTTTCACCCCACTAATTTAATTGCACGCTTTCTACCTTATTGTAACCGCACGGGTCGGATAACATTATTTATGGTATTTATTATACTCGATTATTGTGTAATTAAATAAATAGTAATTTGCCTTTCATATTAGATTATCAATATATTTAAATTTTTGAAATTGAATAAATTGCGATGAGTGTCAGAGTCCTATATATATATATTTATTTGTATAGATTACCGTTTTTGGATTTGGATCGGTAAGCTTTGGAGCGCTGAAACACTCATTATATTATTTAAAAATTTCAAAAGGTCTTCATAGGATTCGGACGTTACCAATTTCTGCTCCTATTATTTAAAAAGGCAACTGAAATAAATTCTAATTAAAAATTCAGGCCTTGCTAACAGCTTTATAACAGCTGTACCGTATTTTATTCCCCTTACGAACTCACCCACATTTATTATAAGTAATTCCAATCCCCAGATTTACCTGTCAACTTACGTTTCTTAATATACACAAGTATTTATTTATAAATAGCATTTCTAAAAATAAAAAAAAAAGTGAAATATTCAAATTGGACAGCATCACCCCCATGTCTCATTACAGTAACCACCTCTCCTTAATAAAATAGAAATGCATTAATGGCAACGGCTAGCCCATACCAAAGCAACAAAGTATTAGGTATTAGGTACAGGTACTATCTACGTCTACGTACGTACGAGTTGAGCTGACCCGAGCCGAGCCGAGCTGAGTTGAGTTGAGTTGTCGAGTTAAGTTGAATCGGTGCAATGCGGAGAGATAATAGCCAGAAGGGTCTTTCCTTATCCTTTCCCAGCCATTATATTTATTTATTTATTTTATTTTGTCCCCATTCCGAATATAATTTCTCCCGAAAAAGTATTATAATAAGTAAAATATGAATATGTTGTAATAAAAATGAATAATAATAATAATAATTCGGATGTCCGGTCCGGTCCGCTTGTGGCGGTGGGAAAGCGTAACCTGAATCCGTACAGGTCATGAAAGGACGGACGGTTAGCGTGGATTTTGGGAGCGGCATTATTTTTAATTAAAAAATTAAATTAATTACAGGCTGGATGGAGTGGCAGGATTTGCAGTAATGAATGATTCGGCGACCAATCTTGTCGTTTTCTGCTGTTACTTTTAATTTAAAATAAATAAAAATTAAACACAACACTCACTCTCACACGTAAAGAGGCCAAGAGCAAATGCTCTCCAGCCTGGCCTGGCTGCTCACTGCTAAGCCTATGGTCAAACCTCACCCCCTACCCCACCCACCCACTTTTATTTTTCATTTAATTTTATTCAGAAACCGTTGCTAATCTAAATTCTTATCCTACTAGGGGGTGCTTGTTTGTGTGTTGGGTTGGGTGGTGTCAATTGTCATTACTAAATTGAGATGGAATTTTAGGGGAGGGTTTTAATTTTTAATTTATATATTAATGTCAAGTCTAGTATAACAATGACAATCAAGATGTTTATTTGGGGGTGGTTATGAATGGATTGGAGGATATTCTTGGGGGTGTAAATCTAACAGATACCTAACCTTCCCCCAGTGGCTTAAATGCCTTTCTTACATACAAATACAATGTTGGCTTATTAGTTGTTTGACGTGTTGAGGTTATATTTGGTTAGTGGGATTTTAGGTAATCATTGTGAATTCCTTGACATAATAATTTTTCATGGCGGTTACGTGTACGGCCATCCTGACTGAAATTTATTTCTTTTAAAAAAAAAAATAAAATTTTACCACTTGGTAATTCTTAAATTAAATTTTCGAAATTGAGAATAAAAATAAAAAGATAAAGAAGCAAAGTGTGAAGGTTACGCCAGTAAAAGGAGAGTGTAGATTAATGATGAAGCGTATGTGTAAATCAGTGCAAAGGTAGATTGCGACGCGTGTCCGTTAGCCAGCTGTATCGCATTGCCCACAAATTCAACCGCTTCTTCAGCGGTGCCCGCTGCCCATAACGCCCCCCCACCCCCACCCCACCCCGGGGGTCTCTCTCTCATATATATATCGTCTGATCTTTCCCATTCCTCTCTTCTTATGTAAAGTCTCTTCCTCAATACTCACGAAATCTAAGCTTTGAAAGGGGTTTTCAATTTCATGTCTGTTGGTTAATTGATATTATGCAGGCGGCGAGTTCGAATTCGAGCGGCGGCGATCTGTGTAAGAAAATGGATATGGATCGGATCAAGGGTCCGTGGAGCCCCGAGGAAGACGACCTGTTGCAGCAGCTGGTGCAGAAGCACGGCCCCAGGAACTGGTCGCTTATCAGCAAATCGATACCGGGGAGGTCCGGCAAGAGCTGCCGTCTCCGGTGGTGCAACCAGCTCTCGCCGCAGGTGGAGCACCGCGCCTTTACGCCGGAGGAAGACGAGACCATCGTCCGGGCGCACGCCAAGTTCGGGAACAAATGGGCCACCATAGCCCGCCTCCTCGCCGGCCGGACGGACAACGCCATTAAAAATCATTGGAACTCCACCCTCAAGCGGAAGTGCTCCTCCCTCAGCTCCGACGAGGCTCTCGTCGGCGCCGGCGGCGATAACATTGACTGCGGGACACAACCCGACCGCCCTCTTAAGAGATCCGTCAGCGCCGGGTCTGGGTTACCCGGGTCGGGCCTGTATTTGGCCCCCGGAAGCCCATCCGGGTCCGACGTCAGCGATTCCAGCCTACCGGCTATGTCCGGTCCGTTCGTGTATAAACCAGTGGCGAGAACCGGCGCCGTCCTGCCGAGTCAGATCGAAACGGCGTCGTCTTTGAATGATCCGCCGACGAGCCTCAGCCTTTCTCTTCCGGGGGCGGAGTCAACGCCGGAGTCGGCGAATCACAAAATTGATTCGTCTCAAGAGAAGGCTAACAATCCCATCCAAATCCGGTCCACGCCGCCGCCTCCGCCATCGGCGGGGCAAGCACAGCAGCCGGAGCCGATGAGGATTCCGATTCCGGCGACGGCGCCGGCGCAGCAAGACAAGGTTTTTACGCCGTTCAGCGCGGAATTGATGGCGGTGATGCAGGAGATGATTCGAACAGAGGTGAGGAATTACATGATGGGATTAGAGCAGCAACGATATCAACAACAGCAGCAGCAGCAACAACAACAGTACATTCAGCTTCAGATTCAGCAACAACAACAACAACACTACAATCAGCAGCAGCAGCAGCAGCAGAAGAAGCACAATCAGATGGGGCTGTGTATGCAGCAAGCTAATATCAATGAGCAATTCAGGAATGCCGCGATGAAGCGGATTGGAATCAACAGGATTGATTGATTGATTCATTCATTCGTTGATTAATTGAATCAATCATCTTATGCTGGCGGAGAACGGTAAATTGGAGATAGGATGATGAAGATGATGGAAGAAGAAACAATCCCTGTTTCTTGGTTAATCCAGACCTTTTCTATTAAGTTATATATATATATATCTATATATAAGAAAAATGAAAATGGAGAATAATTCTGGTGATGTACGATGAGGGAAGGGAAGGGAAGGAGCTGTGAAAGCTTGCATCTTTTGTTTCTGGAGAATCAATCCAGCCATCCATCTCGAGAGGGAAAGAAATGAAAAAAAAAAAAAAAAAAAAAAAGTGTAAACAAGAAATCAGAACCCGAAAAAAAAAAGAAAAAAAATGTAAATTAAATTTCAACAGATCTCCCTTGTTTGTTCCATTCTTTTCTTCAGCTCTTCTTACATTATGTCTCAAGTTCAACAAAATTTTAATCTACTTAAAAATTATTAGCAAAATTTGATATTGAAGGAGGGATTGGATACAATTTCAGAACTGCAAGCAAGACAAGAAAACCAGAGGACAGATCTGGAAGATGCAAAATATCTGCCATTGGTTGGAGACAGATTGAAAATCCCTGGTGTAATTATTCTCCCTCATCCCTGAAATTTCCAGCACAATATTTACAATTTTGGATAGAGAAAAATGGAGCCACAAAGTCTGATGGTCTACTGACAGTACCACACACCAAATCATAAATGCCAACACATTTTCAAACAGGGATGATGGGGAGGGTAAGATTTTGGATAATCTGCATTCTGGACCCTCTGAATAAATAAGGTGGTTAGGAGAATCAGTTTGCCCAGTTGTTGTTACAGAGGTGAAAAATATCTTCTGCCTTGGGGGCCATCAAGAATTTATGATCTTGCCCTAATTCCAACTTTTCATCCACAACTGATTTGGGGGAATAAAAGCAAAGAAGAAACAAGCAGCTTCAGTCACAAGGGATCTTGTTAATATTATTTGTGTCCGTACATCTGTGTTGATTATAACAACAGAAGCTTTTTTATTGTAAAATAACAATAAGAGGAATTTCGTGTCAAACCGAATATTCATTGCCCAGATGTAACATCACAAAGCATAAAGGGAATGAATTAGTGCCCCAATAACAATTTTTTTCGACTCCAGAAAGGCTTGGAAGCTTCAACCTGAAAGCAGAGATCTTTAAGATAAAGAACAAGTTCATTCATAGTCAGCCAGGATCGATCAAAGTAGTCGTTCCGAACACTACTGGCTTGATGATTCGTGTGTAATGACAAAGATTCCTTATCCATAATTGGTGTGTCATTGCGACGGCGCAGCACGAATGGTGCCGTGCATCTTCAGATGCATAATCAGCGATTTTAATTTGTCGATGAGTTGCAAGGGAACGAGCCTCCGTGACCGTGTTGGGGCATTTAGTGCACGGATGGAATTCAGACACACGAGTAGTGTCCCGCCTTCGTGGATGAGGACCTGCACGATTTATAGAAAGACAAATCTGTAATTAATCGACAGAAGCAAACCTAGGCTGTGATGAAAGAAAGCTTACAGTTAGCCAAAGTGGTAGGACGCCGAGAAGGGATGTAAGCGAGGCTACAACAATGCTTGATAATGCAATCGCAACATTTTGCTTAACCTGTATTCGAAATAGAAAATCGATATCCATTTCTTTTAACTGATAAAGCCCAGAAAATGGTCGGAAGAAAGAAGCTACCAAAAGTGCAGTCTGCCGTGATTTTGTGACAACAAATGGAACCCCAGAAATGTTGTCTTGTAGCAAAAGCACATCCGCAACAGCTACTGCAGTTGCACTGGCGCGCTCGGCTAGAACAATGCCTACAGTCGAGGCTGCCAATGCTGGCGCATCGTTGATACCATCACCTACCATTATAAGGCCTCCATCTGCAAAAAGTTGCATTTAGTTACAATCAAGGATCGAAAATCTCTAAATTAATTCAGCCCTAAATGTAGGTAGGGTGCCACCTGTATCCCTTGAAATTTTTGTGACGTGATAAAGTTTGTCCTTGGGCTTTAGGCTGCAGTGAACTTCTTTAATGCCAACAGCATTTGCGACTCTCCAAGCACTCGATTCATGGTCCCCGGTCAACATCATGACGTGGGAATTTCCTTCGTCTTGCAATGACCTTATAACATCCAAACAACCTGCCCGAGGCTTATCTTCAAAATGAAATAGTGTTATCTGCCGATAATAGTGAACATGAGGAAGATCAGTTAGGTTGGTTTCTTTTACGATATCACACGTGGGAACTCATGAGAAAAATGTGTAAATTAGTGAAGCTTCACCTTATCATTTACTGAAAGTGCCGCGTGAACGTAGTCATGTCTGTACAAAGAAGTGCTGACCGCCTCTTCGATTTCTTTAGATTTTTCACCAGACTTAAACAAAGAAGTGATGTACTCCACTGATCCAATCGAAGCTTTCATTTGTTCGCCACCTCCAGATCCTGACTACATAGCCAACAGGATGACAATAATTTAATTCGTCAGTCCATTCATACATTGATTAGGGAGCAAAATCAGAGAAGTATGTGTAATAAAACATATACTCATTTTGATGAAGATACCATGGAAGCTCGAATTCAGTACCTCGACAGTAGATATTGTTGCAAAAAGACCTCTACCGGGAAGATTCTCAAAACTTTCGATTGAAACCAGAGGAAGGTTTTTTCCAATGCTATGATCTACAACAGCTCTGTCCATTCGAATAATATTTATACTAAAAGTGGTAATTTATCCAAGACCTCATATAAATCCATAACTTATTTCACAACCAAAAGATGATTCGTATTTATAACCGACCGTCCAATAGGGTGTGTAGTTCCCTTCTCCATTGCAGCAGCCACGGCAAGAGCTTCCTCCTCACAGCTGGGGACACAGCTGCAAGGAATTCGTTTGTTGCCATTGCAAACATGTCCATGTATCGGCTCGATCGCTTTACATACAAATTCTCCGGTCGTCAAGGTGCCAGTTTTATCAAATGCAATGTTCTGGCACACAGCTAGTGCATCTAGGACATGCCCACCTTTTAGCAAGATTCCCTGTCACCGAAGAACAAGCAAGGAGATCACATGCCCATAAAAATGAGGTTTGATATTGAGTTAAGGAAACCTATGCATAGTTTAACTTTATACGTACATCCACATTATTAATACCTTTTTCGCACAGGCACTAATTGCAGTTGCATATACCAACGGAGCCACAGCTAATGCGCATGGTGATGCAGCAACCATGAGCCCTAATGCCCTGTAAATGGATCCTCTGCAAACTAGATAACCAAAAAAAAAAAAAACACTAGTAAATCGATACATAGACATTATAGGCATAGTGATATTTTGCCTGAATGAAAGGGCTAAAATATCTACAAGATTATAATGTCTCTTTGTCACAATCTTCTGTTTCATGTTTCTGCTTATAATGCATGTTCAATTGCACAAATAATTTAAGGATGAAAGAAAAAAGAAATCATGATGCCATAAAACACAGACTTGTTTCATACCCGATGTACTGAAAAATGGCCACTTATAGAACACTGGCCCCATCAAAGCAACGACAGCAGATAGAATTAGAACTGCTTTGCTGTATTGCTCCCCAAACTCATCAAGCCATCTTTGAAGCCTTGGTTTACTCTTCTGTGCCTCTTCAGTCAATCTCACAATTCGATTCAGCATTGAGTCTTTCCATGCCTTTTTCGCCTAAATTGGTTGTTTTAAACTTAGCATAGAGTTGATCCAAAGAGAGGTAGATTTTCATGCCTTTTCTGCTATTATTACATTTATCCAGTGAAACACAATTTATATGAATACAATAACAACAGAAGGTATCCTAGAGATGAATCAGCTGGTTTTACATAAATTTTATGCCATTAGAAAGCTCATACATTGGGTTACGGGGGTTATGTCTTGTGGAAGACAATTATCCTCACAGCAACACTGATTAAAAACAAACAGAACTCCTGATTTTTCATCCATTAGAACTTCCAAATAAACTTCTCAAATTTTCCTTTCAAGACATAATAACTGTAAAAAAACATCATTTTCTTTTAAACTCTTACTCGTAGCGCCGGAGAATTCACATCTAAAATATATTATGAGATGACACGATGCATATAAAACCTCTCAAGCATACCTTAACAATCATCATACCATCCAGGTTCCTGGCACCACCAGGAATGGCGTCTCCAACTTTCTTTTCTAATGGTTTGACTTCCCCTGTTAAGTGCTCTATAGTAACCGTCGAGCTCCCCTGAAAGACTTCAGAGTCTACTGGTACCGACTGCACATAATAATATTAGCATACAGTGATCAGGTAAAATTCAGTCCAGGTAAAGAAACATAGGTATGCAGAAACTATAAATCATGGTGACTTAAACTTCTAAGTCAGAATTTTTGCTCATTGGCAACATACCATAATCTTTAGGCTCAAATACTAACATTATTAGGCAACAAATTTTTAAAAGTTCAGTCTTAAATGCTAACTAAGAAAACTAAATATTGCCGGCAATATACAGACCTCACCAGCTTTTACCAGTATGTATGATCCCACTTCCAAATCGTTCACCCGAATTTCTTCATAATTCATTTCAGAAAAAGTTGGGGCATTCCCATCCTTTACATCCAAAACAAGTGCGAATTCAGGATAGTTGTCCTTCAATTCTTTGACATCAATCTTAGACTTGCTGGTAAAGTAGTCTTCGGCAATGTGAGCCAAATTGAACATGGCTAATAGCAACCCGCCTTCTAAGGGGTTTCCCATAAACACAGATGCAAATGCAGCTAATGCCATGAGTACATGAATGTTGATTTTCCCACCCGTGATATCCATTACAGCGTCAAATGATGCAGGCAACTGAACAGCAGAAAAGGAAGTTTGTGTTATAGGAATAAGAAGAAATTAAAATATAGATGCTGAGAATTGATAATTACCCCAACGAGAGGAAAGGCAATGGCGGTGAAGGCGTGCTGAATTGGTTTGATGGCGGGCTTCGGCACCAAATAGGGGCAAATCGACGCAGCCAGAAACAGAGCCGCTGCGGAACAGCAAAGCGACAAATTTTCCCTCAAAAAGTTAGAAAGATCAGCCCACTTGATCGCTTCTGCAAACCTATGGAACGTCTCCTGAGCTTTCGTCAACGGCGCACTGCCATCGCCGTGATGGTGATGGTGATGGTGATGGTGGGCTGAATCGTGATGATGGTGGTGGTGCTCGCCGTGGCATCGAATTACGGGAAAATGGGGAATTCGTGTTGGTTTGGGGTTTCGAGTGCGTTGAATATCCTTGCTGAATTTGAGTTGAAAGATTCTAGTTTGGGCATTTGAGGGGAATCTTGAGAGGGGGTGAAGATTCAGGGTTTCCATTATCCTTAAGAATTTGGGAAAAAAGCTGGGTTCAAACCATTTATTGATTAGTTGGGTCGACAAAGAAATTAGCAGAGACGCAGAGAGGTAGAGAGTTCACAATTCAGACAGCAAACCAGACCGGAGAGAAAGAATGGTAGCGGAAGAGGGGTAGGTGGGTGGCATGGGTCGTAATTGCGCACGTGCGCAACAATAGTCTAAGAACAATAATAAACTAGTTAGCACGTGGGATAGAGTACTACTCAATTGGGCCATAATAGCGGATCTAATTAAGGCCCAAATTAAATCAATATTGGGCTTAAATATTTTGAAAAATTCAAATCGTTATTGGGCTTATTTGTTACAACTGATTAACACGTTATTTGATTGTAAGTTAGAGCCCAAACACGAGAAATTAAAAATAGATCAATAAATCAATGAAACATGTGAGTCATACAGATGCACCACCAACAATCAAGGCCAGTCTAGATCAGACATGAAAAAGTTAATCTTTATTGAAGGTGTAGATCACCCATTAACTTAGCAATGTAATCCTCCAGCTGAGAAAACAAGCTCGGATCCAGCTCCATAACCGGCGCTTCGACCGGACTTTCCGCCGGAGGAAAGCTTCCGGCAATGCTTGGCACCTCCTCCACCAGAAGCCGGCCCTGTGTCGCCGGAAAAATCGAGCTCAAAACGACGATAAAGACGACAAGAAAACCCGATGAGATTCTCATCACTGCCTTGGCCATGCTCGAAACTAAACAACCGATTAATTGGTGGATGAAAGGAATTATATCATTGATCCATCCAAACAAATCAAAACAATGCATACTACAAGAATGAAAGACAATTTCTGCCTGCCTTTGTGGTGCTGCAAGACCTAAGGATTGCCATGGAATTCAAACGGTAATAAATAAAATTTATAATAAAGTATATGTGAATTAATTATTTTGAAGTATCTTAACAATGCTCTGCCTCGGCTTGTAGAGAGCTTCCAAAGGCTTCAATTTGGGCATGGTGAGCCCAACTCCTTCGCTCAAATCAATTTCCTTCCGGTCAAGTCTCTCCCAGTCGAAACACTGAATTAGCGACCCCAGTGCAAGCCCGACCATCCGGTGGCCCAAGCCCGACCCGGGACAGGCCCTCCGGCCCATGCCAAATGGCATCAGCTTATTCATTTCCACTTCCTTCCGGCCTTGGAACCTCTCCGGCTTAAACATCGTCGGCGACTCCCAAACTTTGGGGTCACGGTGGATGCTCCATGCATTTACCAATACAATGGTGCCACATGGGATGTCGTAGCCGCCGATCTTACAGTCGGCGGATGACTCCCGCGGCACCACTAGTGGCCCCGGCGGGAACAGCCGGAATGTTTCGAGGATGATGCTGTGGAGGTACTGCAGTTTGGGAAGATCTTGTTCTTCGATCAAACGGGTGAATCCGATTTCGGATTCAATTTCTTGTTTGGCCTTGTGGAGAGCTTCTGGATTGTTGAGCAACAGGGACATGGCCCATTCTAATGTCACCACCGACGTGTCCGTCCCCGCAATGATCATGTTCTGCACGTTAGTTTGTTGAAAGGGATTCTTACATCACTGTTGTTATATTTAGTATGATGATGTGTGAATTGTGATGATTTGGAATTAGATTTGATCTTACGGTAATAAACCCCTTGATGATTTGATCGGTGTAGAGATGTTGATCGGACTGTTGCAGGGATAACAAATGGCCGATGATGGTGTCGCATTTGTGCCGGCGGTGGTCCTCCAGTAATGTCCGGTAAAAATTGTCTAATTTTTTACCAAGAGCAGACATCTTCTTCTTCAATCCTCTGTAATCAATTAGAAGTAAGAAGGGCAAGAAATCCTCAGGATTTGATGTCTGGGCGTGCTCGAAAACCTCGCTAACCATCTCCCGGAAACGATCTCCGGCGCCGGAGAATGTCTTTCCGGCGAGCATTCTCATGATCATGTTGAATATGAGTTCGAAGAGCAATGGCCTCAGCTGCAATAATTCCCAATTTTCGTTACTGGAATCGACGATTAGGGTTTTCAGCGTCTTCCTCGTCTGGTCATGGCGGATCTGCGAGAAGGCGTTGAGGCGGGCGGCGGAGAGGACCTCCTGAGCGCCGAGGCGGCGGAGGGCGCGCCACTTGGGGCCGTAGGGCTCGCCGGACATGGTGGTGTGGTCGTAGCCGATGTACTTGTCGACGAGGACCCAAGGGCGGTTGGATAAAACGACGTCGTTGGCAGTGAAGCATTCCTCCACCAGATCCGGCGACGCCACCACCACGACGCTGCGGACGCCGAGCTTGAGAGAGAAGATTGGGCCGTGCAATCGGGCGAATTGCTGGAAAGTGCGGTGGAGCGGCTGCTTTAGGAGGTGGAGGTGCCCGACGACGGGAAGCGGCGATCCGGGGCTCGGTGGCAGTCGACGGCGGCGACTCGGCGGCGCGTGTCTGAGAGCTGTAAGTGAGATGAGGAAAATGGCGAAAACGGCAGTTGTGCAGAGGAGTGTCGTCACGTCCATTGCTATACTCGGAGAGAAACAATAATGACTTTCAAATACATGGCCATCAGCATCAATGAAACCATAATGACTTTGTTTTCTTTCTGTCACGTATAAATTCATACCATTTTATATCCGCATCAAAAAATTTATTTACATAAATTTTAATTTTTTTTATATTATTAAATTATTAATTTTTAAAATAATTTTAAAAATAATAATTTTATTTAATATATATATATTTCTTAATATTTATTTAATAATTTAGTTTATATGTTATAATAAATATTTATTAATTTGATTATTATTATTATGTTCATATTTTAATTTTTAAAAATATTTATTATTAATTAATTATATTTAATTAAAAATTTTATTAAATAAAAATATGTCAATATTTATTGTAATAAATTAATTATACTTAAATAAACAAAAATATATATTCAATATTAATATTATTTTATAAAAAAAGATAAAAATTTATGTTATATAAAAAATATTAATATATATAATTTAAATAAACCATATAAAAAAATAATAAAAAACATATTAATTTTCTTATTTTTGCCACCTATCCGAAATTAATTGGGACACATGATAATATTAAGTGCAATAACTCTCTTGGCAGAGCATGGTGCTCTTGAACCTTAATTTTTATGTCATTTTTTTAATTTCGTTTTATAAGATAAATGACGTGGGGGTTTCTCGGCAGTGGAGAAAGTCCGATATGGATGCCTTAACGATCGGAAAAAAAAGGCTTCTATTTTTTATTTTATTATTTATTTAAAATATTAAAATATTGTGTATAATTATTTTATAAAAAATATTTTTTTTTTGACGACATGCGAACCTGCAATTGCCTAGCCTAATTTAATATTTTACGAATTAGGTACCACATGCAAGTCACTAGGCGAAACTATGTATATTTGCATATGAATTATAAAAAAAATTGTATAAATAATATATAAAATATTTATATTGAATTATTAATTTTTATGAGATGATATAGTTACATTATATATTGTGTAAATATATATAATTTTTTTAATAATATTTATCAAGTTATTGAAAAAAAAATTGGATGAAAGCACCTAATATCTCTAAATACATAAAATAGGTTAATTATTATTTTTATTATAATTAAATTAAAAAATATTATATAAATAATTAAACTGATATCTTTCAATTCATTTCCTTTTATCAAAATCGACCCTATAAATCAAATGAAAACAAACAATGAAACTTCACCTTAAATTCAAATAAATCTCGAACTCAAATTCCACCCTACTAATTCTTTTCACTTTTACTTTTTAATATAGTTTTTTATAATTTTTCTAAAAAATACACTATATTTTCTAAAGAAAATATATACTTTTAAAATTACAATTCAAATCAAAATAAAAATAAAAATCATCAATTAAATAGGTTATGAAACTCTAAAAAAACTAGTAATAAATTAAACATTTTATATTCATATAATTATTTTATTATAAATTAGTAATACTAGAGTAATTAAAATATAGAAAAGGATAATTAAAAGTAAAAAAATTATAAATTAGTAAGTCTAAATGAAATTAAAGTATGCAATCACATTAAAAAAAATAGTGATATGAAATATAAAATAGACAAAAATAATAATATAAATACTGTAAGTAAGACGAATGAAATATTTTGTGAGAATAAATATTTATATTAAAAATAATAAAAGGTACATAAAAAAAAAATCAAGAGAAAAGCCTACAATTAAATTCTTAATACAAACAAAATAATCTGTTTGTGGTCGTTAAAAAAAATAAAATAAAATAAAATAAAATAAAATTAATTTGTTTGTGTCCCCTGTGTTTGGTTCAAACGAGGGAACGGGGAGAGGGATTTTAATAGAATAGATGGAATGGGAATAAAGAAGAAAAAATATTAAATTTGTAAAAGTATGTTTGGTTGATATGGAATGGAAGGGAGAGAAAACAAAGAAAATTTCATAAAATTCGATTAATTCATTTATAAAATGTGATACATAATTTATTTGTCAAATATAATAAAAATATAAATTATTACGTATTGAGGGAACCAAATACTTTATACATAAAATATTTATTAAATTTATCAATAAAAATAAACAATAATTTTACATATAAATAATAACAAATATTATATAAATTAAGTATATTATAAAATATTGATGATTGTTTTTGACCAAGCCCGACTAATGTTTGTCTTGTCAAACTTCTCCAGATATAGGTTAAGTGAATAGACCTCACTAGTTATTGTATACCACATAATACAATTTGAAATGGGCAGAATGAAGATATGATATCACAGTTCTAATACCAAAAAGTCCAAGCAAACCTCAAGAATGAAATTACTTCCACCACTGCTATCTCACTGATTGAGCACCATTAGATACATCATCTTAACAAAGCAGAGCAACACACATAAATATATATATTCTATCAGACAGTTGAGAACACAAGCAACATAGCTGAAGAATGACGAACCAAGGTCCGCGCATTTTTTATGCACCCCTTCTTCCCTGATGTCTTCAACAACGATTCCATGAGCAAGGGCAATGGTAATCTGCTGAACAAAATGCGAAGAATGAACGAATTCTTGAAAAACCTAGCTAATAGAAAGGAAAAAAAAGAAAAGAAAAAGGGGTAGGAGAAATGTTTGGTATGACCGAATAAGGAACACATATAAATAAAATTAAGGATTTGAAAATTTGAAATTGAATCCGTTGTTGCTTCTGTAGATTCAGATTTCTTTTCTAAATTAAAGTAAAACTTAGTTGAAAAGACGACAATGACAAATAGAATTTGCAGTTCAGCAATGGATTATTTACAATTAAGGAAGACATTGCACTAATGGACACTAAAAAAAAAAATAAGTTTATTTGTAGCGGTTCTAAAATCACTACAAATTGACATTTTTCGTTATAAATATCTAACCGTCTCCTCAACAACTACAAAATAAAAAAATAGATAAAACTCAATGAGTAGAGAATGATAAATTGGCAGTGTATGAATTTTTTTTTTCTATCATCAATTTTTTTAATTGAATTTTTTCTTTTTAAATTTTTTGAAAGTGCAAAACAATTGTCAAACATAAAATAAACCTAACTTATAAAATTTGAATGTAAGAAAAGAGCAGCAAGCAGCTGTGCAGCATGAACAAGTCCAAAATGGTAGTCCATTTATCACTAACCCACCCTTTTGTCATGATTCCTTAGGACAATACATGATTCCTACACACAAATACAATAGTAAGAGAGTTCAAAAACCTCATCTCATTATACATATGAGATGATCAAAAGCCTTTTTAACAATTCACTATTGCATGATTACAGAAAAATGAATCAAGGCATGTTTTAATATGCACATCACAATTGGGAACATACAGTGAATGATCGATACACTAGGAAAGTAAATAAAATACTATCTCCCATATATGAAACCATAAATGTACCTCAAGTCTGGGAGCATTGTCAATCCAACTCTTTATTCAAGAAAGAATTCATAATCTTGTGTCTTGTTTCATTGCTCATGTACTTCAATTACTTTTCCAATCAATTCCAGGCTGAAATGAACCAATTCACAGTGTTGTGAATAGCAACAACAAAATGCTCTCTTCTGCCAATAAGCTCTAGACCAACGACGAGACAAACATCAGTCTTACTTGATTCTTTGATCAGATTCTTCATCAAACCTTTTATAACAATGAGGTTCTATTATTTTGATGAAATTAACACTTAAATATACATACAACACTACAGTAGAGACAACAATGATCACAGATTACTGGGGCAATAATTTGAAGAAAAAGGCAATTATTACAATGGTTGATTAAGATTCCTCTAAAAGCAACCTTAATTAATTTATAAGTAGGGAGGGACATTTGGGTTCACCAAGGGAAAAAGATTGAAAACAACAAGAGACTAATGTCAGATCATCGGGCCGTTGGATCACTATTGGACGGATGTGATATAATATTGTTAATTTCAACTAAATCATACATTTTCCTAATAATAAATTTACCACCGTTGACATAACTATAAATATAATAACTGTAACATTCAAATAAAAATAATTTTTTTTGTCAATTGCATGCTACATTTACTTTAAAATATTGAATTTCGCACTTAAATATTATAACGAGTTGGAGATATTAGAAATATCCAGAATGATAATTTTATTGCCTATTTAATTGTCACTATGGCATGGGAAAAGTGAATGATTAGGTTATCTAACTCGCTTCTGTGTTCTTGTTTAATTTAATATTTTTAGAAATAAAAAATAAAAAAATTGTGAGAAATTTATTAAAAAAAATACATTATTCTCTAACAAAATATATTATTTTTATATAAAATATAATATCGAACAAAAAGATATCTCAAAAACTAAAATACATGGAAATAAGTAAACACCATAACAAAGTAAAATTAAGAAAATGCAACTTATGAACTCTCCAAAAAATCTTTAGAATTAACACACTCATACTCTTATTAAATTGAATATGAATAATAATAAAATTTCTAAAATATAGTGGTGACTAACACATAAGCACTTGATGTCACGCATGACAATATCTGCAACTAAATTACATACAAAAATGACCAAAAAATTAAATATTTAATCGATTTATTATTGTTTCCAGAAAATAAAATATTCCAGAATTTATTCAACAGTAGTATTGTATTATTCAATTTCAATGATGACAAACATACATACATGAAAAATCACTGGGAAAATTGTTCAATGATTATAGTACCTTTACATTCATTAAAACTTGAATTAATTAATCATTATATATTGCACACTTCTGCTTATTGAAAATTATATACATGTTCAATTTTGCCAATATATATATATTTATATCAATTATAATGATTATTACAGCCATTATATAGTGGCTGCCAACCACCCAATTAATATTGGATCATGGGTGTGTTTTCCGTGTATAGATATAAATTTTTATAAATAATATTAAAAAAAAATTAATTTTTTAATATTATATTATAAAGAAATTTTATTTTATTTTTCAACTAAATCAGAGATAACTAATTAATGTAATTAGTCATAGTTAAATAGATCATTCGTTGATGTTAAAAAATTATTGTGGAGAGTGATGCAAAAAAATTTGCCTTTAAGGATTACCTATTTATATTTCAATCTCAAACTTAGAGGTTGTTTCTTAATTCAAATTTAAACATTCCTGTTCGAATTTACCTTTTATTTTAATTTTTTTGAAAATTATAGAAAGAAAATATTGCTCAACATTTGATAGAAATTGTTATGTTAGTATGCATATAACTTAACATAATTAACTATTAGCAAATTTGAATGTGCATGCGGAATTCATATTAAAGTAACACATGGATAAGACACGACGATGCTGAGTTAGTTGTCCTAATTTAAGAATCATGCACTCAATAATAATAATGATAATAATAATAATAATAATAATAATAATAATAATAATAATAATAATAATAATAATAATAATCATACAGGTTGTATTATTGCCATTAAACAATAATCACAGGTTTGGTGTTTAATCAATTAATATTAAACAAATAAGAGCAGGTAATAATAAATAAATAAATAAATAATTAATTAATTATAAGCGAGCGTAAAACATGGAAGGATTAATTGACCTAAATTAAAGACGACTAGAGGTGAGGTGGCGTGCATGGCTCGAGGAATGAGATATATATATATATATATATATTTAATATTTTTAATTAATTAGTTAGTTTAATCATGGGGATTAATTAAGGTAATCGATGTAGTTAAATTGCTAATATTTATTTAATTCATAGTGCTTGGGGAAATGATTGAATTGCGGAGACGGAGCAAGTTGGCTGGCTCACGTGTTTGTTCTTTAGTAAATTAAAATAAATATTTGATATATATGATATTCAAATAATAAATGATGTTTGATATGATGGTTCGAACGAATTATTTTGATAAAACTAGATGTACTCCACGAACCCATCTCTACCCACCCACCCTTCTGATATACATATATATATATATATATGTATGTATGTAGTGCCCTGATTTGTGGGTCTCGATGATATTATTCAAGTTTGACCATATGCACTGGATTCACCCTATATATATATATATATATATAGAGAGAGAGAGAGAGAGAGAGAGAGAGAGAGAGAGAGAGACTTAATTATGTACTACAAAATGTGTGTATGTATTATGTATATGTGTATTAGCAAAAGAGGAATAACGACTAGGGATTTTCAATATTGCGCATGCATGCAGTTTGGACGTAGAAAGAGATATATTGGGCGGGCACATCTGACATATTAGTAATTAATTAAGTGAAATGTAGGTATTAGGGGTAGTAGGGTGTATGTTTAGGGTTGTACAGAGAGTCTAATCAAACAACGCCCTTGGTCTGCTGTAATTATACACAATATTTATATAAATTATTATTATTAGTGTTAAGTAATAAACAGACAGTAAAGCAAAGAAGGGGCGTGCATGTGTCTCCTGATCGATCAATTACCAGTTGTCCTGTTCCCTCCTTAATTAACAACTTAATTAATTTATATGTACTCTGCTCTAATTATATGTAACAAATCACCATATATATATATATATATATCCACGACAATAACACGTACTTAAAACTTATACAAAAACATCTTCATATATATCATCTCGAAAGAAGAAGTAATACAAAAACCCTAGCTAGCTTGAACAACGTAAACACCAACAACACTAGCCCAGATATCGTCATTGATTTATAATTACACAACAGTACAGTTAATATAATTAATTTATATGAGTTCAGATAATTCTTAATTAAATAACTGAAATTATTTAATTTAGAACTCTCTAGGATCAACAAAAATGGAGGGAGCAGGGTTTGACTTAGTCCAGTCACCCACAGACCCGTCACTATAGTCTTCCCCTAACCGTTTGATGCACCACAGGTCCTCCGCGCACGATAGCCTCTTCCAGTGTGGGATCCCTAACCTGAGCGGCTCCCCGCCGGCAACCTCCGTCGCCACCACCGCGCAGCCGCCCTCCTTCGCCAGATTATGGGCCAGCCGGCACAGCGCATTGATCATCTTCACTGCATTCGGGCCTTCGCCGCCGAGCCCGTAAAGAAAATGGAACCCGAACGGCCGGAAAACCTCCGGCACGGAAGGCACGTGCAGCCACGGCAAGGCACGGTCCAAAGCACGTGACGTCCGTGCCAAGGCTTTCCTCACGCGCGACGCGCCGCGGACTTCGAGTCGGCAAACGTCCATGCAGTTCCAAACGCTCAGCACCGCCCACGACTCCGGCGGACTCGCCAGAAACGCCGCCGCCCCCGGCCACGCCGCGGCGGCGGACGATCCCGCCGGCACCGCCACGAACGTGCCAAGATTCAGCTTGTTGCCCAGCACGGCGCCGATGTCGCGGGGAAAGAACTCGGTGGAGGAGAACCGGCGGCGGTAGATTGTCTCGGCGTCGGAGACGCCGAGTCTGACGACGGCGACTCGGTTGGGGAGCTTGACTCGGTGAGCGAATACAGGCTGGCACAAAATCGCCGGCGTACGGAACTTCGTGTAGCCGCATTTCTTAGTGAAGAGATTTACAGAAGCTTCGTTGTCGATTTCCGTAGCCATGTATGAATACTCAGCGCCATTTTCTATAAACCATTCCTCTAATTTCTTCACCAGTTTCAGGCCAATCCCCAATTTTCTGCAGAACCCTAGAAATGTCAGGACACAAAATTGTTCTTGAATTCCACCAATATTATACATATACATGTAAGTATTGCATCACCGGTGAGTGGGAGAGACGCGGAGGCCTAAAATATAAGCAAGTTTGGTGAAGATTGGGAGAGGCTGAGGTGGGGCTTTAATGGCGGCGTTAACGTTTCTGCCATTCCTGGAAATCTTAGTTCCACAAGTAACGGTTTTGATGCAGCCTCTGATCATCCCCACGATTTCTCTTTTCCCTCCGCCATTTTCTCCGGCGCCGACCTCCTGCAACTCCGCCACCTGGTCCAGCCGGAAAACGTCAGAACATATATACATATATATATAGAATTAAAGATGGAGGTTTTGATGGTAACTGACGAGCATTAGATAGGCGGGGGAATGGCGGATTCTGGCGATGGGGTCGCCCATGAGGTCGGTGTACAAGAAGAGCTTCCCGCTGGGCCCCACTTCGCACCTACTCTCCACTTCCTCCACCGCCCTGCCGTCTTTTTTTGGCTCGAATTCTCTCACTACCACCGTCGCCGCCGCCGCGCCGCCGCTCTCCACCGCCATTTCAGCCGCTCTTTCCTTAATTCACGCAGATTTTATTTCTGTTATTTCAATAGTAATATATATAGAGATATTTGACAAAACCGCAGTCCTAATATTGCTGATTTGTGGTGTATATATAGATATAGATATAGATATAGATATATAAACAGGTGGCACTGCCATTTATATATACACTTGATCTCTGCAACTTGTTCTTCCATCTAAACTTTAAAAAAAAAAAAAAAAAAAAAAAAAAAAAAAAGGGGGAAAGGTGTATTCGATATTAATGTAAGTTACGAGAGAGTGGCCCTCATGGCATTTAATTAATTAATTCATTTGTTTTCGTGGTTTTTAATGGAAGATTTTGGGGAAGCCATTATCGTTTCTTCTTCCATGCATTTCGTTGTCCTTTGAGTATCTCTCTGTATATAATTAAATTAATGATGACAAAACTAGTTAATATTGGCATTAATAAATTGGAATAAATCGCCAGAAGAAGAAAAGAAGATGGCGGCTGAGTGGCTGCTGCTATGATTTATTATTTTTTTTTTATATATATTTTTTTCCGTGATCTCCATTAATCTGTCAAATATTATTCTGATGATCTGAACGTTTTTTCTATTAATTATTTTTTTAGTTTAATACAGGCCGACTCTAATAAGTTTCGCGGGCCGGGGCAAAATAAAAATAAATAATAATAAAAAATGATTTCGTCTGTCTAATTAATAAGTCATTTATTTGAATTATTACTCATTAGACTCTCTTCCTTCCATTTTCTCGTAGATTTAAAAAATACAATTAATTAAAAATGCAAGAATTTATCATGTGATCATTGTAAAAATAATGAGTAACAAACGATTGATTGCATTTAATTTTATATAAAGAAATACTCACGAAATCTTTTCTTCAACTCCCATGTTATATATAAGTTATGAATTCCAAATTTAATAAAATTACTGCGTGTCATTAAATCCAATTATATGCATATTCAATTGCACACTCATTAACTTGCTAAAATCTTCAATGGTTATATACATAAATAGTTGATAATGATATGTCAAAAAATATATACATTGCTTGAATAATAATATTTAATAACATACTTAAAAAATCTAATTTAATAATAATATTTTATTTTTAATTTCCCCAATCTAATAGCTTAAGCTTAAGCTTAAACTATTACCAAAAGAAAATCTGTTTAGTTGGTGATTATTTTTCTTTTTTAATGGTAGTTTCGACGTAATATATGTAAGAAAAATAATAATAGAGATTATGATTGAATAATAGGAAGAAAAAAAATGTAAAGTGAATTGAATAAATTAATTACTTTTTTTGATGTAATTTAATAATAATGAAAGAATGTAAATTTCATATAAAGTGTGTTAGTTTTTATAATACAAAAATTTATTGGACGACATATGAAATTCACTAAGGTGAATTGTTTAGTTTAAAAGTGAATAAATTTAATTTGTTGAATACAATGATCCCAATAATTCTTAAAGGTGAAAGGATGGCTTTCAACAACTCTCTATGAGTCCGTACGAGTTTTTTTTTCCCACCAAATCATACACACATACATAGGTTCGCATATATATATCCAATTAATTAATTTGTGTTTGTCAGGGGAATTCACTATTCATCCCATTTTTTTTCCCAAAAATATCGAATCACGCAATTTTTTATTTTTTATATTATACTAAAAATTTTACATTTTAAACATCACATCAACACCTATTTATATCACATCGTACAACTATTTAAATTCAAAATTTTTACTATTTAAATCTCACTCAAAATTCAACTATGGATCAACACCCCCCTTATGTGTTGCATATAATGTCCCATCATCTCCCAAACATGAACTTGCCAATCATGTGCAACTTAACTACATGCATTCATATATGTATGTATGTATGTATGCATACATTTGATGTTGGCAGACAAGAACTTAGAATAAAAGATCTTATGTTGTTGTGTTGGCTACCTACTCAATTAATCAATAATTAATTAATTAATCTTTGGTCACCAGAAAACATGGGTTTTGTTTGAGGTATGAGGTGTTTGACTGAGTGGGTGGGTGTGGGACTGGACACGTCCATGGATGTCCTCATTACACACACACACATATATATATATTTATATACATATACTGAAAATTAGGATATATAATCGAAGAAAAGTGATCAAAAGAAAGTTAAAGGTGTGTAGTGTATTAATTAAATAATTAATTAAGAGTAATATACAATTCATAGTGCTTGAGGCTACAAACACTCATGGACTCCAACCTGCTTCTGTCCCCCCCCCCCCACTCTGCTGAAAACCAAACCAAAATTCACCATATTTTATTATCGAATTATATCATTATTGAATATGTATAGATATCAATTCTTATAAGAGTGTCAAGCACAGATACACCTAACCTAAGTATCATTGATATCAAGGATGCATTGGATACATCCCCATCATCAATGTAAGAAAAAGTTGAAGGAAGGGCTTTGCAGTCTCCCCCATTATTAGGTAGCCCGATTTACAACAATCATATGGATAGCAACACAAGCACCAGCTGTGGTTTTATCTCCACAATATATGGCAAATGTCTTGATTCACAAGTACATTTGCATGGTGATTACAAACAATCCACCTTAGTTTAACAGATCAGACAAATCAAACATGTATATAATAACATTAATCTGTCTAGAAACAGGCAAAGATTTAGTTAATAGCCATGTTCTTATGCATACAGTTGGACTACAGCTACAGATGTCGGAGTTTCTTTCACACAGTTAAACCCCCATTGTATGCATTCTAATCTCTACCAAATCCAGGCTCATTATAGAATCCAGAGGCCATTGTTTTCATTTTACATGACAACAAATCCACCAGGTTCAGGATAGCATCAATTAAATAATTTGGTTATGTTGATTCTATTTCAACAGCATGCATAAATTACATGCAAACTAAATCCATCTGTCATGTTGTAGAGTGTGTTGATTAAACAGAAACAGACAACAATGTGGCCAGTTGTCTGTTTATGTCTTAAGCAGACATGATCCTTGTTCTACTACAGACATATCAACCATTAGTGACAAAAGCATGCAGATGCAAACTAAATAAAGCATATTACTTTTGGTCTTGTTTCAGTCATTTACAGTTAGTGCCATGAGTTCTTCTTTGCTTTACTGCCCCTTAACTAGCCAGCTCAAATTTAGCTTCATCAAATTTTTTTACCAACCGTGAACTTCTAAATGTCACTCCCTGGTTGTTAATCAATTTGCTAAGAAGTTTATGAAGGACTTGTTTCCTACTTAATTACTGCTACTGCTCCATTTAAAAAAGGATCCTTCTAATAGAGCTTGAAGACATGTAATAGTGAATTAATAGCATATATTCAATCATTTCACTAAGGTGACAATTCCTTTCAGTTCCTCTCAACATCTCATAAAAAGAAGGGAAAGTGAAGCACGTAACATTGATTGCAAAGTGACAAAATCAGACAGTATTCATTTAAATGGAATGGACTAATCATAAGCAACGACAGTCATCTGTGTCCATAATTGACTTGGATAAAAAGAACATAACTCACTCCACTTTGAATGCCTATCTTTTTCTAAAACCATACTTCCCTTCCCATATGTCCTAACTTCCTCACCAGTTTCATGCACCCGCCCAGCTCAAAGACACACGGGTAATTTCCCAAATCAACAAGAATCTTAAGAACCATGAAAAGCAGATCATAGAGTTTACAGTTGAGACAGAAATTTGTTACATGAATCAGATGGTAAGCAGTATGCACAAGCAATAGTATAGAATCAATCAACTGCACAACAATGCTACAGAGACAGGGAAAATTAGACCTCAGGGATGGGACCAACTGATTATTAGCATTAATGGCCATGAGTTGGGTGATTTTAAGCTCTCTGTACTGGGTAGAAATAAGGATGGGCCTGCACATATTACAACCATTACTCAAAAGGATGAAAATGTAATAGCAGAATAGCTTATTGAGATTGTCTCGTGAATATAGAGGCAGAAACATGACATTGTAAGCTTTGTATGAGTTACCACGTATTAACAAAAATAAATTTTCTTATTATATAGCTTCACAGTTTGAATTTGCAAACACGCCATGCATTTCATTTTAATCATGAGTCATGAGGATGGAGACTGTACCATTGCTTCCTTAGCAGTCAACCTTTCCTGCTGATCATATCGCAACAATTTGTCGACAAAATCAATTGCCTTCGAAACAAAATGAGACAAATGTACTCAGTTTAAATCTTCATCAGACACTATTCAACATATGATTTTCAGATCTTTATCGCTTACCTCAGGAACAGCCAAATGTTGATTGTCGACATTAATGAATTTTGTCCATGGTTTTCTACTATGCCTGTAATAAATTGACCCATCAGGAAATAACGTACTAGTTTCGTCTGCTAATAAAAATATCTGAGGGAAAACTGACCTTCCAACAAGGGCTGCAAGATGCCGATCCAATTCTATGCGATACTTGCTCAAATAAGCATTCAGTTCTTCTGTCCCCAACACCTGTCATTCATTAATAAGTTCAGCAGTATTATCATGTTAAGTAGAAGATTGTCCACACATGGTTCACACTTCACAGGAAGAGAGAACCATACAAGTGGCCTGGTCAATAAATGTAAGAATAAGATATGTTGAGTTTGGATAAATGTAGAATAGATAAATTTGCATGAATAAGAACTTATAAAGAATGGCCAGAAAATACAGATATCAGAATGTGAGTCTAGCTTGATCAGAAACCAATCCAAGATCACTTCAAAATGTTACTCACAAGTATATGCCCAATGATTTTTTACAGTAGGTTATAATCCAGTACATACCTTGGCAATCTTGACTAATTGATCATAATTATCATGCCCATAAAAGAAAGGCTCCTTACGAAATATCTGTACAGAAAAAGCCAGTAATATGAGAGCCAGTGCTACTAGGCTTCCATATATTTAAACAAATCCATAATCATATCTCCTGAATTTCTAAATTCTAAACTTTCAGTACACTGTCACAATTGATTGTAGTTTCAGCACAGAGAATGACCACGTGCATATGGATGGTTTTATTAACAAATGAATTTTAAGGGAGAAGGAAATACATACCATTCCAGCAAACATGCATCCCAGGCTCCACATATCCAAGGAGTAATCATAGTCTTGTAAATCAACAAGAAGTTCAGGGCCCTTAAAATATCTACAGTGTAGGTTAGAAAAGCAGAAAATCTGATCAGAAAGAAAATATCACAGACATCATATATATATATATATAACCTTGCTATAATTCAAGTCTGTATAGTGTATACATGTTTGAAAAGTGCTAACCAATATTCTTTTGCTTGGAATTGAAAGGCCTCATCTTTTAAAACTACCCACAGAATTGTAGCCAAGAATTGATACTCAAAACATGTTGCCTAATAGCAATGTTAAAATATGGCACGATATGAATTAGGCATGTGCTGCCTTGAATGTCAAATACATGCAGCTCTCAACTGGATAAAAAGCGATGTTGAAGCATTATTCTGATGCTTATTCAGATAAATTGATGCAGACCCAACGCAGTAACTTAGCACAATCACTTTCTTATTTAGTCATATATCTGGTTAAGAAAAAACAGAAAACTAGTATGTAAAAATAAAATACATAATAGTATTATTTTTCATACAGCATGCATCCTCTAATGCTTTGTATGTAATAGCATAATTGCATCCATTTGGAGCTCAAAAAAGAGGAGAATCAATTTTCTTAATTTATTTAGCTCCTTGAGTATGCAATAACTCTTAACTAGAAAAATAAAAAGATCATGATTTGCTTATTCTGTAAAATGCTTTGTTTTTATCACTGATACCTAAACATCAGCATCTATCAAAAGCAGCCTAGTATCTAGAAGAGAGTGCAAACTAAGTGTTAGATTATACAGTGTCTGCAGTCAACTTAGTGACTTACTGAGGTAGCAGCTCCTTTTCATCAGCCCGGGTTATTGTATATTAAACCTAACTATGGAACAGTTTTCAGCATGCCATAGTTAAGTTAGATAAGTCACACTGAGTGTAGTTCATATCCATCATCCCAAAGCTTGTTAATATGCTTTGAAATTAAAATGCATGGTGCACATTACTACACAAATTTTACAAAAGATATACATTATCTAACAGATAGCTTACATACAAGAATTATAAGGCCACAAACCTCGAAGCAACACGAACATTATATTCCTGCCCAGGATGATAGAACTCTGCAAGCCCCCAATCTATCAGGCGAAGTTTGCGCTGCTCATGATCTATCATGACATTGTGAGGCTTCACATCCCGATGCATGATACCTTGCGAATGGCAATAGTCTAAAGCCTAAATGTGAGAAGAAAACATTTTAATGATCAGCAATGATAAAAAGAAGGCCACTGGTTGCTTGAGGCCACAGCAAAGTGGAAGGTGGAACCAAAAAAGTGAACAATAACATACCAATTAAAGTTTTAGATTTTATATGATTCGATTCGGCAGAAACATTATAGTAGAATGCATATCCTCAATCCAAGCTGTGGCAACATATATAAGTGTTGATCTATAATAAGATTCTAAATAGTCTTTCGTAGTTCCTAAGGAATAAATGTTTCTCATCTGTATTCCTTTTCTATAAAGAAACAGAAACTGGTTTCTATAAATCAGACATTTGTATTTTCTTTCTGCCTCCAACAAAACATGTAGTTGTAGCCTCTTCAAGTCAGACACTCTAGTCTCAAGTTGATACAGGTAGCACACCAGTCACCAACTACTATAAAATTGATCAATGTTGGTGCCTATCATAGAAAATAAAATAAAAAGGCATCAAAAATAGGATATAACAAGAGACTTACCTTTAAAAGTTCATAGATGTAGTATCTAATATCAAAGTCTGATAGTGTGGGATACAGCACTTTAAAGTCTGTGTTATTCACATATTCAAATATAAGACTTGGTGTCTTTGACTGCTGATCCCTTACAATATCAAGCAACTTCACGATATTTGGTCCACCACAAAGATTTTGTAAAATCTTAATCTCCCTTTTGATCTGCATAAGGATAGAAACATCAATCACAAGTTCTTCCGTTTCAGAAAATTCTACATTTCATGCCAGGCACTAAAACTAAACATAAGTTCGTTGAATCTACTCATGTTCAAACACAAGGAGAGTATGAGACATAAGTTCACTTGTAATATACTTAAATTCACGAGTGGTAGGTAGCTCTCATCAATTTTCAGTTTAAGGCCACCAATTTTCTAATGCCCACAACCCCCTGTATAGTCATTGACAGCACATAAAATGATACAGACGAGAACAACCCAAAGGGAAAACAAAAGGTAACAAGAACCACAAGACTCTATAGTACAAACCATAAACCTAACTATCAAGGAGCACTAATCATAGAAAAGTTTATACAAAATCTATAAAATCAGAGTTGCAACATTAAATCACATCTGCCTCAACCGTGATGCAAAGTCAAATCAGATGAAGTCAATTATCTTCATCCTAGTATGACATTATTTCTACAAGAACAAAATCACAACCGCTGAATCAATATGTTTGAAGTTTCGTTTTCCTATATATTTCCCTGGAGCCATATGAGATTAATACAACATATCTATATGCACCGTTAGCCATAACTAGTATCAGCGCAATAGAAATTGTGCTAATTAAGTCAGTATAATTGGCGTAGGGAACCTTTTTCTTCTTGACTGGTTTAAGAATTTTGATAACACACTTCTCATTGTTGGTGGTGTGAACCCCTTCGAAAACCTCGCTATACTTTCCCCTGCCGACCTTCCTCACAACCTCATAGTCATCCTGCTCCCTGGAGAAACCAATCAAATCCAAAACAATCTATAAAAACAGAATTAAAAAATAAAAATAAAAAAGCAAAGAAATTGATCGTGATAATAAGTACCCCCACTGAACGGTGAGGGTCTCGTAGTCCCAATAATCCTTAGGGCGGTTAACATTGACATCCGCGTATACACGCGCCTTCGAGGGGGCACCCGCGCGCCTAATGGCTTTCGCAATCTTATGAGCCATGGCTCCTGGAAAGGGCTTTGTGCCTTGATGATGTATAGGATCGGCCGTTTTGGGTGGAAGGAAATCGAAGGTATGGCGGCGATGTGGCGAGGAGAGTGAAAGAGGCGCGGAGAATGCCAGAGACGATGAAGTAAGGACCAAGTCCCTTCCAGCGATCGAACGGCAAGGGTTATTTCATTATACGTTTAATTTTATTATTATTATTTTTTAATTCTATTTTACGACGTCGTTTTCGGGGTTGAGGATGTTTACGATGAACCCGGTCCATATTACTTTTTACGTTGATTTTGATTTTGTATGATTTATTTATTAAAAAATAATTTATTTTAAAAATTTTCAGGTAAATAGAATAGGCTTACATTTTATAATTCAAAAGCAATTTGTATTTGGTGACAATAAAAATAAAAATAATTCATTTTGAGTAGCCTTTTTTATATATATAATAAATAAGTATATGTTTTAACTAATAGAGTTTGGAAAAAAAAACTTATTATATAGACTTTCAAATACGTTAATAAATAATGTTAAATCTAAGAGCAATATAATGACTATATGGTAAAAAGGTTCTCATTCATTTTCAATGAAAAATCACTGTAGCCTTATGTAATAAAAATTTGGTCGGTAGTTTCTCTTCTATCTCTCAATCCCTCCTTCATGTGATTGGATCCTACAATTCAGTGTCTCCTAAAGGAGAGTTTTGAAATTATTCAAATCAAAATTTTAGTGAAGAATACATACCACGAAAAAGATTAGGTTTTTAAAATGTGGGTGCAAATTATTATACAGATAAAAAAAAAAAAGTTTTAACACATAAATAATGTGTGTTCCATAGAGATTTTTTTTAAAAAAAAAAAAATATTTGATCATTATATATTTTCTGTCTAATAAACTAAGTTCAGTAATTTTTCAAAATCAACAGGGCCTATTTAGCCAAAATCCTATTTGACTTAGGTCTATTTCTACTCTATGAGTGTGTTGCTTTAAGTTGACATTATTTTTATATACACATTTCAATAAAAATATATTAGATATGTTTGGTTTTTATATGAATTTGATACTTTGATTTAAATAGTATTTTGATATAATATTGTATAAATAAATAATATATTTTTATTAATACACTGGCTAAACAATATAGAATTGATTTTTAAAAAATAAAAATAAAACTAGATCCATTAATAAGTTCAATCCAAGTTTCGTCTGTTCATCTAATATTATAGTAATCATTGCACATATATTTTTATCGTAAATTTTTACTCTATTTTTTATTTATTTTTTAATAACTTGGGAACCTTAATACCATGCAAACTATAATCGACAATGCACTACAACATGATAAGTGGATACATAGACAATCCTTGATATCTTAGGTTGGGCTTATGCTACGGCTCGGTAGGTCCATGTTTAATTTTGTTGTAACTTATTTGCATATCACAATATTTTACAGCATAATAATAATTATTATTTTTTTAGTTTTTTTTTTTTTTTTTATGTAATTCATTATTCTAAATGAAAGCACATTTATTTTCCATATAAAAAGTTTCACTAAAAAAACAATAAAAATGAAAACTTTAAAATCTAGAAAAGAACAAACCTAAAATTCTTCCAAAATGACAAAATGAAACATATATAATAAATAAAAAGTTCCACACTTGTCACGTTGGAAGAGGGATCAAAAATCATACATGGGTCCCTATCCTGACTCATGTTCTATTAATTTGCGAAAATGGTATTATTCCATATATATTAAATAAAAAAAAATAAAATAAAATCTCCAACTCTCTAGCAGAATACTCTGAAAAGTCAATCGACTCAATCCAAACACATACACACTACAATTGATAAAACAGTAGAGAATATCAATCGGAACCAGAAATAAAAGGTTGTTTTAGGATTTGACTTTGACCAAACAATGCAAAAAAGCAGACACACCACCACAAGCATTAGTTTAGTAGTATCTACTGCCACACATGTTCCTTAAATGGAGACAAATTCAACGAACTAAAAAACATCACAAATTTTAATAAGAATTTTGGAAGTATGGGGGCAGGCAAGATTCGAGCATGGCGAATATATATCCAGCCAGCAATCTGAATGTGGCGGTGACGACAACCTCGGACGGCGGCGGATGCGGCGGCAGAGTAGGTACCTGGGTGAATGTTAATTTTGGTCCTAAGCCTATGATGATTGGAAGAAATCCAAAATAGAAGAGATTGGATCCGATTGCATAGTGATGGAGGTAGTAAGTGAGTCCACCCCACCCCACCCCACCCCCCAATCGGTTTGCTTAATCCTTTCTCATAAGACACGTGTCCTTTGACCCGAGTATGACTTGAGAAGAAGCTTCCAAAAGGCCAAAGACGCCTAGAGGTAGAGCCCTAATCGCCTTCTCTCTCTATCTCCCCCTCTCTCTCTCTCTCTAACAACAACAAGCCCTCCAAGCTCGATTGCTGATTTCCCTCAATTTCCCCTGTTTCTTTAATTGCTGCTCAACTCGAGGATTTTGGGGCCTGCCGAGTGTCCCAAGTTACTTCATTAATTGAATCAGGTTCGTTTTCGCTATTTCGGTTTGTACTGTTTGTTCTTAATGCTTCCTGGTTTTCTTGGTCGGGATTTCTTCGAGGGTTCATTGTGAAGTCAAACGCTTTACTTCGGATTCATAATGTTTCTTCCTCGGGTTAATTTGGGGGTTTTTGAAGTTCAATTATGCTCTATTTGGGGGTAATCAAGATTGACCCTATGCTGAATCGTTTCTTCATTTATTTAATTTGTGGGAACAGGATTCACGCAACGGTGCAGCGATTCGAAGTAGTTCCGAGTTGAAATTGCGTCTGAGCGTGTTGGATTTCGAAGAAATTCTGTTCGACTGTGCGTGGAGTAAGAGCTGTTGACTGTTCGTACTGAGGTTTGACTTGCGATGGGTGGGGTGAACCCAACAGTTAGGGTTTTTTAATTTTTCTGTGTCTATTTCGGGAATTGAAGAAGATGGATTGGTCGGATTCTCTTATGTGATTGGGATTTGATTATTTTGATTTAATTTTGATGGTAACATGGATAGGCATTGCCCACGAATCGATACTCTCGAGCTGAAGAATCATATAGAGCTAAGGCTGGGGCATAACAAGGCTGAGAAATATTTCAATCTCTTGAATATGTTCTTCAATGGCCGAATCCGAAAACCAGAGTTTGATAAGCTCTGCATTGGGGTAATAGGGAGAGAGAATGTCTCTCTCCACAATGGACTACTTAGGGCGATTCTCCGCAATGCTTCTGCCGCGAAAGCTCCTCCTAACAAAGATGGGAAAGTCCAAAATTCGGTGAATTCGAAGGTGCCGAATGGATACCATAGCAATCTTCAGTCGTTATGCCGGGGTGTGTTTCCTCCATCTCCAAGAAAGGGGAGGAGCCCGACAATTCGCGATCGTAAATCGAAGGACCGTCCAAGCCCGCTCGGGCCTCATGGGAAGCCTCGGAGTGTCGGTGGCGAGGATTCGGTGACGAGAGTGCAAGAGCAGCAAAGTGGGACGGAGATAGTGTCTTTAGGCAGCAGACCTTTTGAAGTCGTCACTTCTATGGAGGAGGGTGAGGAGGTTGAGCAAGTTGCTGGAAGTATGGGAATTCATAGTCGAGGTCCTCTTAGAGCTCCTCTTGGGGTTTGTCTTCGTGCAAAGATGCCGAGGAAGGTGATAAGCTCAGGACTCTCTGCAGATTTGGACAAATGCCATAACAATTACGAGCTTCCTGACACAGCTTGGTTAAGGAAAAGAATGGAGCAGAAAGTAGGGATGAAGGGATTATCCGTCTCCACTGATTGTGTCAACTTATTAAACAATGGGCTCGATGTTTTCATGAAAAGATTGATCAAGCCTTGTCTTGATTCAGCTGTTAGCCGATCTGAATTCAAGCTTCCAAATAAAATTCATCATCAGGCATCTTTTGTGAATGGGGTTAGGCCACTGACGACGTACACGCACAAGTCTCCTGTGTCGATAACAGACTTTCAAGTTGCGATGCAGTCGAATCCTAGTGTGCTTGGAGAAGATTGGCCTGTACAGCTTGAGAAGATCTGCTTACGTGCGTTGTCGGATGAATATATGCACGGATAGGCTGTTCTTTGTCGTGATGCAGTGACTTACATTATGATGACTCTAGAAGCTCCTCTCCTAACAGTGTTGACACAATTCATGTGATCTTATGTGGTGGTCTATAAGCTGCTCGAAAATTTTGGATCAAGTTTGTTAGATTGTATATATGTTACAGAGCTGATTATTTCCAAAGTGGGAGTTCTTACCTCATAAAGTGCAAAGGGATATGGATACTTGTAAGATAGTGGCCATTTCATATAGTTTGGTAGAGTTCTTCAACTAATATTTTGTTTCCTTTGTCCCATTGAAGTTTTATCTGTTAATAAAGTTTCTTTTATTTTGGAAATTAAGGTGTTGTTATGCAGCTTTCTCGAAGGTTTTCCATTTGATTATCATGCAAAGATCAAATGGGAAATATATATTATATGAGGTCAGGTATATTTAATTTTGATTATATTCTAAATCTTCTTTGATAAGGTGAAGCCAAATTCGCCCAAGGTAACTCCTCTTTTATCAATATATTTATTTGTTTCTTATTTTCAATTAGATTTGGGCAAGACTTGCTATAGAATGAGCAACATCATTTGAAGCCTATAAAAGATATATGGGGATGAAATTAACTGTATAATTCTTATTTAGCGTATTTATGTTCATTGTAAAGTTGCCGAAAATGTCAGATCATTTTCCATTTTATTATTTATTTAAATTGGTTGGGAAAAGAAAGTTTCAAAAAGTAATATCACGACTATTTGTTCCATTTAGAAAATATACAGGGGAGAAGTGACAAAAAAAATATAAAGTGATGTCTAAGAACCAATTCAGATGTTAGTTGCTTTTTATTGGTCAGTTTTTGCAGGAGTTACGACATGTACAGAATTACGACATGTACATGGAAGTAGTTGAGAGCCAATTCGGTGGCAAACGGTAACTGTAGAATCGCACGGATATGCACATGTAAGTGGGGGCATCAATCGTTGTTTGCTAAGCATAATTCCTTTTGGTTACAGTTGCGGTATTTGGTTGCTTTATGCAATTATTAATTAGGCGCATTACGTAAGATGTCTGATTTCTCATGTCCAGAACAAAACAATTCTTGTATGTCAATCCGTGTACAATTCAAGTGAAGACTTTATCGAAGGAAATAACTTTATTGAAAATATAAATGAAAATTTTGTAATAGTCCTCTTTCTTCTCGTAGTTTTTGTACTAGTCTCTTTCTTCTCATTCACTTCGACTAGCTACAATGGCTTGCTGTATTTACATAAGCACCTATGAAAGATCTTCCTGTGTAGTATTTCTGGAGTTTTTTACATAATATACATACTAAAAATTTCTAGAGAATTCTACATTAAGAAAGAAACTTGCATATAATTATAAAATAATATAGGAGCATGTAGAGAATCAATGATCTCTCTACAATGCATCAATAATTTTGCATAACTTGTATGGAGGTTATTGATCATATGACCCATTTTAGCCTACTCATCACATTGCCGAAGCTTATCTTTTCTGCAAAGATTAAAATTTGTCTCTGTGCTGGTGAAGGAAAAAGTTGGATCTTGACTGTGATATGCTATTGAGTTCTGGTTTAAATTCTCTCTTTTTAATTAGGGATGTAATCACAAGGAATGTGTATAGTTGTTGTAGCCATACGGAAATGGGAAGTTCGTTCACACATTTGAGAGGGTTTTTTATTTTAGTGAAATAAGGATCTATAAATTTAGCCAAATCTTTTTGGTTAGCTCATCTGAAATTGCAGATTCTCCTTCCATGCATCTGCTTGGAATCGGCCTTCAATATTTGTAGTTGTTGCAGTTGTCATATGTTTTCTGCATTTCAATTATCTGCGGAAATCGTCGCAGTGGGAATCTTAAAGCTGAATTTGGTAGGGATCACCATGATTGAAGTTTTCAAGTAATCTCTGCTCCTGTGTAGAACAGTTGATGAACAGCCCTTTGTAATCAGGTATGCTATGTTGTCCCTTGTAAGAAATTAAGTGACGAACAATGTCTTAGGCGATGCTTAGCTTAATAGCTTCCCTTGAAAATTCCTCCATACTCAGAAACTGTATCACATTGTTCTTGAAAATGTATTTTGATGGGATCGTTGGCGATCTTTTTGTCCTCTTAATTTCAATCAGATTCTCTCTAATTTTGTAGTTTTGAAGTTAAAATTTAGTCTCATACATTTAAAGGTTTTTATTGCATTGCTTGATTAATTGAACCTAGCAGACAAACAGAAAAGTAAATATATAAGCTATAAAGTGGACATGATAAATTAATTAATGCAAAACCTGGGATAACCTCGCCAGTTTGTCCCTGTCATTAACATTAATAACGTCACCTCGATCGTGACTTGGTTGCAAAAATAAAATAATTCTCTAATCTTATTTCATTTTAACTCTTGAAACATATATTGTAGTATTATTTTCAGCAATATTTATGAATTAAATGTGACAATAATACTAATACTAATAAATAACTAAATAAGAAACAAGTGTACAAAAGCAAAGTGGAGCGTGGGGTCCACGCGGGCGCTTAGTGCACCGGTAGGGGTGGAAATAGGCCAGGCGGCCTGTCAGGGGCCTATGACCTGGCCTACATCAAGCCTGGCCTGGCCTGTTCTATTTATTAGAAAGGCCAGGTTCAGATTTTTGTTAAAGCCTGTTTATATATACAGAATAGGCTTAGGCTTATGAAAAAGCCTATTTACTAAACAGGCCGGCCTGTTTAATAATAATATTATTATTATATAAAATTATTTTTTATTATTATAAAATAAGAATAGTTTTATATATAATAATGATATATAAAAAAAAAAAATTTAATTATAAATTTATTAAAAAAAAACAAAAATAAAAATAATTTTTATCCCAATAAAAAATTTCAAATATGAACAACTACTGCACACATGTTCCTTTTTTTGTTTCTTTTATCATAATTCAAATATTATCCCGCTGTAAACTGAACAACAACTGTCCATATTCCTTTTCCACCGCTGCAAGCCTGCAACTGCTGCCAGACCTCCACGCCGTCCAGGGTTTTGCAATCTTCTTCACAGAGACCCACTACTTTTCTTTTTCCTTCTTCTGTCTTCATCGCCTCTTCTTTTTTATTGCTACCGGTGGAATTTGGAAAAATAAGGTAAATATCGTTTTTATATGTTTTTTTTCGTTATTTTTATTTAGATATGAATTTCAATATATATATTTTTTGTTTTTTTGTTATATTTTATTTATCTTATATATTTTTTATGACGTTTTTTTTGTTTTTTTATAACGTCATTTTTTTAAAATAGTTTTGTTATTTTTATTTTTGTGTTTTATATTATTTAGATTAAAATGAAAATTTTATATTTTTGTAGAAAAATATAAGATATATATTTACAAGAATGAACAGTTTCTGATATTTTCGTTTATAATGTATATCATTAATTAAATAAATTTTTTTATTTATTTTGAAGCAGGATATGGCTTCGATGGATGAAACAAATATTTTTGATCTTCCATCTGATACACACAATAGTATATCAGTGGATTCCCTTTCAAGCCAACCTGTGGATGATAACAGAAATGAAGACGAAAGGAATTCAAATCAAGCAAATGAAGGTGCCAATAGGAAAAAAAGGAAAAAAACTTCAATTGTGTGGAATGACTTTGATGAAATTCAAGTTGCTGAAGGTGTTAAGAAAGCTATTTGCAAATACTGTAAAAATGCATTTGCTACTGGGGAAAGAGGTGCGAGCACAAGCCATCTAAAGAGACATTCAGAAGGGTGTTTGCAGAGGTCAGTACAAATGGCTTCACAAAAGAAACAATGTGTCATTCCTTTTAAGCCATCCAATTCAAGTAATCCGTTTATAAGTCCGGGGTTTAGATTTTCTAATGAAAAGATGAGGGAAGTCATTGCCACTTCTATTATGGTACATGAGTATCCTTTTAGCATTGTAGAAGACGATGCTTTTATATGGTCATTTCAGTATGCGAACCCTGAATTTCAGAAAGTTTCTCGTAAGACGATACGAAGTGATTGCATAGCAATATATGAAGCATAAAGAAAAGCATTGAAGGAATTATTAAAGAGTGTGAGCAAGATTAGCTTGACAACAGATATGTGGAAATCCAGTCATCAAGTGATTGAATATATGGTAATCACTGGTCATTTTATAGATTCTGGGTGGAAGCTTCAGAAAAGGATTTTAAGCTTTGTCAAGGTGCCTGCTCCAAGGCGAGGAATTGATGTAGCCAATGCCATTTTCAAATGTTTGAAGGCTTGGGGGATCGAAGATAAAGTGTTCTCAGTATCAGTTGACAATGCTTCATATAATGACTCGTGCTTGAGGTATCTAAAAGACTACATATCACGCAGCACCAAGCTTGTCCTCGATGGAGCTCTATTTCATGTTAGATGTTGTGCACACATATTGAATCTTTTGGTGCAAGATGGGCTTAGTCGAATCAAAGATATCATCCATAATGTTCGTGAAAGTGTGAAGTATGTAAACTTCAATGATTCAAGATTGAAGAGTTTTGGTGAAGTAGTTGAACAAAAGCATCTAAAAGAAAGGAAGTTGATAATTGATTGTCCAACAAGGTGGAATTCTACATATCACATGTTAGCCGCTGCTTTAAAATTCAAGATTGTCTTCTCAGAATACCAAGAAAGAGAACCTCATTATACATTTGCACCTTCAAATGAAGATTGGGAGAAAGTCGAGAAAGTTTGTAAACTTTTAGAGGTTTTCAACTTAGCTACCAATTTAATATCTGGAAGTGAATATCCTACTGCCAACTTGTATCTTTCAGAGGTCTGGAAAGTGAAGCAAGTAATTGATGATGCGACAAAGGATGATGATCTTTTTATGATACAAATGGCAACGCAAATGAAAGAAAAGTTTGATAAATATTGGGGTGAGTGCAATCTATTGATGGCTATTGCAAATGTATTGGATCCGAGAGTTAAATTTCATGGTGTTGAAATATGTTTTCCAATGATATACAAGTCTGAAGAAGTTGCTGCCGAGTATGTGAACAAAGTGCGTGCTTCACTGCAACAACTATATAATGATTATGTGGCCTTAAGTGTTGAAGAATCATCCTCAAGTCAGTGCAATATGGCTAACATCTCCTCTGCCACCACCCAATCTGAATCTGCGATAGTTACTGGGTTTGATCAAATTATGAGTCTTGTAAGAGCAAAAGAAGCAATTCCTGTATCAAAATCTGAATTGGATGCCTATCTCGAGGACAGTGTTTATATTCCTGATGGAAATATGTCTTCATTTTGTGCCTTGGAGTGGTGGAGGAACAACAGCATGAAATATAAAGTTTTATCGAAGATGGCTGCTGATGTACTTGCGATTCCAATATCAACGGTAGCTTCAGAGTCTACATTTAGTGCTGGAGGTAGAATTATAGATGAATATCGTTCAAGATTGAATGAAGAATCTATTGAGACACTAATTTGTGGAGGAGATTGGCTTCGACATAAATACAACTTGAAAAAAAAGAAGGTAAATTTTATTATTAACTGTCTTTTCTTTATCTTATTCATCACCCACAATATATTTTTTTCTAATAAAAATATTTCTCTCATTTGAAGGTGAATGAGTCTTTGAAGGAGATAAGCTTATAGATTAAAGAAGTTCTTTAATACTTTGGTTGCGGTACGTTTTAAATTTATAATATTTTCTGAAATTTTTTATACAGATTAATTGTTTGAAAATCTGATTTTTTTAGTAAGATATTGTTGTTGCATGATGTATTTTGGGAGGATTCAACTTTGATTTTCTGAAATTTGCTGCAGGATGTATTGTTTGAAATATTTAGATAGGTTTGCAGGTGGTTGTTTTGATATTACAATTATTTATTTATTTTTTTAAAATATTTGGATAGGTTTGCAGGTGCTGAAATTTTAAATTTTGATTTCAGGAGTGGAAATGCTAATGTCCAGAAGATATTATTGATCTATTTGCTATTTTTCTCTTGAAACTTTTATTGTATTGGTAAGTAAGATATTCCTTTTTTCTTTTTGTTCTAATATAATTTTTTGATGCTTTGCGTAATTTATATATAGAAGGAAGAAATTTCAGATATAATACTAATTTGATCAACTTTTGTACTTGAACAGATTTAATGGTTTCAGAAACTTTGGGAGAATTTGCAATTCTTGTGGCTTGTGGCCTGTGGGTGACGTGAACTTGAAAAACTATGTTATTAATTTCTAAATATTTTTGTCGAATTTTTTAATATTGCTTCTGAGTTAGCGTTGCTTATTTCTTTGTTAGAACAATCAGCTTAATGACAATAGATTGATGTAAACTGTTTTTTTTTTTTTTTAATGTCATTATGCAGTAATTTCTATCAGCTTTTGTCTGAAGTTTGCAAGACTTATTCCCAATAATTATATATATATTTGAATGAATTGTAATATACGTTTTTTTGCAAATTATTAGTATAATATATTGTATTTTTATATGGCAATAAAAATGATTATTTTTGTCATTAAAAAACAGAATTTTTTATTTTTTTATATATAATATAAATAATTGTATCTGTTTTATTTTTTATTTATAGTACGAAATTTACAAAAAAAAATAATAATAATAATAATAATAATAATAAATTATTATGTAGCCTTTTAAACAGGCTCGTAGGCTAGGCCAGGCTTTTAAAAAGGCCAGGCTCAGGCTTTAAAAATATTTTTTTTCAGGCTGGTAGGCCAGGCTCAGGCCATATCTTTTTAAGACAGGCCAAGCCTATTTAACCAAAGCCTGGCCTGGCCTGGCCTATTTCCACCCCTATGCACCGGCAACGCGTGCTTTCATGTCCCAATCATCTCCTTGCATTTACATCATCCTTTATTTATTTATTTAAATAAATAAATAAATATTTGTACTATAGAGTAGAGTGATTATTACAATTGTCAAATTAAGTGTGCACATGTTTTAACATTAATTTAGTACATAGATTCTTCTGCCCTTTCACAATCGACAACTGTTAGAAAATTTTATTTATTTTTAAAAAATGTACAATAAAAAAGAGCAAGTTTAATTGAGATTGGGACGACGTGCTGCGGTGTCACAATTAATTAATTATAATAATCGATGTGACCATTCAACACTTGGCAATAATATCTCATTTCATTTTCCCAATTATATTTTTTTTTGGCTTATTGTTTTTTTCCCCTGTTTTCCACGCGATTATTTATGTATTTAGTAATTATTATTATTGTACATAATAACAATTTATAGTGTAAGCATGAATATCCAAGATGTAGATGTACATCCGGTGGTGGTGGTGTACGGCCAGGGTAGAATCGTCGGCGGGACACGTGGCAATATCCTAGTGGTGATGCCGTCCCTCTTACATGCAGAATATATATGCTGTATGTTATGTTATGTATTGTATACATCTACGGTCGCCATTAATTAATTACAATTTATGTATGTATGTATAAATCTACTGTAATTGCAACCTCTATATATATATATATGATTATTGATATTGATGTAGCCTTAGCCTATATATATATGGTAGAAATGGTAGGCGCATGTGGTGATACTTTGTCTTGTTAGGCTATTATTTCATCATTGTCTGAAAAATTGCCATTCACATACAACCCTCTTATTATTTCTGATCAATAATTTCATATATATATATATATATACAGGTATTGTATGTGCTTAAATACTGATTAGTCGATCATTACTTTCGGGATGAAACAAAAAATATATTGAAGTCTTGTAAATTTTGAGTTATATAAGCTGGCTTTTCAAGATTTCGAGGATTTCAACGTCTACAGGCATGGATCATATTCAGTATATACAAACTACCTTTAAACATTAGTAATATATTTTATTTTAATTTGTTAAGGGGAGCAGCAATATATAATAAATTAATATATATGTATTTATATTTATATTGGTGGACATGTGTGGAGAAGCATCTGTTTGGGAGGGAGGTTGTTTGGCAGGCATATATTATGCCATTCATCATTCATGTCCCCAAACATTTGCTTTAATTTCTGTGCCTGTGCCTGTGTCTTAACAGACTACACATTTATACTTGCTGCAGGTATGAGGTAGCTCAAATCACATTAATACTTCATACTCTTATATATATAGAGAGAGAGATTAGAGCAAACCCCAAAATTCTTGAAGCAGTGTCTGAATTGCTTGCGAGGTTGGATTGAATTGATTTCTTCACTGGAATCTTTGATCTGGTAAGAGGCTATCACTTCACTTTCCCTAATCTTTTGGGTTGTAATTAATTTTTCTATATGAACGAGCTTCTCTCTCTCTCTCTCTATATATATATATATATATATTTTGTATATATAATGGCTGAATATTAGTGATGGTTTTAGGGTTTTCATCTGCTAATCCTGAAATTCTCAAGAATGTGAAAACACAATTATACATATTTGAAAATAAAAAATACAAATACAAATTGAGATGTAGTATCTGATCTGAGTCAGCATAGCAAAGCAGAGCAAAACAAACCTAAGGGCATAGCATATCACTGTGGTTGTGAAAACGAAGTGAAGCCATGCTGATAAGATATTTTCTTGGTTTCCTAATAATTATGATCGTGGCCCAGGCCAATACATTTTCACAATTCTTCCCAAAAAGAAAAAAAAAAAAAAAAAAAAAAAAAAAAAACATGTGGGATTATATTTCTTTGGATCACACTACTTCCACGGGACTCTCTTGATTTTGTGGCGCTGCTTTTCCCTACATTCTTTAATTTAATTTATAACTAATTCTTCTCTCACTCTCATATAGATATTTAATAGAACAAGATAGATACATACTTTGATGCCCTGGAAATGGATCAGAAGCTGCAGCAGATAAACCGTCTGAACGATTCCCACATCGATTACATGAAAATGGCCATGTTAAAGCACGAGGAGACATTTCGAGAGCAGGTCAGTTAATTTAATTTAATTTAATTACCAAAATGCATTCATCCAATTCCATTTCCAGGTTTTGTTATCTGAAATTTGTTCAGTCCAGGTTTACGAGCTCCACCGCCTCTACCAAATCCAGAAGTCGCTTATGAAGGACGTGGTGGCCAGAAACAGGGCGGCGGCGGCGGGGCCACGGCGGCGCGTGGACCTGGAACAGCCGGCTGACGGCGGCAATCGGATTGAGTTAGCAGCAGGCAAATGTAGGGTTTCTGAAATTGAAGAAGATGATGATGAGAGTGATCTGGAGCTGACATTAGGGCACAGAAGTTATTACCAGAAAAAAGTCAAAGCTTCTGACCCAAACCCAACATCATCAGATGATCATCGATCTCTGCGTGGACCAAGTTTCTCGTCTTCCTCGACTGGATATAGCCATGTGACAGCAGCTGCAGCAGATCAAGAACTGCTGTCATGGAGGATATCCAATTCCAATCTCAATAGTCTTCCCTGGCATTTCCAGGCCCTAACCCTCAACATTACATGAATTAATTAAATAATATATATATATATATACTCTGTGAATTAGTGTGGTCGATTCTATATATGGGAGTTTGAGTTTAGAATTTTTTTTTTTTTTTTCTTCTTTTTAATCAAGAATTTTGCTGTTTATACCAATCCAGCAATTGATAAAAACCTGTCTGAATTCCAGCAACTCTTTTGAATCTCAGGGATAAATGATCCAACGGCCAGAAAGGTATCTGATTAAAATTACATACATTGATTGAGGGGACCATTGTACTTGATACCTTATTGCCACTTTTGATGTCATTTTTTAACTCTATTAGGCAGCTGCAGCTGGTACACATAATTCAGACATCCATGGTTTCTACTACAATTTCACCACACGAATCTAATCTGGATAACCAAAAAAGATTCTTTACTTCCATATATACATAAACAGGCCAGCCCTTTTATAAATCTTGCTTTTTTTAGGTAGTGATGTTATAAATAAGAATAGTGAAAAAAATCACCAAAAAATACAAACAACCATCAATGGTAATTGGTAATTCCACACACGATTCATCACACACAAACAAATTCCAAACTCAAGTAGAAAATAATAATAATAATCATAATAAAACAGAGAATTTAATTTAGCAATTTATGTAGTAACAAAGAACCTCAGTTGTGTAACAACAAACCAATGCATGCATTTTTATGATATGGAATGGCGCCTGTCTTTGCCGGGCCTGGTTCTTTCCCGGGGCCGTGAGCCAAGAACCAGGCCCGTGTCGGCCCGGACAATGAGCCTTCCGAGCTTCTTCGAGACAGCGCCGATGAAGGACTTCCTCGGCATCTCCTTTGCCGCCTCCGCCGGCGGACTCCGGACCATTGGTACGAGTACTTTGTCCAAAGATTTCTCCATTTCCTTCATTTTATTTCTCATCTCCATGAGCTGGACCTTAAGGTCCTGGTTCTCCTTCCTCAGATTAGACGCCTCCGCTGGAGGAATCTCCGGAGCTCCGCCGCTCCGGCCACCGTCCATGGCTTCCCGAAGACGTTGCTGCTCGTAGTACAGCACTTGGACGACCGTTTGCACCGGCAGCCGGTCGTTCTGAGCTGCATGAGCACAAGCTTCCCTCGATAGCTTCCGGCAGTCCATCGCGCCGCAAACTTTCTTCCTCTCGAGATCGCTTAGCGCCGGATGAGCCTGTCGAAGTCGTAACCGATTGCTGAACTGATTTAATTAATCTTACAAATTTAAACTTTAGATGAGATGATCAATTTAAGAAAAACAGAACTAGGCCATGTAATGAAACAGTTTTGGCAATGTCCGAACCTTGAGGTAAATGTCGATTGCTCTGTACATACCATCCTCTGTTATCCTCGACCGCTCGGGTATTAGCCCCGCGACGGTTATGAACTTCGACACCGACAGGTTCACATCAGACGCGATCTCCGCGAGGCAGCCCTTCATCAGCTCGGCGACTTTTTCGATTTCATTGCAGGAAGACAGAGCGTTGTCCTGTTTCGCGTCGTGTCCCGACGTGTCATCCCCTGTTTCGGAGCAATCGATGAAGTTAGCCATGATTCGCTGCATCGTATCAACGTCAAACGTCGTGTCACCGGTGAAGGAATACGACGGGATCAATAGGTCGTCGATTGTCGCCTCCCCGAGCTGCGCTGCAATCCGTTTTTCCAAGTCGAGCCTGCATCGTATCAACGTCAAACGTCGTGTCACCGGTGAAGGAATACGACGGGATCAATAGGTCGTCGATTGTCGCCTCCCCGAGCTGCGCTGCAATCCGTTTTTCCAAGTCGAGCCTGCACGCGACTGTCGTTTCTAAGTACATTGCGGCGCGTAGGAGCGTCGAAAGGAAGCTGACCGACACCGTGTTCCTCTGTCTCAGCAGAAGGCCTACTATCGTTTCGAGAACCACCCGTTTTTCGTACTCTTGTCTCGGCTCTATCTTTTTTCTGGCCTTTCCGAGAGCATCCTGCAAATGACGACAAACGTAATGCATTACGATACGCATGATCAATCGTTCATAAAGATTTATGAGAGTTCTCACCAAGCCTCGAAGAGACTTTTGCGCGTAAAGCACGAGCATTGGCCCGAGAGCGCACTGCTTGAATCCCCGGGCGATCATCGCGACGAGGACTCTTTGAAAAAGATCGATCCGAAGAACAGTTAGATCTTCAGCCCACCAGTGCGGCGCAGTCGAGGAAACATGGCTGTTTAGGACATCGTCCAGCCTCGTCGGGGCGGCGAACTGGCTGTCCTTACAAGCGACGAAGGCTATCGTGTCGACGCAACGGCTAACGAGCTTTACCTTCTCTGCAATGGGGAGAAAGTCCTCAGAAGAATGCAGAACCAGCACAGCTCCGGAGAGGCTCTTCAATGCCACTTCATCGATGTACGCCTCCGTCCGGCCGACTAAATTTCCGACGGCGTATTCCTCGGTCATTTCTAGAAACTCTGCAGCGCATCGCAGCGCGATGATGTTTTCTGTGGTGATTGCGAAGTTTATGCCGTAGCAGAATTTGGCGGCAAGTTCGAATGCATCAGCTCCGCCGGGAAGTTCTCCGATGTCGATTGTCCAAGGGTCGGCGGCTCTGCCGCCGGATTCTGAGATCAGCTTCCTTATGTATCCACATTTTGAGACCAGAGGAAACTGTACCAAAAGTTCACAAAAGTTTCAAGTAATCTGAAATATACACACATATATGTATATATGTATTATACCTTGTGCAGAGAAAAGGAATTTCCTCCAGCAATCACAGTTAGATCACTTTGGACTTCATTGGAAAAAATCCTGTTACATATATATATTCATTGCAAGAAAATAGACAGCTTTGATCTAATTGCAGAAAATTCAAAAACAATTAAGACAATGGAATTAAAGAGATCAAACCATTCACTAGTTCTTTTCTTGGCACTGGAAAGCAGATCCTTCCTGATGGTAGAAGACATGTTTGCAGCAGCATCGACTAACTCAATAGTTATTTAAATCGAAATCAAAGGGCAGCTATATTTTCGGGAATCGAATATGTTCGAGAAGCATCAGATGATGATCATCGATCGAGTTGGCTTTACTCGAAACCCCATCGCGAATAATTCGAATTACAGGCCCCAATTCACAATGATTTGATGAGACATGTAGTTGCATCAATGATCGATTATGGACAATAGATGGACAGCTTTGTTGAGACCAAAGCCAAGATTAAACTCGAGTTTAGAGTGAGAATGGATTATCATCCACAAGACACATTCTTTCATTCATAATTTTCGCGAATTCGATCAAAACACATGCATTGTAAAAAAAATGATCTTGAGCCTTCATTTTCTCCACATGTGTTTGGTCCCAATACAAGAATTTCAGATGAATAGTCAGTCTGTTCATCCGAAAGCTTAAAACTCAGTTACTGTAAAATAACTTGTTGGCCATGGCGATGGGTCCTTCATGGCTTTTTCCTTTATCACTAATTGACAGGTTCCAAGCAAGTTGAAGCTCTGTAGGCAACTGCATTATGGTATGGTGATTGATTTAAATTTTAAAGGGTCCAATCCTTTGTCTTTTTCAGTGATTGCCATTATTGAAGATTGATTAGCTGATGATGAATTTTAATAGTAACAAAGAGGCAGCCTCAGATACAAAATTAACAAACATTGCAGCGTACAGTATAAACACAAACATCTTATAATACAAATACAACAAGTAAATAAACAACACAACATATATATCAATACAGCAAAGTTATATGTTTTTGTTTAACATAAAGTCTTAAATAAACTATCTTATATGTACTTACTAAAAGAAAACAAGCTAAAAATCGAACTTGAATGAAAATCGTGTTTTCACAAATTTTGTTGAACTAAAGTCGCGTTGGAGATTTAAAACGCGCTTTTATTGGAAAAGGAAATCCTGCTTTACCCGATTGCTGCCGATTTTATTCACAAAAACCAATCTCCTGTAGTCTTCTCCTCCAAAATCCCCGCACCCTTCCGAAAAGATTGCGTTGCAGAACCCTACATAAACCTCTGAAACTCTGAAATCCTAATTTTGGAACCCAATTGAATTCCCAATCTTGGATTCGTTCCAATGGAACTCTATTCATCTTTCAGACCACCATCTACGCTGGATTTATCCTTCTCCTCCTCAATTTCGCCCTTTCTAATCCAAGCCCCTCCAAAAATCCCCAAATTCCCACAAAGATTCAACGTTATGGCAGTAGCAGTCGACCCGAAAGAGCTCCCGCAGAACAGCCCTCAGAGGCTATTGAAGGAGCTAGCAGAGCGCAAGAAAGTGGTTTCCCCGAAGAGAAAGGCTCCACCGAGAAGATTCATCCTCAAACCTCCGATGGACGACGCGAAACTGGCGGAAAGATTCCTCAACAGTCCGCAGATGTCGTTAAAGTCGTTTCCATTGTTGAGCTCTTGTCTGCCTCCGTCGCGGTTGAACAATGCCGACAAAACCTGGATGGACGAGTTCCTGCTGGAGGCGAAGCAGGCTTTGGGGTACCCTTTGGAGCCTTCGGAGAATTACGGCGACGATAATCCTGCCAAGCAGTTCGATACTCTGTTGTATTTGGCATTTCAGCATCCTCACTGTGAGAGGACGAATGCGAAGCACGTGAGGTCTGGGCATTCTCGATTGTGGTTCTTGGGGCAGTACGTGCTGGAATTGGCCTTGTGTGAGTTTTTCTTGCAGAGGTATCCGAGGGAATCTCCTGGTCCGATGAGGGAGAGGGTTTATGCTTTGATTGGGAAGAGGTTTTTGCCTAAGTGGATCAAAGCTGCCAGTTTGCAGAATTTGGTTTTCCAGTATGATGATATGGATAGGTTGATTAGGAAAGATCGAGAGCCTCCAGTCAAGTATGTTACTTCATTTCAATCCTTTTTATTGCCATTTTCCTTAATTTGTGTGATGATGATATCTTGAAGGTTGTCTGATGTAGTTGAGAATTTCTGCTTATTTTGTTTAGCATTCCAATTATAGATAGCAACCCTCTGGTTGTGTGATGTTTTGCTATGGCAGATCGGTTTTCTTGGCCTTGTTTGGGGCGATATATCTGTGTTTCGGCATGCCGGAAGTGTACCGTGTTCTTTTTGAAGTGTTTGGTATGGACCCTGAGGCAGAAGATTGCCAGCCGAAAATTAGGAGACAGCTCGAGGATGTAGACTATGTTTCCGCTGAATTCGACAATCGAAAACTAAGTTGGCAAGATGTTGCTGCTTATAAGGTAATCTCTTATTTCCTTTAAGATCATTATACCTTCAGCTCAAATGAGTCCTAATGTGTTTGAATGATGATCAACAGCCTCCAGAAGATGCACTTTTTGCCCATCCAAGGCTTTTCCGGGCATGTGTTCCTCCGGGAATGCATCGTTTCCGCGGGAACGTATGGGATTACGACAGTAGACCTCGAGTCATGAAGACACTCGGATATCCTCTGCCGCGAGATGATAGGATCCCTGAGATTACGGAAGCTAGGAATATCGAGCTTGGGCTGGGATTGCAGGTAACCGGGTGGCTTCTCGACTTTTTTTTGCTTTTTCTATAAAATGTATTCTCTTTTTACTCGGAATGCAATGCAGCTTTGCTTCCTGCACCCGTCGAAATACAAGTTCGAGCATCCTCGGTTTTGCTTCGAGCGTCTGGAATATCTCGGTCAGAAGATCCAGGTGATCTTTTGTGCTTAGCTGCAAAACTTAGAGCCAGGATTTAAGCTTATATGACCGATGTCTCATGTTTCGTTCGACCAGGATCTTGTAATGGCCGAGAGGTTGCTAATGAAGCATCTAGATGCCCCTGGAAGATGGGTTCAGGAGAAGCACCGGCGCCTTGTAATGAACAAGTTCTGCGGCAAGTACTTACGGGAGAAGTATCTACATCGTTTCATTATCTACAGCGAGGAGGTACAAGATGCGTACGAGCACAACCGGAGGTTAAGGAATCCGGCCACAACCTCCGTCCAACAAGCCATTCACGGGCTTGGGTACGCAGTTTATGGAAAACCAGACACTCGGCGCCTCATGTTTGAGGTTTTCGACTTTGAACAGATCCAACCTAAGGCTGTATCTTAAGATATCAAAAAAATGGATGCAGATATAACCATTGCTGGTACAGTATGTATATAGAGCAATTTTCATCATATTGGGGAACTACATTTTGTATTCTAACATCTCTTGCTTGTAGAAGAATACTTTCATCATTTTAACACTACAGATTCTCATTTAGATATGTTCCCAAACTCCAAAAGGCATGAATGTATTTAATCTTAACTGTTGGCAGATACAAGTATGACATTTCGTTGTTTCAAGAGTGTTAGGAACTATTTACAGGATCAGAACACTTCAGACAAAATGATTTAGTATGTACATTTAACTAATCTATGCAACACTTAGCCTGAAGTGCTTTCGAGCAGTTTACCATGTGGAGTTGAGGATGGATCTCACAGTAGATTTGATATAGTGCGGAGGGAAGTTGTTAGAACGGTCGAGGCAGCACTGAGAAGAGCAGGATTTTGGTATACTCTGTTCCGCAGTTTGTACCCAAAAGAAGGAAAACAAGAAAATTAGTCCCATGAGCAATGTATGAGATGGAGAACTGAATTGACAAGACGACGATCAAGCTAGACATTAAAATTACAGAAAGGTTAGCATGTTAAACCTTTCTATATAACATTTTTGTATATGGTGATGCACCCGGATTTTTTACTACTGTCAATGTCAAACTAAGCTTTTATGGGCTTAAGCCTTATTTAGCATTACTACAAACCAACATTTTAAGATAAATATGAAAAAGCATGCCCCTTTTGAATCTGTCATCAAAGGATAACCATACATAATATGAACATATGATATGAACTACTTATCTGTATTGGAAAAACATTTATATAATCTCAAATTTGTTCAATTTATCTCACCCAACGGCTGTCGCTCCCCACGAAGCTACATTATAAATCACCATGCTTCCATCCCATGCTTTCCTAAGCTTGCTCTTCTTCTTTTTCAAAGAAAATGTCTTGTTTAGAGCTGATACAAAGTTTCAAAAATGTAAATATTGATACTTATCCTTGGAATTTTCATTTAATAATGTGAATATTTACAGCGGCAGCTAAAAGAAGACTATTAAAACCAACCCTGTTGAAGCTGATCTGGGGACATGTCCTGCAAAATTATGCAACCACCATTAAATAACAACAGTAGGAACATAACACATGCAGATGTCAAGGAAGCTTAGGTCACAACATTATATAATGCATTTTTAGTGCCAAGGGTGCTGCTTGTTCAACAATTTAGTAGGACGTTGATTGATTTTTGGTTTAGGGACCACTTTCTGAAAACCATAAGATATTGTGGTGTGTCATAGTACAGGTTCTACCATGTATAATGTTTCAGTCATGGTAATTGAGAAGATTCCATTGACGGAAGATAAACAAGAAATTCTGTTACCTTAGTTCGTTCAAGGGACAAAAGATATGCAGCCATGAATGAGGCTATACCCTCAGCAATATCTTCTTGCTGAACCAAGACATAATCTTCCATTTCAGCCTCAACATCTCTGGCTCCCCAAAGATCATTTTTGTTAAGCACTTCCCATGAACTGGCTTCCTCTGCATCAAGAGCAGGTTGGTAATCATGATGTAGTATTTGATAAGCCACAATTATTTTGCAATCATTCTCTATGCTATCAGATGATGACATAATCCAAAGGATCCTATAGAAGCAAACAGAAGTATGTACCAAAATATGAAGTGGCTTTGAAAAAGTAACATACCAGCCATATCTTGCGGAAGCAATGCCCCAACATTTTTAAAATTCTCGAGGAAATCATCACACTGAAATCTTGATTTAAGAAGACTATATAACTGCAATGATAAAAGCCAAAAAAAAAAAGGGATGTGAGATGTTTTAGGATCCATCTATTCTTTGCAACCTTATGTGCAGCAGTGCAGTGCAGTGCAGGAACAAGAAAAACAAGAGTATTAGTTGAACAGTCATTATAGGAGATCATGACAGCAACTTTAGAGCATAGAAAGCTAAGAGCTAAGAGCTAAGAGCACTACCACAAACAAATATGTGATATTATGGATACTGTGACAATCTCTTGAACTGTAGTGCTGTTAATGATATTGCATCAACATTTATGTTATCAAACAAATATATTCAGTCTGACCATTAAATCTCAGATCAAAACCTTAAGAAATCTAGGAGAAAATATGAAATCGTTACCTTTGTCGTGTCAGAGTCACAACCAGTAACGGCACTAGTGTCAGTAAAGCCTTGGGGAGTATCATGTTCAACAACAAGACCATTTTCAGCATTTTCACAACCAGATGCAAGCTGCTGTAGGGCTAGCTGACATTGCTGGAGCAATGCTTCGAGGGATTTTCTGTTTACACAGACCTTCTCATTCTGAACATGTTTCAACTCTGCCACCTCCATTAACCTATTAATATCACTCTCTTCCTCAAAAGAGTATGCCGCAATGGGAGGTTTACTGAGCAGGCTGTGAATTTAGCCAAAGACAAAAGCTGGAATCTTCATGTATTTCTTGATATCGGTTCTATGGAAGAAAAAAGCAAAAAAGAAAGAGAGGTTCACTATTCGAATCCCAAAAGTTCTCTATGAATGCAGGTCAGCAAAAAGAGGCAATCACTGAGGGAGGTAAGCAAAATTGAAAACTCAGCAGGTTTAATTGATACTATGTATGTTGTCAAGCAATTATATCATAGATTTTACAATGTTGTACATTTAATTGGAAAGGAATCCGAGAACCACTCCAACTAAGGCTGCCTTACTGAGCAGATCATAAAATCATAATAACACAATAAGAGGAACGGTATTTTTTAAATATAGCTCCCAATCTTTGTTTTATGTTTTAGATAAAGGATGGTATTTTCAACTATAAACAAGGATGCTTGACTGCAATTTATTTCTTCTAATGATGAAATTATTGCGTCTACTTCATCAAGTATTCAACAGGGCAGGAATTTGTATATGCAGAACAGCAGAAACTTCACTTCGATCTAAACAACCTAGAAGTAGAGTTCCCATAAAATAAAAAAGGATCAATCCAGAGACAAGAACACTAGCGAAATTGGAATCGGCTACCAACAAACTATACGCAAAACAAGCAGAAATTCGACAAACAGCAGATGAAAGATCTTCTCAAGACGTTCAATTTCAATCAAATCACTTTTAGTGCTTAAAAAAACTGGTATAAATCACAAACAAGGCGGTTTATTGAATTCAACAACACACAGGCGAAGAAGATGACAACTGATTACAGATAATCGGAAGTAAAATCATAAACAAAATTACACCCTAACCTAACCTGTGATCATTCATTCGACACCGTCAAGGAAACACAAATCTTCAAATTCTCGTGTGAACACCGCTGCCGTGTGATAATTTTCTTGGAAATCTCTTTTATTTGCTTGTTTATCGTGGCAGAAATAAAAATACATTCATAATTTTTTATTTGCTTTAACTTTTAATATGACGATTGCCGAATTGTCCGCACGGATATATTAAAAAATAGTAATAAAATATTCCCAGTTGGAGAAATTGCACGTAATCCCTTCAGCTATACAATATTTGCATGTGCCACCCGTAATATTGCAGAAATTAGAAAAGCCACCCCCATCTTTTTGCATACTGTCTTTAACCTCTATTCTCTACAAGGGTTATTTCTTACCATTGAATCTTTACAATTTATAGCAACATAGACACAAATTTTAACCAACCAACCCCTTCTTATTTCATTTGGATTCTGTAAACACTTGTTTGTAATTCACTTCTATTAGCAATTTAATGCATTTACAGCATCTCATGGCCAGGTAAAATCTTCCAAAAAATCACACCAGATTTGATCGAGCACGGTCCGGGAATGCAATATTTCGAACATGCTTGATGACCGTGCTAGCCTATGAGGGATCCATACGACATTTCTCTTTACTCAAAGAAACTCAACCAGCTAAAATTTGATGTAAGATTTGCGAGATTTAAGAATGAGAGCTCTTAGAAATATGTATATATATGCTATACCACACATAGTTTTTCATAACAGACGGGATACAAATTTTGCAACCATCTTCATTCAGAGAAACACCACACATGTCTGAAAGAAAACACACAAGCACATTCCGTGACAACTATCCTAAATTGTTCGATTATGACAGCAGCACGAAATGCTCACCAACGCCATTCTACAACACCACTACACTTGGTTTTTTCGGTAGGGCCTTTCATGATGTGGAGGGGATTCAATCACTTCTTAAGATGAGGGAAACAGGCATACACATCAGCTTTGGGATGCTTTGCTTCGGCATGTTCCCTGCACTTCACCTCTGACGTTGTGCACATGAATGTCTGCATACACACCTTGCACTGCAACCATCATCGAACAATTGTGAATTAAATAGTAAACTGTGACTGGTAAAGACTATTCTGAAATTCTTGATTCAGATCAAGAACTGAGAATTAGATCTTAATTGTAATGTAGCTTCATCTATGCAGGATAATGAAGCAGTTCCAGTGCAAAAAAATAATTGAGGAATAAACAGTATTCAAGAATCACAAAACTGACTATAGGCTGAGATGATTCTGTAGAGAAAGCAAAGTAACTTCCAAGAATGGCTTTTAACATAGCATTACAAGATGAAGTTCAATCAAATCTATACTACAAAAACTATCAAGATGCTTCAATGATTTAGAACTTAAAAGAGACTAAATTAGGATTTCCAATGACCTGTAAACATAAAGATTGTGCTTCTACACCATCACAAACACAATAGAAACTAAAATACTTCAATTGTATGCACTGCATTACCATTTGGGTGAATATGTGCACCAAAAAATATTTAACTCGAGAGTCGTTATCTCATATCTGCATCTAGAGCCTTGGCAATCTCAGCAACTACTGAAGAACCCAAGAAGGTAGAAATTGCATCTTTAAGGTACTTTCTATTCCAATAAATATATGTGCAGATGCAACCTTAAAAAATGTTTGGCTCCATAGGATAAAGAAAGAATGCACTAAAAACAAGAACCCAATATTTGTTTATGCTGGGAAAAGATTGTCGGAAATACTAATTACTAGCAAAAAAGTTCAATCAAAGACATAAAAAGTAAAATAAAATAAGGTAGAGATTAGTGAATGAAAGCATAAACATTGCAAGAAACTTCCAGGGCCAACCCCTGGCAAAAGGGCACTCCCCAGGTCACTACCATAAGAGAAATATAATAGATTTTTAAACATGACATATATATATATATATGTGTGTGTGTGTGTGTGTGTAAATGTATTTTAACTTAAGAAACGGATCATTGTTGAAATGATTGTGTTTATTTTGTTGGTAAAATAAAAACTATTCAATGTTGTATTATTAAGGCCATACTTTAGTGTCGCCGGTCTATCGAAAGGCCTAAGATCAAGAACGCCCGGGCAACTTCAGAATCTCATGTCCACTAATTTCCCTCTCATATATTCCAAACTTCTTCACGCTCAAAGGGCATAAAAAGTCACATAAAATTGCAAACTTAATATTCATTATCTAATCAATTCATCACATCAACTGAAAAATAAATCATCTTTAGACAAGTGCTCGAAACCGTAAAAAATATACTATACCTGAATGTTCATGGCCTTTTTATTGGTCTCGAGCTGGCTTCCTGCGCAGATCGGAAAATTAAAAGAGTTTTGAACAAGTAATCGGACAAAGAAATTGAAAAAAAACAATAAAAAATAGAAAGAACCTTTCCCAGCCGCCTTGGCTTTCTCCAAGTTTTTCTCACGAGCCATTTTGGATTTCTGCGCATTACCGCCACCCATCCTGTCTGCGATAACCGCCTCCGATCTATTTGATTGCACAGTAATGCGCGATTCAAGAACCTTGACCGATTTCTCCTTCGTGACGGCCGAGCGCAGAGCAAACGAGGGCGCCTAAACACAGCGGCGGACGGCACAGTGCAAATTGGGGAAGAGCGTTAGTTAATGAGAGGACATATAGATGGCAAAGACTCCCCCAAGAGGTTTCGATTATTACGAAACTGACCCCAATTTATTGCAATTAGCATATTATACATCTTCCTTTCTTTCCGTTTTTAACCTCAAAGATTATTTAAATTTTGTTTTAGATATATTTTGTACTCAATTTTGATATTCTTTATTGTAGTCATCTAATTCTATGTTTATTTGATCGATTTTAAGAAAAATATATAAAAATAAAATTTTTTATTTTTTTATAAAAAAATATGGTATTTTCTTTTTATTTTCAAAAAAAAAAAGAATAAAGTTGTGTTTGGCAATTAGCTGGTTAGCTGATTCAATTAGCTGGTTTCTGGCTATTCAATTAGCAGTTTGTATTACAGTGTTTGGTAAAACAACTGTTTGATATTAGTTGTTTATAACTATTAACGACATTGATATGTTATTTTTTAAAATATTTAATTTTGTTCAAGTTTGAAATTTATGAGAATTTTTATTATTAATTATTGAAAATTATAAAAATATTATAAAATATTTATTTTTATTTTTATTATTTAAATATGAAAAAATTATTTTTACTAAAAAATAATAATTTTTTATTGAAATTATGTAAAATATAAAATAATAAATCTTTCGTATATATATTTTTATTATGTTAATTATTATTTTAATATATATAAATAAATTAATAACTTTTATTTTTTCTATTTGATTTAGTTTTAAAAATTTATATATTTTATAAATAAAATAATTTATATGTAATAATTAATAATAGTAATTATTTTAAATTTATAAAAATAAAAATATAATTAATTAAATATATTAAAAATAATTAATAAATACTGCTATAAAAATATATTTATATGTATAAAATAAATAATTAAGTTTTAAGGGTAAATAAGTAATAACCAAAATTAAAATTAAAAGCTCTTTCAAAAAGCTGTGTAGATAAACTTTTCAGAAATTAGTTTTTTTGGTCCAAAAAACTCTTTCAAAAAATTAATTTACCAAACGCCTAAATTAACTTTTTGACTGGTCAAACACCTAAAAACTGTTGAATAAGTTAAAAGCTCTTGAAGAAAACGTTGTTCCCAAACACCTTCTAAATTGAAATGACAACCAAGAAAGTAAAAATAGATTTGAATTACTGAGGAATGAAGTTGTTGGAATATGAAGCCTGTTTATATCCTAAAATCTAGGGATATGATTTGGATATTATATTTTAGATTTTAGAGATATGATTTGGATATTATTGTCAAAGGCTTAGGCTATAAATATCCATGTATTCCTGATTGAAGATGTCCTCGTATAAGTTTGATTTGGAAAAGTTTAATGGGTCGAATGACTTCACGCTCTGGAAGGTCAAAATGAGGGCACTTCTGGTTCAACAAGGATGTGCGGCTGCGTTGGAGGGAGAAGACAAGTTTCCTAAAGACACGAAGGAGGAGGTAAATAAGGAGATTTTGGCAAATGCTCATTCCGCAATCTTGCTGTCAGTTACTGATGAGGTGTTATGGGAGGTTGTAGATCAGACAACGACTTTTGGGTTATGGAATAAACTGTGTGAGAAGTACCAAAACAACTCTCTCACGAACAAGCTATATCAGAAGCAACGTCTTTACACCCTCCGGATGTCCGAAAGTACTCAGGTAAATGATCATCTTGATACCTTTAACCGTATCATTCTTGATCTTCAAGGAGTTGAGGTTAAAGTAGATGATGAAGATCAAGTCCTAATTTTATTGTGTTCACTACCTCGTTCATATGAGAATTTTGTAGATATTATGTTATATGGTTGTTGATGTAATTTTTCAACAAAAATAAAGTAAAATTCAAAGATATAGAAAATATCCTTAAACTTGATTAATTAGTGCCTGAGATTAGGAATCTCTAAACACTGTATGGTACAGAAAATAAACTGGAAAATAAAAGACTGAAATTTAAAGTGGTGATCCCCAAATCTGACTTTGCTTTGTTGAAGTTGATTGAAGATGCCTTGCCAAATGATGATCCAAATCCTTAAATATTCTTTGAAGAAAACGTTCAGAACCGCCGCACTGTTTCACCAACCGTTCCCACCAGTTACAGAACTCAGAACTGCCTCTTTCATTGACACATGTCTTTAACCGCCTCGCCAACCGCATAACCCAACGACCGACCAACCGACCAATCTAGATACATAATTGGTCGCCAGATCAAAAGACTCACTGGTCGCCCCATCAAACGACCACTATTTGGTCTCTTCAATCGTCTGACCTATCAACAGACCTTTCTTCGCCCGACTTCCTTTTTCGACCGACCCCCATAGCAGCCAACCTTTGTATCAACCGACCCATTTATCCGACTGCGGATAATCCGACCTGCTTGCCTGACCGCGGACCATCTGACTTGCTTATCTGATTGAGAACCAACCGACTGAGAACCCACCGACTGACTCTGGATACCTTTTTATTATTATTATTATTATTATTATTATTATTATTATTATTATTTTTTGTGCGTAACAACATGCCTCCTCCTCAAGACTCCTAAGCATCATTTCTTATGATGTTTTAGGAGTTAGTAGGTTAGCATCCGAGGCTACGTCAGCCTCAGATCCGACCTCCATCCTTTGAGGCTACGTTGGACCCGACCTCCATTTATCGCGGACTGGTGCTGGCCTGGACGTTGGTCGATCTTGCACTACCATTGTATTCAGACTCCCGTCCGACTTATTCCTCCTTTCGGCCACTGTTGTTCTGTCATTCTTTTGCTCGCCTGAAAAGTTATGGTCGGCGACCTGACCCGTGTCCGTCCATTCGGCGGGGTCCTCCTGACCTGTATCTGTCCATTCGGCGGGGTCCTCCTGACCTGTATCCGTCCAGGTTACGTAGTCCTCCCGATTTTTGTCCGTCCAGTCGACGTGGTCTTCCCGATCTGTATTCGTCCAGTCGGCGTGGTCCTCCCGACCTTTGTCCATCCAGTCGGTGTGGTTATCCCGACTACGGTCCGTCCATTCGGTGTGGTCCTCCCGACCATGGTCCGTCCAGTCGGTGTGGTCTTCCCGACCATGGTCCGTCCAGGCGTCGTGATCCTGCCGACCTGTCTCCGTCCATTCGGTCGTCCCTGGTCGGGCCTGTCCTCCTGTTTGGTCCTGTCTCCAGTCTGTCTGACTGGGTATATGCTCAGGAATGGCGTTGTCCGTTTGGGGGCATGACATTTCTGGCGGTGCAGGAACCGAATTCAACATGAATTTTGATTGCTCCATCAAGTTTTGCATTGCGTCATGTATTGCCTGAAGATTTGCTATCTGCTGGTCGTACATTTGCCGAAAACCTGCTGTCAATTCGGCCCGTAGTTGGGAAGCTTCTTCTGCCGTGATAAAGCCAACGGCTGTACTGTGGAATTGAAAATTTGCCATATGGATCAGCAATTTTCTCCCACTGTGGTCGCCAATTTGTTGATGTAATTTTTCAACAAAAATAAAGTAAAATTCAAAGATATAGAAAATATCCTTAAACTTGATTAATTAGTGCCTGAGATTAGGAATCTCTAAACACTGTATGGTACAGAAAATAAACTGGAAAATAAAAGACTGAAATTTAAAGTGGTGATCCCCAAATCTGACTTTGCTTTGTTGAAGTTGATTGAAGATGCCTTGCCAAATGATGATCCAAATCCTTAAATATTCTTTGAAGAAAACGTTCAGAACCGCCGCACTGTTTCACCAACCGTTCCCACCAGTTACAGAACTCAGAACTGCCTCTTTCATTGACACATGTCTTTAACCGCCTCGCCAACCGCATAACCCAACGACCGACCAACCGACCAATCTAGATACATAATTGGTCGCCAGATCAAAAGACTCACTGGTCGCCCCATCAAACGACCACTATTTGGTCTCTTCAATCGTCTGACCTATCAACAGACCTTTCTTCGCCCGACTTCCTTTTTCGACCGACCCCCATAGCAGCCAACCTTTGTATCAACCGACCCATTTATCCGACTGCGGATAATCCGACCTGCTTGCCTGACCGCGGACCATCTGACTTGCTTATCTGATTGAGAACCAACCGACTGAGAACCCACCGACTGACTCTGGATACCTTTTTATTATTATTATTATTATTATTATTATTATTATTATTATTATTATTTTTTGTGCGTAACAATGGTAGAACTACAATTTCTGTTAACGATGTGAAAGATGCCCTTATGTCCAAATAATTGAAAAGAAAGGTTTCTCTGGAAGAGGGTTCTGGTTCAGGTCTGTTTGCAGGTAGGGGAAGACCACAGGAGAGGGGTAACGGGAATGGGAGGTCGCGTTCAAAATCAAAATCCTCTAGCAAAGTTAAGTGTTATCTTTGCAAAGAGAAAGGGCACGTTAAAAGGGATTGTCCACAAAAGAAGGGAAATACAAAAGTTGATTCTAATAACAGTGGCGGCAGTGCTGCTGTGGTACAAGACAGTTCTGATGATGGGGACTTTGGTGAAGTTCTGACAGCGTGTGGTGCTAGTACTGTTGATTCCTAGATTATGGATACCGGTGCTTCTCACCATATGACGTTCTCTCGTGATCTACTCACTTCTTTTAAGGAATGGAATAGAACGGTGAAGTTAGGTGATGATGGGGTTCTAGCCATAAAAGGGAGCGGGGTAGTGCAGATAAAATTGCATGACGGTACTGTCAGGAAATTTGACTGTTGGTATATTCCTGAACTTAGAAAGAATTTGATTTCTCTTGGTACCTTAGCCAAGAATGGTTTAAAATATCATGGTGAAGGTGAGTGGGTGAAAGTCCTGAAAGGTGCTCTAGTAAGGATGAAGGGAAAACTGCAGCATGAAATTTATTTTCTACAGGGCAGTTCAGTGATGGGAACGGCGGCGGTATCCCAGTCCTTGGATAAACATGATGACAGGACAAATTTGTGGCACCGTCGATTATGTGACATGAGTGAGCTAGGGTTGTCTGTGTTGAGCAAGCAGGGTTTATTTGGTGGGGATGTGATAGGTAAAATTCAATTTTGTGAGGCTTGTGTAAAAGGGAAGCAACACAGGGTGAGGTTCAGTACCGGTCATCACACTTCAAAAGAAATTCTTAGTATGTTCATTCAGATCTATGGGGTCCCTCACCGGTGAAATCGCAGGGTGGGTGTTCTTACTTTGTCACTTTCATAGATGATTATTCGAGAAAAGTCTGGTTGTACTTTCTGAAAACTAAAGATGAGGTGTTTGGGAAGTTCAAGGAGTGGAAGACCATGGTTGAAAAACGAGACTCTAAGAACTGATAATGGGTTGGAGTTCTGCAACGCTCCATTTGATGATTTCTGCAAGAAAGTAGGTTGACACACTGTCACCGAACCACGTAAAACCTCTGTGTTATTTATTTGATTTCTTTCTCGTTTTCTCATAACAAGTGGTATCAGAGCTTAGTTCATTGGTAGGGTGAATTGAGAGGAATTGGACATTGGATCGTTGTGAGAATCCCTTGTGACCTGCGGAGGTGTCTTGTGTCGAAAGTCTCCTGGCGGTGTTGGGTCGGTCCCGACTGGTAGGTCAGGCAGCGGGTCCCTTTGTGATAGGCGGTGCAAGGTAGGCATGGAAGGATAAGGGTTTCGGCAACACAGCGGAGAAGATATCAGAGATGTGCTCTAATATAAAGTGAGCCTTGGGTTTGTTTGTGGGAGTCAAGATGGGTGATCGTCATGTTGTCAAGGTATTCGATGGTATGAACTTCGGTTTCTAAAATATGCATATAGAAGATTACATGAATGGTAAAGATCTAGATGCGGTATTGAAAGAGAAATCCGAAGACATGGATGAAGCCAAATACAAGAAGATCGACATGAAGACGATGAGTGCGGTTCGACTAACCCTTTGGGAGAATGTCTCAACTGAATTTAGATTTGAGGCAAAAGGAAAGGGTGAAGATCAAGTCAAAGTTGAAGCCGAAGAATAAGGACAAAGAAGATGCAAGTCAGGTGGTATGTTGGAACTGTAAGGGGCACTTGAAACGACAGTGCAGGGCGCCGGAGAAGGATCAGAGTTCAGCAAACGCAACGGAGGAGATATCCGATGCGCTGATTCTGAGCGTCACCAGTCCAATGAGGTCATGGATTTTGGTCTCAGTAGCGTCGTTCCACTCATGCAGTGATTCAAGAATCATGGAATCCTATACCACATGTAACTTTGGTGTTGTCTTGAAGACGATGAGACACTGAAAATTGTAGGTAAAGGAATGATTCGAATTAGAACACCGAATGGTGGGGAGTGGAGATTGGATGAGGTATGTTGAAGTGGAAGATGAAATCAGTCTTCAAGTGGGAGATTGTTGGGATATGAAGCCGGATTATATCCTAAAATCTGGGGATATGATTTGTATATTATATTTTAGATTTTAGAGATATGATTTGGATATTATTGTCAAAGGGGCTTAGGCTATAAATATCCATGGATTCTCACTTTAACATGTGCCTGCGTACTTTATAGTAAAATTCAGCGCCCTCAGACGTAGATCATTGTGATCGAACTGGGTTATCAAATTTTTGCGTTCATTTGTCTTTGTTATTTCATCTTAATTTCTTAGGAATTTCTGTAACAAAAGTATATTAAATTCAATATCTATTTTTATTTAAGATATTATTATATTGCTAACGTATATTTTACATAAATTATCTTATTTGATAGTATTCTATTTTTATTTAATTTTTTCAATGTGTTTGAAATTTATTTATAAAAATAACGATGATTAAAATAGTAAAGAAAGGAAACTCAATTTTAAAAAAATCGAGCATACTAATCTCATTACCAAAACATAAACGTCCAAATAAAATAAAAAGTAATAATAGAAAGTACAATTCAAATGTCGAATACGGTCTAGGTCTAGGTCTAGAGTACCACTACCAAAAATAGAAAGCGGTGGATGCACCGAAACTCATACGACTGCGTGTGCGTAGAGTTAAAGCCTATTTGTTATTTGTTTACTGTTGTAAATAATCTATTTTCTATATAAAAATAAACGAGACTAGTTATGATTTTACTTAAACTATATTCTGTGTTTAACTTAAGCTATATGTTACCCGTCCTAGTTCAAATACTTTTTTTTTTTTTTTTTTTTTATATATTATTTTCGTATTTTTTATTTCGAAGTATCAATTATTTATTTTAAATACTTTTAATTTTTATCTAAATTACAAATATGCTATTAAATATTCAATTATTTTTTTACAAAGATAAAAATGTTAAAACTTCTTATATATTTTCACTAACTAATAAAATACTACTCTCAGTTTTAGAATTATAGTTTGAGTTGTGTTTAAGAAGAGATTTTAAGAAATATTGATATTATATTGGTAGTGAATAAAAAATATGGATAAAAGACTTTTTTGTGACAATTGTGTAATAATAATTAAAAAATAATTGTAATTTTATAGTGATATGATTATTTATGAAAATAAGACTATTATTTTTTTACCGACAAAAATGATAAACATGACTATTGTTATTGTATTGAGACGGATAAAATATTATTTATTAATATACTGTAAAACCTTAAAAAGCCTCTTTGGACAGGGATGGAGGGATCGTCGATCTCCAACAAAATTCTATCTAGTTGTCCCATGCACACGTATGTATGATTTATTTTTGAGAGAAGTGATCCTGGTATACCATAGCACAACTCCTAGTAAATAGTACTCCAATAATAATAATAATAATAATAATAATAATAATAATAATAATGTGGTGTGGCACCCGACCGGAAGATCGTTCGAATGTCGTTTTCCGACAGCATTCGGCGCAACCAACAGTGTGGGGTCCGTCTCGCTCTTTCAAATTCCAATGAACATGCCCTCTTCTCTTCCCCTTCTCTGTCCGAACCTCCAAAATCCAATCCCCAGCTTCAACAGCTCTTTGTCTTTTTACCTTCTTGATCTTGTTTTGCATTTTCCTGGTGAGAATCAATGGACACCCTGGAGATTCTGCTACTGGGCGTCGTGGGTTTTGCTGTTCTGCTGTCTTTACTTGTGGATTTGAATCAGAGCAAAGTGAAAGGCAGTGACCCATATTTCTTGGATTCAGGCAAGTGGGAAGAGAAGATAAAAATCCCCAATTCTGGAAACCCTAATCCGGCGGGCGATGAGATTATCGACGATTGGGAGGGAATAGAGAGGAGTGAATTGGAAAAGCTCTTTGGGGAAGCTGTGGTTTTCGCGAGCCACAAGAACAATGAGGATAAGATTAATGGAGACGTCAAGTTGCAGCTCTACGGCCTTCAGAAAATTGCTCTTCAAGGCCCTTTAAGCCATTCCTCGCAGCCGCCATTGGCATTGAAGCTTTCTGCTCGAGCAAAGTGGTAATTAATAATTTATTAATGTTCACGAATTGGAATTCGATTTCCAAGAATCATCGTCCATTTCTTGCCTGAATTAATGTGGGGCAGGAGTGCTTGGCGAAAGCTGGGAGACATGAGCCCAGAAATGGCTATGGAGAAATATGTCAACGTTTTGGCTGAGGCCATTCCATGCTGGAAGGTGATCAAGACTCTATTTTTTTTATTTTTTTTTATTTTATAATCCTGATTGATTTATCCATTCATCACAGGCACATGACTCATTCGTGACTGGTTTGAAGGAGCATTATCCATCGTTGTAATGCAAGACAGTGGCTTGTTTTGATTCTTTATTATTTGAATTTGGAATTGGGCTATTATATTTTATTAGCATATAGAATAGTAGATGTATATGGTCCTACTATACCTCGTCAGCTATTGATAAGTTCGAATAATATTTTAATTTTGGAATTTTGTATTCACTTGATTTATTATTATTATTATTATTTTTTCTTGATTTGCAATTTATCTAGAAGAATTAATAAGCCACATGGTAATAAATTATCACTACAGAATTCCCAAGCACGAGACTTGGAAATTTTCTTAGGTAAATTTATCTTACTGGGCTGTACAAAGACGCCGCCTTTTTTAGGCTGTCGTTGAGAAAAACCCTTGGCTATTTCTACAGCAAAACCTCAATTTTTATTTTATTTTATTTTATTTTTAATTATAATAGAAGTCAGTACGAACACATAAATCATATGTTGCTGTCTTGAATTGTTGATTGATTTTGAAGATACATTTTTCCTGGGGTTTTAATGGTCGTTGAAATTACCTTACGCAATCTCCATTTCCATCTGAGCAATGGGAGTTGAGATCGAATCTGACATTTGGGAACCAAACCCGGCACTGTACATCTTCCTATTCGTCTGCTGTTGCCTCTCAATCTTTTATCTGCCCGCGAGAGCAACCGCCTCCAATGTCTTCGATCACGCCTCGTCTGCTTCTTTTCTTCGATTCCAGCGGAACTTTCTGGTCCTCTTCGCTCTCTCCTCAGGTTTGTTCACATTTCATTTCCTGCAGTTCCATTCTGTTTTCTTCTCTTTCTTGAATTGGTTTTCTCTATTCTGTTTTTAAGTGCTGGAAGGGTCGCGGGCTGTGTTCGGAGAGTACGAATTCGCCATTTACAAATTGACAAAAGATCAAATGGTGAACACTTTATGCATTGGGTATGCAGCCTCAGTGCTTGCTGGGAGTTTTCTTGGAGTGGTTTCTGATTTACTGTGAGTGTAGTTTTTACTGAATCAATTATCACATTTCAGAGATTTCTTGGCATACTTCACTTGATCATATGGTTTCTGATAGGTTAATTAGGTGGAATTTCTTGGTTCTTAAATATCTAGTTTTTGTTTCTGCAGAGGTCATAAAAAAGTGGTATTGTTGTTTTGCATTTTGCATCTTTGCACAAGCGTATGGAAGATAGTTGTGGGTGCTCAGGTCATTTGGTTAGGAACCATCACTCTCTCTGTGGCCTCTTTGATATTCTCTTTCAGTTTCGAAGCATTAATGGTGGTAGAACACAACAAGGTTTGAGTTTTTTTGTTTTCTTGTAGTATTGTTAAGAGAGGCTGTTAATCGATTGATGACGGCGTTAGTATTATACTTTTGCAGCTCGGGCAGAGGCAGGATTCGTTGAATGATATGTTTTGGTTAATGACTTTCTTCGAATGCGCGTGTTTCGTGGGCAGCCAGGCGATTGGGAATTATCTGATCAATGGTGATGTGAACAAGAACATAACTAATATATGGAAGGAATCTGTAGTCGTGGCTCTTTTGATAATCGTCCATTTGAGTCGTAGCTGGAAGGAAAACCCGAAGAGTGCAAGTTTTAAGGATTATAGCGTTTTGTTTCGTAGACATGTTGTTGGGGGTAAGATGGACCTAAAGATGATTTGAATTCTCATATGTTTTTGAAATATTTTTGGTTTGAATGATATTGAGTTTGCAATTAATAGATAAACGGGTATGGTTGTTATCGTGGGTACAAGCGTGCATCCATTTCTCCACTGCCGCGTTTTGGATTCTTTGGGCGCCAACGATAGTGGTAAGATCCCGACTGCAGATAATATGTTCGTATTTTTTTGTGTGTGAAATTATTTTCACCTTTATTGCGGTAGGCTGACGGAAGAGAGGTGTCGTTGGGGCTGCTATATCCATGTCTGCTTGGTTTCAAAATGCTCGGCTGCACTGGATTCCCGTGGATGTCTCATGGACCGTTGGCAACACGGATAGAGGAGTATTTGATGTACGCCTTTGTTGTAATTGGTGTTGCTTTAACTGTTGTCGCCTATGACTATCAGGTGCGTCGTTGGCGAATTAATTGCTTAGTCTTATTGTTCTTCACTTTTCGATGTTGGTATATGATTCTAGTTATGGATATGTCATTTGTACAGGAAATTGAGTTTCTTCTGATAATTTTCTGCTTGCTTCATGCTTGCATTGGCTTGGTTCTTCCGTCGCTCGCCCGGCTTAGAAGCGTGTAATTATTTTTGTCGCTCTTTTCCTGTAATAATTCATTGTTTCGGCCTGCTAATTTCGATTCCCATGAAAATGCATTTTCATAGGTGTGTGCCGAATGAAATCCGTGGAGGAATGATGAGTTTGTCTCTTGTCCCTGCAAATGCAGCCGTATTCGTGATGCTTCTCCTGGTACATTCTGCATCCTATCGGTTTATAAATGTGACTTGCACAAGATTAAATTCGTCATCTTGATTACGATCTCTTATGCTGCAGAGAGGTTACTACCAGTGCATCGGCAATTCAACCATCCTTGCGATTGCAGCTCTTGGGCAATTCTCGGCTGCCTGGTGCATGTACACGATGAAAAAATGGGGGAAGCAACTCCACCTGAGTGAACACAGCTTGTGAGAATTTGTTTCTTGGGAAGCTTTGCTTTACTTTACTCCATAGAGGTAGTAAGCCTTCTACCTCGTCGCGATCCTGATTGTCTTATCTGAGTTGAACTTGATAGGGATGACATAGCGATCTTTAGTTTTTAGTACATACTGCCGGGAGATGTTAACCTTGTTCGATCAGTTGGTCCAGCATCTAGGTTCTGAGCAATTTTGGAATTTGTATACAGAATTTTGCTTCATTCTTGAGACGAGGGAATTTGTACACACTGCAGAACTTGTTTAGGGTTCCAAGTTTCGGATTGCTAAATTTGGCCTAATGTGTATCTACAAATATCAATCTTCTTCGTCGGTCTGGTCTTGATCTCTAATCCATTTTGTGGCTACCCATTTTTCTCCTCTGATCACTTGGCAGCTTCCATGAAGAGATGTCTGCAGATTTGTCAAAGCCATATGCATAATCAGAAACATCTGGCAAAACTATATACATATTATTCTCAAGAAACAGCCATAATGTCTTATTCACGAACAAATTTCAACAACACAATATAGTATATAATCAATTTCTTGGCTCCCCCTCAGTATATATAACGATCCAAAACTTTATAAACGCTTCATGTATTTTAGCATATTAGCATTTTAGTATTTTTAACAATAAGCTAAACGCATAAGAGTAATGTAACAACAATATCAAGTATAAAATCACAATGATGCTCTCGTGCAGATAGACCCAGAAAAATATATCAATATATGCTGTCAAAAGAATCAAATCAATGCCCCGTTAAACTCATAAAAGAATGAGGTAACGGTGCAGACTTGATGGTTCATACTAGTTCTAGGCATTTAAGAGAAAACTGGGGGATGCACTTTGAAGAAGCAATGCTTCTGGAAAAGAAAACTTGGAGGATGCTGTGATTTAGTGCTGCAGTTTGTCAGGTTCAAAAATTTTAGAAGAAAATGTTTGAAGGAAGAATGGATTTACTATGCATGCAAATGCAACAATGGTTCCATCATCACTGCCAACAAATGCATTTGCTATCGGCTAGTAGAGAACAAGCTATCAACCCAATGCGTCCGCTCCCATAAAATATATGGCTCCATTTTCCTTAAGTAAATATATACTAGGGAAGAGAGAAAAGTAGTGGAGTTACTCACAGGATCAATGGTACCATTTGGTGTGAGTGAGTAGAATAGAAGTCCATCTCCTTTACGCGGCTTTACTTTTAAACCAATACATTTTCGAAAATCATAATTTGTGTCCATATTTTGCCCATCCTGTACATTCAAAAACATAATGAACTTTCAACTAGGAGCACAAACAAGGTCACCTGGGTGGTATTGGAGGACTATAAGTGGGAACTAGCAAAGAGGCAAGAATCAACCTCAAAAGGGAACATCGTTTCACCTCCTTCTTCAACATCAGATAAATACAACAGGAAGGAAGCAACCTGCATATTTCAAATCAATGTTCATTTGCACAACCAGGCCATTGCAAATCAGCAGACAAAACCAGAAAGAGTAGAATAAAATAAATAAATCAAATTTATTTACAGTAATTATTTGGCATGACCACATGGTGTTCAAATTGGAACAGAAGTATATTTTCTCATATATTGACTCATATGTGTCACTGATGACACAGAACAACCTTAGATGTCAATGTTTTGAGGATTAGGCACTATAATGTAATTCATAGAGAAATCTTTCAACAATAATATCAAGCTTCTTATACCCTTTGGCTCTTTTGTGGACCATATTCAGCAACACTGAAGGCATCATAATGAGAGTGATATCTCTGTCCAATCTCATATCGCAAGACATTGAAGGACTGTAACACAATTATATACGTCATCAGAAGTTTATTGAGTGAATCACCATAAAAGATTGAACATGCCAATTGAAATTAAGTCAAGTGACAAAAATAAACTTTTGATTAGCTTTAAAGTATGTTAATTTGCTTTAAAATGGTAAGAAAATAGGACTAAAATAACCCCAACCAAGTCATGACATAATTATGTTGTCAAAAACTAAAATCATTTGAAATCTAGGTTTCACTGTGTCATGTGCATTCCATCTGAAACAAATTCCACATCTACTGGCAAAAAGGAAAACTGCTAAATGGTACGAAAACTAAAATTTACATTTTACTTTCTAAAGGTAACATTGTTAGTGTGTGTGATAACTTTACAAACCTCATTATAGTGTTTGCAAAACATGCTTTTGTAACTAGACCATTGAATGAAAGAAAAGTTTCAAAGCAAAGAGGTCTAATCCTGTTAGTCAAGTATACGTCTTGGCCACTCATTGAGTACTACCTCCATCATTTCTTTTCAAATATTAATACACAAAATAGAATTTAAGCACATGATAAGTTTCTGTGAAGTATATACATAGAGGGAATTTTCACAAATATTTAGATCAGGTGAAATCCATATCTAAATCACAAAGACCACTGGAAGTCATGTTCTATATTGGGTACAATCACTTTTATATGGATTGTTGATTGTTGGGACAGATGGAGCAAGTTGCCCATAAAGGATTTGAATATCCATCTTAGTCAAATTTGAGCCTAAACTATTGGAGATCACATTATTACTTGGAATCATTCCTCGAGTCCAAAATACAGCGGAATAAACTCGAAATAAGCATCAGTGCATGTTTGGCTAGAATTACATCAATTAAGTTAAATAATGGTTGAGTCTCTTACAAAAGCTAGCCCCGTTAGGAGAAAAGTATTTATGTGGGTGATAGTTGTACTCTTTTACCTTAAATGGTGAAAAAAAGATGATTGGTCAAGTGCCCCGCAGAGATGCAAGAGCTGGACTAGGTCGCGACATGGTGTGTCCATCTATTTTCCTTACCCATATTATTCACTTAATTACAATGAGCAACTTTCTATGTTTGTCCAATTGTTCTAACAATCAAACCATGACTAGATAGCAATTATTCTACTCTGTGAAATTTATAAAATTTGAATATATATATATATAGTAATTTGAAATTGTTACCAAAAGTATGGGTTGATTAAAACTATGTGTCCGGGCATCAACACTACAGCAAAAACCACAATTCAGCATCAGTAATACCAATACCAGTACTACCAGGAACTTGATATTTTGTTGTAACCAACTAACAAGCTTAATTTCAAAAACCACTCTGATTTCTCTCAACTTCTATACTTTTGGATAGGATATTCTTATACAAGTTAATACAGGCAAGCAAAATTAATTGCACATCTTAACATGTTCTGGATTATTTCAACAGGGCGATATCTGGCCATCAATCTAATGTACGAATCTATTCCAATTATAATTTCTAATGAAAGAAGGCATCGTGAGTTTTTGTCATAATCTAATTACAACCTTATTATATAGGAACAAGGAAAAAAATAGATTATATATATATAATTCATAGATCACACTACCTCTCCGTGGCTCCTAGGAATCATTGTTGCTTTAGCAATTTTTGCCTCGATCTGATCCAGGATGCCAGATTTGTCTTCTGATGCACTGATAAACATGCCGGAACTAAAAGAAAGGTAGAGCTTCATCACAACATGCATATATTTAGGTTTGATTCTTTGGAAAAAAAAAGTGTTACTCTGTAAAATGCACACTCCAGATGCTGGGAATAATTACCTAGTCCTAATTCCTTGAGTATTTTCGGCTGTTTCTCCCTGGCGAAGAGCCAAGGATGATGGTTTGAGCTGTGGCCTTGCCATATTGATAATACTTTGGCATTGGTTCACAGTAGCGAACTTTGGGAAGTATAGTACCCTGGGATTCCAACTCAGAATCTACATATGGGAATCCAAGGGACAGAATATGCATTAAAGCATAACAAAAGATTTGCAAAGCAAATCAGAAATCATATAATACCATCATACTACATAATAATTATATACAACAGATCTGAGTAATATCTGCAATCACATAAACTATATTTAAAAACATTCACCCAATATTAGTTGCAAATACCATCATACTACATCATGTACCATAAATCAAGTCAAATCTGCAGAGCATTCTCACATTGTGAATTGCTACTCAGTGGATCGGGGCTTGTATCTACTATCGATACAACAAGACATTTTTGTCTTCACATTAAGCAATTTCCACAAGTTTACTTAGCTATTTCTATTGATAAAACAAGAGCAAATTTGGTATTCTTTAACGATGTCCATTTTGAGAGTTTCTTTGTTAATAAACAAATTTTCCTTTTACAAAAAAGTATTTCTTTTTTCATTATAAGCATTCACTAGATAGTTTTAGATTGTGCATAATAGTGAACTTTCTTTTTCTGTTTTTTTCTTTCAGACAGTTTATCTGTTTAGAAACCTCAGAATCAAGGACTGTTTGCATTAGAATGCAAAACAAGTGATTCATATGATACAGATGCAAGGAGCATGAAGTAAACCACGTTAACATTTCCAACTAAACTTATGTTCCAAGTTAACAACCAAATCAAAATTGTTAACCAACTGCACCGAGATCAAAACTACTCGCCAATCAACTCAAATTATTTCATGTCAATGCTATGAGAAGAAAATCAGCAATTTAACAGCATTGCCCCTAGCTTCACAAACAGACAAAAGTAGTTGAAACGCTCCCGCATAACTACCTGAAAGGGGATTGCCTCCACAAAATCTTCGCCGGAGTCTCCATGCGGCAGCGCCTCGAGTTCTATTCTACTTTTTTCCGCCAATCCCCGCATCCGCGGCCTTAAATTACTAGGCATTTCCTGCAGTAAACGGAAATTTACTTCATCACCTCGTACGCCCGCGCATTTCTGGAATAAATACAATCACATTTAAAAACCTACAAATTGCATTTTACCTGCTGAGAAAAGAGAGCTGAGCCGAAAAAGCCTGCGAGAAAGAAAGAGAGACACAGGAGGAAAATCGATGGCAGCCCTAGGCTGGTCAAACTCCCTCCTCCGAATTTACTTCCTTTCGTCTTCATTCTTCTCCCCTTCCCTCCCCACTTTTCTCACACCCCAAGCCAAACTCCGATCACCGGAGCTACTTCTCCACGTTCACGACACAGACTGCGATCTACACACTACTACAATGCAGCAAAATCCCGGAAATCCATACAACTTCGAACTTCGTACACGGCGGGAAGACTCAACCCCCTCCTCCTCCTCGTCTTCCTCTGTATTCTCACTGTTGATGGAGCCGTTATATTTATATCGCAAGAACACGCATCGCAGATCGCAGTAGAGTGCCACGTGCGGTGCACGTGGGTCGAATCAGACCGCACTAAAGCTCCGATTGGTCGACCCAGGTGGAGTCCATTTTCGGTCGTCTCATTTCAATTTTGACTTATTTTGACCAATTATTTTTTGTCTGCTTACTTTTCAAAGGAAGCAAAATGAGTGGAGGCGTTATTATGACTTTTGACTGCTTTTGCAATTATGCTATTTGCCGTACCAATTTTTAGCCATCTAAAATTTGATGGTACGACGTGCTTGTAGCCTTCATTTCCTCGAATTTCCACATTTCCATGAAACCACAAATATATATGTAGTGCGTAGGAATGGAAATAGGAAAAATAAAAAATAAATAAAAATAATGGATCAGAGGAAAGCGGAAGGGAATGAAAGGAAAGGGACGGTGAAAGGAAATGAAGAGGTGGCGGTAGGGACGAGTCCGTACACTCAGTACAAGGATTTAGAGGATTACAAGAAACAAGGGTATGGAACGCAAGGCCACCTGCAACCGAAGGAGGGCGCCGGCGCCGGCGCGTCCACCGACGCTCCGACCTCCAACGCTAATCCGAGCCAATAGCTGCCAATCCGATCCATGTGATGTTCTTTTTGTGTTTAGTTAATTCGTTAATGGTGTTTATCATGTTTGTTCGTTTCTGTGTGTATGTATCGTGTATGTTATTGTTTGTAGCTTTCATTCTTGGATAGCCAGAGATAATATATACAATAAGGTAATTATAGCTTCAAGACGGGTGATTTGTGTTAAAAATTGTAATCGAATATGTTTTTGAAAATTTTGAATACTATTAATTAATGGAGTAGTAATTTTTTTTAAATATATATATATATATAATATTAAATAATATATATATTTTTTAATTTAAGAGGAGTTATGTATATAAATCGATATAAATTTTCTAAAATTTTTGTTTGAGCATTAAAATTTTGGTTTGAGCAAAGCTATTATTATAGTGCTAAATATTGCTATTCAATAAGTTTAGGTGATATTTAGACTTTGTTCTTTTTATATTTCTTTTACACATTTTTCTAAAGTACACACATTCCGTAACACAAAGTTACAATAAAGGTGTGTTTGTTTGACGGTTTGGATTTTGATCTGTGATTTGAATGACTTAATAGTAAAAATTTTGAATTTGAATAATTGTACAATGTGATATAAATAGGTGTTGATGTTTTGAATGTAAAATTGATTTTTCATATAATATAAAAAATGAAAAATAGGTTTTTGATTCAATGTTTTTGGGGGAAAAAATTGAATGAATAGTGTAAATCCAATCCAATGCCCCAAACAAACACACTAGAAGTGAATCATATGTGGCAGCAAATAAAGCCCGACAAGACAAATCATACTAGGTCGTGAATTATGTGTGTCACATTTTAATTGACTACAGGATGTTTACCCAGCCAATGTTTGGATCCGGCTCTATCCAAATGTTTCTAGTACCTTTCTATTTTTGATAAAATTTATTAAATCAAAATGCACTTAATAAATATAAATCAATTCAATTAATTGTATAACATATAACACTATATCTATCATCCACTCAAAACTCTTTTATTTTTATCTATAGCTTCAAAAAATAAATATTTTTATTATATTTAAAATTTTATTTTATTTATAAAATTAATTTATATTAATTATAAATAAATAAACATATTTTTTATTTACTTGTATTATATAAACTTTTTAACTCTACAAAATGATAGTCATAATTTATACTTACGTTGTCATTTATTTATCTATCTGTTTATTTTTTGTATGGAGTTTTAATATTAGTATTATATTTGAGTGTGATATGAATAAAATAGAAAAGATTAAAATAATCTTATTAGTATAGTGTGAATATTTATGTAATATATTGTAAGTTGTAAAGATATTTTTAATATTAGTTGAAAGTATAATTATTAAAAAATGAAATAGATACTTTGTTACGGGATATACAAAATAGAAAAATAGATAAATTGGTAAAAGACGGAGAGAGTATTTAACATATTTAAATACATATTCTAATTTTTCAAAATCATATATATTAAATTTATTTTAAAAGTATTATTAACTAATTAAACACCACTACTTTAAATATCATATCACCAATGAAATTAGTCAATTGTTTCAAAATGAAGAATATATGATGTGCTATAAATATACTATTTACAAATATACTTTGTATATTTTATCACATATGTAGGTGAGTCAAATCAACACAATATATAATATATTTTACAATTTTGTAAAAAATTAATAATTTATCACAAAATATTATTTCGTCAAAATATATTTTCTATCACTTTTGTTTGTCCCATTTTAAAATATATTTTTTTTTTACTTTAGAAAAACTAAGTATACATTAATACCAAAATACAGGGGTTGGATTTGTAACCGTGAGGTCATGGGTTCAAATCCGACACCTCAGGTCACCTGCCACACATGGTTTGCCTAGTGTGACTTTTCCATCGAACCTAATTTGCAAGGTATTAGGTTCGACCGAAAATTTATCTATTAACTCTTACACACTTCCACACTGTGAAATTCCAAGGAGCTGGATTCGGGGAAGTATCATTTATTACCGATAAAAACTTTTCATCAACATAATACTTCAAAATAAAAACTAAACAAACACATCCTAAATAGGAGTAACAGATAAAAACCTTTAATATTATTACATACGATTTCACATAAATTTAATATATACATTTATATGGTTAGCAAGGAAACTCCTTAAATAAATCCAGTTCACTTACCTGTTACTGTATGAAAATAATCGGAATATAGAAAGTGGCATGTATATCAATAACCATTTAAAATAATTACTTATGGTCATCGAATTACTGGAGCCAAATCCTACGGAGTGAGTGTGGACATGGTTCGAAGTTTGCTAGCTTAACACTATAAAGTAAAATGACAGTAATACCCCCAGCTAGATATTCTATAGACGCTGTTCTTACAGTCGTTGAGCAGTTACTTTCGTAATTTCGTATTGAGAAACACTTGCCTTCCTCCGATACATATGCCCTTTTTCTGTACAACAAATTTCCATTAAGCTCGCATTTTCTCTCACAGTCGAAGTCTCTTCTCATCTCCCCAACCGCAAGCAAAGAATTCGGCGGAGCTTGTTGGCGGATAACCTGCGTTGCCTCTTCCGATCTGCTGTTTAGTTCTCTTTAATTTTTCAGTCTAATTGTGTAACTGGTGTGTATATCGAATGACGTCGGGCGTGGCGGAGCGGATTCAGCTCGCCAAGCTGTGCAGCTCCAAGGATTGGTCTAAAGCTATTCGAGTGCTCGATTCGCTGCTCTCGCAGTCCTGGTCCATACAGGACCTCTGGTAATTTGGAATTGGATTGATCTTGTTCGCTGGATTTGGTTGCTTGATTTGGATTTGACTAGTAGGTTAATCTGCCGTGTTTTGTTTTGTTTTTCTTGGTATTTATTTCCTTGAATTTTAGCAATCGAGCGTATTGCTATAGCCAATTGGAGCTGCACAAGCACGTCATCAAGGACTGCAATAAGGCATTGCAGCAGGATTCTAAGCTTGTTCAAGCTTATATTCTTAAAGGTGAACATTTTTTGTATTGGAGTAAGTTGTTTGTTTGTTCCGTTTGGGCGATGAGAACTATCTTTGGATTAGAATCAGAGTGTTGAGGCGGAAAATGTACTTTGATGCTGGCGACAATTCAAATTTGAAGTCAACTGCTATTCAACAAACCAATAAACAAATAATGCATTTACGAATTTGGAACTGATTTTTGTTGACACCATGGTTGATACTACGTTTTAGATGACTTTAATTTTTAGATACTTCTTTTTAAAGAGTCAATTGCATATTTTCTCAACTGATGTGATTCCACGAAGAATGAGAAGAAATGGCTTATTAGATGCTGTTCTATTGCTAAATGTTAGCTCTTTATTCTTCACTTACCTTCAAGCTTGTACCCTTAGTTCTATTTACAGTAGGCTGTACTTTTTTGAGTAATGGAGTAAATTTAAATAGCTCCTTGTGACAATTCTGACCTTTAATATTCAATGATTCCAGAAAAAAAAATGGGAAGTTTCCAGAAAATTTCTCTATTTCATGTAATGGCAATTTTACATTAGAATCAGGCTTAGTTAGTCCGAAGCATTCATCATTTACTGGCAATAGTATAAATTTGCCGTGAATGGCCAATTTATACTTTCTCATCACAAGGTATTTACTCACAAGTTTAGTTTTATGATAGAGGTTGGGTTAAGCCAAGCTATTTGACTCAATTTTGATTTACTCAAAGTCGTAAAATACACAGTTGAAGTTTTATGATGTTGTCTGACTCCAGTAGTCCTTTCTTATTGGTTGACTAACATTGCTTTGATTTGACATGTTTCCTAACAACACGGTATCCATTAATGGTAACACTTCTTTCAATTACCAAAACCATGAGTGCATTCAATTAAACAAATGTGACATTCTTAAATGTGGATGAATAGCATGTAATTGTTAGACTTGAAATATATTAGTAGCGAGTATTTATATTTCTACTAAGGGTGTAATCAAGCATTATTGTAAATAAGAGTGAGTTTGAATGGAGCCCCATTTTGTTCGAATGCAACTCCAGCTAAAGTGTTAGAGCTTAAGTTTATCTTAGTCTTGCTTCTTGTTGATTAGTCTTTAGCTCATAACCATAAATGCAAACTTGAAATGACAGTTTTGTTTGATCTATTCTTGTCAATTCCCTCTTCGACTTGGCCAACTGAGACATAGGGTCAATTTATGTATGCTGGAGACAAGTAATGATAGTTTAAAATTCATGTAAAATAAGGAAAACTCAACATGTTTAATCATGCCCTAAACAGACAATGATCATGTAAGTGATTAACATGCAATCTGGGAAAAGATTTATAAGATACACCATAGTTAACCTCAAATAAGTGCAAAAACACATACGAGTCCTTAAAAAGAGCATGAAGATTCAGAAAAAAAAAAAAAAAGCATCTCCCAAGAAGTGCAAACATTTTGGCTTATATTTTTTCTTGATTCGGGGTAGTGAAGAGATTTCTTTCTGGTTATAATTACATGCTACAATTGTGATTCGTCCCTTGTGGGATTGGACTCATTTTTATTTTCATTGTACTTTGTAGTTATTCGCTATTTATTAACAAAGAAAAAGAAAAATAAAAAAATAAAGGAACACAGAAGCTTTCTAAGATGGAAGATGTCACATGCCTCCTTTAGCATTTTGAAAGTAGAGTAGTTTTGTGGAGTTAAAAACCATTAGCCTATATCAAGAATATTCTAAGCATTCAAGTCATACATGAAATACAGATACTAACAAATGAAAGAACAAAAAAAAGGTGGATGTTGAAATAGCTGTGTGTGTTAAGATTGGTTTGTTGCTCTTGAAATTGTTTCATTGGCCCTTCACAAGATGTGAGCCAACCACAGCAACCCAAATGATTGTAGGCTCTTATCGCATGGACATTAGCTTCAGTGATTAGATTCAATTGAATTGAGCGTGGTTTTTGTTGCACATAGTCTGTCTCTCAGAATATATTATTCCAACAGTTAATTGGATGGATATATAAACAGGAGGTCTTGCATATTATTTTGCTCTTCAATCAAGTTTGCCTCATTGATTTCCAACTTTACCAACAAAATTTTACCTTACTCTTTCATTTATTTGTATTGTAGGGCGTGCACTACATGCTCTGGGAAAGAAAGATGATGCCCTTTCAGTTTGGAAGCAAGGCTATGAGCATGCTGCTTTTCAGTCTGCAGATTTGAAACAACTTGTGGAGCTGGAAGATCTGTTGAGCACTGTTAAACAAAATGGAACTATTTCTTTGGAGAACCATGTGACAAAGTCATCTGGGGTAACAGTTAATGCATCTGGACCAGTTGTTTCAGAGGCAACTGAAACATCTGATGATCAAAGAAAATCAAATGGGGAAACCAAACCTACCAGCAAGGCAATTAAGCAATTGGAGGCCAATGACAAATTACATAATGGAGCTAAAGCTAATGTTAATGGTAGCATTACTGCTGCTAGTCAATCAATAAAAACACATGAGTTTCTCCCTATAGAAACTAATGGGATTCTCAAGAAATCGACCGGAAAATCAGTATTGAGCGATATAGCTGAATCAAGCGCTGATTCATCAGTGGACTGCTGTGAACCTAGTGATAGTTCTGATATATGCAGCGAGTCATTCAGCTTATCAGAAATTCATAATGAGTTAATGGATGAGGCCAACAGGAACAAAAAGTTCTGTGTTGCTAGAATTTCAAAGAACAAGTCAATAAATGTTGATTTTAGATTATCAAGGGGTATTGCACAGGTAATTTTACATATGCTTTTTTAGATATCTTGCTAAAATATCTACAGTTGCTACTGTTTCACCATCATAAGTTGACTGTTTTTAACTCCCCTCCCCAAGTTTGTATGGTTACCATCAACATCCTATCGCACACTAAGTTTTCAGGCTCATTAGTTTCAAGTTTGCAACTGATATTTTCTTCCAAATATCTATCCATACCTGACAATTAAGGTTTTGATTTTCAAGGTTTAATTGATGTGATAGTTGACCGCACTTTGAACAGCCCAATTTGATATCTAAACTGAACTATTCTTGAGGTGTTCAAATTGAGCAAGTGGCAAAGGGTTTTTTTTTTTTTTCCAATAGAACATACTAAATGATGTAACAGTTCTGTTTGGTTACCATTTCAATTTTGGTTAGCACTATGCTCCTAAATTTTTTCCCACTTAAATTTCAGTACATAAAATCTTCAATATAAATAAACCTTTAAACAAAAATTATTTAAACTTTAATTTCATTCTTCAACTAATAATAATATAATACTCTATTACAAGCATTACATAAGTTAAATCAAATTAATTAACTATCTAATCGAACACTACTTAAACTGTGTGCCAAAAAGAACTGGTATTAATCCCATGGGACTGAGGGAGTATATATGTATATAAAATTTTATTCTCTACGAAATGATATTTATATTATATATTTTATTGAGGTATGTTTTTTGAAACACTTACATACACATTTTAAATTGATTTTAATTATATATATATATATTATAAATCAGATATCAATTAAATAAACTATATCCAATCCAACCACAATTCCAACTAACAACCAAACACACTTAGTCCTGCTAATTTCTCTGATGACTCTGCAAGTTTGTAATGTAATGTATTTTGATATTAGTTTTGATATTTGGCCTCTTTTTGATGCTTTGTTATTCTTTTCTTATAAGGATCCTGATTAAGTAATGAATTCTTGAATATAATCTTGGTGATCATATAAGGTGAATAGAATCTTAGTATTCGTTTAAGTTCAATCATGTAATGCATTTAGCTGCTCAATAAAATTAGCAATTCATATCCTTCACTCAGCTTCATTACTACACCACATGCAACAGTGTACTTGAAAAAAGAAAGTTGGTCTTATAAATTAATACCTGCTTCTTTTTATTGATTCCGGTGTTCGTGATATGAAATGATTCTCTGTTCTTTTGCAGGTTAATGATGGAAATTATGCATATGCTGTATCCATTTTTGATAAGGTTACTATTTATTTTCTTTTTTAATTTTGTTTACATCACTGTTAATGCTCCTATGTTTTCTCCCTCCACATATGGACTAGTTTCGATGATATTTCCCTATTAACATCTTCTCTCTTCTTTTGTATATCTTAGATACTAGAAGAAGAGCCAGATTACCCTGAAGCATTAATTGGAAGGGGCACAGCATATGCTTTCCAACGAGAACTACATGCTGCTATTGCTGATTTTACCCAGGTAAAGATTAAACGAGCCTTTTTTATCAAGGGGAATGTGCAAATGAACATGGGTACTTTGAACAGGCAATAGAATCAAATCCATCGGCAGGTGAGGCTTGGAAACGTCGGGGGCAGGCTCGAGCAGCTCTGGGAGAATCTGCTAAAGTATGGTTTTTCTGTATTTGGTCATGTCTTTTGGGAATTATTTGCAGTTATTTTTTGGTTTATTTATTTTCTATGAGAAATAGTGCTAGCATTTGTTGGACCTGGTTTTCATATTCATTAGAGCTGAATAATATGCTTAATGAAGTTCATACTCTATTAAGGTTCAATTACTTTTTAGTAGTTCCACAAATACCTGTTTTACAAATCACTGGATGCTAATTGCACTTAGTAATATCTGCATATCAGATTCAGTTATCACGACTTTGGTTTATCCAACCATTTATGTGATCAGGAATATACCTTTGTAGAATCTCCCTGAAGTTCTTTCAAAACCATCTATGTTGTCAGTTGTCAAATGCCTATGTAGACTGCATATCAGATCCAGTTATCACAACTTTAGTTTCATATTCATTAGAGGTGAATTATATGCTTAATGAAGTTCATACTTTATTAAGCTTCAATTACTTTTGAGTAGTTCCACAAAAACCCATTTTACAAATCACCGGATGCTAATTGCACTTATTAATATCCGCATATCAGATCCAGTTATCACAACTTTATGCGATCTAATATATTCCTTTGTAGAAGCTCCCTGAACTTTTTTCAAAACAATCTATGTTATCAATGTCAAATATACCCATGTAGACTGGTGCAGTTATCACAACTTTAGTTTGTCCAACCATTTATATGATCAGGAATATACATTTGTAGAAGCTCCCTGAACATCGCTCAAAACCATCAATGTTATCAGTTGTCAAATCACCAAAGCCTTATTGGAAAGTCAATCAAGGTCATTCATATTCAGATCCATACAATGATTAATGTCCATCAAATATCTAGAAATTTAGAATAAATATGATGTTGCCACGTTAAATACAAATAATTGCTTTATCCACCACAACCTTTATATGTGAAACATATTTGTTAATTCTGATCATGGTTCTTTTCATGGTAGTTGCTCATACAGAATTTTAATTAACAAAGTTTGATACTTTCTTCCTAGGTGGACAATTTTACTTGGTTGTGTTTGCAAAAACCAGTCATTTTCTTGACCAGGAGCATATTATATTATTATGGAAAGCAGTCACTTGAAAAAGTTAATTCAGTAGTTGCATTCTTCACCAAATTTTTTATCCAAGTTTCTTTTTAAGACATTCATGATGGTAATAAATGTCCATGCATCCCCAAATACATGCCAGCATGTCTATATATCTGTGGACTGACATATCAAACCATCTTTTTGTCCCAGGCAATTGCAGATTTGACAAAAGCATTGGAGTTTGAACCAGACTCACCTGATATATTGCATGAAAGGGGTATGAATATGATTCTTAATTAATTGCTGATTAATTCCTGGCTAACCATGCGTACGCAAATGATTAATTGGGTCTATATGTAGATATTGTACATTGTGGCATACAGGTGAAATGTAATAGAAGGATCCAAAATCATTTGGTGTTAGGAGATAGAATATGAAATCAAATCATTGTGTACTCGTAGAAATACAAATATTTTACTATAATCCACTGTTTTGTCCTGCTTTCTAAGGAAAACATTTAAAAATAAACTCCTACCCTTTCCGTTGCCATTACTTCAAAATAATTGCCAGAACAGTAAAAGGAGATAAATCAACACCATCTGGTCTAAATGTAAGAAAGTTTCTTACTGGTCTCAATGTTAGACATATAACAGTTAAGATATTTTTCATTCCTCCTATATTGCATTTGATCCTAGAAATTATTATGTTAATGATTATTTCTGTAGGGATTGTAAATTTTAAATTTAAGGATTACCAAGCTGCTGCGGAGGATCTGTTAGCATGTGTAAAAGATGATAAGGACAACAAATCTGCATATACTTATTTGGTGAGTCCAAAACATGTTTTGCTTTAGTTTAGTAAATTCAATGGTTAGCTTCATAAGGAAAGAACCATAATAATAATAATAATAATGTGATTTTGACTTTCGAAGGGTTTGGCTTTATCTTCACTTGGTGAATATAAAAGGGCAGAAGAGGCACATATGAAAGCAATTGAAATAGACAAAAACTTTCTTGAGGCTTGGACTCATTTAGCTCAGGTACTCACTAACTTTTTTATCAGGCTTTTGATACACCTTTGTTGCTTTTCATGCTTTGTGTTGTATTGGAATCTGATTGAACAAGATTTATGGGTGTTTGACCTTGGAATTTTTTGACAGTTTTATCAAGACATGGCAAGCTCAGAAAAGGCTCTAGAATGCATTAATGCGATAATTCAAATTGATCAAAGGTATACGGTCAAAACATGCTAGTCGAAAATGCTTTAAGGCTCTAGAATGCATTAATGCGATATATATATTTTTTCCAAAAATAAATTTATTCTTTGCATAGATGGTGAGATACAGTGGAAAAATTAACCTTATTCTCTTTTCATTAGTATCAGGATAAAATATCCTTTACATAATACTACATAGAAACTAAATTAAGGAAAACTGAGGCTTTGTTCTTTCTCTTATTTTTTCCTACACATTTTCCAAAAAAATTAATACATTACACACATTCATTATTTTTATATTCCCTACACAATTTCCTATACGTTACATCAAAATATTTACTTTCCAACAATTTCACAAAACAAACATATCTGTATCTTCCTAAAACTGGAAATACTTTGACTAATTGAACTCCTACAATCAAGAAACATCCACACATTGCTCTTTTGATAATTTCAACTGTCATGTTCTGTACAGCTATAAATTAGTTCTTTCACCCTATTCAGTCCTGACAGATAGTGTATCATTAAGTACTAAGGAGAGTTCAAAGTGATTACCTTTGGGTGATATATGAGATTTCAGTTGTCTCAGTTCTTTGAACCAATATGCTCCAATCAAAGGTTAAATAAACAATGTCTTCTGGTAAATATGAATGTACTTTTCTTAGTCTAGTCAACAATAGTTTTCCATTTATAAATTTCTTGGCTTCTATGCTTGAGTCCAATGCTAAGCCGCATGCGATGGTTGTTTCTTTTCCATTTCTTTTCATTTTGGTTCAGATATGTTTTTTCTTATATGTCTGGCATGGGTGTCAAAAATGGGTACTGCATACAGTATAAGATGTTCAAAGGTTCAAGGCATAGCTTTCTTCACTAATAATTTTGGAATTTTTGCTGGAATACACTGATTTGATTCTCTTACTAGGTTTTCCAAAGCATATCAGCTGCATGGGCTTCTGCTCCATGGAATGGGAGAGCACAGGTAAAATGTTAAATCTTCTCTAGTTGATAGTGTAGAAATATATGTCTAGATATACTAAATATTGCTTCTTAATTTATGGCATTTAGTACACATTTGTCTCATTATGATTCTATTTGTTTCCTTTCTTTTTCTTTGAAATTTTATTTTGCTCCTCTCAATATCTTCTAGATTTTTATCATTGCCCTAGGGTTTGTAATGATTACTAATTAACTTATTTTTTGTTCACCCAACTACTGTTTCCTTCGGAGCCCTCTGCATTGATATGATTGTTCATGGAACTGACGGAAGAGTTTGTTTAATTCCTTAATTTGAATCGATGATTTCAGGAATGCCATCAAGGAGTTATCAACAGGACTAAGTATTGATAGCTCAAATATTGAATGCCTGTATTTAAGAGCTTCCTGCTATCATGCAATTGGAGAATTTAGAGAAGCAGTATGGACCTTTTCTTTTATTTGTCACACCCCTACTTTCTTATTTATTTCTGTGAGTGCATTGGAATGGGTGTATAGTTTGTTAAGTGACTTACATGCACGCATGTGTCAATGCAGGTTAAAGATTATGATGCAGCTTTGGATCTTGAATTAGATTCAATGGAAAAATTTGTACTCCAGTGCTCAGCTTTTTATCAGGTTATTTAATCTTCGATATGACTTCTCCTTAACTACTGCTATTCTCACATTATTATTGAAGATAATCACCTTTTTGTTTACAGACAAATTTTAAAATATTTGTGTTCGCATTTTAATATTTTTAATGTGCATCATTGGCTTTTTTTTACTTCTTGCTCATTGAATGCATGGATACAATTGTATTCTTGATCATAATGTAAATCTATGGCACCATATGTGATCATAAGGAGCTGAGTGTTGTCTTTATAACAATTGCAGAAAGAAATAGCATTATACACAGCTTCAAAGTTCAACTCTGAGTTTTCTTGGTTTGATCTTGATGGTGACATAGATCCCCTCTTTAAGGTAATATTGAATCATCACACTGCCTTTAATGTGTCAATATCACCAATCTTTACATTGCTTTGATTATTCTTCATTGACTTGAAATGATAATATACCCAGTACTAGAACTTTAGTTCATGTGGTTGTTTGCTTGGGCTACTTAATAAGTACAGCAACATTTATCTTTAACCAACATTTAGAAGTCTTTTGGAGGTATATTTTGCAATCAATCTTTATCTTCATGGTACTGTGTATAAATAACACTTATGACTTTGACTGTTTCCTGCTTGTTTTTCCTAGGAATATTGGTGTAAAAAGCTGCATCCAAAAAATGTCTGTGAAAAAGTGTACAGACAGCCTCCTCTGCGAGATTCTCTAAGGAAAGGAAAACTGAAAAAACAGGAATTATCTATTTCAAAGCAAAAGGCAACCCTATTGCATGCAGCAGATTCTATTGGCAATGGGATTCAGTATTATTGCGTTGGATTCCTGCCAAATAAACGGCAGGTAACTATTTGTAGAATGAGTTATAGGAATTTTATGATTAGTTGAACCTGTTGTTCCAAATCACAGTTCACTTTTCTCAAGAAAGCTTTAATTTCCATTCGGGTTTTCTTTTTATGTTTCTTATCACCCATTCTGATAAATATTTAATATAGAAATTTAAGTTTCTTTAGTAGAATTTAGGGATCATTTTGTTATCTCTCAATCTATTCTTGCTTTGCATAAGTTTGGCTCAGTCCCTTTGTATGCTAGTAAACTGCTAAAAGAAAATGGGGAAATCACAAAGACTAAGAAGAAAAATTTCAGTTCTATTATTCATCTATGTGAAAAAATTTCTGATTGCTGATGTCTAGTTCTCTAAACTATGAATTAGTAGTTTTACTATGAATTATTAAAGTCTATTTTCACTTCCTTGGCATCCCAAAATATGTTATGTCTTAAACTGCTGAAACACCCCCAAGGATTTTCATGAGTTTCTTAGTTACTTCTTGTGCCAACTGATGGCTCATATATATGTTAACCTCCATCAGTACCGTATGGCGGGACTTGCTGCTATAGAGATTGCCCAAAAGGTTGTACGGGTTTGGCGATCTATACAAACTGAATGGAAGCATTCAAATAAAGGCACATCCAAAAATGGAAAGAAAGTTAGGAGACGCGAGAAACTTAGCCATCTTAGTCAAAATAGAGGGGGGGCTGGTTGCAGCACCAGCAGCTTCTTAGAACAATCTACTTCATTTAATGCTGCAGAGGAAAAATTATTTGGGCGCCCTACAATGCCATGGCACAGTATTTATTCAGTGGCTGTCAAATGGAGACAGATATCTGAACCATCTGATCCAGTTCTTTGGATTAACAATCTGAGGTACTTCATATTTGTTTATGAAATTATGCAACTGTAGGTACAGTTTTATTTCTGTGACCATCTGCATAACATATTGGATAGACTCATATAATTTGGGTAGTTTTTGTAGAAAATGTTTTAGTAGTTCACATTACTTCATTTCATATTTCATGGATTTATATTTTATAGGATAGCAAGTAAAGATACATATGCATTTCTGTTTAAAAAAAGACGCATGGTCTACCGACAGTTTTGTGTTTGTTTGTGTGTGCATGAATTTTCATTTCTGATCTGTGGACTTTTTTATTACTTAGTGAGGAGCACGACTCTGGTTTTGGGTCTGAGACGCCTCTTATCCTTGGACAAACCAAGGTTGTACGCTATTTTCCATATTTTAAGAGGTAAATCTAACACCAAAAATTTCATCACCTTCATTACCTAAGTGAATTCTACTCTGACAAGATATGATTGATTTAATTAATGATCTGCAGAACAATTAATGTTGCTAAAGAAGTAATGAAGGAAAATAAGTATGCCCTTGGAAAGAAGGGCAACATTATCAATCTCACTGTAAATGGGAAACTGCAAGAAGTAAGTTATATTGTTGCGTAGAAAATTCATTATTACCTTTTACACCTAAGATATATATTACCTCGTCCCTGAGAATTGTATCGGTGTAACTTTTTTATTAGATATATGTCCTTTTTACAGTAATGAATTGTCTACAGGTGATTCATTCTGTTAGCCCCTTGAGCACACAAACACAATTGTTTAGCTGCCCTATGTAAGTTGTCTTTTCTGATCTTAATGAATGCCTTAATATTCATCCTGTAGGTAATGAAGGCAGAATCCTGCTCAGATCTTTTCAGAGCTGTGGGTGAAGACTTCTGGTTGGCTACTTGGTGCGACAGTATGACAGTTGAGGGGTAACTTCCACATCATATTTTCCTGGTTTATGAACATCATCACTATATACCCAATCATTTTAGTACTGACCTTACTGGTTCAATTTTGGTTCTTATTTCAGAAAGCGATTAGAGGGAGCAAGGATATCTTTACAAAAAATGTATGTCAAATGAAATGGTTTCCTCTTTTGTTCACTTATTGCTCATTCTTTACACGCGTAGACTTCTATTTATTGAGAATCTTCGTTAACTAATTTTCTCCTTCAGGGATGAAATAGGTTATGATTTTTCCATTAAAACACCTTGCCCACCAACCAGATGGGATGACTTTGAAGTGGAAATGGCTTCAGCATGGGAGGTATCTTTCTGGCCAAGATACTTCTTTATCAGTCTTTAATTCCAGCTTCTTTGTATTTCTCGTTGAAAATGCAAAAGTACTGCTTGTTAGAACAACTTTCATCCCAATTGATCATTTTTTGAGCCTGACAATCATTACATTGGGTTTGAATATTTAGATAACAACCTTGCCGTATTTGTTCAAATTTCAGTTTGACTTATACATGACATCAGTAAGCTCTGTAAAGCTTGTACCGAACACCACACCTTTGTCACTGCATTATTTGAAATGCCTGAGTAACCTCACAAGTTATCCATTTAGTTTTGGGAGCTCAATTCATTGAACAGATAAATATTGAATTGGATATTGCAGGCTCTCTGTGATGCTTATTGTGGTGAAAATTTTGGGTCAACGGATTTTGATGTGCTGGAGAATGTGAGAGAAGCTATCTTGAGAATGACATACTACTGGTAAAAATCTATGTATGCAATGTGGTGAATTGCATAAATTGCCCTGTCTTCATATGTTTTTTAGCTGATCTTCTATTTTCAGGTATAACTTCATGCCACTATCAAGAGGAACTGCTGTCGTTGGCTTTGTTGTGTTGCTTGGACTGTTACTTGCTGCTAATATGGAATTTAAGGGGAGCATTCCCGAGGGCGTACAAGTGGATTGGGAAGCAGTCCTACAACCTGATCCTAATTCCTTCATATCTTCCGTAAAAAGTTGGCTCTATCCTTCTCTCAAGATCAACACATCCTGGAAAGGGTACCCTGATGTCGTATCAACTCTGGATACAACCGGATTAGTAGTTACTGCATTGAGCACCTACGCTAATTAAACAGTTCATATAAGAGGTAGGCATTGCTATGAAACAACTGCATTGAAAAAAAAATAAAAAGGAAAATTGGCCAGAAGTGCTTTTCTTTCTTGTTTTCTTGCAACTATGAAGTTCTTTGATGACAGCAGATATATTTATGCAGGTAACTGAATAAAGCAACATTAATAGTGCAAACCATTCATCAGGCATTCTCCCTTATGGAAATAACGACGAGATGAAGAACTTCAGGCGGATGTCATGATGCCAAACTGAAACTCCGTTGTGTTATTATTCATGTAAAATGTAACATTAATTGTTTGTTGTTCGACAACCTACCTGCGTAGGATGAGTTTGTTGTTTGTTGTACCCTATCCTTGAGAGACTTCTCTTTGTCGTCTGTCTCTGTTGTTTTTTTGTTGTTGAAAATCTGCTTACTGCTACATCGGACTGACATGTGAATGTTCTTCTCTTCACTGATAGTGATGGACTTCTGTTCTCCCTTTTTATGGTTTCCTTCTAGCTGAGATTTATACTACCTCCGCTATATGATGGCGGAATTAATAATTAATGTGTTGTCTGACAGATAGCATATTGTATATATTAATATAATATAAAAAAAATACTGAATATCAATTAGCATCACATATAATAGTTGATTTTTATTAGATAATTTAAGTGTTTATTTGAAAAATCAGCATAGTATTAATTTTACAAATTGGCATGATTGGTGCCATTTCTTCTACTTATTACATCAATGAATTTTGAACACCACCACACAATCTACAATGGTTGTTGGGTCGTTGTCGTCGTCTTTCTCAAAGGATGTGTAGCTTTCTTATCTTTTCTATGATCCCTCTGCAAATGGGGCAACTCTTGCTTTCCTCCTTCATAATCCTGCAACATTAATCAATGCAATCCAATCCAATTATCCAATCCCTCCATCTATTCTCATTTGTTCATAATAACTATGTATGTATGTATGTATGTAGGTGAGGTTACCCACCTGGCTGCGCAGGTGTGGCAAGCAATGCAATGGCCACAAGGGACGAAGAAGCAATCCCGCTGGTCGTCGTAACATATCACACATATCTGCCCATCGTACAGCTCGTCATCGGACGACGACGATGACGTGGCGTTGCTGCCCGTTTCTAAATCCGGGCTGCTGCCCGTGCCGCCATAGTTGCTACCTTCACCTCCTCCTCTTCCTGATTTCTTCTTAGACGGCAGCAATCTGCTGCTCTCCCTCGCGGCCTCTCCTCCTCCGCCGCCTTCTTCCTCGTCGCAGTTCCACATGAGCTTGATGATCAAGGCAGTGATCATCAAGAATATTGCTGAAGTTTAACACATCAAAGATAAAAAAACAAAAAGCAATTTTTTGACAACGCCATTGACTTTACAGTCTAGTAATTTTGTCGCTGAATGTTCAGCAAAAAAGTAAATTGATTAGCCTAGTAGCCCCCCATGTCTGTTTAGCTATTTTTGGTCAGACTAAAATTAGACATAATAAGTAACATACCAGTGAGGCCGGCGTAGAACGCCAAACGCATTGCGTAATCCACCAAAGCATGAGTTTGCTCATCATCGTTATCCTGATCACCAAGAATCACTCAGTCAGTTCCATTCCATCTGAAGTTATTTGAATAAAAATGGAGATCCGTGGTGGTGATTTGAATTTCACCTTGACGACTCCCACTGAAGAAGAAGAAGAAAACAACAAAAATCCATGGAATTCACCGAAACTTCGTCTCCAACTCATCGTCATCCCCTTTGGATCCTCTCTCAATTGGCATCTGCAGCTAAGTTTCTGAAAAATAAACAAAAATAAATAAATAAACAACCATACAGTTAGATCTCACGAAAAATCATTCATTTCATACAGAAATCAAACTCCATTAATTACCTCATCGTCGCACCTCAACCTCAAAGATATGTAATTTGAAGTTCGGACCGATAAGGAATTGGGGGAATATAGTGGTTGGGTTTTGGTAAAGTTTAAACCTTCAGAGAGCAAATTGACGGAGCAGAGCAGAGCAGTGCAGAGCAGCGCAGTGCAGAGCCGACAAGATGGTGGGCGGGTGATGTAATCTCTTACAGACACATTTATTGCAGTGAAAGCGACCACAATGCTAGTTAATTCATGTTTGTTTACAGTAATTCCTGTTGAATCTCACTCTACTCTACTCTACTCACCTCGACTCTACTCTACTCTCATGTATAATCAACCGATCAATCATACGATCAGTGGATATTTATTTATTCATAGTATGGGAAGAATCTTTTGCAATAAACAATTTCCGGATGCCAGCAGTGCTTGCCTCTTGAAAATTGAAGGAGGGCCGTTGATTCAGTTACTGTGTAAGAAGGGATATATATAAAAAATAGATCTTCTTCTCCAGCCCGATTGAAGTTTGTTTGTTTTGTTTGTTTTGGTTTAAGTGGGAAAACAGACTATGATTCGCCAAATCTCTTTTTCCATGTGGAGTACTTTCAGATTCTAAAAACACACTGTCTGAGACGACACCTTTGCCTATTCTTTTATTTCATTAAAAAAAAAAAAAAAGAAAACTATATTAGTATTATTTTTACTATTTTTCTATAAAATATTAAATATTAAATACAAATACAAACAATGCATGCATCTATGTGGTCAAACAGGATTGGTAGTACGGAGGTATAATTTAAACCAGCTCCACCCCATCTGGTCTGCTCCTGGACACCCTTATTAAATATCAGAATCATTTTATCACTTGCTCATAAAATATTATATATATATATATATATTAATCAATTCAAATTAGTTATATGAGTAACCTAATTTGGTCCAATACTATCTAGTAGTGTTAAATGAAATAAACATGACTATGTACATATTATTCCTAATTAATCTAGTAGGAACTATAAATATAATTTACATATCTGTTTTTTGGACTCCATAACTAAATTAGGCAATAATAAAATTGCATTCTCGTCCTTCACCAATCATTGTTGAATTCAAATTATCATAGGACTCATTAAATGATCTAGAATGAATTTACTCATCATTATAGATTTTGTTGGGCCTAGCAGTCGAGAAAGTCCACAGACTACAGTGAGACTTATTTGGGCTTCATAATGCTTACATAAGCCCATTAATAAATTTTATGGGCCATATGATAAATCTACATCTTTAATCATTATTTTTTTATTTAAAGAAAAAAAGAACGAAAAAGAATAAAGGGTGGGATAGTAGAGGCGGCCGTACCACGTGACATTCTCATGACCCCAAGACAGCTTCACTAATACCATTATATTATTATTATTATTATTATTATTATTATTATCATGGCATTATTCCATGGAAACAAGTCGAGTCATTCTTAGTATGAATTAATTTATTAATTAAGGATGTAATACGTGGAGATACAAAGGTGGTGGTCGAAGTCTGCACACATAATATCAACACGTCGGCCGCCCTAAGTTTTGGATTTTCGGACAAGTGTTCTTCTTTGCTAATTAATTAATCCAGATGCAAATAAATATATTTGGGGTGTGTTTGTTTGGGGATTCTCCCAGTACGCTATTTATCCTATTTTTTTTTAAAAAAAATATTAAATTAAATATTTATTTTTATTTTTTTTTATATTACATTAAAAATTAATTTTACATTTAAAACATCACGTCAACACCTATTTATATCACATCATACAGTTATGCAAATTTAAAATTTTTACTATTCAAATTCCAACTCAAAATCCAAACTCCAAACAAACCCACACAATTATTTGCATTGTTGGTTATTTTATTTTATTTTTCTTGAAAACATATATCCTATTTGCACCGTTTTCTAAACATATTTGAAGTATTTATTTAATTTAAATTATTGAGATGAGTATAAATTAATTAAATAATTAATAAATATTTTATAAGGTGAGTTGTCGATTGAAACTGACTTTAGCGGACAACAATAGGAAGGAATCAGTGATTCTTATAGAACTTTAAGGTAGAAATAAATGAGAGATTCGTTCCTTGTCTCATTCATAGGCTCAGGTTTTAAATTTTATGTTAATTAAGGTATTTTGGAAAATTTATTAATGTGTTTAATTCATAAATAATACTATATGTGATGTAATAATAGTGTCATAATTATTATCTACTATTATATACTATATTTAAATCATGATATATACATATATATTTCATTTTACACTAATTACAAACTTTTTTTTATTTTGTAATATTTATTTTTAAATGAATTGGATTTTTTTTTAATATCATATTTAATGGTTTTTTACTATTATTTAAAAAGGAAAAAAATATGAATAAAGTTACAATACTAAGAATTTTTGTTAGTGTTCGTTGTATTTATACACAAACATGTCTTTTAAATTATTTATAGTGAAGTCAATACTAATGAGAATGTGACTTTTAGGACTTAGGGCTATATATCTGTATAATTCTCCGGCAGCGCGGCGTCAGAAACTTTCATAACATCCGGCGGCGGCGTAATCTGAGCTTCAGGCCTTCCGAAAATCAAAGATGTTGTTGACGAAAAGCAGCAGACATAACGATTCTTCTATTCGATTTTGTTTCAACAGTTGCTCGAAGCTTTCCGTAATCCTTGTTATCCAGGTATTTGTTCTTGATTTTGTCTTTCGTTTTCCGGTGAAACCACCGGCGATCGATCGGAAAGGAGAGGAAGAAGGAAGAATTGCCATTCCGCCGGAACGAAAATCGGAGAAATGTCCAAATGGAATGATGTACGTTTACGATCTTCCGGCGATGTTCAACCAGGAATTGCTGGACAGGTGCGGCGATTTGGATCCATGGAACTCACGCTGCAACGCGATTTCGAATCGGGGATTGGGGCCGCCGGCGACGGGGATTTCCGGCGTGCCGGAGAATCTCATTCCGGCGTGGTATTGGACGGACATGTTCGCCGGCGAAGTTATGTACCATTCCAGGGCGTTGCAGCACAAGTGCAGGACGACGGCGGCGGAATCGGCGGCGGCGTTCTACATACCGTTCTACGCCGGACTGGCGGTGGGGAAATATCTGTTCACGAATTCCACGGCGACGGAGAGAGATTTGTACTGCGAGAAGGTGCTTACGTGGATCGGCGATCAGCCGCCGTGGAAACGATCCAACGGCTCAGATCACTTCACCATGCTCGGCCGGATGACGTGGGATTTCCGGCGGTCGAGAGACGGCGATTGGGGATCGAGCTTCATCCACATGCCGGCGATGAAAAACGTCCTCCGCCTGGCGGTGGAGCGGGACCCATGGGATCCGATGGAGGTCAGCGTGCCGTACCCGACGGGCTTCCATCCCCGATCGAAATCGGAGATGGATCAATGGCGGAGCTACGTCCGCCGCCGGAGGCGGACGCGCCTCTACACCTTCGTCGGAGCCAGACGCCAGGTCGCCGGCGATTTCAGAACCCTATTATTAAACAACTGCTACAATGATTCAAACTCCTGCCGAGTCGTGGATTGCTCCGGCCGGAGGTGCTACGACGGCACGTCGGAGATTCTAGAAGCTTTCTTATCGTCGGAGTTCTGCCTGCAGCCACGCGGCGACGCGTTCACGCGCCGGTCGACCTTCGACTGCATGCTGGCCGGTTCGATTCCGGTTTTCTTCTGGAACCGGAGCATCGACCGTCAGTACGAGTGGTTCCTGGGAAAATCGCCGGCGAGTTTCTCGGTTTTTATCGACCGGCGGGGAGTGAAGAACCGGACGACGTCGATCAGGAAGGTTCTGGAAGGATACAGCAGAGACGAAGTCAAGAAAATGAGGGAGACAGTGATAAGTCTTATACCAAAATTTGTGTACAGAAACAGTAGTATTTCTGATGAGGACCAAAACGAGGGTTTTGCAGATGCTTTCGACGTCGCCATTGATGGAGTGCTGAGGAGGTTCAAGAATAGTCGAAATGGGAGAAGAAAGAATCAACAATGAACAACGGTCAACTGTATTAAGAATGCTGACGTGGCTGATCCTATTAATTTTAAGAATTAATTTTTTTTTAAAAAAAAACAAAAAACAAAAAACAACCCGTGATTTGGGGAATTTTGCATCATTTGAGGCAAGGGATTATGATAATGGTGATGGTAATTAATTCAAGATCAGCGCATATTATCGAAGACCACAAATTTCAGAAGTGGTGACCACTAACTTAGGGGTAATAAAAAGTGTTGCTTTAAATTTGATATATATATATATATATACACTTTAAATCATTTCATTTGTTGGGTTCAATGATGAATAGGCTGGTTATTTATTTAATTAATTACTAATTGGATTGCTTTTGTTTTGTTTGTTTAAATAAGTGTATCTTTAACTCGGTTCGCTATGTTAGGGTTTTTCATTTTTCTGGGCTTTTTGTCCAGATTTATTTGGGCTGGATTCGATCTTAAAAGCCCATACTGTAATATTGTGAAATCTTGAGAAGGCTATTTTCGTAATATGATTATTGCCATTTTATTTTCCTCTGGTAAGTGCATCTATAGAAACAAATACTGGATCGTATAAAATAACATAAATAATCAAATAAATAAAAACAGAATCTTGTAGAATTAATTAGAGGCAGATCGTGTTTCAATACTGCTTTATGGTAGGAACACACGCAATATTTATTTTATTGTTCCTGAGGCCCAATTAGGGCCCAATAGAATAAATCCTAACAGCAGAAGTGGGCCCTACATCATCAACGATGCAGATTATCCGGGTTGAGCCTGTGGGGCCCGGCCCACAATAAGTTGCTGGTTATGTGGCTGTTGTATATATTTTTTTAATTTTTTAAAGGAAGAAATAAATGAATCGACCAATAATATTAAACATATTTATGTATAAGTAATATTTTCGTGGTTGGTCACTTTCCTTAGATATCTGATTAGGTTTTATTCAACATTTCCATAAAAGATTTCTTGAATTAATTGAGGGGACTCCCATATACTATAAATGCCAAAAAATAAAATAATAAATAATAAATACTACTTTATTAACTTTGATATTTATGACGTGGATTTACTGGCAAATAGGAGCTGGACACGTGTGAACATTTTTTCCCGCAACCGGGCCGAAGTAGAAGGCCCGCCGTAATTAGTGGGAAGTGGGATCCGACTAGTGCTTAATTTTCTGCACTCTTTTCTTAAATTACATTACACACTTCACTGTTATTGACTTTTGGTGTTAGTCCAATATATATATATATATATATTTTAATTATATTACGTAATAAATAAATAAACAAATGATATTACTATCAGAACAGCATTAGATTTGTTAATGAATATTTCTGATGTCAGTGTATGTATTCTTTTATAACTTGAAATAAAATATTATAATCAAGTTCAGTGTTATGCGGACACTTCTTTGGAACTTAGCAAAAGTTTGCCATTCAATGAATACAACAGAGTTTTGAATGATTTAAAATATGAAACCTTAAAAAAAAAGATTATATTATTTCTTTGAACGGGTATTAGGAAGTTGTAGCATTACCTATTCATTATCTAATACCAAATCGAATAGTCAAGATTATAATTATAAAATCCGAGTGGTCATATTATTATATATAATTTTAATAATGTAAAAACCCACTACTACTTTCAAGTATGTATTGTTTAAAATTTCCGAAGAGCAATATTTTAGACAAATCCTAAATAAAGGTTTCAGTTAAAAAAATGTCAATAAAATTCGAATAAATAACCTTATTACAATTCAAATATCTCTAACTTACACTTACCCGTGTAAGTATTTGAGTAGTAAGGATGCGACACACATATTTCTTCTTTACAATATACAACGTAGTACGTGTGTATTTATGTGTATGAGATAAAAATAGATTCTTGATTAGGGAAAGGGTCATCATCCTTACCTAATCCCGGCAGCTAGAAAGTTGTCAATGAAGGAATAAACACTATTATTACAACATTAAATTTAAAACCCACTCCACAATTATTATTATTATTAATACCATGATATAATTCATTTTCCTCTTAATTAATTCCCACTTCAATAATAAATGTATTCGATGATAAGTCACAGATGATCTTATGGCCATGGGTCACGTGACCACGCAGACCTCTGCTATATTTCGATTGGCTCTCACCCTCCATTTTCTTGTGCTGCTTCTTTTCAGTTTTTGCAGTTTTATTCTCAAAGAAAAGAATTTTAATTATTTATAAAAAACTAATAATAATAATAATAATAATTTTAATGTTGAGTGAATTTTTCTTACCAAAATGGGATTGGATTGAACAACCCACGTTGTCTTGTGTCGGTCATCATAATGCTGTGCTATTAACTAAAGCCACTTTATCTTTTCCCCCTTCCTTCACAAGGAAAGCAAAGCTGCAATCTTTCCTCCTCTCCAATTCCCTACAGTTTCTTACGTCGCCATTGCGCTCAACTCCCGCCGGCCGACGACAATGGTCCCTTCTTACTCGCCGGAATCTCCGTCGGGCAAGAAACCCCCCAAGCCGACGAATTGCCTGAAATCCACACTCAATTTAATCCGAATCCACGTCGCCTCCCACCCTCGATTTTGGTTATTCATAGCCTTTCTCTGGATCCAAGCCCTAATCATCTCCTTCGCCCGCACTCCGCCGCCCTGTTTCCCCGACCGCGCCGCCTCCGTTCCGACGACCCTCCCCGTCCGCGCCGCTCCGTCGAGCGTCGACGCCGCGGCCAACGCCACCAAGCCGCCGGAGCCAATCCCTCGCTACAGCGAGGACTGCCCCTCCGGCAGAGTCTACGCCTACGACCTCCCTTCCGAGTTCAACGCCGACTTAGTCCTCCGCGACTGCGCCGATCTAGATCCGTGGAATTGGGAGTGCGGCATAATCGCCAACCACGGCTACGGCGCCGCCGCGACGGAGCTGCGCCGGATACTGCCGGACGACATGCACAAATCCTGGTACCACACGAATCAATTCACTCTCGAGGTAATTTCCCACCACCGGATTCTCAAGCACAAATGCCGAACCCTATCGCCGGAATCCGCAACGGCGTTCTACATCCCGTTTTACGCCGGCCTCGCCGTCGGCAAGTACCTGTGGACCAACGACACCGCCAAGCGCGATCGCCAATGCAAGAAGATGCTGCGGTGGGTCCGCAATCAAGACCACTGGAAGAAATCCAACGGCTCAGATCACTTCATGACGATAAGCCGGATCACCTGGGACTTCCGGCGACTGACCGACCCGGGCCAGTCCTGGGGCTCCAGCTTCCTCAACATGCCACAGATGCAGAGGGTGACCCGATTCATTGTCGAAAAGTATCCTGGGGACGAAATGGACGTCACTGTACCTTACCCCACTGGATTCCACCCCAAGACAAGGGAAGCCCTAAACGAATGGCAAACCTTCGTCCGCGACTACAACCGATCAGCCCTCTTCTCCTTCATCGGGACCAACCGGAATTGGGCCGAAACGGATCTCCGGCGGTTTCTGATGGATTACTGCGCCAAAGAGTCCGATTCTTGCCGTGCCGTGGACTGCGCCGTGAGTGATTGTCCAACAAATTCTTCTCTGACACTGAAGCCAATGCTGGATTCAGAATTTTGCCTGCAGCCGAAGCGGGATAGCTTCACAAGTAAAGCAGTCTTCGACTGCATGGTGGCAGGTGCGGTGCCGGTGTTCTTCTCCAAGACGACGGCATACGAGCAATACGAGTGGTTCTTGCCGGGGGAGCCGGAGAGCTACTCTGTTTTGCTGGATCAGGAAGGAGTGAAAAATGGGACAGTGTCAATTAAGGAGGCTTTGATGAATTACAGCAAAGAGGAGATTAGGAAGAAAAGGGAGAAGGTTGTGGACACCATACCTCGGATTATTTATGCCAAGCCGAGTGCTGGAGTGAGGAGTTTCAAGGATGCATTTGATATTGCTCTTGAAGGCGTTTTGGAGAGGATTAAGGAGGAGAAGGAATGGGCTGATTTCTTGTGATGAGGATAGTAGAAGCAATCCCTCTCTGCTAGGCCTGGAATTTGTGGGAGTGATGGATTTGTTCAAAGAATCCCAATCCTGCAGGAAGATCTGAGGTCAGTTATTATTTGGTGATATGAACTTGATCCTTTGGCTTGAGTGAAGGAGATTGCCAGATACAGAAAATGAGTGTACAATGTAATAGAAAATTTAACTCAAATTTTACAGCATAAGAAGGCTTACTGTGTTTTCCATATACATTTCTGCATTTTCTGTGTGCTTTTTTTTTGAGGATCAGGTTGCTGCCGACCCACGTCGATCATGTAATAAATGATGAGCCACGTTGGTTGTTGGGAATGGACTAGCTGCAAAGCAACTTGAGGATTAGTTTCGAAATATAATACACACACTCACACATATGGTGATTTTCCAGGCATAAAATGGAAGTGCTGTAAAAATATTTTAGCTAACACTCCTCTAATTCCTTGTTCCAGCAGCAGCTATAGCAAACCAAAAGATGAGTTTCAGTCTCAGGATAACTAATTCAGTTCAAAGTAATATCAAACATCAAAATACAAACAGCAAGAAAAACAAGATAAACAAAGCTATTCCACAAGGCATTTGCAGGGGTCAAAAAGTAGCCACTGTCAAAAATCAGAATGGAACAACAAATAGACAGACAAGCTAAAGAATATAAACCAGCAATGGTTCTTCCATATGAAGAACATATGACTATCCAACTAAAAGCCTTGCTCAGCTCCTTTGGATTCACATAACTAGTACCGATATTAAAAATGGTTGCTTTGCAGATACAATCAACTGATCCAATCCAAAATTGTACCAATATTGAATCTCCAATCTGGATAATAACAAGAGAAAATTGTAAAGGAGAAGATGACAAGAGTAAGGTATTGTTCTCTTTAATGAGTTGTATGGGTATAGGAAAGGTTGAATCCTATAAAAAATTATCACCTTACTTGCAATGGCATCACAGATCACAGGAGAATAGAAAACTAGCTAGCATTCCGACATCAGTTGTGTCAAAGTAATTCGCAACAACAGCAACCACAAGGAGCAAAACCAGGTGCATCTGCATGACAAAGCAAGGTGCAGAGTAGTATTAAATCTAGTAATCAAAAACCTTTTCAAGTGTAGAATTCATATTCGGAAGTTTTGATTTGGTTCTTGTTATTCTACATATACATGATCTATCCACATGAGGATTTTATGCTTAGTAGTAATCTTGATTTGATCAGGGCTAATTTATTGCGACGATCCACTCAACACAATGACAATCTCCATGGCGAAATTTAAGGACAGTGCTAAACCTCTAGTTACACACGATTTATCTAAACATAAAAAGGAGTTCATTTCACATGTAGCTAAACTTAACAATTCAGCTACATTACCAATAGTTCAGATGAAACATCAACATTTGTTTCTTTGAATAACATCACATCAGTATCATTTTCCTTAATTTCTTCACATCCAGCTTTAAGGGGATTCAACTTTTTATTTCTACTTATGCATTAGATTTTCAAACAAACACAAACATTATTATATTGCGTTGATTCGTTCAATTTTCTAGAACATATTTTTGGAGTTTAACAAGGTATCTATGTCGCAAACTGAAGTTGCCTCCAAGAAATAGGAGCAAAAATGGGGAGGCTACTAAAATTCCCCGGAAGACTGAGAAGGTTGTGGACAAGTTTAGAACTTATATTTTTCGATGTTAATATTCACGTGGAATATTGTAGAAAAGTGTGGAAGATTCTAGATTGCCTAGAACATTCTAGTAGGTTAATCCTAGCCTTTGGATCAATTTGATCTCATCCATCCAACGAGGATGAAATGTATATATATATATATATAGGTGGGTCTAGCTCATTCGTAAATAATCAAGTAGAAGCGTTATTGAGCAATAGTACCTTCTTTCTTTACTTGTGCTGTCCAAAGTCGCGTAGCTGAACTAACAAAGTTCCTTCACAAGGGCATAAACCTACATTAAAGAATAGATTAACAGATTTACCGCTTAACTTTAGTATAACAGAAAAACAAAAACAAAAACCCAACTACCTGAAATATCCAAGATAACTACTCTTATCAAGATGCAACTTCAGAGTTCCAATGTGGTAAATCCCCCTAGCGAGGAACATAAAATTTCGTGCATTAAATTCAGATAATGTAATATGTACGGAACTAGTTAACGCCGTTAGATAAAACAAAGAAATATATGAAACATAACATACACTGCAACTTTTATTTATGTTTCTCAAAAGAAAAATCAGACTTCAATGCTGTGCATCACCAGTTCTCACAGCTGGACCAAATTCATTCAATTCACATAAAACTAATAGAGCACGGTGCGTAACACTCATAGAAAAAAACAAAAAGAAGGTATAAACAAGGACAAGTGGACAACAAAGCAAGACTCATAATAGTAAATGGTTATTGACAATGTTAACCAAGTTGGAGACACACCGGATAATGAATATCATAGTATTTGTTTTCTTATTTGGCATTTAGATGAGTTCTTGTATGCATTCAAATATTGATTCATCTATTACTGTAAATGAAAGTGAACTTTTCGCTTTTCTTTCCCTTGAGAACGTTTTCCCACTGCGCTTCTATGTACCGTCTTCTGTTTCTGGGGATCATTTATTGTTGTATCTTTCACTCGGCCGCTAGCTTCTTTAGTTTCTTTACATAATTGTTCTCCTTCAGCAGCCTGTTTGTCTTTTTTCTTGTTCTTCACTACCTTTTGCAATTCTTCGACCCCTTTTGTGATGAGCTCCATAGCATCCAATATAACAAAGTCATCATCTTCACCATTCTTAAGCTGATCAACATACAACGTATTAAATTAATAAGCACATCCCTATTTGATGTCGTCATATATGAGAATTTGAAATTATAATACCATCTAGAAATGCATATTACTTACATTGACCATGTTTGCTTCCACTGCAATATGTTGAAGTCCTTTCACAACAAGTTTGACAAGAGCTCCTCGCTGAACGGAGTTGTCATCAATTGTGGATTTGCTTACACCAGACTCATTGCCAAACATAAAAGCTGTATGAGTAAAACCTACAGGATAGTTTCATAGAAAATCACTTAATTGATAGAAAATAGAGGATTTAAGCAAGACATGATATGCATATTGAAAGACCATTTCCATTTTCTTTTCTTTTACCGCTTTCCTTTTATCATTAATCTTTAAACTGTGAAACAACAGATTTGAATAACAACAGCAAGAATACAAGGAGAATCACTTACAGTTACATAATAATTAACACAATAATGCACTGTAGCACAAAAACATAATATTCAAAATTTATAATCTCCTCCAATACATATTATTGTATATACTATTTCAAATATCAACAAATAAGGAGAAAGAAAACGGATATGCAACACGTTTGCAATGTTTTCTTTGTTTTTTCTTCGCATGCTCCATTTAACTAAGCCAATTCCGTAACATCACAATCGAAGAATGATTTTAATATGAATTTGATGATTTTCATCTTGTATGAGTACACTTATGACGATCAGTCCATATATAGAGTCAATAGAAACATGATATCAATTTCAGAACCAAGTAAAAACCTAATTACTCATACATCCGATATAATCACTACATAAAGCTTATCATCGGGCCAAAGGCATCTAAGCTAGAAAGCAAGAGAAAGAAACACGATCATCAATTTACACACACAAAAAAAGGTTAATCTAAATCAACGCGATTGACATCGAGTCCACCAAGGATTGGCATCAGTAGTTTGATCCGTGAAGTTACTAAGGAAACAGTCGTGAATCTCGCAGCTACTACTGGCAATCCGTATTTACAAAAAAAGGAATACCGCCTCCACTGGTGCAGATAGCGATTTTCAGATACACACAACGAAGCGCATACATATACGATAAAGACCTGCTTCTTTTAGATAACGGAAAATCAAGTAGTTCAACTCGTCGGAAGTGATGGGGTTAGACATTGTATCCCAACTTCTTCTGCATACGACGCAACTTTCCGGCGATTTCAGGTCGAATTCCGAGCGGCGCCTGCGGCAGCAAATTCGCACGAAATCTTCAAGGAAGATGCGTGATAATCATACGATGATTGTGAATCCGCTGCCAATCCTCCAGCATTAAATAGGTGACGATAACCGGCGCTGCTGATATATCACCCTGCCAGCTCGCTTCGATTTTATTTTACCGCCTTCCCACAAATGGGCTTTGGCAGAGGTATTGGGCCCATTAACGTAAATGGGCTAAATGGGCCTTAATTATTTGATGGCCTCAAATACATCTCCATTATAGAGCGATAGTGCACTGCCAAATTATTCCATGCATTAACGTGTAAAGTTGGGCCCTTACATTCAATTTTAATCAGAAATAATCTGTTGTTTCTGGGGGTTTGGATTTTGGATTGGGATTTGAATAGTAAAAATTTTGAATTTGAATAGTTGTATGATGTGATATAAATAGGGTTTGATGTGATGTTTTGAATGTAAAATTGATTTTTAGTATAATATAAAAAATGAAAAATAGGTGTTTGATTTGATGTTTTTGGGGGGAAAAAATTGGATGAATAGTGGAAATCCTCCAAAATCCTTCAAACAAACACACTTGTTGAACTATAATCTCAACTGGCCCAATGTGAACTTATTAAATTCAACAAAATATATAATCCAAAAAAATGAACATAGTAAAAGGGTAAAATATATTTTTTTTTACTCTACTCAAAATCTTTTCATTTTTTATGTTCAATTAAATCTTCTCATTTTTCTTTTTTTAATAAATTAACATTCTCCATAAATATAAAAATACATCTATTTTATGATCACATTATCATCTTTACACTCAAGGACAAAATTATCTTTATAAAAATACTGCAGTCTTAGTTTTGCTACGATGTTGTATACAATCATAAATTTGACAAAATTTGGTGGATAAGTAAGGATGAAATATCAAGAAAGAGGAATAGGTAAAATAGATTTTATTTTTTATTTTTTTTTTAAGCACAGTCTATATATAACATGTCATTTTATTATTATTATTTTTTTTTATTTTTTTTTTTTTATTTTGGGTAAACTGTTTTTAGTCCAGTAATTGAACCCTTTATCGTTTTAGTTCCGTAAGTGGAGCCTGTCGCAAACTAATCTCATAAGTAAAAAATTTTCGCTGTATTAGTCTCCCGACATCGGAGACGCCCGCGTGGCTCCCTGGAGGTGACGTGTCCACCAGGTGTCCCGCCAGGTCAGCGACACCTGGCGGACACGTTGATTTATTTTTTTTTTCACTTTTTAAAATTTTTTATTTTTTTTTAATTGGACCAAATAAAAAATAAAAAAAATACAAATAAAATTTAAAATAGATTAAAAATAAGTTCTAAAAAAATTAAAAATAAAAAAAAATCAACGTATCCGCCAGGTCAACGACACCTGGCAGACACGTCACCTCCGGCGAGCCATGCGTGCATCTTCGGCGCCGGAGAACTAAAACAACGAAAATTTTTTACTTATGGGACTAGTTTGCTACATGCTTCTCTTACGGGACTAAAATAATAAGGGTCCAGTTACGGACTAAAAAACTAATTTACCCTAATTTTTTTAGTGATAAAATTACATGCATGTAGGAATTACAAGACTAGAAATACTTTAAACATGCCATGCTTTGTTCAAATCTTCTCCACAATTGTGTTGTATGTGACCCCTACCATAATCCATTTCTTTAATATATTTTTTTCAATCACATGTCCAAAAATTTTTTTCACAAATTAAAAATGTTCATTTATATAAATTACCTATCTTTCAAAATTATTCATACTCTCTTTATAGTGGTATAATAAATTTTATAGAAATATTAATCTTTGAGTACGAATTGAGAAAGTTTGATTTGAGTTTTATATTTAAATAATATTTTTATAAAAAATATATATTTTAAAAAAAAAAAGAGTGTAATTGTTTTATAAAAAAATTCAAAAATAATTATTATTCAATTTGTATTATTTTCAAAAAATATTATTTATTCTCATAAAGTAAATAAAATAGCATAAAACTCATATGTAGTTTTAAAAAATTATACAAAACCCCTTATTGTCATTAGTTAAAAGTGATATTTGCGTTTAAATCTCTTTCTCTTCATTAGTTAAAATTGATATTGCAGATAGAGAATGTTTAAAACAATCACTGTTAATTAATGGTAAAAATATGATTAAATATAAATTTTTTGAAACTATAAGTGATTTGACCGTAATTTTTAAATTATTTTCTATATTTTATAAATTATGTTATATTAATTATGTATAAATATAAATTTTTATTTTTATTATATAAACGAATGTAGTATTTTTTTTTTACATATTATCTATACTTTATTACAATATAATTTTAAAATTATTTTAATAAAATATTATATATTACTTCCTTCGTTGTTGAAAATTATGTGATTTGATTTGAACATAAAATTTTAATAATTATTATTATTATTATAAAAAATTAAAAGTGCCAAAATGCTAATTATTTTTTTTACTTAAAAAAAGAAAAAGAGATTATACTAATAACTAAAAAAAACCATAAATTTCAACTATAACTTTTAACTCTCAACTAAGAGTGCGTTTGCCAATTAGCTGATAATTTATAGTTGTTAGTCGATTCAATTAGCTGATTTGTATTAAAATATTTAGTAAAACAATTGTTTTCCAAACACCCTTTAAATGCACATTCAATTTAATATTTTAAAATGCAAACAAATATTTAATTTAATACTATAATTTATAAAAATATACTCATATGAATAAATAATTTGAAAATATGTGTATTTCTTTATATCTCAAATCCCAAATACATAAATCTCAAATTTCTATTGTTTGGATTATGCATTTAAAAGTTATATATATATATATATATTTTACAAATTCAAATTAACTATGATATGTATCAGGATCGTAAGTCTCTGCATCTTCAGTCATCCATATTTCAATAAGGCTCTTTAGCCTTTATTCAATCAATTTAATTATTATTCAATCTAGATTGTTTAACATCGAATTCAGCGAAGTTGGCCAAACAACATTTCTGATCACATTATCTCTTACTTTATAATGCAATCGTCTACATTGCATTTTAGAGATTGTCAACTACTAAGCTCTTGAACCTTCAGATCAATGATTGTAGACTATCCTAAATCGATTTTAATGTCAACTGTGCAACTTTTGACTCTCAAAATGAAAATTTTCAGACCCATGAAAAACACACGCCCTAAAAATCAGAATATATTATGAAGGTGTTTTAGATGTAAGAAAATAAAAATAGAAATATATCTTTTAATTTGTTATTTACTCTCAGAGTACTCGACAGGGACAAGCTCTGCTCTGCTAAATTAAATAGGAGTATGTTGGATGGATTCCTCCACAAGCTTATTTCCAAATTTCAAACTATTCCGCCATGGAAACAAGCTGGCACCTTTATCTCCTCCCCTCACTCGTCCTCCTTTTCATCACATACAAATTATCAACCACCAATGGAAGCCGACGGCGGCGGCGGCTTCCGCCGAGTCCGGGGGCGGCGCTGCCTTTCATCGGAAATTTCCGTTTCCTCAAGTCCCCTCTCCATCGCACGCTTCACAATCTCTCCCAGAAGCTCAGCCCGATCTTCTCGCTCCGCTTCGGCAGCCGCCTCGTCGTCGTGGTCTCGTCTCCGGCCATCGCCGAGGAGTGCTTCACCATAAACGACATCGTTTTAGCCAACAGGCCTCGCTTAATTATCAGCAAGTATATCGGCTACAATTATTCGACCTTGGCGGTTTCTCCCTACGGCCATTACTGGCGGAACCTCCGCCGCTTGACGGCGGTTGAGGTATTCTCTTCCGCACGTCTCACCATGTTCAAGTCAATGAGAAAAGATGAAGTCGGCCGTCTGATCGGAAAGCTCCGCCGGAATTGCTCCGACGGCTTCGCTAGGGTTCAGTTGAGGGAATTATTGATCGATTTGACTTTTAATATTGTCATGAGAATGATGGCAGGAAAACGGTATTTTGGCAGGGATGAAGACACCGAAGAGGCGAAGCGATTTCGTGAGCTTAAAGATGAGATTTTTACAGTTTCCGGAATATCGAATCCAGAGGATTTCATTCCCGTGCTTAGATGGATCGATTTTAGAGGGCTTAAGAGGAAATTGGGTAAGCTTTTTGAACAGACGGATGATTTCTTACAAGAATTGATCGATGAGCAGCAAGACAGTAAAGATTCAAATACGATGATCAGTCACTTGGTGAAATTAAGAGAATCAGACCCTGAATTTTACACTGACACCGTCATCAAAGCACTCGTATTGGTAATAAGCAAAATATGACAATTTATTGACAGTTGTTGTCGTTGTTAATTAGCTCTGATCGATGCAGGTCATGATTTTTGCCGGGACGGAGACTACAGGAGTGACCTTAGAATGGGCGATGGCGGCGCTTCTCAACCACCCCGACAAGCTCGACAGGGCAAGAGCGTAAATCGACGAGGTTGTCAGCGGCAATCGCCTGATCGACGAATCGGACTTTTCGAGACTTCCGTACCTCCGGCACATCGTTTCCGAGACTCTACGGTTGTTCCCGTCGGCGCCGACGCTCTTGCCGCACGAACCGTCGAGTGACTGTAAGATCGGCGGGTACGATGTTCCACGTGGCACGATCGTGCTCGTGAACGCCTGGAGCATTCACCGGGACCCGGCGGTTTGGGATGAACCGGGGAGCTTCCGGCCGGAGCGGTTCGAGGCGGGAGAAGTTGGTACGCCGAAGCTGATGCCTTTCGGGATGGGGAGAAGATCGTGTCCCGGTAATGGGCTGGCGCTGCGCGTGGTGACGCTGGCGGTCGGAGCTCTGATACAGTGTTTTGAGTGGCGGCGAGTCGACGGCGACATGGTGGACATGGCCGAAGGGAAAAGAGGGGGATCGTCCTCGAAAGCCGTCCCCTTGGTGGCCATGTGCAAGGCACGTGAGGTGGCTCACAAAGTAGTTGGCTAATTTTTAAAATTTTGAAACAATTATTATCTATTTATCATTCAATAATTTTATATCATATTTTGAAAATTTTGTAAAATATCAATCTACATTAACAACTGCATATTACAAGATGAATTTTGTATTATATGAAATTGATAAATAATAAAAACATTTATTAAAAAAAAATTGTTAAAAATATCATTTCCCAATTTGGTTGAGAATTTTTTGAATATTTTTTTTTAATTATTATTTATTATTTTTTTTTATTCATATCTATTTTTACATTATCAAAAAATTATTATGATATAAAATTTTTTATTATTTAAAATTTAAATTTTCACATAAATATTCTATTAATTTTTTACAATTTTTTAATTTATTTATTATTTTTTATATTATATATTATAAAATAAAAATTAAAAATTAAAAATTATAAGGGATGGCGCAGGGCCATACATCCGCCCCGGATTAAGGCTTATCAAATCTGTTTGATAAGTAAAAGTATTCCACATTGTATATGATGTTAGGAAAGTACTACTTTAATTACAATTAATTGATTGTAAGTTAAAACTTTGGATCTATGTCGTAACATAGTATTAGATCATGATATTAATATTGATTGTATTTGAATTTTTTAAGGAAGGGTGTTGAGTATTCGTTGAAATTCTCTTATTTTATAAAAATAAAAGACTACCCCATTTAGAGAAATATCAAATTTTGTAACCTCAAATTCGGGTGACAATAAGTAGCAACATAACCATTAATATTGTAAATTATTATTATTTTCTGTAAAATAGTAATATAACATTATTTAAATTACAAATCAAATAAAATTTCTAAATTCAAAATAAAACCAAACCAATCCTGTATCTCTCGTAAAACTTATTCCACTTACTTTCTGAATTTGCAAAACATGAAACACTAAACAACACAAATTCAAATTCAAGATAATTCCACCGCAGGAGAGAGTGGTCCAACTTTCAGAGCAACCTCACGTGCCTTGCACATGGCCACCAAGGGAACAGCTTTCGGAGTCGACACACCTTTCCCTTCGGCCATGTCCACCATCTCGCCGTCGACGCGCCGCCATTCAAAACACTGTATCAGAGCTCCGAGCGCCAGCGTCACCACGCGCAGCGCCAGCCCATTACCGGGACACGATCTCCTCCCCATCCCGAAAGGCATCAGCTTCGGCGGCGTCGCAAGTCCAGCTTCTCCCTCGAACCGCTCCGGTCGGAACCTCTCCGGTTCATCCCAAACCGCCGGGTCCCGGTGAATGCTCCAGGCGTTCACAAGCACGATCGTGCCACGTGGAACATCGTACCCGCCGATCTTACAGTCAGTCGACGGTTCGTGCGGCACCAACAACGGCGTCGCCGGGAACAACCGTAGAGTCTCCGAAACGATGTGGTGGAGATACGGAAGTCTCGAAAAGTCCGATTCGTCGATCAGGCGATCGCCGCCGACAACCTCGTCGATCTCCGCTCTTGCCCTGTCGAGCTTGTCGGGGTGGTTGAGAAGCGCCGACATCGCCCATTCTAAGGTCACTCCTGAAGTGTCCGTCCCGGCAAGAATCATGACCTGCATCGATCAATCGATCCCATTATCAAAAATAAATCGAACAGAGCTAGTTAATCAATTTCTACATTTTGTAATCTGTTTTTAGTTCTTACCACTATAAGTGCTTTGATGACGGTGTCGGTGTAAAATTCAGGGTCTGATTCTCTCAAATTCAGCAAGTGACTGATCATCGTATTTGCATCTTTATTGCCTCGGTGCTCATCGATCAAGCCTTGTAAGAAACCATCCATCTGTTCAAAAAGCTTACCCATTTTCTTCTTAAGCCCTCTAAAATCGAACCATCTGAGCACCGGAATGAAATCCTGTGGATTCGATATTCCGGAAACCCTAAAAATGTCATCTTTAAGCTCTCGAAATCGCTTCGCCTCTTCAGTATCTTCATCCCTACCGAAATACCGTTTCCCGGCGATCATTCTCATGATATTATTAAAAGTCAGGTCAAACAATGATTCCCTCAACTGAACCCTAGCGAAGCCGTCGGAGCAATTCCGGCGGAGCTTTCCGATCAGACGGCCGACTTCATCTCGTCTGATCGACTGGAACAAGTTCAGACGGGCGGTGGAGAACACCTCAACCGTTGCAAAGCGGCGGAGGTTACGCCAGTAATCGCCGTAGGGAGAAGCCACCAAGGTGGAGTAATTGTAGCCGATATACTTGCCGATGATTAAGCGAGGCCTGTTGGCTAAAACGACGTCGTTTTTGGTGAAGCATTCCTCGGCGGTGGCCGGAGACGACACCACGACGACGAGGCGGTTCCCGAAGCGGAGGGAGAAGATCGGGCCGAGCTTCTGGGAGAGATGGTGAAGCGTGCGATGCAGAGGGAACTTGAGGAAACGGAAATGTCCGATGAAAGGCATCGGCGCGCCGGGAGTCGGCGGAAGCCGGCGGCGGCGGCGAGTTCCATTAATGGGTGAGAATATGTATGCGATGTATAGGAGGATAAGTGAGAGGAGAGTGTAGAGCTGCCAGGTTGTTTCCATGGTGGTTTGAAATGTGGATGTAATGATGCAAGGAAATGGGCCGGGAAGATATTTATATTAGCAGAGGGAGTGGGTGGGTGTGGGTGTGGGTGCCCCCGTGGAGCCATGGGCAGATGACGTATCCAATTCATACAATACAATCGATCGATCAATCATACTTGGAACACAAGAAGAAAGTTCTTCTACAATTCAGCTGTAAACTTTTCTTTTCTTTTCTTTTGGGTCAAGGATGATCAACGGGTTTGGTCATTGGTGGTCGCATAGAAACGTATTTGTGGAGGAGATTTGGACAAGAAATATCCAGAAAACGAACAGGTGTGTGGGGCAAGAGAAGGGCCATACTTCGAGACTTTGTTTTATTATTATTTTTATTACTATTATTTAAGAATTGTAAAAATTATAGTATATTAAAAAAGTTTTTTTTTTTAAAAAAAAAGAAATAGATTATTTTAATTTTCAAATTGTAATGAAAATAATGGCAACTGTGCCTCTGCCTTTACTCAATTGTGGCTCTGGTTCAATTTTCAATTCAAATATACATGCATCGTTAGATGTCAGGTTCAAATCAAATTCGATAATATACGAATCCGATTATATATACCCAACCCGAGATATATCTAATGACCTGAGAGATTCGAAATATTTTTTAAGTTTTAAAAATCTAACTTAAAATTGAATTCAAATTTTACATCAAAATTTATATATTTTATTCAAAAATATTATAATAAAATCATATCAAAATAAATAATCAAACTAAAAAATTGGCTTTAATATAATTATATTGTTGAAATTTATCATAAAAAATATATATAACTAATGTATTATTAATATATTAATCGGATCTATATACTATATCTTTGGGTCAAATAAATAGCATCTCTGTGAGATTGTATTTAAATCATATAAGTTAGCTCTCTTTGAAATTTTATGACATGATCATCTAATAATGCAATTACATTCAAACAAGTCATTATGGGGTTTGGCAGGTGGACGTGAAAGGTCGGAGGTTTGAACCCATGATCTTACGGTCACAAATTCAACTCCTACACCATCAGGTCATCCCTTACAGAACATCAAGAGTTTATATTGATGCATATGTTCGTTACATGAGTCTCTATATTCTTAAATGAACTTGGCTATTCCATTTTAAAATATTGTCAAAATAGGAGAATCACCGGCGAACATTTGGTACGCTCTTTTATAGTGATTGTCAATTTGTTAAATGCAAAATTTTAACAAATATAGTAAAATTTGGGGTTAAGCTCAAATGTGATTTTTATAGCCTGAGAATGAAATCTTTAAAATATTACAAAGAAAAAAAAATGCAGAAGATATGACGTGATGATCCCTAATAAATTCTTAAAAAAATTGTGTGTGATGGGAAATGAAAATATGTCTAATTCAAATCAAGTATTTTTAGAAGATTGATAAAGTCAATTATTGTATTATTGGTCGAACCTAATAATAGACAAATTTGATCTGATAAGTTAAGTCATATTACGTGAATCATGACAACAATATTTGATCTTTATTATTATTATTATTATTATTATTATTTTGTATATATTTTTGTATGAAAAATACTAACGTCCTTTTGGATTGACTTTTGGCAAGAGCTTTTGGCTTCTACTTCTAAAAAAAGCAGTTTGCACATATTTGCAATGGCTTGTACCCAAAAGCAGAAGTAGCTTTTGAAGCTGAAAAGCGCTTTTTTCAGAAGCATATTGGGGGAGCTTTTGAAATAAGCAGAAATAGTTTTCAGTTAAAATTATTTTTTTATCCTTAATAATAATAATAATAATAATAATAATAATAATATAAAATAAAAATAAATAACTTATATATTATATTTTAATACAAATTAAAAAATATAATTAATTTATTATTTTTAATTTATGTACTATATTTGGATTAAAATTTAAAATTTAAATAACGAATGTAAATAGGAGTATATAAATTTTTTAATTATACTTAAATTACTAAATATAATTTATAAAATTTTAAAATAAATTATAAAATACAAATTATATAATATTATACCGTAATTGTATCTTTAATTGATATATTATCATTAAATTAAAATTTTAGAATATAAATAATCAAAATTTAAAAGTATTTTTTATACTTTAATTTAAAATCTTTAAATATAATTTATAAAATTTAAATTAAATTATAAAAGTGTTATAGAAAAATACTAGTATTATATTAACCGCATGTTCTTTTAAGTAATTTTAACAGTTTAAAAGCACTTTTAACTATATAACGTCCAAACAATTATTTACGAAAAGCTGCTTTTATAATGATTTATCCAAACACAACATCGAACTGCTTCTGCTTACATCTAACTGTTTCTGCTTTTGGCTTCTGCTTATTTTTTAAGTCAATCCAAACGGGCCCTAAATCCAAAAAATAAGTAATACTCCTTCCGTCATTCAAATTTATATTCATTTCATTTTTGGGTTGTCATCAAAAAATATTCTCGTGTTTTTTTAAAGTAAAAAATCATTACATTTTTGTACTTTTTTTATTATAAAAAAAATAATTATTATTACTCACTTTTATTAAAACTCGTATCCGACAATAAAATTATAGCCCTTTGTCTCGCCCATGCTCATTAAACATTGTATCTCACTTTAAATATCTTGTTCAAATTTCTTCTAGAAATGTGTGGTATGGGCCCAAATACTAAAACTCATATGTTTTGTTTGGTTGAGTTTGAAAAAATTAGTTTTAATTTGATATTAAAATAATATTCGACGAAAAACAGTATTTTTTATTGAAAAATATATAGTCTAAATAGTAAAATTTGAAAAAATTGAATTAAAAATTCTTAACCAAATAAATAAATAATTGGTAACAAATTTTATATAGTCTAAATAATTGAATTAAATAGACTAAAATGAAAATAGTATCATTTTTTCCATTTGATTTTTTATATAAAATAATTGTATATGTAATATATAATTGTAATTTAAGTAAAAGTTAAGAGTATTTTAGTATTAGCATATAATTACCTTTTCAAAAATAAGAAATTGATTCTTTGAAATGAGACATACAAAATAATAGAAAAAATACTTTGCATCGGGCAGAAAAGTATTATTATATACACTTAAAACTCTTTATCTTTTATAAATTAATTTATATTAATTATAAATAAATAAAAAATGTTTTTCTTTATATGTATTACATAAAATTTATTATATATAATATAATATACATATTATATATATTTTTTATTGAGATATCTTTTTAAAATATTTATTTTAATTCTATATTAATATTTATTTTAAAATTATGAACAATTATTTTTAAATAAAAAAATAATAAAATAGTACCCCCTCCGTTCAATTTCTATTGTCCTAAAGTATATTTGTATAGTTTTTAAAGATGATTGTCTTTTCGGTATATTTAAATTAATATTCTCTATATTTCAATTTCCAATAAAATATGCACATTTTATATTTAGTAAATAATGAATCCACAATAATACTGAAAAGGTAATTGGTAGTATTTTTAAAAGTATAGTTAGAAATTAAAGTAAATGAATAGATAAAAAAGGATAATATAACAAAATTGTGATATTTATTGACTTTTTCAAAATTAATAATACATAAATTAACAGATTGACTAAAAAATAGTGAAAATATAATGAGAGGTAAAATATGTATATTTTTAGAAAACAACTGAATATTAATTATTATCTCTTCTCATTAAAAATTCTATGCAAATGACATTATTTTTTTAAAATAATTATGGTACGGGAATTCAATTAGTTCATAATATTATTATTATTATTATTATTATTATTATTATTATTTTAAAAGCAAATACTATTATTTAAAACATGTTAAATAAAGACATAAATGAATAATCTAAATATACTTAGGGTGTGTTTGTTTGGGAGACTTTCCCAAATTTACCCTATTCATCAAATTTTTCTTTCCAAATTTTTTATTTTTATATTATACTGAAAATTAATTTTACATTCAAAACATCAAATCTAACATCTATTTATATCACACCATACGAACTCAAAATTCAAACTCCAAACAAACACACTCAATTTGTAGTATGTATTTGTTGAAGTTTATAATTATAAATTAATGTGGATACCATTTACTTAATATATTTTTCTTAATAGATATTATATTGAAAAATTCATAATAATAATAACACTTTGTTGTTAACCATACAGGTATTACTGCAAAGAACAAAAACCAAACCATGTTTATATAAAAAACTGAGGATAAAAAATCTACATTATTATTTCCAAACATAACTATGTATTACTAAAAAAAAGATTATCTACTAATTTAAACAAAGGACAAGTAACACAACACGTATATAACGTGGATATGCAATCTTTCTACTTTTTTTTTTCAATCAAATTATAAACTATCAGATATGATTGAGGGGAAACCAAAAATAAAAATAAGCTCTCTACCAAAACATATGGCCATATTTATACAGCTTCTACGCTGTCAAAGTCCATCCTCTCGCCACCAGTTTCCTTCAATACAACTAGGCAATTATCATAATCAATGTTGGCAAGGAGCTTGCAAAATAGACCGGGTGGACAATCAACCGAACAACGTGCAAAACCTTGCCCTGAATTACAAATTAATTGATAGAACTTTTCATCTCTCGGATTGAAGGAGGTTATTTCTATATCATAACTATTTTCTTTTTCAAAAATAATTTTCCTCGAATAAATATGATCATCCAAAGGAAAGTTTTTCAAGTCATTTACAACTGTTATTTTCACCTTTTTCAACTTGTTCCAACTCCAACTTCTATTGTTAAACGTTGCATATCGTTTCAAACTAGAATCAGGGACGACTATTTTATAATCCTTCGAAAATGGATCAAAACCGACACCGCATCTCAACCAAAGAATATCGCTCGAAAAAGGAGACCCCAATTTTGCGGATGGATTCCAGAGGGCGAGAGAAGGCGTTCCGAGAGAACCCAAAATTACAAGTACTAGGCATCTCTGTGAGACCAGATGCCGCAGGAAACAGATTTGAATCGGAGTCGCACGAGAAAAAGCTCCATAACATCAGCCGAAACCAATCCACTTGATGCACTTCGTCATACTATGTGTAGGCAATGGAAATGGTTAAAATCACTCCAATATTATTAGGATAATAGAAAATCTAGCTGAATCATCTGTATATATATATATATATACATATATAATGTAACAAAATTTGGATAAATACCAATTCAATTCAAAAGCAAAATTTTCGGTTGAAGTTTATTTATGGAGAAAGAGATTTTTACGTAGATTTAATAGAAAAAAAAAATTATTATAAAGATTCAACTAAATATATTTATTTTATCCAAAATTTTACTATTCACAAAATTTAAATTTTAATTGAGATTTTATAAAAAAATATATATATATATATTCATAATTCATATTAAAAATTTTATTCATAAAAAAAAATTCTAAAAAAAAATCAACTCTAACACTGATTTTTTTTTATTTTATATATTATATTATTAATTTTATATTCAAAGTATTATATCAACATCTATTTGTCAAATTATATATTTATATTTATTTTAATTCAAAATTTATATTAGAAAATACAAACACTCACGTGAACACAATATTCCTATATTCTTATAGTAGTTTCTCTGCTAATATCGTCCTTCCTACTGTAAAAAAAAATTAACATAATATACAAAAATATATTTATAATAACTAAAAGAAAAGTAAGCATACAATATTAAATAATGCTAATAATATATATAAACATACAAAAATTTCACTGTTTATGAAAATTTTCAAATATAATATATCCGAAAATAATGAGAATTAAACCAATACTCAATCGATTAAATAATTTTCCCTTTCCCTTCCATTTATGGTGAAAAAGCATCCTGGCCGGATTGACGCCGGCGGCGGTATTTGAGTAGTAGGCAGGCGGCAGCAACTTACAAAATTAATGGCGGGAGGCTAAGTGAAATTGTACAATACACGATTAGATTAGATTAGCGTGGATGAATCTGGCGAACGGTCATTAGCCTGACTTGGTATCAAACCTTTCGAATCCGAGCAATTGGAAAATCGACGTGACGCCATTGCTGGCCAAGTCTTCTAGAAGCTGCTTGATCTTCTCGCGGGTGTCGGCGCAGGTTAGAACGGCGCCGAGCCACATTCGGAGATCCTCAAAAAATTCCTCCGGCTTATCTTATCGGGATCATGCTCGCCCACCGACGTGATTGGCAGTCTATTTCAGGTCGTCACTTTGAACATTATCTTTTATTTCTGTAGTTTCAATGAAGTAGAAACATTGTTCCTTTGACCACCACCATTACAGTATTGATAAAAGAACAAAAAGATAGAAAGATTGTTCCTTTGATTTGACCACAACAGTTACCGAGGATTTGTTTCATATTTTATATGCTTCACTAAAGTTCCTCCTAAAAAAATATGTCCCCCTCTAAACTATGCAAAAGCCATATTATATGTATATCAGTAGTTTCTCTTTCTCTAGACAAAAAAACTCAGGTATGATATGTAGTGAAAATCCAATCCAACTACATAGTGGAAGGAAACAAGGTTACATTACATGTCAAGTAAGGCCAGAATACATGAAATCCCAAGCTGTTACAGAAAAGATCAAAATGTCCTTACACTCATCATGTTTAGCCACAATGATCCATCATATTCATCTAGGCAAGAACAAATCTACAGTGATTATAACCTGCAAGCAAAGAGTACTCATCATGTTTAGCACACTAACTTATTTATTCATTTATCGATTGATGAAATAAAAACAGGTGCTTTGCTTACTTGGGTCTGAGCTGATGAGCATAGCAGTGCCTCTAAAGCCACAAGTGCCACCATTCCTCTTCGTCTTCTGCCAGTAACTATTGAAAGCATACGATGCATGTGCCACAAGAGATTCAGGGAAATAGCAGCTCCCATCAGGCTGAATTTCTTCACAGTCAGCCCCACCTTCTCCACAGGCATAATCCAGGGCCTCCTGCAGTGTCTCTTGTGGGACACTAGGCTTAGCAACACACCACAGCCCCTGGTGAGTCACCCCCCCTGGTGCAGGTGCACCCACAGAGCCATAGCCATTGCCATCAGAGGGAGTGCAGGGAGGCAAATGGGGGGGGGGCATATGGAGGGTCAGCCATTGGTGCAAGATGTGGACCTGGAAAAGTTGAAGGGGGGAAAGGGAGGGGATTTGGGGGAGGTGAAATAACTCCTACTAATGGAGGGAGAGGGCTTCCTGGATTTGAAGAACTGTGAGGGGAATGAGTTGGGGGGGCTATTGGGGTTGGCCTTGGGGGGTAGGGGTCGACTTTATCCTTATTGCTGCTTACATCAATGAATGACAGCTTTCTACTAAAGGGTCTTCTTCTTCCTTGTGTTGCTCTATGTATGATCACATTGCTCTTCTGCAAATCAAGAAATCCCAATTTCTTCATGGATTTGAAGTGGGGTTTCAGAAAGGTAAGGTTTTTACCACCTGAATCATGTGGGGGTGAGCTAACAACATAAGGTGAACCAATTTCTTGCAAAATGGTGAGCAAAGGTTTGATGTAACTCTCAGCTATATCTTCTCTGTAGGCTTCAGACTCCATATCCAAACAGTCAGAGGAAACAGAAGCAGAGACCTTAATGTGGTTCTGCAAACCCCACCTGGTGAGTGAATGGTGAAGGTTCTTGATGGATGGCAAGACCAGATCCAAAACATGCTGTTGATCCTTGTTGCAAGAACCAGATTGTCCGACTATTACAGTGCTTATGTTGACACCAGGATAATGTGCCAGAACATGGCTTCTGAGCCAAGATTCAGCCATGAGAACACTTCTTGATAGACCCTCTAGCCGTTGAGTCTCCACCTGGACAGCCACAGGTAACCCATTTTGGAAGACATCATCTGAGCCCTCAAGTGGTAGAAACTCCACTGATTCTTGACAGGTAGCTGGAGAAAAAGAAAATGGAGGGAAATCATAAACACTTGCTAAAAAATAAAAATAAAAAATCATAAATGCAAATACAGAGACATTCAAGGAATCAAATGAGCTTGGCTTGGTAAGAACTCCATTGATTCTTACCTGTTGAGCAGAGGAGGTACAAAAAGTGAGACACCAACCAGACCATGTTCATCATTTTGCAGCAAGTGTATTGAATGGAGAGAAGATTAGAAGTTCAAAACCAGAGAAATGGTAGTGCAGTTTTGTAAGATTTCTGCCAATTTTGGGAAATGCCACACCTTTCCCTTCTCTCTCTATTCAGTTCCTGAGTCTTATTTCTGTCATTTTTCCAAGGCTCAGTCTCAGTGCCAGTGTACTATGCAGAGCTGCCATGAGAAAGCAAGCACGGAAAAAGAAAAAGATGAAAAGCAGCCATATCAGTAAGGTAACCCTTTGGAATTTATTATTTTTTTTATTTCCTTTGGAATTTTATTATTATTATTATTTTTAAAATTTTAGTGCAAGTAAAAATCTTGTGTGTTGAAGTACTACAGCCATAGCTCGATAAAGTGAAAATCCATTTATGAAATAAAAATTGAAAAAAGGGCTAAAGTAGGATATGTCAGAGTGAAAAAAGACTAGACCTTGGGGGTCGTAGGGACCTGTGAATGCATACAGACAAAACGACACCGTTTCGAGAACAGTGCTAAATAAGCCCATCGGCCCAGCCCAGAAATTCTTTTAAATGGGCCCATGTATCTGTTGAGTCCAGTTGTTTTCTTTCAAGCATTATTAGCACAAATTAATGGAAAATTTCTTTGTAATGAAATTATTCGTTCTATATAACTAAACTTTAAAAATCAAAATTCTCAATTAAATTACAGTCTTAGGGTTAGTGTGTAAGCACTGATATTCATATTCATATTCATATTATTAGCTAATGTTGTCATCCCACAACATATTTGTCCAACGTAATATGATAGTAATTTTCAAGAAGTAGTTTTATTAGTTGTAATGTTCAATAAATTTTCCCTTTTTAATTATTATTTGTGTATAAACATTTTCTATTTTTAAAAGTTTAATATATATGATTATCTATTTAATAAAATACATAATTAATTAACGGTTTGATTTTTTACTTCAATGTTTTTTGTTTCAAATAATATTTTCTATATTTTTATCTTTCCCAATTTGTGTATATAGTTTTTATAATAAATATTTTATAATTTCAAAAAATATCATTTTATTTTTAGTAAAAATGTAACTTAGATGTTTATTTATTTATAATAATTTTTTATTATATAATTAGAACTTCTTATATAAAATTTTTTTTCTATCTTTTCAAATTCTCACTTGAATTTAGAAAATCAAACAAAATACAATAATAAAAAAGTTGGTTTTTTTCTTTCCGTTCAAACAAAAAATAATATTATTGAAAGAAATCAAAATTAAATATAAATATTATATATATATCCATTGTTTATATATTTTAAATTTGATAATAAAATTAAAATATTAAAAATATATCATATAAAATATAACAACTCTCACATATATATTTGAAAGCATTAAATTAAACTAGTTTTTTTTGGCACGGCAGAAACTACCGATAGGAACAAATAAGAAGGAACGATTTTCTAAATTCATGACCTAAACCGGGTTTTTTTATTTTAATCTTAGTAGGTGAATGAAGAAAAGTTGGCTCCGGACCGATTTAACGGAGACATACTAGAATCTATCTTCCTCATCTCGACTCTATTTGTTTTATGGCCGCTATGTTGGTTCTTTTGAGTTACTTGTGGTTGTCGATCTCTAGCTCGGTAAAGTTATTGTCGTCCATTAATCTTTTTATCCCTGTTGAGTCTAAAACTAATGAAAACAAGAATACCATTTATATTAATTTTGACTCACCTCTTTCGACACTGAAATACAAGAAACTTGAAACAACAAAGTCTTGTTCATTATCGAGTTTATTCTTTGGCTGGTTCTGCTGGCAGCAAGCAGAGAGTTTTTTTTCTTCACCTTTTTTTGAATCTGGGTTCAGATTTTGCCAATCTTCTTACTTTTGAAATCAAAATTTGGGTATACTATAGAGAAAGTGAGTTCAAAATGTCTCTTTCTTTTTCCAACTCATTTATCTCTTTCGGAAGGAAATCAAGCTATCTCTTTCGGAAGGAAATCAAGCGTGTGTTTTTTTAGGTTGATTTTGAAAAAAATTTATTTGAGTTTGATATTTAAATAATATTTAATAAAATATTTTGTGAGAAGAAAAAATATATTTTTTTCGAAAAAACACATAGTCCTAATAATAAAATTTGAAAAAAATTTATTGAAGAAACGTACCCATATCTTTCTTCCTCAAGTAGTTAACATTTTCATTCTTTTCTCATGTATATATATCAAGAGGATTGTATTTACTGGTCGGAGTTTGTTGAGACATGGAAAGAGAGAGTTTGTTAGACGTGAATATGAATATATAAAGAATATTTTATTGAATATATATATATATTTTTATAAATACTATTATTTTATATTACATTATAACTTTTACATAAAAAATTAAGGACAAAAACATCGTTACATTAATTTGAACTATTTATTATAATAAAAAATTAAGGACAAAAATTATACTACTATAATATTTAAAATGTTATAAAATATAGTATAATAATAAAATGTTATAATTAATATATGTTATAAAATGTTATAATATATGTTATAAAACGGTATAATTAATTATACTATATGTTACATAGTATACTACTATAATGTTTTAAAATGTTATAAAATATAGTATAAATATACTACTAAAATATTTAAAATGTTATAAAATATTATAATAATAATAATAACATTATAAAATATAGTATAAATATACTACTAAAATATTCTAAAATGTTATAAAATATTATAATAATAATAACAATATGTGCACCTTACCAATAGAGATATAAATTAATATATGTATATATATGTACGTGTCTGTGTTAAAAGTTTAGAGAAAGAGAGTTTGATAGAGAGAGAGAGGCAGTGTGAGAGAGTAAGGTTAGAGAGAAATACATAGTTGAATGCGAAATGGAGTGAATTTATACATTTTCCGAAAAAAAAAAAAAAAAAAATTTCTTCTCGCAAAATATCTTTATCGTATCAAAATTTTCTCAAATTTTTATATTTTTATGTAAAAAAGTTGTTTTATTTTTATATTTTCATCTGTTCCAAAATAATTGTCTTATTTTTTTATATAGTAATTTATAGTCATTACTTTATAACAAAATTATTCTTATTTTTCAAAACTAACTCTAGTTATTACTCTAACATACTTTTTCAAATCATTCAAAACGTAAAAATATTTTATTATTTTACCTTCTACCTTATACTCACTTTTAATTAATTATTCTGTGTCTACTCCCGATAAGACATCTTTTCTGGGACGGAAGGAGTATAATTTTAGGGTTATGTAACATTTAGCATTTTAGAAATACAAAACATTTTTGTTTTTGAATTTTTATAAATTTCAAAATTTCAATACATGTTATCATCTGAACCATCTTCCTTTTAACCATTTGTTTTTTTGGACACACCATAAATTTTTCTTTCTAGGAAAAAAAATAAAAATCTAACATTAATTGAAATGATAAAAGAAGTGAAAAATAAAATTAAAAATTAAAAAATTACAGACCACATACAGAATTCTTAATTGTGTTTATCTTATATATATATATATATATAGAGGGATGTTAGAAATAATAAAAACTATATGAAAAAACTTTTGAGTTACCACGCTATCATTAAAATTTTTTGATATCACCTTACAATTATTATTTAAAACTTAATTAATACTCGCTTCGTCCTAGAAGAGATGTCTTGTTGGGAGTTCGCACAATAATTAAGGAATAATAATATTTAATTGAAAGCTGGTATAAAGTAGAATGTAAAAAAACTATAATGCCCTTACGAAAGATTTTAAAAAGTAGGTTAGAGTAATAATGAGAAGTAGTTTGGAAAAGTACGAATAATTTTGTTATAAAGTGGGGACTACGATTACTAAATAAGGAAACAAAGACAATTGTTTTGGGACGAACGAAAACGAAAAAACAAAACAACTTTTTTGGGACGTTGGGAGTATTTTATTTTCAATACTTCAATGTTATTTATAGATATTTTTATTGATGAAATATGTTTTCATTATTTAATACTTATTCGTTTTTATGGAATTTAAAAATAATTACCTTCAATTAATTAATACATATTCTTTTAACATGATTTTTATTTTGATTAAAAATATTCATAAATTATAATATTCTATACATATTTTAGAGACAATAATAATAATAATAATTCAGTAGTGTAACTGCTAATGTGCATTAGATAATACATTAAATTTATAAAAAAATTATTAAATAAATAATTATGTGCGATTCTTATCCTCCAAGTTTTGTGGTCATTATTATTATTATTATTATTTTTTATATGGCCTTTTGATTTTCAGATTTGATTCTAAAAAAAATCCTAGGTCGGCAATCCCTATGATATGTGGAAAGTGAATTTGTGTGACAATCATCCTATGTGCACAATCAATGAGAGGTAAATAAAACCCTAAATTTCAAATTTTATAATTGTAAACATATATTGTCACAATGTTTCTAATATAAACAATGTAATATTTGTTTACAGGAAAAGATGCCACTATTTGTAGAACAAGATAGTCAAAATTTTCAACAGCTAACTTTTTAGAAAAAAAAAAAAAAAAAAAAAACTTAATTTTATTTTATCTATTTATTTATTCGCAGGGCAACTATTAAATAAATAAATCGATTAACTGCAATGGTGAAGGCCATCGATCCCGACACTGGTTCAAGTAGACATTATTAAAAGAAATATGTTGAAGTTGCTATTAAAAAAAGTCAGTAATTTTAGTACAAAATGATGACTTTTTACTGAAAATGCATGGAAAAATATATGAAATAATTTAATAAAATTTCGCTTTGTGACTTTTTATTTGCAGGGAGGATTGTTTGAATGGTGTTGTTGTATGAATTATTTCTTTAATATGTCCAAAAAATTGTCTTTGACTGAAACTTTATACGGTTTTATATTAAATAATTAAATAAATAAATTATACAACAAAATAACCTAGAGCACACTATTATAGACAATATACTCTCTCCATCTCATGTCAAAGTATATTTTTTTTTATTTTTCGTCTGTCTCATTTTTAAGTATCTCTTTCTTTAAAAGTAATTATACATCAATATTAAAATACTCTTTAACTTTTACTTAAATTACAAACATATCACTACACATACTATTACTTTTTATATAAAATCAAAAGGCAAAAACGCCAAACCTCTTGCACACTTCCACTAATTAATAAAATACTATTATTTTTTAATCTACTACAAAAGCCCAAATAACACTTTGGACCGGGACGAATGGAGTATAATATAATAAAAATACAACACATGAACTAACAATACATATTATAATCATATACATACATAACAATTAATTTTAATACATGACATACAAATTATTGTTGTATATACAATTGATTATTAATGTCATAGATAAATTAGTGTTCTTTTTATTTCTTTTAATGCCATATTTACTTCCTAGACCTAATACTCACTATTTACTTAACTAATTTAAGTACCTTTTTACTCATTTAATACTATTTATTTTTAAAAACATATCACACCAAATGCATTTTTTCTCTGGTAAAACATCAAATCAAATACTAATTTTTTTTTATTATTATTTTTTTCAAATTTCCAAAAACCCCTATCTAAAAAAACCCTAATATATTATTCCTCGTAATTTATATTAGAAAGATGCCGCTCATAAATAAAACCAAATCATATCCAGAATTATAGGAGTGTTTTTTTTTTTTTAACAACCAATTGATGGAGTAATTGTGTCTAGCATGAATGAAATTGACAAGTTTGCCCCCATTGAAGTTGAAAAATTGTGACCCCAAAAGCCCACATAGACAGACAATAAATTATGCCATTCGAAAAAAGGAAACTTAGAACAAAAGATTCGACACCCACGAACAATGATCAGAATGTTTTTAGCAAAATATACTGAATAAACAATAATAATATATCAATAATTATACCTTCTTGGTGGGCTCCACAGCTTTTGTGGATTTGAGAATATTAAGGCTACATTCAAATAAAAGTTTTTAAAATTTTGAAATTTTAAAAGAAAATAAATATTTGATATGATTTTTTTTATTAAGAATTATTAATGAAATCCCAAAAGAAACGAACCTGTTCTTTTCCCCCATAAAATATTAAGGGACTTGTTGATGACATTGTTACAATAATTATTATTGAACCTTATAAAGTGAACATAACTTTTGAAAAAATGACATTCTACATACTGTATTGACAATTTAGAAAAAAGTCTGCCTCAGTATTAATTGCAAAATTGCATGTGTCTAGACTATATATATATTTAATACACTATTCGTTTCTTAGTGTAGGCTGAAATGTATAGTGACGATAATAGTAATTTAGATCCAAAGAAACAAATTTGGAAGCAAGCAAAGGTGAGGATGCTTAACTTGAGAAATCAAATTAGAACAATTATTGGACACAAGAAGAATAATTATTACAATCAAGTTCTATTTTATACTCAAGAAATCTTCTAGATTTGGGGTTTTTATTTAACAGACAATTTACACACCAAATATCACTGTTTTTAGTATAAGCCCATCATTTCAAGAAATATGTTCAATATTTTGTTAAAATATTAACATCAAATTAAATAACAGTACAAGCCAAGTGTACTTGACTTCACTGACACCTGTCTTCCATGATTTTCACCTGTAATTATTTTCCATGCTTCAATTTTAATGTACCAAATGCATTATTAATACTACTCTACTGTTGTGAATGAAATAATTTTCTCATATAACACCAAACCGACACTCTTACCTTGGTTTGTTCCTTGTCTGATACCTTCTTTGATTTTTATTTTATTTTTATAAAGATAAATAATAAAGGGTAAAGAGTGGGCCTGTGGATAGAGAATAGAGTTTGGACTTTGGACATTTTTATTTATTTATTTTTTTTGTGGTAGTAAAAAAAAAGAAAAAAGAAAAAGAAAAGGGTAGCTGAAGCTGCTGCTGTCCTTTTCAACAATCCTCCACTAGTTTTGCTAGAATCAAAGCGAAAATTGTATTTATTTAGTTATTTATTGCATGAAAAAGAAAGGGCTAATGATATTATTATATATTTCAGTTTATTTCATTCATTACTGTTCCTGATATTAATTATGTTCTATATCTAAATTCAATTCTCAGCCCTACATCTTGACACAAGAAAAAGGTGAGATCATGAAATATGAGCACCATCATCTTCACTCTACTCGCACAAAATAAATATCCCATATTTTAATGGCAGAAACATGAATACAAATTTTCTTTTAGGACAGAAAGCAGCGTTAACGTGGTCCTCTAGTACTACTACTCGAATCATCCTCCATTAAAGGTCACCAGTGTCTACTTTATTGTTTTCTAATATTGCCCAAGATCCTAAACAGCATGTTCTTATATTATACTTGCTATGTATCTTTTCATATATATATAATATTAGCTACTAAATCAAATGTAAAGAAAGCATTAAATTTGTGTACCTGTGCCACTGCCAAAGGAATATTATCATATGGAAAAGAATAGCAAGCAATCCTCCATTTCAGATCTTGGATCCTCCTACAGAAGCTTTCACCTTTACAGCCGTTCCCTGCCATGGTGGAAGACGCAGAGAAGAGCACAAATTTAGGCCCTGGAAAACAAACACCAGAAATGAATAACCATCCTGACAGAGAACAACGAATTATATTATGAAACCTAATTTTATAATCGTTTTCTTCATCCCACCATTGCTGGCTGCTGCTGTTTCTTCTTCGGCTCTCAATTTTTCAGATAGTAGAAGAATTCTGCATCAACCCTTGTACCCTGCTACATCTTCCCCACCGTCGCCGCCGCCGCCGCCTCCGGCGACGGCGGAGGGGTCAGGGCCGGACCAGCCGTTCTTCAATGAAATACCAAATGGACAGACACCGGATCAGGGGGGGCAGGAGGCGCCGCCTACCAGCAGTACAGCTGTGGCCAATCCAGGCCCCACTCCGGCGTCGAATTCTACCAAAAAAATGGCGATTGGAATCACATCGGGGGTTCTCACTCTAGGAATGCTGTCGGCTTTGGCTTTCTATATCTACAAGCACAGGACGAGAGGTTTGGATGATTCGCAGAAGCTTGTCGGAGGAAATTCGCAGAGGATCCATGAAGATTCGAGAATGCCGCCGTCGACTTTTCTGTACATCGGCACGGTGGAGCCTTCCGCCACCAGTTTAGTCGGCGACGGGAATGGCGGTAGCGTCGTTAGTGGCTCGCCGTATCGGAAACTGAACTTCGGGAAAAGATCTGACCGGTATAGACCTAGTCCTGACCTTCAGCCACTCCCGCCGCTTCCCAAACCTCCGCCTCCGCCGAACATTAATTCTCCGCCGCCGATGTCGTCGTCCGACGATGAGAGCCACGACACCAATTTCTACACTCCGCAGGGATCGTCGTTGAGCAATGAATCTCCGAGTTCACGGCAGAGCTATCTGAGTAACAATCGTGGTGGTGTCGGTAATGTTCCTCATTCGAAGAGAACTTCGCCGAAATCACGTTTGGCAGCATCGTCTCCGGATACAAAGCCGGTGATGATTCCGTCGATTAAGCAGCCGTCGCCGCCATCGCCGCCGGAGGGTTCTTCCTTGGGGCCACTGCAGCCGAGCAAGATGCTATCCTACACTCCTAAGAGGGCGAAATTTTCGGCCCCACCACCGCCGCCGGACATGGCGCGGCTCAGATCAATAAGCAATTACGATCAACAACCATCGAAGGTCCAAATTCCACCTCCACAGCCACCGCAACCACCGCCTCCGCCTCCGCCTCCGCCGCCTCCGGCGTCAATCCCTAGAAATTTCCGGCCTAAGGAACCACAGACCCCTCCGCCGATTCCCAAACAAGTAATAAACCCCGAGTCAAAAAGCCCTAGCTCCTCATCAAATTCAGAGTCGGAGAAAACGCATTCCAGTACCGAATCGAATAAAGTAGCCAATTCATCTGACAAAAATGATGAAAGAGAGGACAAGGATGGATCAAAACCGAGGCTGAAACCCCTGCATTGGGACAAAGTACGAGCCACTTCAGATCGAGCCACAGTTTGGGACCAATTGAAGTCGAGTTCCTTCCAGTAAGCGAAGCACATTCCAAATCTCGAAATAATGTTGAACGGATACTCTCTAAGAGCCAAATTGTTTACCTGCACAGGTTGAACGAGGACGCCATGGAATCGCTTTTCGGATGCTCAGCAAATTCAGCTCCTAAAGAAATAACCAGGAGATCATCTCTGCCAACAGCCGAGCAGGAGAACCGCGTGCTGGATCAAAAGAAATCGCAGAACATTGCCATACTATTGCGCGCATTAAACGTGACCAAAGAAGAGGTTTCCGAAGCGCTTCTAGATGGTATGCTTGCTAGTCTAGAACACAACAATCCTTCATCACTACTAACAAACATTAATATGTACTTCGTTTTAATGGCGCAGGAAACACAGAAGGATTAGGTCCAGAGCTTTTGGAGACGCTGGTGAAGATGGCACCAAACAGGGAGGAAGAGATGAAGCTCAAACACTACAATGGCGAAACCTCAAAGCTCGGATCAGCAGAGCGGTTCCTCAAGGCAATACTGGAGATTCCATTTGCATTCAAACGAGTAGAATCAATGCTGTACAGAGCAAACTTTGATGCTGAAGTAACTTACCTAAGAAAGTCCTTCCAAACACTCGAGGTACCGATCACTCCATCGAACAATTACCAAACCAAACCTACACAAATGTTTCAATCATCTTCCTCACGATGCAGGCAGCCAGCGAAGAACTGAAGAACAGTCGCCTCTTCCTTAAACTCCTCGAAGCCGTATTAAGGACAGGAAACCGAATGAATGACGGCACGAACCGCGGAGATGCCAGAGCTTTCAAATTGGATACATTGCTGAAACTGGTGGACGTCAAAGGGACAGACGGAAAGACGACGCTGCTGCACTTCGTCGTACAAGAGATCATTAGGTCGGAAGGAGGCGCCGACAAAATATCGATCAAGTTTAAGGAAGACGAATTCAGGAAGCAAGAATTGCAAGTGGTGTCGGGGCTGAGTAAAGAGCTCGGCAGTGTAAGAAGGGCCGCCGGAATGGACTCCGACGTGCTCAGCAGCTATGTCTCCAAGCTCGAATCGGGGCTGGAGAAAGTCAGATCAGTTATGCAGTATGAGAAACAGAGCAAACAGAGTGAAAAATTCTTCGATTCGACAAAAGAGTTTCTTAACGATGCAGCTGAGGAAATCGCGAAAATCAAAACAGAAGAAAGAAAAGCCGTGTCTTTAGTAAAAGAAGTGACCGAATATTTCCATGGCGACGCCGCGAAAGAGGAAGCTCATCCTTTTCGAATATTCATGATCGTACGCGACTTTCTGTCCATACTCGACAACGTGTGCAAAGATGTCGGGAGAATGCAGGATAGAGCGACGATGGGGGCTGGGAGATCATTCAGAATGGCGGCGACTGCGTCGCTGCCTGTGCTCAATAGATTCAATGCTCGCAACAATCCTAATTCAGACGATGATCAATGAAAGAACTTGGACAAATTCGTCTCCAGGCATCAATTTGCAGGAAATGCGATGTAATCGAAGCATCTTGTACATGCCTAGTATGCCTTTCGAGCATCCTTTTTGAAGGGAAGAGTTGCAGACGTGTCGTAAAGTCATGGAAGCTCGAGATGCTCAAAAGTCTACGTCGAAGCTCCTTAGAAGAACTGGAATAAGAAGATAGAGAGCAAAGAGTTTTGAATATGATTAGCGAAAACGATATAGCAAAGAGATGCATAAATTCTTTTTTCTGCAGAACATAGTAGCCTAAGGCGAAGAACACGATCTTCGATCATTCTATACTGTGTATTGTCTCATAGAAAAATCGCCGTGCTGCTTTCAATAAGGTGAGTTAGCTTCAACCATTCTTTCTCCGAATCATTAATCTCATTGTTTGAACTATCAATCTTTTACTATTTTCAAAAATTTTCGAAACTCCAAAACAATAGATCTAAAGAGAGGCGTTGTGTAATGATATTTTTATCCTTGTTTTTTGGTGTAAAATGTAAAGATGCGATGTAAAGTAGGGGTATTTATGAAAAAAAAAATATATTTAATGAAATGTTTATTTTGTAATTGGACGTCCTAAAATAGAAACATATATACTTTCTAATTGGACGGAGGGAATATAATATAAAAAATAAAAAATTAAGTGTGATATTTTTAGGAAAAAAAATAGGATGAATAGTGAAAATTTAATCAGAGTTTATTTGTTTATCACTTGGTATGCATAGGTGGATTGTTCAATATTATTTTTAATAGGGCTAAAATATTATTATTATTATTATTTTTATCATTTGTATTAATATTATTTTTAATAGGGCTAAAATATGGAAGCGACCGCGAAAACGAAAATCAAATAATTCAAATGCTATTTGCGTCACCGACGAATCACAAGCAAACTGTTCTTGTTGCCAAAACGCTACAGTCCCATCTCCGGTTTGCAAAACCAACCAGCAACGGAAAACCTATTTCGCAAGCACTTCAAATTTCACACATGGAGAAAAGGCTCCGCTCGTCGCTGCAAACCTCCGCCGAAGATTTCCTCTCCTGCGCCGCTAAATTTCCTCTCAAATCATCCAAATCTTTCATCAAAACTCTGATTAATAGCTTAATTAAACCCACATCCGACCTGACCTCCTCCCTACCCCGCGCCCTCTGCATTTCCATAGCCCAATGTATCTCAAAGTTCAAAAATCAATCTGAATCAGCGTTCATGGCTTCCCCGGTTACGCCTCCGGCGAAGCGCATCCGAAGATCTGGAAGGAACAAGAAGGATGACGGAATGTCTCCCACTAAAGACAACAATTGTCACCAGTCAATTGTTGAGAAGCTCCAGCTTTATGCATACATTGTACAAGTTTGCGCCTTCCACCATGAAAATGTGTTTTCCGATGCTGATTTGTTTCCTGCAGTTCAAAATTTGCATGACAACTTAATTCTGTTCGAATCTGATTCATTTTTGCTGTATGAAATAGCTAACTTATGTGAAGAATGGTGGAAGGGGGATTTGTGTGGAAAAGAAACCCTAATTTCGCAGTCATTACCAGTAATTTTGTCTCGCTCATTGACCCTGAAGAAAAAAACGGATGTTCATCGAATTTACAGACTTCGTGATGCTTTCGTCCTCTTCGATTTTGAGGATGAGAGTATTGAAGACTTGAAGAATTTGCTGATCCGCTGTGTGATCTCGCCTTTGTATTTGAAAACAGAGGAGGGCAGAAAATTTTTGGCATTCATATTCATCCTAAATGTGCAGCTTACAAAGGAAGTGTGCGCTATGGTAAAATCTCAGATCCCATTTGGGCGAAAATCGGTGCTGGAAGCTTATGGGGAAATTGTTTTCAGGGCATGGAAGGCTGTGGAGGGAGAGTGCAGATGTGAAGTTGAAAAGGGGTTTTTACAAGAATTAGTTGAGGGTGCAATATACGCCAGCACAGAAGCATTAGCTGCTTCTATTAGAAGAATGTTAGGAGTTTTTGTTGACAACCGGACCACAGAGGGAGTTGAGAAGCTGATTTTTGGTCTGGCTGAGCCGATTCTTTTCCGGTCACTTCAGGTACTCTGTTTTTGTCTAAAAAAAAGGGACTTGTTTGTAGATTTCTGAAATAATCTCGCTTAGAAACTCTTCAGCATAATTGGCTTACTTGCGCTTGGATATTCCAATAATGTGGCTTTGCAGTATTATCTTGCAATGTTCTCAATCTGCAGATCTGAAGTATGTGTGGTACAATATAAATCTTCACAAATATGTGCTAAGCTTTAAAGTATTGATGTAGAATTTGATTAATATATGCCCCTCTGTTTCCTTCGACTTTCTGCCAGATGTTTAACTTCTTTGCAATCAGTGTATATAGAAAGAAAAAAAAAGGATTTGAAATGTTCTCTACTTCAAAAAGATTTGAAAGTTTGAACAATGGTTCTTGGCAGACTGCTCCTCACTCAATGGTGTTTGGCACATTGCTCACTTTTGCTCTACTTATTCACTCTTTGTTTCCACACTCTGCAACTTTGTTCAACTCAGCATGGTCATCCTTCAACATTGCCAATTCTGCATCTAACAGCAATATTTGTTTGAATGCTTATTTGCACTTCTGTTTCAAATCCTCATAGTTTTCAAGCTCATTTGTATTTGAGCTTGACTTATTTGCGCCTTTGTTTGCAGACTCTTGTTGCTCATGTTGACTTGTGGAACATCATGTCAAAACTAACTCTAGATTTAAAATAAGTTAGTTAGTCTTTGAGGAGTGAGCAATTTATTTATAATAGAATATTATTATTTTCTTTTTCTTTAGTGTTATTGTGTATCATGGGAAGCTTGAGCCACCACAGAAAATGACTTATGCCCACGTAAACAGTTTCTTCAGCATCTAGTGTACTTCTATAATCTAATTATCTCTCTCCGTAGTGTTCCTGAGATTTGATTCATTTCTATAGTGAATCATGGACCAGAGGGAAGGCTCTTTTACATTTTGCTTTCTAGCAACTTAAAGTATTTGGATCTTCTGCAGGTTGCAAACTCGAATGTCCGTCGGAATGCACTGAACTTACTTTTAGTCCTGTTTCCTTTGGAAGATCCTGATGTCACTATGGAGGTTAAAGACACACTATTAGAGAAACAATTCTTTCTGCTAGAGAAGTTACTCATGGATGATTGCCCAGATGTACGATTAGTAGCTGTAGAAGGCTGCTGTCGTATTCTTCATTTATTTTGGGAAGTCATTCCATCCCCGATTATTACAAAGATTATCACCAAAATCTTTGACAACATGACTGCTGATACTTGTGCTGAGGTCAGACTCTCGACAGTGAATGGTGTCATATATTTGCTTGGAAATCCTCAGTCCCATGAGATCCTTAAAGTGCTCTTGCCTAGGATGAGCAAATTAAGTATGGATCCTACAGCAGTTGTCCGTAGTTCTCTCTCTGATCTCCTCCTTCTCTTGAATGACATCGGAAATTTCCAGTTCCATAAGGTAAAAGATTATAACTATTGAAACAGTTGTTTCAATTCCCCTCTTTATGATCCTGTCTGTCTAGTAAAATTTCTGTTTGCTTCTTCAGGTGGTATCAGTAGATGATTTGCTTTCAATACTTGCAAATGACCAACCAGTCATTGGAAGAAAAATCACCAAACTTCTTATTCCATCGTACTTCCCATCTAAAGTGACAGTGGAAGAAGCTTGTAAACGCTGTATTGCTCTTATCAAAAGGTCACCTGCGGCTGGAGCAAGATTTTGTGAGTTTCTAGCTTTGGAAGGAGCTTGCCCGCAATCTCTTTTGAAACTTTTTAAAGTTATTATTGGTTTGATTGTGCCATCTGTTAAACTTAGCAAGGAGCTCATTGAGAGTTTACTCGTAGCTGCCTCTAACCTTTGTTCAAATCTTGCAAAGGATGATTCTTTTAACGCTGCTCTGAAAGAGGATCTCTCTGTTGAGAAGCTGAAAACACTATTTTCTGTTGCTTCTACACCACGTGCCCAATCTTCCGTCTGCAACATTGTTTCAGCAATGTCTCTGGATTCTGTTGGTGGCCTTTTTGAAGATTGCATGAACTTGCTTTCTAAATTCAGTGGTTTAGCTGACAGTGTTGAAAGACAAGCTGATGTAAGATCTGCCCAAAGGATGATCTTTTTGTGTGGCTGGTTTGATGAAATGTTTGAAGCTCTTGTTGGGTTTCTGCAAGATGCTGCCTGGGGATGTCATGAGAAGTTTGGTATAGAATTAGAACAGAATTTTAGGTCAGCAACACGAAAGAAGACTAAATCTTCTATAAGAATTTCAGCAAAGTCAAAACATGTCAAGGGTCATAAGTCATCTCATACGGCCAAAGATAAATTTTTGGAAGATTGTGTAGTTGCCGATGGAGTAGCATGGCACATAAAGGATCTACTGCTGACTGAAAATGCAAGGAAAGTAATGCTAGGTTCTGGAATCTTATCTAATGCACATTATGCTCTAAAGGTCATCTCTGAAGCATGGACTCTAAATGTTCTGCAGTATGATCATTTGGGAATAAGTCCAATTTCTACTTACACAGCACTTACTCTGTGCATGTCTCTTCATAAAATTAAGCCAGATGGAACCCTGGAGTTTACACAGGCAAGAAATGTTCCATCCATGGCCATTTTAACAAATTATGTTGATGTTCAAGATGCACAATTTGTGGCTTGCTATTATCTAAAATCACTAGGAATTGATTTGACTTATGTTATCCAAGCAAGCTAGCCTTTAACTGGCCTCTAGAAGCATTTTCTGTTGATGTTGGACCTATTGTTTCTGACTCGATCCTATTTTGTTCATTACCAGGCAGCTATCCTTGATTCAACATTGGAACATTTGCTTCACTGTGCCTACAATATATTAAGGTCTGCTGAAAAATCAGGTAAATTTCTAGCTCTTGATATACTTGAGAATTGCCCTATGATATGCTTATCCTTTCGTAGATGCTAAACTTTGGTGCCCTTCTGTACTTATTTCCTAAGGGGTAATAGATTAAAATATAGCAGAGATAAGGGGTAACCTCATAACACGGTATTAGTACAAGAGAGATATTCTTAGGTTAGGTTGGGGGATACATAGTCACATGACAACTTGGTTACAGCAGAAAAACTCCATAGTTTCATAAGTTATGTCGGAAGCTCAGGGGAAGGGCAAAGGAAGGTAAGATTCAGCAATTAACTTACATTTAATTTGCGGAATTTACTGTTCATCTTGATCAATTTATAAGAGTGAACTATGAGGTCATACCATGAAATTTATATGGTTGCATTAGTTACTGTCTTTCAGTCTTTATGTCAAACACATTGATGTAATGTAATGCGTGGTAGATTGCCTTTTTGTATTTCGGATATCTACATAGACACCATTAATTTTGCATATATTTGCACAGGTACCAATCCAACTACACTAAGAAGGATACTAACTATGGCGAAGATGCTTACTGCAGTTCTAAAGTTTGTAGTTGATGTCGCTGCTATAAATACTTCTTCCCAGCATCAAGAACTATCCTTGAGTTTCACAATGGAAATTTTGAAATTCATCGTTACAAATTTAAGACAAGGATCCATTGCTCCATTGGGTGAAAAAGGCATGAAAGATTTTTATGTTTGTTTGAAATGTTTCATCACCTATGGAGCCAAATTACTCAACATTGTGCTTACAACCGTGGAAATTCCAGTGCCTAGGCAGGGAGTCTGTGGTCTTGTCAACGAACTTTTTAATCTTTTGGTTTCAGTTGAAGAATTTCTGGGGCATGGATACACCGGTCGTCTTATTCATGTTGTTCAGCCATGGATTCCTGACCTAATTCTGGCTTTGAGTTCCTACTACTTAGTGAAACAAACCCCAGATGAAGACAGTAGTTTTGATTCATTTATGGACGTTGCATCTGAGTTCCCTTCATGGTTATACATTTTAGCCAAGATTGAGCTTTTAGAACTGAGAGATGAAAACTCAGACGAAGAAACAGACAGAGTCCAGCTTCCGAAGGATTTCTCTGCATTTAGGAGACTTGTAGCAACAATGTCTAAGCAATTGAAGTCAAACAATAAAGTACTAGATGCCGGTGGAGCTCTTTTCTTAACATGTTCGATCAAAGCATTAGAGAAAAAGAACTTTGATTTTGCATTAGGCCTTCTGCATTTTGTGTGTGTAAAGTTAGTCAGCCCCAACATGGAATGGAAGGAACTTAAGTTGATGGCAGCATCTCTTGAAGGGATATACTCTGAGGTGAAGACAGAGTTAGAAGATGCGCGAAAGAGTGAAAAAGATAGTGAAAATTTGCAGTGTATAATGGCGGTGCTCGAACCTGTCTGCGCATCACTTATTTATCATGGAAGGAAGCATTCAACTGAAGAAGAATAAGATTGTAAGTCTCTTTGACAAGAAATGAAAAGAATGTTGAAACAACGGTATTTCTCGATTGCTTGCTTCTGTAATCTTCTCTAGTACTATTTCTGGAGTAGAAAATTTGAAGCCATACGATATTGGTTGTACTGCTTTTTGTTGTGCAAGGAAATTGTAAGTAATATGCATCCCTGCTTCTCTCTCCATAACCAGGAAGGTAAAATATATTTAAAAGTTACACTAGGCTTAAAAATGTTTTACTACTATTGCCTATGTATGGTAGATAAAAATTGAAAATGTTTTACTACATTTTTTTTTTTTTTGATCGGAAATGTTTTACTACTATTGTTTTAATTGGAGATTGTTTGTCCATTAATTTATTCAGGGTACTGCTAATAATATTTTAAATATTGATTGACAATATATAAAATATAAGAATTAACAATATGATAATAGTCTAGATAATACATTTCTTTACAAGTATACCAATACAACATATCCAATAAGTGTGGACTGACATCACAACTTTTTTAGTAGTTCAAGTTTTTGTTTTGTTAACAGAATAACAGCTATTGATCTGCAATGGTATGAATCTCTTCTAGAAGACCACTATCCAAATATGCCTACTATTCACTACCATCCAAGTTATATATATGTTTTGGCACTATCCTTTAACATTATATTAAATATTTTTTTTATTTAAAATATTCCATAAAATTTAGTTTCAACATAGAACACCCAATCAAATCTCAATTTTTCGTAATTTTCTACTATATAGTAGTATTCACAAGAATAAATGGAATGTGAATGCTTTAAAATATGGAATTTGATCAATGAACAAAAGGGTACAGATTGCTATAGTTTGAAATTTTGAACCCACATGACATAACATTGGTTTTACTGATTATTGTTGAGCAAGAAAATTTCTAACTACAATGCATTCCTTCCTGCTTCTGTAATGTCGAAACTTTCAGCAGTCTGTCAGTCAGTCAGTCTATGCAGTTGTAGACGGTGAAGATCTTAAAATTCTCTGTGCTAGCTATCTTCTTCAGCTCATGGTGGAATGAAGATGAAGGCTTGTTTGGCATTCTATTTCCATTTCTATTCTACTACACAGGGATGTGCTTTTTCAAGACTACTGCTATGGGCATGCCTAAAAATCCGATGAATATGCTCACCAGCCATTGGAAGATTGTAAGAGGAGTAGTAGTTGCAAAGCTCCCAAGAAATTGGACGATAATGAACTGCGCGAAGATCGTCGATCCCACAACCGAGACAAAGACATAGTTGTCCTGTATACCATCCAGCACGTCGATCTTCTCCATCTCCCGGGAATTCACCTCATTGAATAGCTGCAGAGCAACCAACACTTGGTCGAAATTCTTCCAAGTAAAAAAAAAAAGAAAAGATGGCGACGATTACTGTGCTGAACTGTTGCATTTTACCTGGCAGAAGACAAATGTGTTGAAGATTATAGTGTTGAGGACCAAATCTGATTGAGGATGAGCATGGAGTCTGAAAAATGTCTTTCCAGATCCCTGTAAGAACAAAATCACAATAAATTGAAACAAGGATTGGCCTAAGATGTTCCTCCACATCACAGGGCTGATGAAGTTTCCTTTCCTCCCCACTGGAGGCTTCTTCATTAGCTCATCCGTCGGCGGCTCCGTCGCAAGAGCAAGTGCTCCGAGTGTGTCCATGATCATGTTTACCCAAAGAAGTTGCACAGCAGTGAGGGGTGCTTCGCCTGAAAGAATCAAACCGATCATCATAAAAGTATGAGATATGTATACGCGATGTATTTGATCGAAGAAGTGGAGATTCTTTTCACCAGTGGTGCAAGCTGAGTAGAAGTTCACAGCCAATGCAACAACATTCACTGTCAGCTGGAACTGCACGAATTTTTGGATGTTGATGTACACCGATCGCCCCCATTTTGCGACTGTCACGATCGTGGAGAAGTTGTCATCGAGAATTATTACATCCGCGCTCTCTTTAGCCACCTGATCGATCATTCATTAGTCGTATTCGTTCATACACTACGGATCATCACAACCTTAATCACTTTTACAATGTACCTCTGTCCCGGCGATCCCCATTGCAAGTCCAATATCTGCCTCGTGCAGCGCTGGCGCATCGTTTGTTCCATCTCCCGTTACGGCTACAACTTCATTAAACGTCGTTCGTAAGTGTTTCACCAGCGTATGCTTGTCGAGCGGCGAAGAACGAGCCATCACCTAATAGAATGGTATAATCATCCATCATTCGTCGTATGAACAAATGCATCGAGCAAAGCTTTTACTTACCTGAATCTTGGGGATCAAATCGTTCAATTCCTCCATACGCTTCTCGCGAAAAACAGGACCTTCTATAGCTATCCCGTCATCGGTTAGTATCCCACATTCGCGGGCAATAGCTTTGGCAGTGTTGATGTTATCTCCGGTGACCATCCTTACCGTCACACCAGCTGATCGACAAAGCGCGACAGACTCTCGAACCCCCGGACGTACAGGATCTTTAATCCCGACTATACCAATGCAGGTGAAACCCGAGGCCGGAATAGCATCGTCTGCAGAGAAATCGGGATCCAGATCCTTGTAAGCGAGGCAGAGTGTTCTAAGCGCCTCGCCGGCAAATTGATCGATGGTTTCTTTCAAACGATCGCTCGATGCTTCGTCGAGTGGAACGACTTCGCCGTCCGAATTGATCACATTTTCACATGCAGCTAAGATGATCTCAGATGCACCTTTGGTATGAGCTCTTAAACCTCCATCAGGATTCTCCAACACAATCCCCATTCGCTTTTTCGTCGAATTGAACGGCTCGACCTTAAGTATTTTCGATCTTTTTCGCTCGGCGTGGAAATCTCCGCCTAGCGCCAGCCCAAACAGCAGAATAGCTGCCTCAGTCGGCGTTCCAAGAATCTTGCGCTTTCCGTGGCGGTTAACCACAACTTCTCCTCCGGTGTTGGCGAATATCGACTGATGAAGAAGTTTAAGAGCTTTCTCCGGGATCTCCGAAGCTAATCGAGCGCTTCCCGGCTCGCTTAAATCTCTAACTCTCATGCATATGCAGGACTTCACCACAGTCATTCTGTTGGTTGTTAATGTTCCTGTTTTGTCACTGCAGATGTTTGTAGCTGATCCCATCGTCTCGCAAGCAGCCAAATGTCGAACGAGCGCTTTGTCGTTCATCATCTTTTTCATTGCGAAGGCGAGGCTTAGCGTCACAGCCAGAGGAAGTCCCTCCGGAACTGCGACAACGACGATGGTGACTGCAATGGCAAAGTATTCGAGCAACTCCAAGGCATCGTCGCCGGTCCACTTGAGCGTCGTCGCGTCGTGCCATTTGCGCAGCAAGATTTTCTGGACTAAGACGGCGAATGTCACCACGGCGAAGAAAAGACCGATCTTTCCGATGATCGTCGCCACTCCGTTCAGCTTAACCTGCAGAGGCGTCTCATCGACGCCTCCTTCGCTCAGCGTCGCCATTAGCTTTCCCCATTGTGTTCTCATCCCGACAGTCGTCACCAGCATCGTGCACGTCCCGTCCTGAACCTTAGTTCCCGACAACAGAAAAGGACTCTCGGCGCTGATCATCACCGGCTCGCTCTCCCCCGTCAAACTCGACTCGTCGATCAACATCGAGAACCCCGAAAGGAAAAGCCCGTCGGCGGGGACTTGATCGCCGATCGAAAGATGCACGATATCTCCAGCGAGCAGCTGATAGATCGACATCTTTTTCCGGTAGCCATTCCTTGTCACCTGAACTGCAATCTTCTTCTTCTCCTTGTCCAAATCTCTGAACTGCAAAGACTGCTGATAATCACTTGTTGCAGTCACCATCACCACCAGCAAGATGCTCGCCGCGATTCCAAGCCCGTCGTGAGCTCCCTTTGGCCATCCCTCTGTCGCAATGCCGACGATAAAAGAGACAACGGCGCAGGCGCCGAGGATCATAAGTGTCATGTCGTGAAGTGCTTCCCAAACGAACATCCAAAAGCTTTGAACTTCGCTTTCTTCGAACTTATTGATGCCATATATTTGTCGCCTTCGACTTAAGGCGTCAGGATCGGTAGAAATGCCTGAGGTCGTATCCGTCACAAGCTTATCGGCTATTTGCTTCACCCCTCCATGAAGCTTTAGCTTTTTCATATCGTGCCCTTCGACTATGGACTCTAATTCATCGGCACATATCTGGTAACCGGCAGCTCGGACTTCTTCAGGCAAGGTGTAGTCACTCGATTGCATCCCTGAAAGAAGAACAGAATCGGCGCCAGATGAAAGCGAATGCGCGACGAACAGCAAAAAGAAAAATAAAAACAGAAACAAACCTTGTATGAACTGGAATGCAGCTTTCGATACAAGAACTGCAATCCTCAATTTCTCCTGAAATTACAACACAACACAACACAATTCAATGAATGCTAACATGAAAACAAAAGATTCGAGAAAAAAAGGAAAAAGAAGACCTGATTAGTCTTTCGCATCGCCGCGGCCTCGTTACGCTTGCTTAGATTGGCCGTGAATCGGAATCGCCGTTTCGGATTCTTGACGACGCCGCAGAGATCCCTCCATCGCTGCAGCACCTCCTCCGATGCGTGCTTCGGCTTAACTTCCCATGTATCACTTAGTAAGTTCTCCATTTTCTTGGATTGTTTTTTTGTATTGTAAAATATGATGATGATCTGATTCTTGTTTCTATTTGTTTAGGATCATCTTTGAGGATTGGGAAGAAATGAGAAGAATCATTTTGGACAATGAAAGGTGAAAGTGAAGAGTAAACATCCCAACATGTTTGTTTCTTTCTTTCTATGTTTTAGGAAGAATGAATGAATGAATGAATCTTGATTCTAGTAACTGAACTACGGTCGTCCACTCGTGTCCTAACGACTCTCTTTTCTTGAACGGGTCAAACCGTTTTTATTTATTTATATGGAAATGCGACTTTATGAAAAATGCGATTATGGAGGTGTGCTACGTTGACGTGTCTGTGATATAACGCCCATAACAGACGAACCAATTCCGAGCAAAGGCAATTTATCGATCTCAGATCCTCACCGTCGAAATTCAGATCGACGGTCTGAAATTATTGTTCGCGTTTTTAAAACTACCTCTCTGACTCTCTCTCTCCCGCGTTTTTTGAATTTCTCATTTCAGTATAGGTTGCTTCGGCGGTTTGAGAAACCAGAGACGGCGACGATGAGCGAGGGACCGGGATTGTTCTCGGATTTTGGGAAGAAAGCCAGAGGTTGGTTTGTTTTTTTGTCCTGCGTTTCTGTTTTTGAGTTCTAGTGACGACGATTGTGTTTTTTTTTTTAATTAATTTTGATTTTGTAGATCTTCTTACCAAGGATTTTGTCTCTGGAGGCTCGGATTGCAGATTCTCTTTCTCCATCGATTGTAGGCCGCGTTTTGTAAGATTATTGTTTAACTTTCTTCTTCCATGATAGGTCTGTTTTATTGTTTGGAGTGGTAACAGTATACTCTGTTTTTGTAGCTTGACGATTGAAAGAAATAATAATACAAAATATGGAAGCTTCTATAGTTTGATAGGATTTCAATCATTGCGTAGAGCACTGTGCTTGTTCACGTTGAAGAAGAGTGTGGTTTGTATCTATTTCACATGTGCATAAAGTGGCGGTTTCCAATAGAAGAGTGTTTTGTGGATGGCATTTGAAATCTTCCTCTCTGATTCTTAGTTAGATTGGTTTTGCATCACTAACATTGGATTAGAATTTAGAAGTAGTAGCTATGAATAAACTAATGATTCTGTAAATTGCAATTGTTCTCCTTTCTATTGGGGGTTTCAGATCTGCAAATTCCACCTTCTATAAAGTTTATGCACGATGCAGAGTACTGAATTTTGACTAAATTAAGATTGATTTAATACTCTAGTCCATGGATTCATTTTTCAAACATTCTATGAAGTCACATTCTTTGCATATTAGAAGATTTTGCTTTATGTTCAACTGGGAGCTTCAAATCTTCAAAACAATGTTCTTGAGATGCATCCATTGGTGAATCTTTCTGTCTGTATTCAATATCTTGATTAGTTCTTGTAAATGTTTTATCATCTTCATTAATCATGAGGTAGGTAATGACCATATACAACATCAAACTTCATTTATGCAGGTAATGACAACATCCACAAAGAGAAAATTAGGTTTCACATCTACAGAATTTACATCACATTCCACATACAACAATGTCTCATCAGATCTAAAAGTCCATGAAAATTCGAATGTGAGCTTAACAAATTTTCAGCGCAAGGCGCACATTCGACAATCGATTCATTGATACCTCTGTTCCCTTTTGCAGATCTTATCAACTCTGGCTGTGGCTGATGTTATCCCCTCATCAAAGATCATTGCCACCACTCTGCATTATCCCAATTACGAATCTAGAAAGGTACACCTTGCCATTCTGCCATTACCAAATTCAGTTCTTAACACACTTCATTGCCATTGCAGTTTGAATTTCAGTACTTCCTCCCTCATACAACGTACACAGCAGCTGTTGATCTTAACCACGTCTCTCGGCTGTACAGAATTTCTCCAATTGATTTTTCATTCGCCATTGGCACTCCAACCTTTGCTTTGGGTGCAAAGATCAAATACAATATGACCGAACACAAATTAACAAAATCTGCTGGCATTACCCTGGGAAGTCCAAATTTACGATCCACCGTGATACTGTAAGTCTTGCAATTCACCAATATGATGCATGATAATCTCTCTTAATCATTTCGTCTACTTTGCTTAGATCTTTTTAAGAGGTAGTTAACAGCCTTTTGGCCTTTTTCTTTTTTCTCATCGAAGTGGCGACAATGGCGACACCATGAAGTCCTCGTGCATAGTCTCTCTGGATAAAGAAAAGAGGAGCACTCTTGTGGTATACCGCTCCACCAGGCTCTCGACCATTGAGGAAGTTTTCGGAGTAGGATTATCTTATGCCCCGAATAATTTCCGCTCAATGAAAGTGAAACTCGACAGCCATGGCATATTGGGGGCTGTACTGCAGCATGAGTTCTTTAACAAGTTACTTCTAACACTATCCACTGAATTCGATACCAAAGCCATGAACAAGACTCCGGGAGTTGGGGTCACCGTTTGTTTGAGACAGCCAGAGCCATGAATAAGCCTCGAGAATTTGAGCTGAGACCGAAAGAGAGGTAGCGTGCAGGTACCAACTGCTCAAATCCAACTATTAACTCGGAACTTTTCGTTATAATGATGGAAATATAAATCGACATTTGTTAACATTCATACTTAGGGGAATACTTCTGGCAAAATATGTTGTATATAAATAATTGTTCAACATGATTTCTGGTCCTCTGTTTTATCGATTGTGCACTGCCGATATGTTGAACTATAACAATGTAAATATGAAAGCATGGCTGGTGAAAACCCAAGGAAAAGTTATCGACAGCAATAAACAACACCATTTGAGGTTTTTTTTTTGAAGCTATTCAAGAATAATTGATGTTAGGAAATATTAGTTGGCAATTAACAAGAAATATGACTAATGATATCTTGCTATGAAGTGGCATAGTTTTCTTGATCCATTTTAATTCTTGATGTCAGTAAATTTTGCGATTTTATTGCTTGCTTGCTCATACATATCACATGAGATTTTGTGCTGTGAATTAAAATCTAAATATATTTTTATTTTTTATATATATTAAAGACGTGAAATAATTTCATTCAAATTACCACATAAATTAAAGCTTTAGGATTAAGAAAAAAGAGAGATCTTTAATAACATAGTGTAGATAAAATTCCGATTCTGAATTATCACATAAATTCATCTTCAAAACCACATGAAATAAAAAATAGATGAATCCTTAAACAAGAAGTCACAGAAGAACAGTGAATATAGATATATATATATATATAGGAATCAAATTCAAAGGAAAATTTCAATAGCAAAATCTGCACTGCATGGAAATAGGCAAAATCGAAATTCCGTCGAGATAGCAACGTAGTTTCGAATAATCAACTCTCATCGATTACCTAAATAAAATATATCGAAAGTTATGAAGTAAGACCTTTATTAATCAATGGTCTGCATAATATCCTCTGCTGTGAACTTTGTCCCCTTGTCTTTGTCAGCTGCGGCGCGTCCCTTCGCCTTGCGGTCGAGCAGCGACTTCCGGTCCTTGTCTAGGCGGAGCTTCGATATGACCACTTTGGAAGGATGTACGCCAACGTTGACGGTGGATCCATTAACCTTCTCGCGAGTAATGCGTTCGATGTGGATCACCCATTTCTTGCGGTAAACCTGAACTACCTTACCCTCGCGTCCTTTGTAGGTTCCACGGACCACGCGAACCTCGTCGTCCTTACGGACCGGCATCGAACGGACGTTGTATTTCGACCTAAGATCGGTGTCGAGGGGCGCGCTCATTATGACGCGGCGGACGCTCGACGGCGCCGTGAAGTGCGCCTTCCGGCTCTTGCGCCGAGAGGAGGAAACGCGCGGATTGTACTTCATCTTCGCCGCCGGGAGTGGTGGAGGAATTCGCTGCCTGCAGTCGTCGCGATTAGGGTTTTTTGTTTCAATTTATATATACGGTCATTTGAAATGGGCCGATATTGAGCCCGATAATTAGTTAGGTTTTCTAAATGTATATATAAAAGTTATTTTGGATTTGATCTTGCAAATTCCAAATAATGGACTTTATGGCCCAATCGACATTAAATTGACCTAAAAATTAATTTGGGCTTTCATCTCCCTTGAATTCGATGTATGAACACATTGCAAAAAAAATAGAAACCAAACACATTCTATGATTTAATTGGTATTTTCACAAATTCAATTCAATAAATATTTACAACAATCTATTTTTTCTTAAGATATCATTTTTGCTTACTAATATATTTATATATTATTGTTATCCCAAAATAATACCGGTCCATATGTCTTAAATTTTAGCAACAACAACGTTTCTGTACCCAAAGTTATCATTTAAAAAACTATTTTAATTTAAAATTTTGATCATTTTCGTAACATTAAGTGTATGATAAGTTTGAGGTTGGTCTCACACTATTCATAAAAAGTACATCATTTGTCATATTTTAATGGGTTTTTTTAAAATTTTGTAGTAAATTAAAAATTAATAATATTTTATTAGTTAGTGAATATGACGTAACAATTTTAATATTTTTACCATTGATTTTACAATAAAATAATTATGTTTTTAATAGTATATTTTTAATTTAAAAAAATAATAATAATATTTTAGTATTAATGTATAATTACTTTTATTTTTTTAAAAATATTTTATTAGGGACAAAAATAATGGAAAAGTACTTTCTAATTGGAATGGAAAATACTTTGAAATCAACTCAAATTTTTACTTTTTTTTTTCTTAGAATATTATACAAATATATTTTTTTATTCAAAATATTATATTAGTCACTAATTAATTTTATATCAAGGATTTGTTTAAATTGCATATTTCGGCCCTTTTGGGCTTTGGCATGGTAGAGAGTCAAGTTGGACCACAGAATCTTCTGGTAGCCCAAATGAAAGATTTTGAATTAATTGAAATTTATGTGTATTTGATCAGGACGGATTTTAAAAGATTGAGTAAAAATATAAATTTATTTATGGTAAAAAAAAAAATAGAAAAAGTAGTATATTTTTACCTAAAAAAACGAGAATAAGTTTGGATGACAAAAAATAAAAAGAATGTGAGAATACGTTACTAACAGAGAATATTACCGACTAAAAATATAAAATATGTACAATATTATTTTAAATGTAATATTTGATATTTTTTACTTTTTGTAATAAGTGTTTAAATTTTTTTCTGAATTTTTTTAATATAGAGAATTGTATAAAAAAAATATAAAATATTATTTTTTAGAATCACAGTTCCAAAAAAAGTGTTGCACTATGACCCGATTTATTATAAAAGTTTTATGTATTACTTTCAAGTATTTTGATATAATAATTTTTTATTTAAAAATCGGATAGTATAATAATAAGTAACCCTCTATACTTTGCAAATTAAAATAACTTCAATAACTTCTATCAAAATTTTAAATTTGTACTATTTTCAAACCTTGAATCAAAAAACAAGCATTACATCACACCCCAAACCAACAAATTGTTTTATTTAGACAACATATTTGAACTTTTTTCTAAAAAAAATAAAATAATAATATAAAAATTTACAACCGTTACTCTTTAATTGTAAATCGAATAAATATTATATCGAAATTACTGGCTTACAAATTTGACCCTACAAAACAAATCACATTTGAACAATTTTGGCATTGTCTAGTTTAAAGTTCTCACCTAAATGTCACAAACACATTTGTGTTTAGGTGAGGCATGTCCCTATTAAATAAATATTTTATACTTAAATAAAAAAATACAATTATTAAATAAAACATATATATCGAAAATTAACATATTAAAATGAAAAATTAAATATATTTATAGCAAACATAAAAAAAAAATACTATCAACTTTTCAATTAAAAAATATTTAAATTCAAAACTCTCCGAATTAAAAATAATTCCAAAACTCAAGTCTAAATGGACCTTTGAAAATTTTAACATATAGTAAGCTAAAATTAATTAAATAAAGTAATATGTATATTTCAATACATTAAATAATCGGAAGTATTTTTTTGATTGAGTTTAGAAAAAATTAGTTTAAGTTTATTATGAATGAAATATTTTGTAAAAAAAATATATAAAATTCCAATAATAAAATTTTAAGAAATTTGAAAAAATCCACATTATTTAATCCAATAATAATAATAATGTAAAATTTGTGTACAGAGAGGATGCTCCAGGTCCAGGTCCAGGTCCACTACCAATTGGACGCAAGTCCCATCACCTCAGCTCCCAAGGTGGATCCTACAAAGAGGACACGACGTCGTTTTCGGTAGTGGTCACGCTATAATTTATTTCCACAGAGCAATGACACGTTATGGAAGTCCATTTGGAACAACGGGGCCCGCACCTCTAATGGATCTTACACTTGCTGCCTTTTTTTCCCTAAATTATGCCACATACCCAACCTCGCTTTCATATTTTTAATTTATTTTTATGTCACATTTTTCATATATTATTATTTTTTTCTATAAAAAATTGATTTTCTTTTCTTGTTTTTATTTTTTCACAATATTATACTAATAAATATATATATTTTTTTTCAAAAACTTCTAACTTGAATTTTTAAAAATAAAATACAATAAACACTCATTTAATAATTTTCTTATATATATTGGTTTGTTTGTAAATTCGTAGTTGTGAGATTATAAATTTATAATAATTATTATTATTATTTAATTACTAATATCTCAATATGGAATTAATCTATGTATTATGTTCCTTTTGGCTCATTAAAAAATAATCTTTTTAGAAATTATACTTTTTACATAATTTTAAAATCATTATAAAATACATATTATTATAAACATATAATTATCATTGTTTAATTGATTTATATTTTTTCTAAGAAAATATTTAACTGTGCATGTATTTTATTATTATTTTTTTTAAAAAAAAAGTACAATATGAAGACTACCTTTGTACTCTCTCTGTTCCGGATACCATGTCCACGTTGTCGTTTCTGTTCGTCCTATATACCATGTCACTTTTCTTTTTTGGAAAATGATTACACACTTTAATTTCATTTTAAATTTTTTAATTTTAATTAAACTAATTAGTTATTATAATTATTTATATTATAGGATAATTATTTTCACTAATATATTTCCTAAAATACCGTATCTACAGTGTAACAGACACGGTATCTTGGGACGGAGGGAGACGGAGGGAATATCTTTTAATGATTTTTAAATTCAACATTCAATTTCAATAGTCAGTGAATGTTTAAAAAAACAAAAACAAAACTGAAACCACCATTAAAAGAATAGTCAATTGCGATTATTTTTTAGAAAAATGCAAAAATTGCAGTGCAGTCATTTTCTTGCCATTGCAAAATTTATTTATGTTTTCCTTGATATCGACTTTTTATTTTATTTTTGATATATATATATATATATTGCAATTTTTTATTTTTTTTTTTGCAAATTTGTATAGCCAGAGTCCTGTCTGTACGAATTAAATATTTTTGTGCACAAAATTCACCCGTAGTTTCATGAAATTTCACCAAATTTTTTGTACTTGTGTCAAACTCCATTGTGGTTTCATAAATTTTTTTGTCTAACTCTCTCAATGGTTCTTATTTAACAGTATTTTGACCTAAATGCGCTCAAATTGCGAATAAATTTTAGAATCTCAATTTTTAAACCCCTAAATTTACAAATATATTTATTTTTTTTATATATTTAGCCTAAAAAATAGTAAAAATAAACTTTTAAAACCTAAGAAAAATAACTATTTTTAGTATATTTACTATTTTTTTAAGGTAAATATAAAAAAAATAAATATATTTGTAATTTTAGGGGTTTATAAATTGATATTTTAAAATTTATTCGCAGTTTGAGCGCATTTAGGTCAAATACCGATAAATAAGGACCACTGAGGGGGTTAGACGCAAAGTTTACGAAACCACGAGGAAGTTTGAAAGTACAGGAGATTTGATGCAATTTTACGAAAACATGGGCGGATGTATTTTGTGCAATTTAACCAACATTAAAAATGCATATTTAAAACAAGTTGCAATAATTATTTCACACCAACCCTATTAAATTTTTTGGGCACGCAAGACACCACTAAATAAATAAAATCTTATGGAAGCCTAATGCAGACCATATAATTATTTATTTATTTATTTATTTATTTTACATCATATTATTAATATTACTATTATTATTTTGTGGTGGGTATATGTCCTGATTCACCTGATATATTTTTATTATTATATATTTATTTGATATTTTTTTACACTCAAATTAATACATATGGTATCATTCAAATAAATATTAAAAGTTAAAAACGTGTAGGCAAAAATATTAAAATTTTAGCAAGAGTCATGAATTACGAACATTATCTAACCTAATTTAAATTCATAATCTATATAGTATAGTCCAACAGGACAATTAATCGGTAGAATGAGCCAAAATATAATAAATGAATTGATAGTCAATCCACGACACCAAATAAATAAAATAAAGGTGTTTCCGCAATGAATGACTTGCTACGGATAAATTTGTGACCGTAAAGTAATAAATTTAAATTTTTTACGTCTTTAAATTTTACTTGCTACACATGATTTGTTTAGTATGATTTATCTTTATCGAGTTTAATTTGCAGGTTATTAAGTTCAAAATTTACTTGTAAAAGATCATTTCGATGAAATATGAATTCATAGAGAAATATTGCAAAAGTGTTTAGTTGGTATTTTATATATATATATATAATAATTTAGATATGACATTTGTGAAACTGAAATGATTTATTTTGTAAAAAGAATATAAAAATTAAACAATACAAACAAATAACATATGAACACACACTCTTTGATTTTTCAATATTCATTTATTTGCATATAGAAAAAATAAACTGAAAAAATAATTTTTTTTATTATTATTTTTTATATATATTCATTTTCCAATACCATACACAAAAATTATAAAATCTTTTATTTCAATGCAATGATCATTTCCATCCTAAGTAATTAATTTATTTACAAGATTATGTATATTAGAAGATAAGTAGTGAGGTTTAAGCTTATTATATATAGAGGTTTTAAATTTTTTAAAAATATATAAAATTAGTAAAAGGTTTGTTGCATTTATATAGTACTTTATGAAAAAAATATACAGTATATATTTAATACTCCCTCCGTCAAATTTCTATTGTCCTAAGTATATTTGTACGGGTTTGTAGGTGTTTGTTTTTTTATTATGAATCGACAAATTTGCCCTTAATTGTATAGCAGAGTAATAAATAAATTAAGGATAAAAATGTAAAATTTGTGTTTAAAAAAAAAGAATAGTTATTGAATATCAAATAGGAAAATAGACATTAGTTCGTGGAAGGATGGAGTAATTTTTTTTTTTTGTTTTGTAATAAAATTGTTGATTAATAGTACTTAAATTTTATAAAAATATATGCATATAAATAGAAGTATAGAACCTAAAATTCTTACTTGAAGTTTAATTCAATTTTTGCAACGATAATATAAATATATTTTTTTTCTCACAATATATTATTAGATTATTATTCAAAATAAAACTCAAAACAAAATATCAAATAAACTCACCCTTATTATTGTTATTATTATTATTTTATTATTCTATCTATTAAGTTCTTAAAATAAAAAATAACATAATCATATGAGTCAATTACACATGTTCTATTTTATTTCTATTTCTATTCTTTCAAAAATTAAATAAAAATATTTAACCCGATATATTTATGTAGTAAAAAATTTGATGAATAATTCAAAATTAGATCAAAATTTTTAACAAACACCAAAAGTATATCCTATATGCCCGTATAGTGTATATGTGTGTGTGTATTCTTTTGATTTGATCTTTAAATTTCCTGTAAAAAATTGTGTAATAAAAAATTGTAACCGGACTAAAAAAAAAACCATAGTAATATTCGAAAGAAATAATTTTTAAAAATAATATTAAATATTATTTAAAAAAAGAAAAGAAAAGAGGAAACAAAATACAAATTTCCCACATCACAATCATGAAAAAAAATTTAAAAATCTTAATTTATTGACTATTAAATTCAATCAGGATTTACCCAGATGACAACCGAAAAATAGCGAATGCAGTTCTCACATTATTAAAAGAAAAAAAAGAATAGTTTTACACCAATACATTTCAAATTCAAAAAAAAAAAAAGAAATATATATATATATATATATAATTTGCAACTTTGTTTTGAATATGATATTGAAATACAAGCCAATAGTTCACAAATATATAGTATCTTTTACTAATTTTAGTTACGACACAAATTTTTAATGATATAATTTAAATATTCCATCACCGTTTTATTTATTTTTAATGAAAGTTACATAAATTAAGGGGAAAAAAACATGAATAAGAAAATAAAAAAAAAAGATTGCAACGTATGATAGTAAAAGATTTGAAAGCTATATAATATTTTAACTGTATTTTTTTAAATAAAATATTTTAAATATAAATATAATGTACAATCAAACACTCCATTACAAAATCGACACCTCTTTGTCCTGAAAACAAATAAATAAATATGTAAAAGCTTTTTGGGCCATCCATTATATATATATATATATATATATATATTATAATATCACTTTTTATACCTAAAAAGAAAAGAAAAGAAAATAAAAATCGAAGTCGTGGTGAAACGTATGACCTGATGCGACATCTGTGTAATAACACGACAATTTGTGCTCAATCGTTTTGCAGAATTTCCTGTGTCGAATTGCCACCTAAATTAAGTTTCATCACAAAATAAATAAATAAATAAATAATTTAATTTCAATTATACATATCGAGAAAACAATCCAGGAAATAATAATTTTAGAAATTTAAATTGTGACAGGTGGATTGGATATATCACTAAATTGTTAGGTCACATGAAACAAAAAAATAAAAATAAAAATACTTATTATTGATAGCCTTGCCATGATTTGATATCAATAATAATGCTTCATTGCACGCACCTGGCCGTGTAATAAGGATAATTCATACCTAATTGTTTAAAAGTTCGATTTCATTTTTAAATATTTAAATATTATTTGATTGAAATTAATCACTATCCTTAATAATCTAAATAATTAAAGTATTCTTATTTAATTAAAATTAATAAATGATTAAGATAAAAATAAATCCATGTTGAATTTATGAACAAATCAGCGTAGCATAGAATCCAAATCCAATATTTTTTTAGTACAATGTTTTGGGATGTTGGGTGGTTTTGGGATGTCCTAAAATAAGTACGTGAGGGCTCGGCACACAGTTCACAATGTTTTTAGATAGTAAACATTAATAATTTATTATTAAATTAATAAATTATTATATTCTTTTTTATACGACTAATGTTGATATTTTATTTTTTTTATTATTATATTTTAATAAAATATATACAATATAAATATAATTGATATTTTATATTCTTTACATAATTCTTTATACCATGTATAAAAGATAAATAAAAAAATTACACTTATTACAAAAAGTAAAAAAAGTCAAACATTAAAATAATACTTTCTCCGTTCATCAGAGATGTCTTGTTGGGAGTTGACGCGAGAAATAAAGAATAATGATATTTAATTGAAAATTAATATAAAATAGAATGCAAAAGATAAAAATACCTTTATTTTTTTAAAGATTTTAAAAAATAGGTTAGAGTAATAATTATAGATAGTTTAGAAAATTATAGATAATTTTGTTATAAAAATAGGGATCACACTTATTAAATAAAAAAACATGACCATTGTTTTGGACGAAAAAAAATGAAAAAACAACACAACTCTTTTGAGGGGTATATTTTATACTTTTAACACAATTCTTCATATCACGTACTAGAGATTAATCAATCCAAAACGCTCGATGAATAGAGTTATTCTAAAGATTAATAATTTTATAAAATACAAAAGAATATATTTATTTGTTTATTATTATCCTAAATTAATTTTATATAAAAAAATGTAGAAAATTTTAAAGAAAAAAAAAAGAATTTTAAGTAAGTCTTAATAAATATAAATTTAAATTAAAATTAAATTAATTAATATTTGTATTTAAATTGGATAAAATTTTAAAAAGTAGAAAGAAATCATTATGGCACTTGCCAAAAAGCAAAAATAGTGATTTTTTTTACGGGGAAGGAAAGTGTATTTAAAAACTAACAAAATTAATAATTATCTTCCCAAAATTTGAAGTATCTATTTATGGCCTGATTCCAACAATAGAAATGAAAACTTGCAGACTGTCGGCACTCCAGAAAATCTGTTCCATCAAAAAATTTAGGCTCTAATCTTAACCTACAATCGATCCATTCCTGTTTCGTGGCGAGCCGCAGTGTCCTCACCGTGTGCGCATGAGGTTTGAGTTCCGATATTCCTGCTGCCCTAGCATCTAGCATCGCCAAAATTTAGTATTCGTTTACTGGATGGGATAATGAATCAAATTGAATTTCACTTGAAAACGAGTTGTGGAGTCAATCTGATTATTTTCATTTTTTTACTTTTGCAGAGAATTTCGTTGCCATCGATGAATCTGGGCTGTATCTGCATTTAATGCGCGCTGCATTGTCAACATAATAAACAAGGCGATTCCGCAAGAACTATTGGGTTGTTTGGAAATTTGGGGAGAGCAAATATGTCCGCCGTTAGCAGTCATGCGATGAATTTGTGCAAGTCCTCGGATTTGTTCCTCTCCAATGTGTTATACGCCAAGCCGGCGTTTGTAGACTTGTCGGCGTTTAATTCAGGATCTAAGAAATTGGGAATTTGCGGCGAGTGGCCGAGATCCAAGGTTTTGGCGCCGGTCATGGCAATAGAGTCCTCCAAAACGACGACGCACGTCAATGACCGAGCAGAGGAAGTTGAGCGGGGTTCCAAAGGCGAATTTCTCAACAACGAGAACGGCAATTCGTCTGGTACGCTGTTATTTCATCACTATCTACCGTCTCCATGCTGACCGATCTGTTGTCTTCAATTAATTGATTAGTTTTTGCGCCGATCACTGACCAGGGAAAGGAACAGTTCAGAAGCCCAGCTCTGGGAATTCAACGAATATTGTATGGCACAACTGTTCTGTGGAGAAGAGCGACAGAGAGAGATTGCTCAATCAGAAGGGCTGCGTTATTTGGATAACGGGGCTAAGTGGTTCAGGTTTGCAAGGCTTCTTTGAGCTGCTATTGACTTGGTTTAATATATTGAATTGTTTTTTTACCCTTATGGTTTCAATTTCTTGTTCTCATACTGCTCAATTCCTGTATATTTATTACTTTGGACCATGTGCTGTAATATCTCTTTTAGGAACATGGTAAAACAGAGTTTTTGAGATTGATTTTAAATTTTAGTCATTGGACTTGGAAAGTGCTTGTTGATAATTAATATGGTATAATTGGAGGAATTAGGTTATCAGCAATCTCTAATTTTCAGCGAAAATGTAGCGGGTTTGTACCAAGTGAGGAGAGTTCTGGATTGTGAATTATTTCAATCTCAAACAGGGAAAGTTTGCAAAAATTGGTTAGTCTGATGATTTATGGTGTAAACTTGCTTTAAAACTTCATATTTTCTTGGCACCATGGTTTATCTCTTTATGGATTACTGAAGTTTCCATGAGTTTGCACTAGTTAAAAACATAATTTCTTTTGTTCTTCCAGAAAGGCATGGAAAAGGGAAGAATGCAAGCATCTATAATAGAGCTTTGTAATATTGTTGTAGAATTTTTCGAATAAAATTTAGTCTCCTTTGTTCTTAACATAATTGGTCCAACCCTATCATAACTGTGATTTTATTCTTGGATTCTATCATATCTTGGCCTTCTATGATGCAACTTTATTTTGATACTGAGCTTTTACTTCAGGAAAGAGCACTGTGGCATGCAGTTTAAGTAATGCTTTACATGCTAAAGGGAAGCTCTCATATATCCTTGATGGGGATAATTGTAGGCATGGTCTGAACCGTGATCTTACTTTTAAAGCTGAAGACCGCGTAGAGAACATACGCAGGATGGGTTTGTTGCTGCCTCAATAGTAGTAATTATTTATTTATTTTTCTAACAGAAGATTCTAATTACCTTCCTATTATTTGAAACAGGGGAGGTGGCTAAGCTATTCGCTGATGCCGGAGTTATTTGCATTGCAAGTTTGATATCACCCTTCCAGAAGGACAGAGATGCTTGCCGAGCTTTACTGCCTGAAGGAGATTTTATTGAGGTTATTATTTTTGCAGTTCAAATTTGACACGGATCTGAATTTCTCATGTTTCCATCTATGCCGGAAAGACCAAGCCTTACCTCCCCTCCTTTTCAGGTATACATGGATGTGCCTCTACAAATTTGTGAAGCAAGGGACCCCAAGGGATTATACAAGCTGGCTCGAGCTGGAAAAATCAAAGGTATTTTTCTTGTTCTCATATGAGTAAATTAGATTTTAAAATTAGTTAAGTTTAGTCCAGCCGGAAATTTGATATCAGTGTTGTGGAATTATTTTATTACTGCTTCTTGCACCATCAGTTTAGAACAGCTACCTGGAAAGATTGGTGCAAGATTGATCTTGTTAGAATTAGAAGGAACTGTTTAATAATGGGTTTTGATTCGACACTCGTATAAACACATTGTTAATACAAACAACAAAGAGTTATAAGCACCATAGAAAATGCTTCCGCATATCTTTTTCCCACAACATTGAATTTGGGCATATGTGTGAATCATACAACTAAATCAACGAATGTTTGTTGCTTTGTTTACATTTTGCTGATGTTTTAACAGAAAAAAAATATGTTCATTCTTTTCTTGTTTCAAGAAATTGTTACATTATGTTGATATATTACTCTTTTACAGGTTTCACCGGAATTGATGATCCATACGAACCACCATCAAACCCCGAGGTTTGTATTTCCATTTTCCATCAATAGAGCTTCTTATCATATACTGTCTTTAGAATTCATTCCTTGGAGTACAGTCTTGGAAAGTTAATTCTATTTTTGCTTCCGCAGATAGTGCTGTCTCAAAGACAAGGATCCTGCGATGCTCCCGATGCCTCGGCAGAAATTGTGATTTCATACCTTGAAAGGAAAGGTTATCTGGAGGCATAATTCTTCTACCATCCTGCTCGCCAACAGAAGCTCGAATTTAAGCTAGATTATATTGTTATTGTTATTGTTAAATTATTAGTCAATAAAACATCCTTGTTGTCTGAAAGTAGTACCAAAAACACCTGGAAATGATCCAGTGATTATGTATATGCATGCATTTGCTTATGTAATGAATAAACTTGTTTGATGAATGGAATTTCATTGTTCCTTGGTATTGCTTTTATATGTGTATATATATATATATATATATAACGTGAAAATCTGCAGTGGTATTTGGGGTAAACCCCGACCTGGAGGCGTCGTCGGAGCTTTGAGTCTATAACTTCACGCACCTTGGCATCGTTGATTTCATGGCGGAATTATTAGAGTGTTATTTGTTTCCGTTGATACATATTTTTATTTGATACAATATATTATGTCAATTCAAACTTAAATATATATATATATATATATTCTAAATCAATAGTAAGTATATATTGTGTAGAATATGTAATCACCACCTTAGCAACCTAACATATAAAAATACTGTGACACCTCGGCCCGGAAGTTACGCAAAGTCAGGCGTACTCGCCGATATCATAGACTGGTCTCATAGGTCAACACGAGTCATTTCGATACGTTTTTGTCTTCACTCACGCATACAGCATGCTTTTATCGTCATCCACGCGCCGCGAAATCACCTATCTAGAATTCTTTTAGTAGGATTTTCTAAAAAAATGTGTAAATTGTTGACAACAACAACATATTCAATTATAATCTAATACCGGCTCATCCACGCGGGGTTAGCCAAACAACTGCTCAACTTGGGGTATCACATCTGTGGCCAGCCAGGGGTAGAACTACACTAGGCTTGGGAGATAATTGATCCCACTCCAATTTTTGTATGATTTTTTCAATGTTAAAAATATTAATATTATGTATTTATATACAATTTGTCACTATCTGTATCACCCTATTTTATAATACAATGTCCATATTACACCAAATATTATAGACACGTCAATAGTCGTCCGATCAACGACTGCAAACTATCGTATATCGACTCTGATACCAATTGTGACACCTAGACCCGCAAAATCGTGCTTGTGGACCAGCGCACACTCTAAATTTTTGAAACATTCAAATAAAAAAGAATATTTAATTTAATTTGGGCTCATTATAATTTTCGGAATGGGCGAGGCCTGCTTCTAATTTGGGCCTGTCCAGAATGAGACTAACCATTCGGATCTTTAATCAGGGCCCGAATTAAACTACCGGGTCGAGCCGGCGACCACTGTGACGGCGGCTGAGGAATGATAAAGACCATCTTTCAGTCTTGTTAAAATCATTCCCAATTTCAGACAAATTTCTCAATCTTCTGCAAAACCCTATCTCGCTTTTTACTCGATCAAATTCCACGGTACGAGTAGCTCGCGTGGACCGCGGACATGGGGAAGAAGCAGCACAGCAAGGACCGGATGTTCATCACGAAAACGGAGTGGGCTACTGAATGGGGCGGCGCCAAATCGAAAGAATCCGGCACTCCGTTCAAACGCCTCCCTTTCTATTGCTGCGCGTAAGCGCAATTAACCCTCGGTTTTTGTTTCCCCTTCTGTGGGTGTTATCGATGTTTTATTTTTCTTTTTGAGAAATTATTTAACTTTTGCGATGTCAATGCAGTTTGACGTTTACGCCGTTTGAAGTCCCCGTTGCCACTTCTGATGGTAGCGTATTTGATCTCATGTAAGTACCTACTACAAGCAAGATATTCTTTTGTCGTTCAGTTTTGGTTGAGTGAATCAGGTCTTATTTTTGTGAGTGATGATCTTTAAGACCTAATTTGTGACGTGGTTTTTAGGCACATCACGCCATACATAAGGAAGTATGGGAGACATCCAGTAACGGGGGCTTCACTCAAGCAGGCGGATTTGATTCCACTCAATTTTCACAAGAATGCAGAAGGTAGTGTGCTCTCTGTGAAGCATCTGAATGAATGCCACACAGTGATTTAGAACTTTAAATTTCAATGACCAACTTACCTAGTTGACAGTGTGATTGACGAGAATTCTTAGAAAGGGGTCTAGGAGAATAGTGATTGTTTCTTTTTGTCTCCTCCCTAAGTAGGAGATGATGGAAAAGTTCTGAATGGCGTTCATCTGTTTCCTTTCCTTCATTCTTTATTAATAATGAATTTATGGTTTGAATGATAGAATGTCAGAATTTATTTTTGCTCAAACATCTCTTTTGTAGGAGAATATCATTGCCCGGTTCTAAATAAGGTTTTTACTGAGTTCACGCACATAGTCGCTGTAAAAACTACTGGAAATGTGTTCTGTTATGAGGTGCAGTCTTTTACTCTTTTCTAATTTGTCTTTACCATTCTTCTGCACTTTCAGTACATTTTCATTTATTAGAACCTCATTGAACAGGCAATTAAGGAATTAAATATTAAAACAAAGAACTGGAAGGAGCTTCTCACTGATGAGCCATTCACCAGAGTAGATATTGTTACCATTCAGGTAAGATTATTGTGACTGATGTTTCTAATTTTCAAGTTGAATTTAGGTCGTGACTGTTAGAGTCTCATGAAGTGCTTTTATTTTATTTTCTAGAATCCTAATGCACTTGATAGCAGAGTTCTTGTGGATTTTGACCATGTGAAGAAAAACTTAAAAGTCGATGACGAAGGTAAACAACTTTACTTTCATATTTACTGGTACTGCCTTTTCACATATTCCTTGTTTTGCAAATAAGTATCTTCCTTTATGTCAGAACTAAAGAAAATGGAATCTGATCCATCATATAACATAAACATTAATGGGGATATAAAGCAAATGCTTAAGGAGCTTGGGACTGAAAAAGCAAAGGAGATTGCATTACATGGTGGTGGTGGAAGCAAGGCTAAAAATGAAAGAGCTGCCGCTCTTGCTGCAATTTTAGAGGCAAGGTCACGTATTAAGGACAATGAGTCAAAGAATGGAGAGGAGCCAAAGCAAACGTACAGTATAGTGGATGCTGCATCTGCGTCTGTTCATGGAAGAAGTGCTGCTGCTGCAAAGGCCGATGCTAGTGATAAAACTGCTGCTCGCATAGCCGCGCACATGGCTGGTGATAGGACAGCAGTAAATGCAAAGCTGGTAAGTTTTTCTGCTTTTGTGGAATTTGTTTATGATTATCTTTTGCAGGAAATGTTATCAAGAAAAGCATTGGGTTTGTAATCTTTCTTCACATAGATTGGCAAATAATTAATACATGAAACAAAATTACTTGGAACTTTAATCCATATCATATCATCATAGTACTTCCTCTTATGTTGATCAATATATTAAAAGCACTGTTTCCTGGACATGTGGATAATGTAGTTCGTTTCTTCAATGAATTCAGATATGCGAGCCACTTGCCAAGTTAATTATGCATAATTAAATGCATATGCTGCGTGATTCCATTGTCACGATTGCTTCCAAATTCTGATGTTATAGTTGTGAAGATGTGCTTTACTTTATATTGGAAATAAAGGGTATAAATGTTTATCAAAGAGAAAGAAATGTTATAAATTTGTTATAGGGCTTCAAACTGAGGCTTTATGATATATTATTTAATAAAACATTGTTCTGTGCCTTTTTAAGTCACATGGAGGTTTGCAGTTTTTATTGTTTTGGCAGTGGGATGAGGTGCAATTTTTCATATGAATATTATTTGATTTCATCATAAAATAGATTGGATAGGTTGATGTTGGTAGGAATGACTGTTAAGGTTTTTTGGTACAGGTTATCTGTGAATGTAAGTAAGAATAAGTTGTGTTTGAATCTAAATTTGTGTAGGAGCAAGTGTATCATGATTGAATTTCTATATTGTGTTTTTATGTACAACTATTTTGGGTAAAGTTGTTTAGTACTATGGTGTTTGTATGTAATTTCTAGATTGTGGGTTGGTAAACAATAGAAAGTGATATATTAGTGAACAAACTCTAAAAATGCCTTTATAAATCTCTACCTTGTTCTTTACTTCGTTTGGTGCATATGTTAGTCTGCTTGAACTGATGGTTTTTTCATCTATGACCAGAGTGCCATATACTTTGGCTTGTTCCCATCTTCCATATATGTGTTCAGTCTGGACAATGTTTACTCAAAATCCCTAATGGATATTCCATTCCTGATGCACTTATGTATCTTCCAGGTCAAAAGTCGTTACACAAGTGGCGCTGCTTCACGATCTTTCACTTCTACCTCTTATGACCCTGTCACGAAAAATGAATATGAATATTTGAAGGTTGAGAAAAATCCCAAGAAGAAAGGTTATGTTAGAGTACAAACTACGCATGGTGATTTGAATATTGAGCTGCATTGTGACATCACTCCAAGAACATGTGAAAACTTTCTAACTCTTTGTGAACGTGGTTATTACAATGGAGTAGCCTTTCACAGAAGCATAAGGTACTTGATTCATTTAAACACCATCTGTGTTGAATTGTATGTTTGCATTAAAATTGAGATTTAGTCATTCTGTGTTGTGCATTTGATGTGTAGAAACTTCATGATTCAAGGTGGTGATCCCACTGGGACAGGGAGAGGAGGTGAGTCAATTTGGGGAAAGCCTTTTAAAGATGAACTCAACTCAAAGCTACTTCATTCTGGTCGAGGTGTTGTTAGTATGGCGAACTCTGGTCCTCATACAAACGGTTCACAATTTTTCATCCTATACAAATCAGCAAATCATTTGAACTTCAAACACACGGTTTTTGGAATGGTGGTTGGAGGATTGCCAACCCTTTCAACGATGGAGAAAGTAGAAGTTGACGGTGATGACCGGCCTAAGGTTTGTACACTACCTTCACCATTATTTATTTCTCATCTTTACTCTTTAGTAATCACATCCTTTAAAAGACAATGTAGTATAAATCCAATTTGTATCTAGTTTCATTTGTTATTATGGTTCAAGTGGATAGATAAGTGCTTTTTTCTTTTCTCTTTTGCTCTGATTATCAACTTTTATCTTTTGTTTTTCCTGATTCCCATTCCATTCAATCAGTATGGTTAATTGTGTATGTATATGCATATATATATATATATATGGCTTCTTTTTCCAGTTTTAATACTCGTAAGTTCCCCTTCCCCGACCGCTAACACATTGGATATATTTCAGGAAGAGATCAAAATTATCAGTGTAGAAGTATATGTTAATCCATATACTGAGCCTGATGAAGAGGAGGAAGGGAAGAACGATGCGGAAGAGAAAGCCAACGATGAAGAAAATGTTAGTTGCACCTCCTTAATATTTCTGTTGATTTTTTGTTGGTGATGTCTTCTCCTTACCTGGTTATAACCCTTCTTTAACATACCGTGGAAATACTTTCAGGATAAGATCGGTTCTTGGTACAGTAATCCTGTGACAGGAACAGAAACTCCTGCTAATGGTGGTGGAGTGGGAAAATACTTGAAAGCAAAGATTGCTCATACAGCATCTGCCCCCAGTCTAGATAGTAATGCACAACCATCTGGGGCCGTAGCGAAGAAAAGAAAATTGGGAGTATCAAGTGAACTCAAAGATTTTTCTTCCTGGTAAGGCTTTTAATCTTTTTGTATAACTTGATTAGATTTTATATCATTGAGCTAGTTGAACTTGTAAGAAAATGCACTTACTGATTCGGATTCAAGATGTGGTCCAACAGTATGTATATCTATACATATATATGTTAATCATGGTCTTCTGTATTTGTGTTTTACAGTTTATTGGCCGAAATGAATTCATGATTGTTGTATTCTTATGAAATTTTAAATAAGTCGAAGTGTGTCACTCTGCATGAGATGAGGTGGCATCTGTCAGTGGTTACTTTTCCATTTTGTTTGCCCCTTCTAAAGTGCTAGTTTTCTATGTAATGTTGATAATTGCTATATCTAGCCTTTGAATTACTAGATGAATAGTTAAGAATCTGCATTACAAATTCACCTTAATACCATGCTATAGTCCGTTTTGCGGATTCTTCTCTTGGTAGCCCATTAGCTTAATATGTATGTGATCTCTTAGGTGTGGTCTAGAAATCATTTTATCTTGTAATAAGCTGAAATACCATGTCACCCCAGTTGAGCCCAGAAGATTGCTTTTATCTGAATTGTTACCAGCTACAATAGCTTGTTCTCTTCTTATCACAAAAGGGCCATTCTGTGGTCCTTTTGCTTTATCACAAAAACTGGGGTGGGGTGGTTAGATTTAGCTCCCATAGAAAGGAAGAGAATCCAGGTTGGGATGGCGTACACTGCTCCCACATGGGTTGATCCTGTGTGATTGAAAATCTTGCTACGGGGGTGGGGTGGGTTCTTGTGGGCTTTCTTCAGCAGGTAAGAGTGACATAAAAGCATATGTGTTTTTGGTGTGGTGCATATATATCAGGCAAATGTCCCACAATGTCTAATGTAGGATGAAGAAATAAAAAGGGGAGAGAAGGTGTGTGCGTGAGTCCATTTTGGGTTTGTTTTGTTGTAGAGATTTTTGTGGGGATATGGAAAGGAAATTGATATGATATTTCCTCTTTTGTTTACAAGTGGAATTGAAGGAAAGTGGAGCAGATAGTGGTGTCATTTATTTTTTGCCAAACAGTGGATAATGACCTGTTAATTAGTGTGGAAACAGGAATGATTTTTCTTCCAGTATTTGGTTGGTTGGACAAGAATTGGAGAAACACAACAAAGTCAAATTCTTGCTTCTCTTGTATGTATACATCAAAATTAGGTCTTTCTTTTAGTGTGAAATGGCTTTGTAGGTTCAAGTTTTGTTGGGCACTAATTAAATCCTAAATACAGCAAAGTTCTTGAATTACTAGTATAATTTATTTATTTATTTATATTTGTGTAGTGTTAGTTTGAAAGAGTGAACAGTAGTACTATATCTTCTCAGGACAAATCTTATCAAACTCTACTATATGTCCTATTCTATATATTCTCTGCACTATTATATATATTGACCTTTTTATTTTAGTTTTTAGTTTCTCAGAAATACTCTACTAGATTGTGCCGTACACACAAATATTTGTACGTATATATCATTCAATTATTTTTCTGGGGTGGCTTTGTACTTTAGAGCTTCAAAGAATGATAATACCAATTATTTATTAATTTTAAATAAATTCAATAGACCCAAAACTGAGTGCATGGATGACGAAATAAATTTGGCTGTGAGCTAGGTAGCTGCTGTTCAAATGTTTTTCTTGGATTTAGGGAGCAAAGCCCTCAAACTGATCTAGTGATCTACTGTGTCCACAATTTTGTCTTGAATACAAACTACACTACATACAACCATAATATTACTCAATTCTCGAAAAAGACAACTACAATCCAAAAGAATGTTTGTGGAATCAGTATGCCAAGAAAAAGAAACACACACACACATGCATTCATTATTGTATATCTAATACTAAAAACTATGATAATGAATAATTGCTGAAACAATTATTATATTCAAACTCATTGAAGCATGTGCAGCAGCAGCAGCAGCATCATACCCATTCCACCCCACCCCACCCCACCCCACAACAAATTATATATAATATACATATACATAATCAATCACATTGAGCCCACTATGGACAATTACCAAAACATAAAAAGCAAACCCTAATATACTTTGTTTTGATGCTACACATCCACTAACTCACTCACTCACTATATCGAGAGAGAGAGAGAGAGAGAGAGAGAGAGAGAGAGAGAGAGAGAGGGGGGTGGGTAGCCAGAAAAGATAGTAAGTGATGAGATGAGGCAGAGGGAAATGGCGTAGGCTGCATAGTGTTTCATCTTTTGTGAGAAACCAAAGGCACGATGAGACGACCAGTATATGACCATCTGGGGTGGAGCGAAAAAGGCAATCAAAGCATGCCATCGATTTGGGATATATAAATATATATATAGTATTTTGACAACTACTTTATAATCCAGATTTTTGTGTATGGGTTTTTGGAGAACTACCAACAATATATAGAATATAATCAACCAACGCTACACTACACTACTCTACTCTCTACACACACATACATACATACATATATCTATCATATATTAAAGTGGGGAAATTCTTTTTTGGCAGAGTTTGGAGAGTGTATGGGAGGCAAAAGAATATTATACTAATCCTCTATCCTACCTATATATATATATATATATATATAGAGAGAGAGAGAGAGAGAGAGAGAGAGAGAGAGAGAGAGAGAGAGAGAGTTGGTTTGGTGGGTTTTATGATGATGATGATGATGCACGCCCGCAGCTTTTTATCATTCCTCTCACGCCTGCCTGCCTGCTTCTCTGCTTCCTCCACGCTCCCATCTCCATCTCCATCTCCATCTCCAACATCTTCTTACAATATACTACTCCATGTATGAATTCTGTGTTAATGTTTTAATTTGTTTATCATGAGTAGAGTTTAATTGATTAATTAAGTGAAAATCAAATGTATGGTAAAGAGTAGTACAGGCCTAAAGGGGGATCCCAGTGAGGCACTAATAAATCCCTAGATATAATATGTATCTGTCATCTTTTTGTCAGATGATACAATTCTTTTTCAATTCAAGAATAATCTGCCTCCCACCCCATGCCATGCCGACAGACAAATATCCCTCTACCCTGTGTTTTTTCTAACATGGTTGTACTACTAACGCCTACTACATATTAATCTGAGCCAAGCCCCCCACCCCACCCCACCTCACCAAAGAATTACTATTAATTACTTAAACAAGAAAGATGGTTTAGTCACCACTCCACCATCCTCCCTTCCCTCATTCATTCAGTTTCACCCTTGAGAGAGAGAAAACAAGAAAAGACTTCTTACTCCTCTACCCCTCTCTCTCTCTCTACCCAGTCATCTTTAATATTTAAAAAAGGTTATCTATTTGATCTATAAGGTTGCAAGGGTCCAAGTTGAAGATTCTTGAGTTTAAAAAACTTCAGCTCCATATTCCTTCCATTCATCTGATCCAACTCTGTGCTTTATTTCTGCCACACTCTCTCTCTCTCTAGCAATCAAATTGAGTCCACCATTCATTCCCACATAAAGATCGATTTTTTATAATTCATGTGTGGGTCTGGTGTTGTGATTAGATGGATACTTTGTTCAGACTAGTCAGCCTCCAATCTGATCAGTCCTTCAACTCCACCAGCAGAACCTCCAGCAGCTCCGCCAGATCCTCCCGCCACCTCCACCAAAACCCTAATTCCAATTCCAATTCCAATTTCGAAGACGATCAAGATCAAGAAGAAGAATGCTTCAATTTTTTCATGGATGATGAAGATTTCTCCTCTTCTTCTTCTAAACACTACAATCCCAATCCCACCTATCCCCCCCAACCCCACCATCTCTCCAACACCCCCACTCCCACCACCACCACCACCGGCACCACCGGCAGCGCCACCCCCTCCCACCTCCACCCCTACGACCACTCCGCCGATCAATTCTCCTTCAACCTCGAATTCTCAACCTACCTTTCCGGACAGAACAAATGGGCCAACGATATTCTCCTCGAAACGGGAAAAGCCATTGCTGACAGAAATAGCTCCCGCGTCCAGCAGCTGATGTGGATGCTCAACGAATTGAGCTCTCCCTATGGCGATACCGATCAGAAACTCGCTTCCTACTTCCTCCAGGCCCTTTTCGGCCGGATGACGGATTCCGGCCACCGGACTTACCAGTCTCTAGCCTCCGCGTCGGAGAAGACGTGCTCCTTCGAATCTACCAGAAAAATGGTGCTCAAGTTCCAGGAAGTCAGCCCCTGGACGATGTTCGGACACGTCGCCTGTAATGGAGCCATCATGGAGGCGTTCGAAGGTGAGACCAAACTGCATATAATTGACATCAGCAACACGTACTGCACTCAGTGGCCGACTCTTCTTGAAGCCATCGCCACACGGACCGACGAAACGCCGCATCTCAGACTCACCACCGTCGTCACGACTAAATCCGGCGGCGGCGCCGCCGCCGTGCAGAAGGTTATGAAGGAAATTGGGACCAGGATGGAGAAATTCGCAAGATTGATGGGAGTACCGTTTAAATTCAACGTCGTCCACCACGCCGGAGACCTGTCGGAGTTGAATTTCGCTGAATTGGACGTTAAAGAAGACGAAGCGCTGGCGATTAATTGCGTAGGAGCATTGCATTCCGTGACGACGATCGACAACCGGAGGGATTTTCTGGTGTCCAATTTTAGGGGATTGCAGCCGAGGGTCGTCACCGTCGTGGAGGAAGAAGCCGATCTCGACGTCGGAATCGACGGCGGCGAATTTCTCCGGGGGTTTCAGGAATGCCTGAGATGGTTTAGGGTTTACTTCGAGGCGTTGGACGAGAGCTTCCCGAGGACGAGCAACGAGCGGCTGATGCTGGAGAGGTCCGCCGGACGTGCAATCGTCGACCTGGTGGCTTGTCCGCCGCACGAATCGGTGGAGCGGCGCGAAACCGCGGCGCGGTGGTCCCACCGCCTGCATGGCGGAGGATTCAGCCCCTTCCCCTTCAATGAGGAGGTCTGCGACGACGTCCGGGCGTTGCTGCGGCGGTACAGAGAGGGATGGTCAATGACACAGTGCTCAGATTCCGCCGGAATATTCCTCTCCTGGAAGGATCAGCCGGTGGTGTGGGCCAGCGCGTGGAAGCGCTGACCGCCGATCCTTCCCGCACGTGCCGTCGAACCAGAATGTTAAATGGAGTTGTTGGAGTGCTTGTACCATTGGAGGGCAAAATAGGAACAGAGGTACCACCACCATTGGTTTTTTTAAAAACATTTCCTTTTTTTTATCCAATTCTCAATTTTTCATTTGGATCTGAGTTTCATGAATTAAATTAAATTAGTCCATTCATCATCTAATTCTCATACAATCATCCAATCAAATAATAATAATAATAATTAATCCTGCAGGCCAACATCACATCAATAAATTGAAAATTAGTTCAATAAATCAATTATTCACATTAATTAATTATTGTTGACTGTTGAACGCTACCTTGTTCTTTGGGTTGGTATTCTTATTAGGTGTGGTTTAAACTAATCATCAAGAAAAATAGATTAAACTTAAATTAAATAGAATGAAATTAATTAGTACCAAATAAATTTTAAAAATACAGTTAAGAAGAGATGGAAAAAGGGTCGTTATCCAATTGGGACCATAGAATCTTAGGACGGCCATGGAGATGGAGTAAGGGCGTGTTTGGGAATCCATCAAAAGGTGTTTAGCCATTAGTGGCACCATAGGCGTAGTGGCAAACACGCCTTTATAGATATCGTCACTTTCATGCATATCATATCTCTATATATTATTACATACCCATTGCCCTTCCCGTATGCATGGCTTTAGCCATCTCCATATTTTTATTAATTAATTAATTAATTTTTTTTTTAAAAAAACTTTATTACAAAATACCCACACCCAATTCAACCTACATATACATATATACTATGATCATTAAAATTTTAAAATAAAATTAAAAAAAGAATAATAATAGGATAGGTGGAGCCCACTAGAGGTATATGACCAAATTAATTACTATAATTCTTGTTATTAGTTTTCATGCATCATAGATTAATGAATGGGGTGATTTTAAAATATTGGCCCACTATAAAGTGGGACAAGTATATATTTGTATGTATGTATTAGTGGGAACTTCTTTTAAGGGTCTCATATTCTTAATCTTTTGATGAGAGTTGTTCACTCCACTTTTGATATGACATACAAATATATATATATATATATATATAAATAAATGTGTCATAGTGGATTTCTTTGTGGGAGAATTGATGAACTTTACACTTTTTCCTTTAAATTATTTAAAGGGGCTTTTGAATTTTCTTGATGAAGTGGACATCTTGTTCTTTTGCACTATTTATTTTATTTTATTTTATTTCATATACACATATTAAAGCCAGGTGCAACTTGACAGTAAGTGCTTATGTAATAGACTGCTTTTTGAAAGGGGAAATAATTTTTCAAAAGAATTATATATATGTATATAAGTGGTTTTATTTTGCATCATATCCTATATAAAATCAGTGAATTTTCTGTATGGCATGTATTTTATAACATTGTCCTTTTCTTTAGGTAGAAGCAATCATCACCTCCTTTTATAAAATTTTATTCCATGGATGGTGACCATTCAACAATTTTCTTTTTTTTTTTTTTTCAATTCATTCTTTTTAATAATAAAGGAGAACCATGCAATGCAATTGCATGATTTCTCATTCCTCCTACAATTAGTTTTTCGAAACATATGATTGGGCCTCCATTTTCTTATTGGGCTGATATATAGGCCCAATTTGAAATGTTACCGTGGGCCGCTCAGCCTTAGTTGTTACTTGTTTGCTGTCCATTCTATGGGTTAATAATTTCATTTGCAATTTAATTTTGTAAAATTTATACCCGAGTTTAATTAAAATTATCATGTCCATATTACTTAGGACCCTAGTACCTTGTTGACAACCAATATGTTATAAATAGATAAACAAATCCTTTATATCAATATAATATAATACAATTACATTGCGTTGACAATGTATAACACACATCACACTATTAATCTCATCATAATATCATATATTAATACATAGCACAGATAATACACAATTTATATTAATATAATACACTATATAAACAGACAACATATTAAAATAATCCAAGACTCTTTCAACACAAATGAAACATTTCCTTTGTTCACAAAATTTATGCTCGTTTGAACTGGACCGTACAGACTTCAAATAAATATAATGTTATACTGCCTTCGTTTCAGAACTATAGTCTGGATTGTGTTTGACACGAGATTTAAGAAATATTGATATTATATTGATAGTGGGTAAAAAGTATGGATAAAAACCCTTGTTTTAGTGTAAAAAGTAGTGACAATTGTGTAATAATAATAATGAAAAAATAATGGTAGTTTTATAGTGATATGATTATTTATGAAAATGAAACTATTTTGGGATGTATTAGGACCGAAAGGTATTAATTAATTGTAACATAAATTTGATATATTTTAAAAAGTATATAATTAATGTGTAAGTAGTCGTGGCATATTTTATAATATTTAAAATATATAAATTAAATAATATCTCATCCCTCTCAAAAGTATAGTCTTATTGTATTGGACACGAAATTTAAGAAATATTGATATTATATTGATAATTGGTAAAAAGTAAAAGTAAATGACCTTTTTGCCCTTTGAGTATATTACTGTAAAAAACAATGGCAATTGTGTAATAATAATGAAAAAGTAAAGATAATTTTATGGGGATATGGTTATTTATATAAATAAGACTATTGTTTTAAGATGGACAAAAATGTTAAACAAATCTATTGTTTTGAGACAGACAAAAATGATAAATAAAATGATAAACAAGACTATTGTATTGGGACGGAGGAGTAAGTATGTATTATTCCCTATAAACCTTTCAAATTGACTTCCCAATCAACTGCCGGGAAGCCTCCATTTCCGATGCCAATATATAGAGACTCTCGACCACAAAGGGAACCCGAAACTATACTCCAGCGGCTGATCAGCCGCTCCGGCCACTGTCATCGGCAGCCACACGTACCTCGAATCTCTCAGATCCGCCGGATTCCACCGGTCCGCCATAAACACAAAAAGCCCGGGAATCCCCGGCGCCGGCAACACAAACGAGCTCTGTGCGAAAAACGTCGTCAACCGGTACACCTTATCCCCACCCATGCACGGATTCCCCATCGTCTCCCACGGCCCCATGATCGACTCCGCGGCGTGCGCCATTGCCTCATTCGGAGCCCATCCCGAGCATCCCGACGTGATCATGTAGTACATTCCCTCATGCTTGAACACCGCCGGTGCTTCCCGACGCTGCCCTATCAGAACCCTTCTCACGATCGACGTCACGTCGAGGTATTTCTTGTCCAATGGCCCAATATGCAGCTCAGTGTTGTTGCTCGACGAGTAGACGAGGTAAGCGATGCCATCGTTGTCTTTGAATAACGTCATGTCCCGGCTGTCGAAACCGTGGGGGCGTTTGCTGTAGAGGTAGTTGAAGGGGCCGGTCGGCGATTCGCTTATGGCTATCCCGACGGAGGCTTTTGTGTAGTTTGTGTCATCGACGTGCATCCACATTACGTATTTCCCCGTCTTGTCATTGTAGATTACTTTGGGCCTCTCGAGCACCTTCGACGTGTGGAGGTCGTGCGTCTCGTTCTTTAATTCTGCTGCAAGAACGATGCCTTCGTTTTTCCAGGTCCATAGATCTTTCGACGAGTAACAGCCGACGCCGATCACATCGACCTGAGCATCGAAACAGCATACAAGCATTTAGACAAGAACGAGACGAGCTCAAAGAACCGTATTCGGATGATGATAATTTACCCGTGCCGCTGCCTTTTTATGCGCACGATAAGTCGGGCCGTCTTTATACTCGCCATACCAATAGTAATTCTTCGATTTTTCATCGTACAATATGCCGCCTCCATGGGCTTGAATAGGATTCCCATCGGTGTCGAGCCAAACACTCCCCGGACGATAGTAGAAACTGTCATTGCCAGCATCCATCATCGGATCCACGGCTGTGTTTACAGACGGGAAAAAAATGTGCCTCATTTGCGAAGACTCGTCAAGAAATTCATCGATCCAGGGAGCTACCGGTCGCCTTGATTTCCTTTTAGTTGCACGTGGAGTTCGTCTCCTTGGAGGAGGTATTGGCAAAGCTTCCTCCTCGATGTCTTGTAGCTCACGCAGCAATGGATGGTGGTTTATTCCCTTGTTTGCTGCTCTAGGATGAATGTCTGTGTGTGAAATCATGCCGTGGAAGTGAAGCACGACGAGGAAACCAATGAGACTCCATGCCACAATCGAGATCGAGCATCTGCTTCCTGCATCGCAGCAACGAAAACTAGTTGGTTTCCTGTATTTTCTCGCCATCCTGATTTCGACGTCGGTTAAATCTTCAGCAGAATGCTGCACTCAAAACCACAGGATTGCAACAAAATCTGAACTAAAGGAACAGAAACTATGATCCAGTAATGTCTACTTGATTCAGAACAACATATGTTTGGATCTATCTTTCCTACAATGCAGGGATTCTATTCGTGTTTAACTTGGAACACAACACAATGACATTCAAATGCACTAATTGAAACAGATCTGGAAGAAGTGCACCATCAATTCGAGAGAAGAACTTGGTAAATTTTGCACACAAATGCAAATTAACCTCATCAGATCAATGGCAGAAATTACTTCACAAATGGATGTCATTATGCATATCTAAAATCTCGAGCTATGACGCCTAAAAGGAAATCTCACAATCCAATCATCGAGAAATTTTCGCAGTACGAATTTCACAGAATCGAGAAAAGTAAACGAGCAATTATCTCGAACTCAAGCAATATCAAATCAAACAGAAACGTAAATCCATAACCTAACATATCCAGACTGCAATCGATTGAGTTCAATTAAATTTAAAGCTTACCTAAATAGAAGCTTGCGGAGAACGGAACATAGTTTCTAAACATAGAATCAGGCATTCGAAGGGGAAATTTAGCGAGCAAGAGGAGGAATCTTCGGAGACAAGTTTGGATTACATTGAGTGGATCTCGACGAATTCGACGCACTCGGAACAATGGAGATGACAGCTGAAGACCTACACAATTAATTCAGCTGTCTCTTTTCCTCTCTTTGCCGCTTCCCACCGCCTGAGACGAATTATTTGACTCTATCCCGCTGCAATTTCTTGCAGGAAAGTAGCAGGCGGATAAATCCATGGGTGACGACGAGGCTGGAAGCGGAAGGAGGACAAGATGGGCCTTCCCTTGTGGCGCTTTACCTCAATTTGATGCCGCCATTGAAGAACAGCGGAGAGCAGATTTGGTTTAGAACAGGAGGAGTATTTGAGGAAGGGTGGACTGACTAATGGATGTAATGTATTAAAATATTAAATATTTAAAAAATATATATACTATTATAGATGAATGGCAAAAATATTTTTTCAGTATGTATCTAAAGTATATTATATTAATTTATTTTCATTCAACATTATGTCACAATAATTGTCATGTTTACTTAATTATTAATCTTATATTATATGTATAAGAAAAAATCATATACTATTAATAAAGAAAATAATTAAGGCAGCGCTAGTAGACTTTGTAATAGATCATATTGGGTCACTTCATGAGGGCCCAAAAGCAGTAGTATGAGCCGGCGAATGGGCCTTGCAAAAACTCTGTTTTCTTTTTTCTAAAAAAAAAAAAAAAAAAAAACTTTACTAGGACTAATATATTTTTTTTTTAGAAAGAAAAATGTTTTTTTAATAAAATATTATGTTATATATTATTTTAATATAAATTCAAATCAAATTCTTTTCAAATTTATATATAAAAAAAATACCAAGGTAATATCATTTCCTCAATGCTTAGTTACTTGATCAAATTGAAACATTTTACTTGATTTTAAGTTGAATTCTAATTTATATTTTGATTTGATATTTTATAATATATATATAATTTTAATAAAAAATAAATTATATTGAACATTTAAAAATGAGTTTAGAGAGCAAACAAACATAACCATCTATTTGAGTATATAGGGTTGTTTGGTTATTATTTCAAATCAATTTTTCTATTGTTTAACATCTCTTATTCTTAATAAAAATATACTACTATTTATTTTTATAAAATATTATATTAAATTATTATTTAAATTAAAATTTCAAGCTCAAACCAAAACAGCACATATTATTACGCCTAAAAAATATTACTATTCTATTTATTTTATTTATTTATTTTTTATGATATGGGAACCTACTGTCTATCTAAACTTGCGCACTGGGTAAACTTTCGGGCGAATCTAATACCCTGCGAATCAGGCCCTACGAAAAAGTCACACTATCTTATTAAAAATTTATAAATTTATGATAGCATTTTTTTGTATCTATATTTTTTGGTGATGAAAAAAAAAATTGAATATAATATTTCAAAAAAATTAAAATCGAAGTTTTATTTTTATTTTTATTTTTATTTTTATATTTTAGAAAAACAACACTACACAAGAATGAAGCGTTAATGAAAATATATTTCAATTACACCAAAGCCAAATGTTTATGTTTATATTTAAATATCAACACAAATTAAAAATAACATAAAGAAATCCATTATTAATTTTCTACTCATCAATTTAAAAAACACCGCCCAAGAGGGCACCAACAATTCTAAATCAAACTTGTTTCATTTGTATTGGACATTAGATAGTAAATATATCATACATTTTTCAAACATTTATACTTTAGGGTGTGTTTGTTTCGGGGATTGGATTGGATTTACATTGTTCATCTAATTTTTTCTCCCCAAAAACATTAAATCAAATATTTATTTTTTATTTTTTATATTATACTAAAAATTAATTTTACATTCAAAACATCACATCAACACCTATTTATATCACATCGTACAACTATTCAAATTCAAAATTTTTACTGTTCAAATCTCAACTCAAAATCCAAACCCCAAACAAACACACCCTAAAAATAACGATTTATTTATCTATAGTCACTCTCAAATTTACAAATATATATCTTCCAGTTATTTATAAATACTTTCAAATTAATTAATTCTACCAACATCAATTAAATTAGCTATTGATTACACCTTGAAAATATATATCCAAACAATGTATCTTTTCATACTTTTTTAAATATAAACTAAAATTTCCAAGTCCAGTTTTTAGCCCCCACCACGCCACCGTCATAGGTGGCAAAAATATTAAATATATTAAAATTTTCATATGCATTATTTTATTTATTTATTTTTTATAATATAGGAAACCATAATCGGAACTTGAAAATGTGCACTGTACTGGGTAAATCTGGATCAAAATAAAAAATTAGATAAACTATTAAGGAACAGAGAATATATTTTTAAAAAATTAATATATTAAACACATAAATTATTTTTATATTAATTATATAATTTTTTAAACATTATATTCTCCCTCCGTCCCGAAACTAAATATCATTTGCTTTTTGAAATATTAGTATTATATTAAGATATATTAGGAATAAAATAAAAATTATTAAAATAACTTTATTAGTATGTGTGATATAAAGATAATGACATTTGTGTAATATATTGTAAATTATAAGGATATTTGTAATATTAAGTAAAAAATACAATTATTAAAAAAAAATAAACATTTTATTATTACAGATTAAAATGAAAATGGATACTTGTTATGTTAGGGGGAGAGTATAAAAATATATTCTCAAACCCTTTGCCTAAACAAACAAACTCATAATTTGCTAATTAATTTAAATTCGAAAATACAGTCAAACTCAACTTTACCAAATTAAATTGGGTCCCACTCTGCCATACAATAACACCTCAGCCAATGAGGTGTTGCCAGTGCGACACGTAATACACGTGAGTTTCCGTTTACGTGCTTCCACGACCGTAAAGAATCCGCGTGAAGTCACGGCTCATCTCTGGCCGTCCAGAGATCATCTCACGCGACGTATATTACACGCGCCCTTACACGCAAGTGGGTTTATTTTGCGCCACCCGCTTCTACGATTGGTCCAGACCGCCATTAATCATACAGCGAAAATTTGCTGCGAATCATGCGTGGGGGCAAATTGTAATTTCGGAGAAGTCAGGGGGCATACGGAAAGTCCTATATTTGGTTTATTTCATTTTTCTGGCGCACGAATAAAAGCCCTTCGGCTACTTGCAGAATACATACAGCGAGAGATAGTCGCGAATAAATCCACAGTGGATTACGCAAACAGCAATTCTTGTTTGGGTGAGGAAGGAATTACGGGAAGGAATTCGGTAAAGGTCAATTGAGAGAGGGCGGATAAGAGATCTGCTGCGATTTCGACTCAATTCAACGAAATGGGTCTCTGGGAGGCTTTTCTCAATTGGCTTAGAAGGTTTGGTACCGTTTCCTTGCTCCTTTGCCCTGCGGGTATATTGGGTGAATCTTCGTTGGTGTTTTGATGGGATTTGGTGATTGTTGACGGTGAATAATCATTGTTGGATTGCGTAATTGGCAGTGTGGCTATGTTGTTTCGTCTTTCATTTGTTACCTGTTTCAGAGGGGATGATTGGTGTGCTTTTTTTGGGGAGGGATTGATGCTTTGATGTTAGATTCTGGATTTGTTTCTTTCATGTTTGATTTCCACGGTTACTTTTTGGTTTCATCTGACCCCCACCCCACACCCTCTTCAATATCAGGTTTTTTGGTGTTTGAAAAGTTTAAAGCGTTTGCTTGTTGTTCTAGTTATGTTTCTAATTCGGTGTTGAATTTAAGTTTTAGATTGTTTATTGAATGATGAGTACATGATATGGATTGCATAATGTGTTGCGGTGAAGAGAAATTTCTATGGTCACTATGGTGGTTAGGGTGCTTTGGCAATTAGGAACCTTTGCTGGATTAATCTCAACTCATTTGTTAGATGTGTTTATTTGATGTCTAAAGGCTTTTATTATAGTCAGGCCACAACAAAATGGATGAACCAAAGGGAATGTTGCTTTTAGTTGGTTCCGACTTGGTATGGCGCTACGTGGCACGTATACAAACACTTGATGGTGTTAGTTGGAGCATTAGTTTGTTTGTATTATGTTTCTGATGCAATGTCGTAATGCGGTGGAGCTAATTGATCTCTCATTTATAGACAAGAACCTTTGCTGGATTAATCTCAACTCATTTGTTAGATGTGTTTATTCGATGTCTGAAGACTTTAATTATAGCCAGGCCACGACAAAATTGATAATCCAAAGGGAATGTTGCTTTTAGTTGGTTCTGACTTGCTATGGCGCAACGTGGCACATATACAAAAACACTTGATTGTGGTAGTTGGAGCATTAGTTTGTTTGTATTATGATTCTGATGCAATGTCGTAATGCGGTGGAGCTAATTGATCTCATTTAAAGACAAGAAGTTTTGAAGTACTCATAGTTGTTACTCTCCCATGTTATGGATTTAATTGCTTGAAGTTTTGTAAGGCATCACATTTTAACTTATGGTCGCAGCCTTTTCTTCAAGCAAGAAATGGAGTTATCTCTAATAGGTCTTCAAAATGCTGGGAAGACGTCACTTGTTAATGTTGTTGCTGTGAGTAAATTTATAGGACATTCTTACTACTGTTTACCTGTTTAAAGTAACTTGCATTTACTTTGTGTGAATCTAACTTTCTAGACTTTTTTTTGTTTCCAGACTGGTGGATACAGTGAAGATATGATCCCTACAGTTAGTTCTCTGATCTAAGTTCTTGTTATCAATGTTCTTGAATTTTCTCGATTTCATTTAAGATTACATTGACATTTGGCACTCAAACAAATATATGATTCTTCAGGTAGGATTTAATATGCGGAAAGTCACCAAGGGCAATGTCACTATAAAGCTGTGGGATCTTGGAGGTCAGCCCAGGTTCAGGAGTATGTGGGAGCGATACTGCCGCGCTGTTTCTGCCATTGTGTATGCTAATTAATCCTTTCGGTTTATGTTTTTCCTTATGAATAGTTTGGTTACTGCCAATAGCTTTTAGTGTATCTTCTATAACAATACCATAGGCAAAATAATTTTTCGCAAAAAGATTCTGTCATATATGGTATTTGCCACTTCCCTTGTTGCGATAATTGGAAAATTACCAAAACAAGACTTTCAGCTCATTCCACTTCCATTTTCAATGTTGGGATCATATTTCTACTGTTTATTAATTTAACTTAAAAGTCTCATTTCTTTAGCCTGCATAAACTTGAACAGTAAAGATTAGAGAATGCCTGCATCTAGCAGAAAATGTGATCTTTGTAAATATATATCTGTCTTCGGTGTCTCACCTTTATACTTTTTCGGAAAATTTTCAACACTTGCAGGTATGTTGTTGATGCTGCTGATCACGACAACATCAGTATCTCCAGGGGTGAACTTCATGACCTCTTAAGCAAACCATCACTTAGTGGCATTCCATTGTTGGTTTTGGGGAACAAGATTGACAAACCTCAGGCTCTATCTAAGCAGGCATTAACCGAACAAATGTAAGCGCAGTCAAGAGTCATTGGGACAGACTATCTCTTTTGCTAGTTCTAAACTGCATTTTTTTTTTGTTCCTATGCAGGGATTTGAAGTCAATCACCGATAGGGAGGTATGCTGCTTTATGATCTCGTGCAAGAACTCTACCAACATAGACCAAGTCATCGATTGGCTTGTTAAACACTCCAAATCCAAGAGCTGAACATAAGTAATGCTTTGTACTGCAATATGTTGTGTTATAGATTTTATCCTTTTATTTTTAAAGAGATTGTTTCGACTTCTTTGAATCGTTTTGACTGGATTGCTTGCACATTCTTCTTTCTGGCCGATGATGGGCTTGCTGTGTATCTGTTTCCATTGAATAACTTGTGTTCCTGACTCTTGAAAAACAAAAGAAAAAGATTGCCCTGGTGAAGAGATTGTTTATGATTGCTTAATTTTGACTGCTGCTTGTGTTTGTGCAATTTCGATTCTGAAATTGCTGAATGGCTGCTCAAGATTGTGTTTTGTGTTCTTCGTTTGTGTGGATCAAACATGTCTAGTTTTTTTTTTTTTTTTTAATCTCATAGGTATAATTTAAAAACAGCAAGTATGTAACAAGCTTAGGTTTGTGAATTAAACTATCTATATAAAAACCACATATTTTTAAAATATAGACTGATAGCATGTATCAACTATAGCTCTTGTTAGATGTGATTTTGATGGGAATCAATAAAAATTTTCAAATAAACAAAGCCTGCGAATATACAACTATGTTTTGAATTTTGAAGGATTTTTAGGTTTATACTTATTTTAAATAAGAATATATTGTTCTGTATTAAATTGTGGAAGAATAAAAAGATAATTGGTTTGTTCACCCAAGTAGGACATGATTTCCTGTACATTCATAAAAAAAACATGTCCATAAGACTGTTTATAAATATTTTTAGAATTATAATACTCCTTTCATCACTAATCTATCAATTTTATTATTTTAATCCGTCCATTACAAATGTTTCTCATATGTATTTTTATTCAAATATAAAAAAAATGTTAAAAGGGTATTCAATTGTACTATATTTATCAATATAATACTCTCTCTCATTCAATTTTTATTGTTTTAAAATATTGTGATTTTTTTTTTCTTTTTTTTTGGTTATGACAAATTTATCTAATAGAGATTAAAGTAATCATTGGAGTAAAAATATAAAATTTATGTTCGTATATTGGCGTCATTGTTTGTAGACAAAGGGTGTACTAATCTTGTCTGAACCTATATATTGAAAAATTACGATAATAATGAATGAATAATGCAATATTCATTTTTTAGCGTATATGTAAATTTCTTACTTAGAAGATAGTTTTGCTGCTACCGTAAACGAGAGCGGTGCCGCTCCGCCTCCGCCGGCAAAATTCTGAAATAACTTCTCCGTCGTCAATGGAAGCTTCAACGGGGCCTTTAAGCCTCCCCAATCCCCCTCCTCCTCAACCCAACCTCGAAAGCATCAAGCGAAAGCTCCAGCAGCATGGCGTTAATCCAACACCCAGGATTCTCCACAATATTCGCAAAAAGGAGTTACAGAAACACAACCGCCGTGTGGCGAAGCGCAATTCCAAGCAGCCTCCGCAACTCTCCGATGCTCAGAAGCAAGCGCTTGATGAAGAATCACATTTCCAATTGATCAAGTACGAGTACAAGAAATTCGCGAAAACCGTAGGGAGTGGAGGCTGCGAGAAGCTTGTCGGCAGGCCGTGGGAAGGATTAGAGAAGTTTCAATTGAGGAAGCTTGCTAGCGATAACTCGGAGTACGACGGTGAGAAATTAATTCCAGAGCGCCTGAAGGAGCTCAGTGATATAATTGAGTGCGAAAGGGATAAATTCTCCTGGCTCGTCGACGACGATATTGAAATAGGAGAAGATTGGCTCGAAAACGATGGGAAGAGATGGAACCGCCCCAAGCGCAGTGAATCTGAAGCAATTAAGCTTCTCGTAGACAGGTACATCAAATAAACATACCTCAATTCTTATCATTGCCCGTGATTTCACATTTCAGAGTGTCCTAGGTTAAGTGCAGCTGAGTTGACTGCGAGAAATTGGAAGTTCGTGCGGATGATGAGATACTCTGGTTTGCAATATACTGAATGGCAAATGTTGAACATAGTTCAGAGTCTTGGGAGTAGGGGAAGATGGAGGGATGCATTATCTGTGGTGGATTGGGTGTACAGCTCGAAAGAGCACAAATATTACAAAAGCAGGTACACATGAACCTCCCTCAAGCATTCATCATTGAGTATTATGTATGCTTGTTCCAAATCGAAAGAATCGAAGAATTCATTTGTCATTTGTGTGTAAGTGTAGGTTTGTATATACAAAGCTGTTAACGGTGCTTGGGAGAGCAAGGAAGCCTCGTGAAGCTCTTCGAGTCTTCAATTCGATGCGTGTAATTGTTTTTCTTGCATTTTATCATGTGTTTGCCAATGATGGATGTGTTTAGCAGTTGTTTATTTAATGCTACTTGATGTCGAATTGTTCGTAGAAGGATGCATACATTTACCCTGATATGGCAGCATATCATAGTTTGGCTGTCACGCTAGGTCAAGCTGGTTTGCTGAAAGAGTTGTTGAATGTGGTTGAATCCATGAAGGAGAAGCCGAAAAAATTGAGACATATGAAGGGCAAAAACTGGAGCCCTGAACTTCAACCCGACATTGTCGTATTTAATGCTGTAAGCAAGTTTTGGACTTGGAGTGGTTATTTTGTAGATGTTTTTAAAGTACTTATGTAATAACTAAACACGCGGGATTCTTTAGGTTCTTAATGCATGTGTTTCGACTTGTCAATGGAAGGGAGTATCTTGGGTTTTCCAGGAGTTGAGAAAGTATGGTCTCCGACCTAATGGAGCAAGTTATGGACTGGCAATGGAGGTGATACTTCTGATTGGTATATGTCTTAAAACATGGAATTATAATCGAAGCATATTGACTCATGTGCGATTCTTTTTGAAAGGTAATGCTCAAATGTGGAAAATATGATCTTGTCCACGAATTTTTTGAGAAAATGAAGCGAAGAGGGGAAGCTTTAAAAGCATTAAGTTACAAAGGTTTGCATTATATCTCCACCATTGACATGTTTATTGTAGTTAATTGATCGTACGCTCCTTGCATTCCATAGTTCTTGTCAGAGCCTTCTGGGAAGAAGGTAAAGTCGATGAAGCTGTTGAAGCAGTCAGGGATATGGAAAGGAGGGGAGTGATCGGAACAGCAAGTGTGTATTATGAACTGGCCCGATGTCTTTGCTTTTATGGCAGATCACAAGATGCCGTTTTGGAGGTTTGTTTTCTGCTTTTGCACTGCGACAAATCAGGTTGTGATATGATATCTTACTTGGGGTTATGCAAAAATGAATAATGAACGCAGATCGAGAGGATGCGAAACCTTCATCCAACAAGACCTTTGGCAGTGGCCTTCACAGGAATGATAAAATCTTCCATGGATGGCGGCCATGTCCACGACTGTGTATCTCTCTACGAGCACAGCAAAACCCTCTCAGCTCCCGACATTGGTCTGGTAAATGCCATGTTAAAAGTTTATGGTCGAAATGATCTTTTTCATAGAGCTAGAGAGCTATTTGAGGAGACGAGAAGAAATGGATCGGACCCCAAACCGGATGCCTACACCTTCACCTCCATTCTTGAAGCATCTGCCGGCGCTCATCAATGGGAGTATTTTGAACATGTGTACAAGGAGATGACGCTCTCTGGGTTTCAAGTCGATCAGCGCAAACACTCTACTCTGTTAGTCGAAGCATCTCGAGCTGGAAAGGTATTTCCATATATCCTCCACAGGATTTCTGTTTTTTAATTTTCATTATCTGAAATCTAAAGCTACTCATGTTCTTAACAGTTAAATTTGTATGATTGTATGCAGTCGCATTTGCTGGAACACGCATTCGATTCAATCTTGGATGCTGGCGAGGTACCTCCGGAATCATTTTTCACCGAAATGACATGCCAAGCGATTATCAGGCGCGACTATGACAGGGCGACGAATATTATCAACACAATGGCTCTTGCTCCGTTTCAAGTCAGTCTGCAGCAGTGGATTAGCCTCTTTGAGAGTAACCGGGACAGGATTGAGCCGGCGAGTCTGTGTGAACTATGCGAGAAGATTACCAGCGACGAGTTAAGCAGAGAGGCAACGGTCGTAAATCTGTCCAGATCATTGGAAATCATCTGCAAATGTGATGATCATGAATCCTTAAACTCTGCATCTTCCCATGGCTGTGATAGCGCTAATGAACCGAGCAACAACAGAGCAGAGGAAGAAGCTACAGGTAGTCTGATTGATGATGAAAATGTTAGAGGCTGGTGTGAGCAGTTCGACAATGTTTTGGCGACGTCGAAGGGGTCTTCGCCTTATTTCGACGATTTCTTCGAATCTGATGATGATAGCGATGGTGGTGAGCCAAACTTGGAGCAGATTATTGCAACAAATGAAATGGATGAGGGATCTGAATCTGATACTCCTTCAGCATATGAAATACTGCAAATTTGGAAGCATAACTGAAGATGATGACAATGTACATTTGCTACCATTGTAATATTTTATTTTATTATTATTATTATTTTTTATGACATGGGAAGTTCGAAAGTTTGAATTTATGAGTTTACTATCAATGACATGTTCAAATGTGTTTCCCTTGTAGATTTTTTAAATGTCTTCAAAGTATATCAGTGAATGAGAAATATTATTTGTGTTAAAATTGAATTATTTAAAAGTTAATTAATTAAAAATAAATAAGATTAAAATTAATTATTGTAATTTATACGGAGATTAAAACTAATTCTCATTAATTGAACCAAAATGTCTGAATAATGCCCTCAATGGGGATGTACATAACATTTTAAGATTTAGGTATACTTAATTTTTGTTTAAAAAAAATATTGTTGCAGTGTAATATATTTAATTTAATTATTAATATAAAAATTTGCTTATTAAGGAGGAGAGAAGTTGGTGAAGAACTGTATTTCAAGTTTTTATTTCGTGAAAAAGGTTTTCAGATTAAACCCTAACAGAAGCCAGAGGAGTACTCTCCTTCTCAAATGCATATCTAAAAAACCCTAATTTCATTCCCAATTCATAATGGTGTCCATGATTTCAAAACTTTCTTTATCGTCAGCCTCTCAGGCGATGTACCGTCGGGCTTTCTGCACCGCAGTCGAGTCGCGGACTCAAAAACTGGAACGAATCGCGGACGAGCTATTGGACCTTAACAAGCTCGAGCGCTATGATTACGCCATCCTACTGCGTCACAAAATGGGGCTCAATCGCTACGGACCGGCGGCTTCAGTTTCCGGCCTACAGTCCCCTTCATCACCCGCCGGGGGCGCATCGGCCGCCGCCGCCGCTCCAGCCAAAGAGAAAACGGCGTTCGATGTGAAATTGGAGAAATTCGACGCGTCGGCAAAGCTTAAGGTGATTAAAGAGATTCGATCATTCACCGATTTAGGTCTGAAGGAGGCGAAGGATTTGGTGGAGAAAACACCCGCCGTGGTGAAGAAAGGCGTTACGAAGGAAGAGGCTGAGAAGATCATGGAGAAGCTCAAAGAAATCGGTGCTACTGTGGTGCTTGAATGAATGTTTGAATTCAGATTCAGGTGCCTATATTTTTGAATTTTTTTTCATCAAAGTAGTTTTACTTGATTGGATCAAATTAGTAGTGTCGGTTCATCCATACCGTAATATCAATGTTGCTTCACTGAATTCTCCATTTCAGTTAACAGATAGTCGAATCCACACTTTACTTAATCTTCCCATAAAAACCTGAATCATCGAAATTTTTGGTATTGTTCTTGTCTTACCTCCATTGTTGAATGTGGTCTGGTTTCATATGACTTAGCTCACTCTATCTAACGCAAGAAACAACATTTGCATTTTTTAGATTTCCTCTACATATGTAAGTAATTAAACAAGATCCTTTCTTGAATTGTTAAACTTCTTCCGAATCAGCTATAAAAGGAGCATGGATATGGGGGTATAATTGGTCATATTATTCGATCCCGTGATGTATAACTTGTAGTTTGATGTGCTATTCGATCAACAAATCTCCCAATTTGCTCGGATATATTTTGAGCGAAAGCCACTCCGTCCAACCGATGAGACGGGAGAGGCGACCAACTGAATGAATCAAATTCACTTGGTCGCCTCCCTTACAACATAGGTCATTCCAACTAAAGTTCTTAGGACTAAATCATCGAATATCAGTCAAAATCTTATCACCATCACTTTTGTGTCGGGAGAAAATTTTGGCCCCGAAAAATAAGAGGGTTTGTTTCCCAGAGAAAACCTTAAGGAAACAAACCCTTTTTGCTACCAATGAGATCGAACAACTCACAATAAAATCTTGACAATGTAAAATTGCTGCGAAAACATTTGTAATAGGTTACGAAGATGAAACTGTCTGTAAATGTCATTAGCCGGAAACCAGATACTTCTGATACTAAGCTAGGTTCAAATACATATGCTTGACATTGGATCATCGACAGATCAAGCTATTAATATCGACAAAATTCATAGATTTACAACTCTGCAAACCTATCTACACGCCCGGCGGCAATAAAGGAGGTCTTCGACAAAGCAGCCATGGAACTTCTGCCACACGTTTGGTGTGGCTATTAATCTGCACGACAACAAATAATAACAATAAAGGTTGCTAGACCGAGAACCAAATTGACTATATCTGCAGCAGCACTAATATATTTCATAGAACTTACAGCATGCCATCGATCTTCAGTCGGAACTGTGTATCAGACGGATTCATTATTCTCACTCATTGTTCAGAATTAAAGAGAGAATTGATAAGTGAACTCAGACACAGATTAAGACATTACCAGGCACGAACGGTCGGGCAAGTGAGGGCTTTCTGAGCTGCATCAGCGAAACACCGCGCAGCTTCTGCTTCAGCCTCAGCTTCCTCGGCTTCCCTTGCTGCGGCCTCAGCTTCAGCAATGGCAGCTTCTGCCTCAGCAACGGCTTTTGCAGCAGCTGCAGCAGCATCGGCTGCACTCATCTTCTTCATCTTCTCTAGCTCAGCGTCGATATCTGCTTTAGTAAGAAGCACAATCGGAGTTGTCTTTGCTTCTGAAGGAGGAAGACCCTTTACCCCATTTGCAGAAAACATCGGTTGCTCTTTCACTGCAGCCAAAGATACCGACTTTGGTGCAATCCTGTACTGATTTTTGACCTGTCGATCGATAGATCAAATGTATTATGGTTCCGAGTAGACAGATTTTTGGTGTTTTGAAAATTTTTGAAAATAATAAAGAAGTTAGTATTTAAAATGATGCACTGTGAGAGAAAAATAGTATTTTTGAAAAAAAATATTATAAATTAATAGTGTCAAAATTTTCAAATTTGTAACGGTAAAGAGAGCCTTCTGGAAATGCAATATTCGGCAACAATACTCAGTGACTCATGTTCGGGTTTCATAAACTAAAAAAATCAATAAATCGATACGAGAACTCAGATCAGTCAATTAAATACCTTAACCAATCGTCCACTCTCTGTCAAAATCTTCAAATTTCTAGCCAGAGTCTTTTCAAAATCCGGTATTGGGGAGTAATGCTCCTGCCATAAAAATCACATACGATTTTCGCATAAAATCAGAAATGCTCAAACAATCAAACTTCAAAAACCAATAGTCAGCTAAGGTGTAGATGAGGATAGCAGACGCGAATGGGGATAAAAGCCGAATTGTTTGCAAATTGTTAGGCAAAGTGCCCAAAATTCCAACCAATTAACACAATATTACAACAGTAATTGCCAACTCCGTCCTGCTGATTAATGTTCGTTTTTTTTTTTATGGTTACCTCTATGTATTGTGCAATTGTGGCGCGATTGGATCCGCGAGGTTCCTTCAGCTTTGTTATAGCCTCCACTATAAGATCATCCAACCTGTATGTAATCACCAAAAAAGCCTCAGAGATCACGACAACAATATGGAATGATCTGCTCAAGAATAAAGCCGCACATAACATTTATCCATCTAATTTGTGCAACAGACACAAATTTAATAGCAAAACGATAATTTCCAAGAGGGCGACTAACTGCAGTGTATACAATTCACCTCCAGACAAGGGCAAGAAAATAAACAATTTTGTGTAATGAAATTGTATGACCTTGAGATTGGTTTTCTAGAACCCGCATCCTGAGATACTTCACTAGATGATGCATGAGAAGTTCCATCGACAACATCAGACTCCTTTTCAGCCATTATCACATCACGGACTGTAGCATCATCTTCTTGCTTGTTAGTAAGCAACGGATTGCTTTTAACCGCAACCCTAGCTCGGTTCCGAGATCCCATGCCATTCGCCATGCAATTCAAGTTCCTAAATTTGTCCTAAAAGAGAAATGATTTGGTTCAAACCAATATTATTCAAGCAATATTAATTAGCAAACTATAAACTAAAATGCAGGACAAGCTACCTTAAGGTCCACATTAGAACGAGCACGCAATACCGTGCTGAATTCTGGATCTTTTAGAATGGTACTCCATTTCCCTGTCCCGTATTTTTGTATGCCGGCTTTAAGGGCAGCTTCTTCTTCGGCTGTCCATTTTTGTTTAGGAGCACCCATATTCTTGAATAGAACTTTCACAATAGACGCCGACTGAATATTACTTTAGTAACACGCCACCACCTGCAGAAATAGATAGATAACTAATAAAGAAGTGCAAAAATCGTAAAATTACCTAGAATGGTAAGTGAACCGTTAGCAAGCCGAAATATCTACACATACGACACGTGTAGAATTTTCAGAGATAATATACAAGCATTCAATGACTCATGAATGCCATTAAAGAAAAGGACTCCGAAAGCATGTGGTGAAGATAGCTAATTACTTCACAAATCAATTTAAAAGCAATACTTGATCATGCTTATGCGAATATGACAAACACCAGCAGTACACATTTGGACATTGGGCACTCATCTGATAAATTGAAAAAGACTAATGCACCATATGTAACAAGTTACTAGCTAATCTGAACAATAAGAATTATGAAAAGCAGAAGTTCAATATTCACTTAATCCAATGTCAATCCATGACCCGAAGACATCTTGCTAAAAGCTACATACATGAGGAGATAATTCAGAAATGAAAAATGGCATTACCATAGCACTAACTATTCTCCAAGAAATACATAAAGCTATTGAGAAAGACAAAGAATTTGTTACCTCATTTCACAGATATAGAAAGAAGCCATAATTCAACTACAACATGATACGAGGAGTCGAGGACTTCACAGGAATTACTCAAATTTCATATTGATTAAAAATATAAAATACAAAATCGTCTACACTAGCAGGAAACAGGATTTGCTTCATATTCCAAACAATCCATCAAAATACATATATCTGAAAGTTTTTTAGTGTTCCCCAAAGAGATTTCCGCTTCTTCCCCATCCACACCGCCAAATTGACAAAAACAAAAAAAATAGAGTATGTTTCGTATAAACAGAAATCGGACGAACGGATTAAACAATGAAACAACATATTTCACTAAATACACATCGAATTAAAGGGGGCGTGGGGTTGAATGTGTGCCTGTGCGTTCTTCGAGTAGCCTAGGCCATACCGAAACACAGGGAACAGTAAATCTGTGTGAATTTTGAAGAGAATCGAAATTTACAATTGAATTTCAGAACGATTCGAGACCTAACAGATAGTGACGAGATTAATAGAGTAGAATTGTACAATTGAGGCGCCGTTCGGTTCTTCCCTCGCCGCTTTTTCCCCTCTCCGACGCCGTCTGAAAGAATCAACTGCACACTCGTTCACACACACATACGCACAGATACATACACATATATATTTATATTTAGAGAGAGAAGTATATTATTTGTAGTATGAAAGGACACCAGGCCCAGCGATCATAATCAACTGAAAAGACATATATACCCATCAAACTCTTAACAAAGTTTCCAATCAAAAAGGGGTAATTATTTAATACTCTCTCCGCTCCACAGTTTTCACCTTTTTATTACTTTCGTTTTTCTAAAAAGTAATATTATTCGTAGTGGGACGGACTAACCCACAATTCACCTTAATTCATAAATAAACTGATTTTTTGCGAGTCAATTTATGGTAGGGTAGATCAAAATTTTATCAACCCAACCCAACTTATTGGTGGATGGAGAGCTATGCGGGCTAGCCCGACCCAACTTATTGGCGGGTGGCGAGCTAAGTGGACTAGCCCGCAGACTTTTTAAAAATATTAAAAGAATATTAATATAATAAATATTTTTGTAATTAATATTTAAAAATAACTAAAAATGGTTTTATTTTAGAATTTAAATAATAAATATTTTAAAATAAATAAAAAATATAAAAATTTTCAATTCTAAATATTATTAATTGGTGTTTTAAAAAAAATAATAATAATAAGAAATACTTCATTTTAAAATAAATCATAATTAATTTTATGAATTTATAAAATTATAAAATAATAAAACGGAAGATGAAAAAAACAAATGATGAAAAATCGAAATAAATAACAATGTTATGAATAACATAGTTAGAGAATAAAAACAATGTGTAAATAATATTAATAATTTATTTAATCTAATGATAATATAAATTTTATTTTATTCATCTTAACTTATTTATAAAGGTATGCTTGTAATTTAGAAAAAATTAAAATATAATGTTATATTAATATTTGATTAGTTTTATTTTTTAATATGACAAGTAAAAAATGGTAAAAAAATACATTTGGTCAGAGGAGTGGGTACTGATTATTATATTTACTTGACCCGCGGACTAATCCACCCTCGACCCGCGGTCCATGCGGATTAGCCCATTTAAGCCCGCATTTTAACGGGCTTAAAAAATCACAACCCAATCCTCCTTAAAAGTAAAGGAGGGGCGAACCAACCCGAAGGATTCAACCTATTTTGACTGCTCTAAGTATTATACATTTTAATTTTTATAAACTTTAACATTATTTTAAATTTTAATTTTAATCTTTAATTTTTTTTTAAATCTTTTAATTTATAATTTATAATTTTTTTTTATTATTATATTCTTAGTTTTTTACTAATTATATTTTTTAAAAAATTCTAAGGTGTAATAATTTATTTTTATTATCAATTTTTTTATTATCCTTCTTTCTATTTATATATAAAATTTTGAATCAGAGTTTATTATCAATTTTTTTATCATCCTTCTTTCTATTTATATATAAAAATTTGAATCGAGTTGAAATCAGTCCATTAATGATTTCCAACTCATTCTATAAACTTACCATTAATTTTCACCAAAGTGTAGGTTTAACACATCAAAATTAAATCAGAGAGTGCGTATTTATTTGCATTTTTCATCAATATATTAGTGAAGCATATTTTAAAAAAATAAAAAATTCCATACTTGTAAATTTAACCCCTCTTGTCAATTCTTACTACAACAGTCATGTAATGCAACAATGTCTGCTCCAGTTCATCACCGCTGTTATTTTTCATACATCAAAATAATAGAATAAGTTGGTCCTAATTCCTAAACTAACATCAACTAACCATACAGAAATCTACAGATCATGATTTGAACTGGGGTTGGGTTAGGAAGCAAGGATGATCTTCAAAACCAGTGAAACCATCTACCTGACTTGTCAGCAGGTCCATTCTTCGGGGCTAAGGTTATCCGGTCGGCATGGGAGACAGCCCACTTGTTGAAATCGGGCGAAGCGATTAGATCTTCCAGGGCGCTGCGTGTGGTCTCCTTAGTGAAAGAGTCCCATTCGTCCTTTGTGATTTTTTTTCTGTTCGGCGTGCTGTGGAAGGTCGAATAGAATGTCTCTGAATTCGACAACCTTTTGGGCGATTTGCTTGATGCACCTGAAAGGGCAGCAAAATCAGTTGAGAATTGCAGTGATCGAGCACAGGATATCTTTGTGTTCTAAGGAAGGGAAAACTTACTTTGTATAGGAGTATATGGAGATCTGTTTGAGGGTCGGGAGAAAGTCGACTTGGTGGCTGGAGATGTGTAGGGACTATGAGATTCTCTGAAATTTGTCTTGTTCAATCTAGACATTTTTCTGCGGGTTTAATGAAACAAATGTCTGAATGCAAAAATGGAACGAAGACAAAGTCACAAAAGAACTTTAAAATTAAGAATCAAACTCACCTGTAGATACGGCAAGCTATTTTTGAATGGCCAAACTTACTCAAAACTAAAGAAATAATAATGCCACCTACGAAAGCCTCGGCGGCCAACAAAGGATCTGTTGAACTCTGAGCAAGTCATGGTGTAATTCATCGTTAATTAGTGCAGGAAGAAAGAAAAGTGACTATTGCATCAAGGAAAGATTGCGATAATGTTATTACTCTAATGTAGAGAAAAGAGACCTGAAGAATCATCACAGATCCAACGATCCGGATTGACCAAGTGACAAAGTGAGATACACCAGTATCGATAGATCCATCTGTGGACAGAACAAGTTTGCGCACAGCCCAAAAGCCAAGCCAAGCTCCGAATATTGCGAGGAATACCAACAGAAATATTGCAACCTGCATTGTATAAAGATCACGTATTTGGTTCATTGGGGAAGAGACTATTAAGCAAATTTCAAATCATAGAGCCTGAAAGTGGAATTTCTCTCGAAATAGTTTTGGAAAGTAAATAGAGGAACCAATCTATTAATTTTATAGGTTTTCATTAAGAAAGATGAATCTGTCTATATCTCAACAACATTTAGTAGTGTACATCTAGAAAGTTCCTGTTAGTGGGCATATGAAGAAGAAGACATGGAGCTTTACAAGCATCAGTATGGGGTGCTCAGAAAACTACGAGAACATGCAGGTAATAAAACTAATTTCCTGTTGGTAGCAGATGGGGGAGGAAAACTCAAAGTTGTACCATCATGACAGGATAACCTCATTAATGGCGGACAAGGAAAAATATAAGAATTTGCTATCGGAAACTTACATACAGGATTGTACATGTCTTCAGAAAGCCCAATCTCAACAAGTAGTGATTGCAACAACCTTGGCACATATCGTAGGAGAAAGGATCCCAAGCCCACCTGAACATAATTGTATAAGTCACCATTGCAGCGTTGCTAAAATAAAAAAATATGAAGCAGGGCTTGAATTAAAGATACATACGAAAAATGAGTACAGGAATATAGCAAATGAACTCTTCCGGCCAGTTGGGAGAAGCTTCATTCCCTATCAACGTACATGAAAAGGTAATTACTAACAAATATGAACAGGTATACACACTCTTGGATCCTGAATCTGGAATCCTACTTTTTTAGGTACTTAATTACTATAAAAAATGTGTATTCAAAATTCCTGGACTTTAACAGGCAATTGTTCAATGAAGCTTCATAATCTACTTCCGGGGGGTCTTTCTTATGAAGTACTTACCTGGAAAAGTATTATTAATACCACAAGCAAAACCCCGACAAGCATTGCACTGCTATAGTAAAAAGCTAAAGATTTGCTGAGACAGGAAGCCAGACTCATCAACACAATGCCCATAACCAGGAATAATATCCTGTACATATAAAATTCTGCAAAAGAAAATCAAATATAAAGTAAGAATAACGCAAAGGACATCATATTGTAGGGATTAATCGTAGAATAGATAGTGTAATGGAGAATAACCTTCATGAAGGGATATTTGAAGAACCTCTGAATAAGATGCCACCATCCTTATGTCCAAGATTTTGTGGTCAAACGGAGACATTGATTTAACACATAATCCTTTGGAAAGCCTTTCCCATTGATCGTGGGGGCACATCCCAATCCCAAGAGAAGAATTTCTGCACAGAAAACAGCAGTTGATACTCACACATAAAAATTCAAACATATCATGATGGATGTTAAGGGCCAAACTTAACAAATCAAACCAAAGAACCATCACTTTACCATTGTTCGGCACATTATAAATTTTCAAATGGTGTAGGGTCATTATAAGCAATGTAAATACATAGTATGATCAAGTTCTCTTATTTCACGTCTAAGAATTTAACTACAATTATTGTGCATAAAACTTTATTAGAAAAAAAAAAAAAAAAAAAAAAAGGGTACATAGACATTGTGCCAATACCTGGTTCAGCCAAGGCTGTTTTGACCGCAGAAAGCATAGCGTTTCACAAATAAATCAAACTTGACTGAATAAAAATAAATAAATAAAGACACTCTAAAACACCATAGTAGACATGAAAAATACCGGGTATATTCGATGTAAAAGCTACAAGCAGAAGAAAATGGGGATAACAACATTTTGTTAAAAAAATTTAATCAGTCATTATACTACCTAAAAACACTTATGCACAAGATCATAGGTTTATGGTGGAAAAGAATATATACAAGAAAACCAGGTTTTTACAATAATTATACATCTTAGCCAAATCATATCAACTCGCCTGTGGAAACAGATCTGGATATAAGGTGGGCAACCACTTTTGTTTACACATGAAACCTCTACCTTCAACGAATTGGCAAATTTGCTTAAATGTTTAATTCGTGGCAAACCATGAATTGAAACCCTCTCACATTTCACTGTAGTTCCAGGTTTGGATCCTGGAGATTTTTCCACCAACAAGCTTGGGGATAGTTGCAATGTTGTTGAGTTAGAAACAACTGCCAAACCAAAGAGGTCAGCCACATTGTTAGATCATTTTCATAAATGAATGAGTGCTCACATTCCCACACAAATTTCATATATTTCCATTAAATTAGCTACTAAAAGTGTTTATTTACATGCCGGCGAGCTATGTAGTCCGTAATATTCGAACGGTGAATACCCATAAGAACGGAATCTCCTCAAAACACAAAATTATGCATTTGGTTCTGAACTCCCAACTCAATACTATTCTTAGAAAACAAGATTTAAAACTCATAACACTAACCTCTATACATTTTGTCCAAAAGATTAAAAGCTCAGTAAGTAAAAAATGTCATGTTTTCAGCTCGCGGCAACAACTTAAAGTGACGCCGTATACTCTTAACATATTTTTCTTCAAAAGACAACAGAAAGTAAAATGTGTGCGCGTTAAATTACAGAACCCAGATTGTCGATCGAGCTTACCTAAGAAGAACTCAGAAGCGGACCCAAGGGATGCAAATAATGAACATGAAAGCAAAATAAAGCATGAAATGAGTGTAGACGGAACTGCAGCAACCATTGCTACTGGAATTGGGGACTGAAGCAGAGTGATGCACTTTGTTGAAATCCAGCTGAATTGGGGTTCGCTTAAACCCTAATTAATTCTATCAATTGTAACCGATCCATTTCCCCAATTGTCCCTTGCTCTCGCGCATTTTCTTATTATTTTCCTTTTAATCTACTGATTTTAACTTATTGCTTTTAAGCCCTTTACCTTATTATTTTTTAAATTCAAATCCAATTTTTTTTCAAATAAAAACAATGGTTTGCTTACTATATTTAAAATTAATTTTTTTTTTTTTTTTATCAATTTCTATAAAAATATTTATATATAGGATTTAGATATTATTTTTCGAATAAAATCTTGATTATTTGCACACTTATTTGCAAAAGATCTTAAATTTTCTAGTTGGACAAACCAATTTTATCATTTTGTTTAGTTAAATCTAAACAATTTAGCGAAAGAAAATTTTTGAAAGTTCTCATATGAAAGACGAAAATTGAAAAGTATTAGGTAATTTGATATTCTTAAATTTTTATATTACATTTCAACAATATCATTTTTATAAATTAGTATTTGATTGTTGATATTTTTGAAATTTAAATTTCTTTTATGATAATGTTATAATGTGAATTATTCTCTCTCTATATATAATCAAATTGGGAATTGTGCTTTTGTCATCCTCCAAAATTTTTAATTTGATGCGCTCTTTAGTCTATAAAATATAATAAAAAATAAATTAAAATAAAAAGCACACTTCTTTGGTCGTCTAAACAAACAAAAATAGATATTTTTGTAAATTTTATTTTACAATTTCTTTTTAACACAAATATTTTTCTGTGTGTCGCGTTCAAAGTACTTACTTTGTTTGTCTATTAAAGTTATTTTTATTCTTTTGTCTATTTGAATAAATTTATCTAATTGTTAATTTTTTTAAAAATAATAATAAATTAATATTTAATTATTATTTTTTGTCATTACAAACATAAATGAAATGAATATTTTTTATAAAAATTATGAGTATTTTACTATTTCTATATATATATATTACTTTTACTCTAATAAGAAAAAGGAAATATGTATTAAATTATGATGAAAAGCGTATATTATAATTGCTAATAATATAATATGAATTTGTTTGATTTTGATTTGAAATTAAATCATTAATTTGAACTTAAATTTGAAATTTTATGTAAAAAAATTATTATATTTTTATTAATATTCATATAAAATAAAAGAAAAGTAGTATTGATTGTAATTAGAAATTCAACCATTTCCTCCATATAATAAAACAATTAAAAAGTCATCAGACAAGAGAAATGTAGCTGTCCGGGTCCGGGTCCGGGTCCGGTCTACTGAAGCAACTTCTACAGTGTACTAGTCTAGAGGACACCGAAAGAATCGTGTTACAAAAATATCTTCTGCGTAGAGTCGTGCTTTTGTTATAGTTAATGTCGCATTTTCTGGAACCAAGCGATTTATGCACCTCCGCAGCTTTCGAGGTTGCCGATTTTCTTCAGCATGTATATATATGAAATCTCTGAGTTTTGATGATCTATTGCGGCCAAACCAAGAAATTGTTTCACGTCTCCGGCGTCGTGTTGCGCCATCAATTGGCGGCTTCACTCAGCCTATTCCGACGCGTTTTGGCCGAAATTATATGTGACGACTTCTCGAAGAATTCGCGAGGAGCCATCGGATGGCTATTGTGATGATCCATTAATTATTTACAGAGATAGGCAGAAGCTTGAATTGAAGGAATTTTTTTATTTCTCTGGCGGCGGAACGCGTTTTAGGTATATATATATATTTTATTTTTCCTAAGAAAACGGAGGCAGCGTTATAGGCGTGCATGGGGAGAGCACTAAATTTTGTTATTTTGGTGGCTGAATTAGATGATCGGTTGTTGAATGATTGTTTCATTGTTTGTTTTGTGTTCTTATTTCCTGTTTGACGGTTAGTGTATTTGGCAGATCATGGGTAAGAATCACGGGTATAATATGGTGATATCTTGCTCTGAGTTGGATGATTATGAGAGAGTATGTTCTTCGTCGAGAGAAGGTAAGGGAAAGAGATTGTGGAAGAAGGTTAAATACCAGCTGGTGGAATATCACTCATTGCCTGGATATTTGAAGGACAATGAGTATATTCTCGGTTATTATAGGGCCGAATGGCCTTTGAAGCAGGTCTTACTCAGCATTTTTACCATTCACAATGAAACCCTCAATGTTTGGACGTAAGAGTTTATGCTTTTGTTGTTTCTGTTTTTATTAGTACTTTGATTTGTTAATGCTGATTCTGGTATTAGAAGTTACCCAAAGTTACTAATTGTTTGTTTCAATTTTTACCCTACAAAGATTATATATTATTTATTGTGTTTTCATGCTCCACTTTGTTTTCATCTTTTTTGGTTCTGTTGCTCATCATTCAGACCTTGTCTTCTGAACTTGAAAGATTAGCAAAGTTGTTCAAGAATTTATACTAAAACATGAGGCCATGACATGTTTACTGTAAAATGAAATCTGAGACCGGACATTGTGTAAGCTGAGCTCCTGTGTGATTGGTTGTTTAGTGGGAGAAGTGGATAAATAAATGATGTAAAAAAACCCACGGACCGTTCGGTTTGGTTTTGTTAATGTTGGATTTCCCAGATGACATTTTTCAGTTTTAAGTTTTTTGAGATAAGTAACATTGTACACAGGGTGGACTTCTTCTCTGTTTTTCCTCTGTTTTTAGAATGCTGATTCAAGGAGAAGAAAGATCCTAGTTTATTGATGATTGTATATTTTCATTGGTTAGGAAAAACTAACAATCAGATGATTGTATATTTTATTGATGATTGTATATTTTCATTGGTTAGGACAAACTAACAACTCAGATCAAGTTATCTCTAATAATGATTCTGCAACTACACTATTCATAAAGAATGTTGAATAGATGGATTCTTTGAGCAGGATTAATTTTCAAATTTACAGATAGGGAGATGTGTTTTGTTTATACCTTATACATTTGTAATACAACATTCATGATCTGGATGTGAATGAGTTGAATTAATTTTTTTTCTTAATATATTTATATATGTGTTTGTATATATATATTTCTGGCGGTTCTTTATCACTGATGATGCTATGGTGTAAAAGACACTATCTTTTCTTGTTTTCTCAGCATGAAAAAATTACATTTTGTCTACTTTCAAGGCATTGATGAATTATCTTTCTTCGATGCAGGCATTTGTTAGGGTTCTTCCTTTTCTTATTTCTAACTATATACACTGCTATGAAGGTTCCAAGTGTTGTGGACCTTCCTACACTACAAAATTTCTCTGATGCTCTGAAGAAAGCTGATTTTCAGAAACTTCAAACTGACCTGGTTGCTTGTCTTCCATTCTTGTCACACATGCCTGATCTGCAGAGACTTCGTGATGATCTAAAAACCTCATTGCCTTCGATGGACTTGCTACCATCCTTATCTAATTGGCATATCACAGAGCTCCTCTCCAACTGTTTGCCAGTGAGTCTCTCTTCCTTAAACTTGCTGTTTTCTACTTCCCGTATACCTTTTGCTTGATTTTCTCACTTGTTTTGAAAATTGTGGCTCAATTGGAAGCACAAGAGACTGGTATTCTTAATATTGCATAACTTGATATGATAGCTTCTTGTTGAATAAACAACTTTCTTAACCTGCTGTAAATGACAATTATGTGCTTTCAAAGAGAGAACTCTATTGAAAATAACATTTATAATAATTCATTTTGATCCTTTTGTGGATATTTGGATGAAAGAAGACATTCATTAAATGATGATGCTCATAAAAACAAGGGATTGCTTTAAAAATAAAGATCTTCCTCTCTATCATTAGGAACTATATTTTTGAATTGAAAATGCTTCTTGCAGAGCTCTGGACATATTTCCCTCCGGGATGAAGTATTATGACCAATTTAACATTCGTTGTATTAATGGTTTAATCTTGCAGAATGGTATGAAAGATGACATGGCAAATATAGTAGCACCCTCGACTGTAACACCAATCACGCGATGGCCGTTCTTTGCATTCTTAGGTGGTGCCATGTTTTGCTTATTAGCCAGCAGCACATGCCACCTGCTGTCCTGCCACTCGGAGCGCTTATCCTACATCATGCTAAGGCTCGACTACGCAGGAATTGCTGCCCTTATCGCAACATCATTTTACCCCCCGGTCTACTACTCTTTCACATGCTACCCTCTCTTGTGCAATCTGTATCTATGGTTCATCACCTTGCTAGGAATTGGCACAATCTTGGCGTCCCTTCTCCCAGTGTTTCAAAGCCCTGAATACCGCAACTTCCGAGCAACTCTCTTCTTCTCAATGGGGGTATCCGGCGTGGCGCCTATCTTACACAAGCTTATCCTATTCTGGAACCAGCCCGAGGCACTCTACACAACGGGGTACGAAGTATTAATGGGGGCACTCTATGGTCTTGGAGCATTAGTGTATGCGACACGAGTGCCAGAGAGATGGATGCCTGGAAAATTCGACATTGCAGGCCATAGCCATCAACTGTTCCACATTCTTGTTGTTGCTGGAGCTTATACACATTACAAAGCTGGACTTATTTATCTGAAATGGAGAGACCAACAAGGATGTTGAGGAGATTCAAAGAACATCGACGTAAGGTTAGGGGCTCTGCTTAAGTTTTAGTTCAAAAATTTTAACAAAATTCCCCTCAGTATCTAATTATGTCTGATCTCATCATGCTTGATTGAATTTCAGGCTTCTTAAAAGATATATGTGACAATGTTTGGAGTGCATAGTGAGAATTGCAATATTTTGAAATAGGAGATGGCTTTTTATTTATTTATTTTCACATTTCAGAATAACCAAAAACCCTTTCTTACAAGCAAAAATTGTCCTAATAATATAATGTAATAGACAAAAACTGAATTTAAGAGAGGCACATCACATGATTGGGACAATAGTGTTGCATTCCTTGTCACTTTCAAGCCTCCCTAAATCTTATTGCTGCCGTCTCTGCCACTTCCTTTCCCCCCTCATTTATTTCTTCCATAGTTATTTTGTATTTCATTCCAACAACCTATGACCCATTTCCCAATTCCCATCAGCCACAAAAATTAAATCCTTAGACAATATATTTATTATATATAAAAATGAATAATAATTTCTATTTATTAATTATTGTCAATTGAGGTAATGAGTATGGTTAGTGAGTGCAGTGAGAAAAGCAGATTCTAATTGAAAAGTCAAATAATAGATGCAGACAAATCATGTGCACAGTGATAGATGCAGATCGTGCAGCGTTGTGGTTTGGCAGTTGCATGGATATGTATATTCTTGTGTGTCGTTTTTACGTGTTTAAGATTTGATTAAATTATTGATATAAACATCGTACACACCACACGCCATCTGTCCTTTCTTAATTCTTTTATTTAATTCTTTGCCTAACACTCACTCACTCACTCACTCTTCGGATTCATGACTAACAGAAAATTTATTTCAATTTATATATACCTTGTCTTTTTCTCGTTGGTTGATTGGAATCTTTGATTTAGATTTTAGACCATGAGGTTTAATGGAGAATGAAAAATATGAGTTTAATTTCAAATTTAAATATAGATTGTTAAATCCTCAATAAATATGTATATATATTACTTTATTTTACAAACTATTGTATAAAAATATATTTAGATCGAAATTCAAACACAAAACAAAGCTACATGCTAAAATGATCACTGCGTCGGCTAATATTTGCAGTGTGTACTAATTATTCACAAATATTAAATAAAAAATAAGATTCCATTGAGAGGAATTTCTAATTTAGTATGTAGCTTTCTTTTTACAGTGTAAAAGTACTGAAGCTGTCGGTGCAATTGGTAACGTGTCCATCGTCTACAATCTCCATCGTTGCCCTCTCCTTTATTAACACGTTTCTTCTCCCTTCTTTCCTCTTCATTTATTTGTGCCCATTGCCAATTCCGTGTTCTCTCTCTCTCTCTCTATTGTTTTTCAATTTTCAGAGATTCCATTTATGTATTTATGAGCTTAGGGTAATGGAGTTTCTTCATTTTTGTATATAATGGTGTCTTCCGATCACATGGCCAAATTTAACGGTCGGAGCAAAGCGGCCGCGTTTTTCTCCGACGGAATTCTGTATTCCGGCGTGGGTCTGGTGGCCTTTCTTGTCGTCTGTGCTGTTTGGTCTCTACTCAGCCCTGCTCCGCCGCCGCCGGGGTTTGCCGCTACTCCATTTTCCGATGTGGAGTCTAATTTACAGAAAAAAGGTTCAGCCGCCGGCAGCGGCGGCGGAGGTGAGGCGGCACCGACGCCGTCGGTTACCTGCAATTCCGATTCGGGACCAGATCGGCTGCACGATCCGCCTGACCGGAATTTCTACGACGATCCGGGACTGTCGTACACCATCGACTCGCCGGCGATTAAAAATTGGGACGAAAAGAGGAGACAGTGGCTGGAGCAGCACCCGTCGTTCCTCGCCGGAGCTGAGAATCGAATTTTAATGGTGACCGGCTCTCAGGCGACGCCGTGCAAGAATCCGATCGGCGATTATCTCCTCCTGAAGCTCTTCAAGAACAAAGTCGATTACTGCCGCCGCCACGGCATCGACATTTTCTACAACAACGTTCTCCTCCACCCCAAGATGTTCTCTTTCTGGGCCAAAACCCCCGCCGTGAAGGCGGCGATGCTCGCCCACCCGGAGGCGGAGTGGATCTGGTGGGTCGACTCCGACGCCGCCATAACCGACATGGATTTCAAGCTCCCATTAGATAGGTACGTATATAATTTAATTTCATTTTATATACAACCAATTATTTTTTATTTTATTTTATTCTTTTCGATTCTTATTCCAACAAGGTACAAGAATCACAACATGGTTGTCCATGGATGGCTCGAATTGATCTTCAAGAAGAAGAGCTGGACGAGCATCAACGCCGGCGTCTTCCTCCTCCGCAACTGCCAATGGTCCGTCGACCTAATCGACCGGTGGGCCCAAATGGGCCCACAGTCGCCGGAGTACGATGAATGGGGCAAAATTCTGAGCTCAACTTTCCGGGACAAAATCTTCCCGGAATCCGACGACCAATCAGGCCTAGCATATTTAATTTTAAAAGAAAATGAAAAATGGGGGGCCAAAATCTACGTGGAGGGGGAGTATTACTTCGAGGGGTATTGGATGGACATTGTAGGCACCCTCGACAACATCACCGACCGGTACACGGCGGTGGAGATGGGCACCGCCGCCTTGCGGCGGCGGCACGCCGAAAAGGTATCAGAAGGGTACGCCCGGGAGTGGGAGGACCACCTCAAGGAGGCCGGCCATGGCCGCGGGAGCTGGCGGCGGCCGTTCATCACGCATTTCACCGGCTGCCAGCCGTGCAGCGGCGCGCACAACGAGATCTACTCCGGCCGGTCGTGCGTCGACGCAATGCAGAGAGCTCTGCTGTTCGCCGACAATCAGGTCCTCCGGTCGTATGGATTCGTGCACCCCGACACGATCGATCCGGCCGTCGTTCGTCCGCTGCCGTTCAATCATCCCGCCACGCAAAATTAAGTGATAATCGATGTAGTTTTGCAAGGTACTAAATTTAATCCGAGTTTATAAAACGTGAGTACATATTATGATGTATTAAATTTAAACATTTCATTAGAAGGGCAGTTGAGTCGCCATGAATGTGAGTAAATAGGATCACAGGAAAGTATGTCTGTATGCAACAACCACATTTAAAAATTGGATCTTTATTTATACCCACGTGACCAAAATTCAATGAGTGAGTGAGTGTAATTAGGGCAGGGCAGTCGTTAATTATGACAAGAGCAATAATAGGGCTGTAATGGGAATTCATTTCATTATCTAGTTCCTATAAAGTACAAAGCAGCAGTATAATTATGACATGGAGGCACCAATTATGTAAAAGCACACACAAAAATTGTCTTTTTTAAGTGAAGTTTTCAAGAACACAATACAATGCGTGCCCGCCAAATTAGCCTGATTTAGGGGCACCACTCACTGCATCAATCCACTTCCATGTTAAAGAACCAAGAAAGAAAGAAAAAGGTCTAAAATTGCCTGCAATTAAGGGGAATGCACAACCAATGATTATAATAATTTATTTGCACCACCATCACAGCAGCAATTCTCTGTCTGATGTTGCAACAGTCGGTCAAGATTCAATTTTTAAAAGTCCAGAACAGTGGCGAGAAAGAAAAAGGAGATGGAGAAGACAAAAGTTGCCATTAATTAAGGGATTTCACAATTTGTCTGCGCCGGCCTTCTCCGATCATCAAAACCAGAAAGCGACACCATATTGATATTGAAACAGGGTAAAAAAAAAAAAAACAGCTGCGAAATATGTATATCTTTCTATCACTATCGATCTTCTCCATGGATCAGTAAAGATGGAAAGAATTAAGAATCCTTACCAACCAGCAGTAACAGTAACAGTAACAGTAACTTCCTCCGTGCTTGCTATTGACGCCGTGGATAGTCGTACGGCAATGGCCTGACGTAGGATCCGTTTCTCAAATCCGGGTGCCCAAACCCGAAACTCCGGAGCACCTGATTATCCGCGAAATTCAGCGCCCTTTCCATCCCTACCCAGCACGAATCGCCTTTGTAATCCGGATTATGCTCGCCGTTGCACGGCTGGCAGCCGGTGAAATGCGTGATAAACGGCCGCCGGCGCCGGCGCCGGCTGCTATCCAATTGACGATTACGCTCCGCCGCGTAGGCATCGGTAACCACCTCCGCGTGCCGCCGCCTCAGCCGCGCTTCCTTCCTCTCAATCCCCTCGTATTCCTCGACGAATTCCTCGAATTTATCGACGATCGGCAGCCAGTAGCCGTGCAAATCGTAGGTATTCTCGACGTAGATTCTGTCCCCCCATTTCCGCTTCTCCTTCAAAAGCAGATACACCAGCGCCGATTGGTCGTCGGAATTTGGGAACGCTTTGTCCTTTAGGGTTTCAGTCAGGATTTTGGCCCATTTATCGTAATCTGGGCTTATTGGGCCCATTTGGGCCCACGTGTCCATAAAGTCCATCGACCACTGGCAATTACGGATCAGGAAAATTCCGGCGTTCACAGCGACCCAGCTCTTCTTCTCGTAGATCATGTCAGGCCAGCCATGGATTACGAGGTTATGATCCTCGTACCTCTCGAAAGGAATCGTGAATTCCATGTCTGTAAAAATGGCATCCGAATCGATCCAGAGGATCCACTCCACTTCCGGGTGGGCTAACATGGCGGCTTTGACGACCGGAATTTTTGCCCAATACGAATTCATCTTAGGATGTAATAAAAGATTGTTGTAAAAAATTGGGTACCCATGAATCCTGCAGTAATCGGCTTTGTTCTTGAAGAATCTCAGCAGCAAATGATCTCCGCCGGGATTCTTACACGTGGACGGCTGCGATCCCGTGAGGACAAGCAATCGGTTATTTGCGCCGGCGAGGAACGCCGGGTGATGCTTCAGCCAATCACGTCGCTTTTCATCCCAGCCGTCGATTCTTTGATCGACGGTGTAGCGTAGATCCGGGTCATCGTAGAAGGTCTTATCGGACGGCTCATGTTTCGCCGCCTGGTTTAGGTTCAGACAGTCCTTCTCCTTCGTGTCCTGTACGGACAGAATCGCGGAGAAGGTGGGTAAGGAGTCGGTGAGGGTCCATACAGTCCAGAATAATATAACGACGCCGATGACTGCAACGCAGAAGGAGTAGCACGGCCTGTCGCGTGAGGGTTTGCCGTGGAGAAGGGGTTTCGCCATGGATATATCTGTATGTGATTACTTAATTCGATTCGAAGAGATTGAGGATGTCAGGGAATGAGAATACGAGGAGGCCTGGACTGTTTACTACTATACAAACATACATACATACATACATAGATAAATACACACACGCACGCACAAGTACACACACACACACATATATATATATGTATGTTTTGAATTCAATGAATAAAGACTGGTTTTTTGAAGTGGGAATTGCAGGAAATTGATTGAAATGGAAAATGAAGTGGATAGAGTTTAATGATGCAGGGCAGGCAGGAAGAGGAATAGCAGGAATATGTCTGTGAATTGGGAAAGAAGTATAAGAACAGGATTTTAGGATCTGTATATTTAATGTAGGAGAGATTTGAAATTTGGGAGAGACGACAGATGAAGAAATTAATAGTGTCCTTGTAAGAACGATATTAACGCCACAACTGCCTCCAAATTTTCTGTCTAAATCATACTTTGCCTTTCCACAATTTCAAACTGGCAAACAAAATAAATACATTCTCCCCTTGTTACATAATTGTATTATTTTTTTCTAAATTGCAGATTTAGTTCATACACTGCAATGGAAAGTTGTTATTATTATTAGTATTCTTTAATAGTTTGATGAATCTCTTAAATGGGCAATCAATAATTTGGTGAATCTCTTAAATTGCTTGGTTTCTTTTGATGGCGTTTTTCGATAAACTTAAATTTTAATCAACTTTCCGAATATAATTTTAGAGAATGGAAGAAACGGCAATTCATAATATACTAAGCAAAATATATACTTCTTGGGCTCTTTGAAGTTTTTACAGTCATTAAAATATAATGTCAAATTGTATAAGAGTAAATATTTTAATATTAATGTATAATTATTTTTTTAAAAAATTAAAAATAGATATTTCAAATTGAGAGAGATGAAAATGGTAAAAGGAAATACCCCTCGGTCTCAATACAATAGTCTTGTTTATTATTTTTATCCGTTTTAAAACAATAGTCGTATTTTCATAAATAATCATATTGCCATAAAATTATTCCTATCTTTTCATTATTATTACGCAATTTTCACTACTTTTTACGCTAATATACTCACAAAGGCAAAAAGGTCATTTATCTTTATTTTTTACTAACTACCAATATAATATCAATATTCCTTAAATCTCGTGTCCAACACAATAAGACTATACTTTTGGGACGGACTAAGTATAATACTCCCTCCGTCCAGCTACAAAGTATACATATTTCTATTTTGGGACATTCAATTACAAAGTAACTAATTCATTAAATATCCCACTTTTTTCCACAAATATCCTTACTTTACATCACATCGTTACTTTTATACCAAAAAGTAAAGGCAAAAATGTCATTACATTACTTTTACTTACCCACTATAACTAAAATACTGTTATTTCTTAAATTCCGTGCCAAAAGTAAATGTATACTTTATCCGTGGAGTACAATAGTAACCGAATTTAATGACTTCGAAATTTCTTTTTAATTAGGATTTTTTGTGTCACTCAAATGTTAATTTTAAGGCTGTGACTAATTACATACCATACCTATTCTAAATAAATAAATATTATCTATCACAATAGCAGCAATTTTCCAACTTAATTGGGCTGTTGAAAATAATAGACTTTCTTATTGGGCTTATGTTAATATACCGCTAGAAAGTGGGCCTATATTGGGCTTATAAAATTATTTGGTTGAAAAAAATATTTTAATGTTTTGTTTTAAATAATAGACTGCAGTAAATGTAAATCTTAACTCAACTATAAATTGGTGATTCATTTAAAATAATTCTCTAAATAATTAAATTCTATATATCATTACAGACATCAAGCAAATGCATATGTTAACACTAATTACGTAATTCTCCACATAATTTAGCATACAGTCTTATCGTACTGATTAAGTAGACTCCTATATCTAGACCCCATGCAGTTTGCAAAATCACAAACATAAACGGAGCACCGGGACTCCGGCACCAGATGAACGCAATTCATGTAGTCGATACATTTGGGTGCAGAGCTCCAGGCCCCGCATGCAGTAAATAAACTATCCCTGAATAAAACGAACAAGTCAAGTCGGGTCGACCCGGCCCGACCAGAATTCAGTTTCGTCGTCTTCATCAATCCTCTCGAACCCAAAGCTACGGCTGCGAGTATCCAGCGTTATATGACTTTGTTGTTAACCATACAAGTTAACTCTTATATAATAACATGGATCCAACAATAATAATAAAATATTAAGTATAAATCAAAATACCTTTTTTTCAATATACATTCTTTCTTAGATGTGCATTTTACAATTAAATGAGACTTTTTTTTTTTTTTTTTTACATGAAAATCCGTCGTCGCTAGTTGTCGAGTGATTCCGAGTAAATTTCGGTAGAACCTAATACCTTGCATATGTAACTTGAAGGCGTAGAAAGTTTAAACTTATGACTTCTTCGACGAGTTCACTCTGTCCATGTTGTATCAATAAATGTAAATATATTTATAAGTAGCTGATAGATGAATTATAATATTTCCTTCGTCCTATCGAAATGTTATCGTTTTCTATTTTCGTATGTCCTAAAATATTATTACTTTTATATTTTTATTTTTTTTACTACAATTAAATATAATATTAATATTAAAAAATCTATTTGCAAAAAGCAAATATCACCGCATTCCAAACATATACAAAAAGCACACACTAGTGTCCGTTTTTATTTTTAGATGAAGTTAATTTGTCGTAATGGAAGTTTCCGCGCACGAACGCCTGGCGTGCGAGGTTTGAAACTGAAGAAATGAAATAAAATAAAATAAAATGATGAGTATGGGAGTGGATATATAAATATAATAATCACTAAATTTGACTTATTCAAATAGTGAGAGTAAATTCAATATCTTGACTCTTGAATTCAATCTGAACCTGGTCTATTAAAGCATTAATCATTCACTTCAGCTTTTTATATATTACAATAATATATAATTCTATAATTATGATTTAATAGTACGAATAATAATAAAAATATATATATATATATATATCTTAATTAAAATTGACTGGTCTGCACCTGATTATATATTTATTTAAAAAAGTGGTCGAATTATTTCAATATCTGCTGAGATTCCCTCAACGTAGGAGACAGTTAGAAATTGAAGAATAAATATTTGAATAATTAAAGCAATAGGCAGGCATATCCAATTTTGTTTACCTTAATGAAATACAAATTCATACAAATAACGTGACTGCTTACGTAGCTGGACAAACATTCAAATAATTTATTATTAGTATTTTTTAAATATTGTTGTCTTGGCCAAAGTATGTATGGAATCCCCGTAGAAAGAACTTGGAATTGAGTGAAAATAAAATTATTTCAACTTTTAATTTGTTTTTATTTATTAAAGATAAGAATTAGAGTTATCATTATTATTATTATTATTATTATTATTATTATTATTATTATTATTATTGTCATATTTAATCATATAAATAAAAATAGATGAATAAGCAGGTAAGTTATACTACATTGATCGAGTCAAATTAACACATACTGTCTTTGTTTGGGGGTTTGGATTTTAAGTTAATAAAAATCTTGAATTGAAATAATTATACGATGTGATATAAATAGGTGTTGATATGATAGTTTGCATGTAAATTGATTTTTAGTATAATATAGAAAATTAAAAATAAGTGTTTGATTTAATATTTTTTGAGAAAAAATTTGAAATGAATAGTAAAAATTCTAACAGATCTTCCAAACAAAGTTAAGTCACTAAGTTAGTAAAAATATGTAATACTTTTAATATTTTTTATCTTTTATATTTTGAATTATTAATTATGTGTAATAAATAGTATAGTTATAATTTATGTAAAAATTATAAATATTTTTTTAATATTATTGTTTAATTAATTTTACTATTAGAGACGCGTATTTTGTAAAATATTATATTAAATATATTATTTCACCTGTCTTAAAATGTATTAAACTTCAAAACTTTTGGACTTTTTATCTAAATAAATCCTAAAATTTGTGCAAATATTGAGATATAGATAATAATTTAAATGACACAAAAACAAAGATTATGTTTCTTGTCCCCGTTAGAGACGCATTTGCAACACCATTTGTGTCATATTATTACTATTATTATTATTTCTAATAATTCTTAAGAAGCTCAAAAAAGTCGTTGCTATGGCTGCTGGTTATCCAAAGATAAATTTCCCCCACGTCCACCCTCCTCCATTATTATACTTCATGACATCATCTCCATCGTCACACTTACCTTAACACACACACACATATGTTTATATTATCAAGAATTAACATCAAATATATCTTTATTTATTTATCAACAAGAATATCAATGTATTAATCTGTTCATACATATTATTTTTTTATATTACTCGTTACAAAATAATTTAAATATCACATTATTTTTGTTTTTCTTTTTAATAAAACAATAAATTAAATATTTATCATTTTTAAAATTTAAAATTATCTTTCTATATATTCCCTCAATCCCATATTTATATATCCACTTGTTTTTTATACGGAGTTTTAGAAATATTAGGATAAAGTAGAATAAAGGTAAAATGACTAAATTAACTATTGTATGATATAAATGTAATGATATTTGTGTAATATATTGTAAATTGGAAGGATACTTTGTTATATTAAGTAGACAGTAGAATTACATGAAATTAATACTTTGTTATGGACATATAAAAAAATAGATAGATTGTTAAGATCAAGCGAGTAGACAAGAAGGATTGTTTTAATTGTCAAATTCGTCTTCAGTCCTCAACCACACATAATTCGCCTACTGTGACTATATTCTAGATTTAATTTATAGGATATAGTTTGATCAAAAGTTTACTCAGTGCACACTTTCGGATAAGGCTCTAAATTTCTACATTATTATAAAAAACATGTATATATATATATATTTTAATGTGGTCAAATCCGCCCACCATTTGCTGCCTGCATCAGACCCGCATCGATGATCGCCTCACCGCCGACGCTACCGACAAAAACTCCACGCCCAATTATTACAACATTAATTATGTCTTCCTATAAATACCAACAAATCCCCCACCTCTTCATCTTTCCCTATACTCATCCATTCATTGGATTTTATTTTATTTTTTCAATTATATATCGATCATAAATTGGATTGATCAGTTCATAATAAACAATAATTGTATCATGGCTTCTTCTTCGTCGTCGGCTTCTACTCATTTCAATCCGGAGAATCAGAAGAGCTACCGGCCGCCGCCGGCGTACCGCTCCGCCTTGCACGCTGTCCGGAAGTTGCCCGGGGGCAAGAACGTGATCACGAAGAAACCAATAGCGCCGATGCCGCCGACGCCGCCGAAGATATATAAAGTGAACCCTGTAGATTTCAGGGACGTCGTTCAGAGGCTCACCGGCGCGATTGAGCTCCGGCCGACGCGGCTGCGGGAGGTGGCGCCGCCCCCGCTCAGCCTCTCCCCGCGGCAAGAAATAATAATGACCCAGAGGAATAATAATAATAATAATATATTGGGTTTTGACGGCGGCAATTACGGCGCGATTAGCCCGACCTTGTTCAGCCTGTCGCCGTCGTCGATGGCGTGGTGCTCGTCGATTCTGATGAGCCCCGGCGCGCTTTCTTCCTAGCGACTAGACCGCCGGCGCCGGAGATTCAGATTATTGGTAGACGACGGCGGTGATCGGAAACATCGATCTCAGATCAATTAATTAATGGAGTCAACGACTCGAATAACTTTTATATGTCATGAAGTAATTAATCATCACAGAGTTCGTGAATGATTTGTTATGTGATTCCTTTTTTTCCTTTTTTTTTTTTTTTTCCTACTGCATATTTGGTCTGAACTGTGAATTCATGTCTGAAAAACGAAGTAAGCATTTATAGATCTGCATACTTATTCTCTATTAAATTGAATTAATTAGATTAAAATGCATTCAAAGTTTGGGAAATCATTCCATATATTAATGATCACTTGTCGATGATGGCTACTGTAATTTCATGTTAAGTAGTATCTATCTCGTGCATTAATAAATCCAAACTACCTTACCTTGTGGAGAAGATGATATGCATGTGTTAGAAATTTACATTTAACTTGGATATAAGTAAATTATAGCATTTAGGATAAGTTTTAATAGTTGTGTGAATGTAAAATACACCTAAATTATTTTGGCATATATGAACTAATGCGTTTTTTTCATTAATGCATAAGTTTTTTTCTTTTCTATTAATCTCATGTTGCAGAAAATTTGCTATCGAATCGTGGGGCGGAGACATGTGTGAGTTTGACATTATTCAATTTACCTTATTCATTAAATGTCTACAAAAGGCAAATTGTATAACTAAGGAACAGTTAAACCAAATCAGCTTCATAGAAACTCACTCCGTCCTATTTTATATTTTATGTAAAGGGAAATTAATATGAATTTTGTTCATTCCAAGTATGCATGAGATATACAACCGAAAGAAACAAAGGAAATTGTTGTGAGTGAGATATCGAGCATGTTTTAGAAAGAGAAAAAGTGTGTGAAGCTCTCGTTTTCTATCCATATCGATTTTCCTCAATCTGAATGAGTGTTTGACACTAAAATCCGTCGGAGAGTTCGACAATGATCGGAGTTAAAAGAAGTTTCAATCGGAGAAAATGATCAAAAACTAAGCTGCTATGCTATATAGTCGTTGTCGGTACGAGTTTGTGGCAACAAGAACTTGCAGAGGTATTTTCCTAAGTTAACTATGATAGGAGTTTGGGTCGAAAGAGTTGTGGTGGAATCTCTCATGGATTGGTATCCTTCGAATGTAGGCTGATTCATAACCGAACTGGGTCAACAAATACCTTGTCTTATATGTTGTTTTGATTTCTGCGTTTTTACTTGTTGTCAAGACGTTGTTTAAACAGTGAACTAACCACGTTTCGTGAGTTGGTCTTTATCGAAGTGTTCGAAGGTGTTTCGTTTGTTAATCACTTCCCAACAAGTTGGGACAAATTAACATGATCTACTGAAAAATCAATTGATCGTGTTAGCTATACATCTTGTATTTATATTTGTGTATACACTCATTTTGGTTAATATAATTTTATAATTTTCTCCTAAAAATTTCCTATGCTATTAGAGTTTTTTAGGTTAAATATATGCTAAATTTCATTTTGTTCATCTCCGGCTAGCCATCGTGGACTCTTACCGCCGCCACCATCATCCTCCGGTGAGTCAACCCTATCTATATATCTTGTATTTATATTTATATATACACTCATTTTAGGTTAAAATTTAATTTGATCACATGCTAATGTTTATAATTAATTCAACACTGGTTAGGTTAATAAGATTTCATATTTTTCTCCCAAAAAATTTACAGATCTACTCATGTGTCTTCTTGATTTATTTAAGTATCTTCTCTTATTTCCTTTATTAGGAGACGAAAGGTTTATTTGAAATTGGTTCCTAGCCACATTCTTTTCTTTTTGTTTTTTTTGTTTTTTCTTTTTGTTATTTCATTGGTTTTATGTTCTGTACCATTTTAGTATAATTTCTATTAATTTATTCTCATGCAATCTCAATAAAAATGAATCACTTCATCTTATAAAATATCATATTTAAACTATCATTCAACTAAAAAATCATATTAACGTGATGAGACCCTATTGTCAACTGATGGCACTTCATGATTATATTCTAAAATTTAGGGATATGATTTAGATATTATATTTTAGATTTTAGAGATATGATTAGGATATTATTAGTATAGGCTTAGCCTATAAATATTCATATATTCTCACTTTAACAGGGTATACGTATTTTATACGTAGATCATTCGAACTGGGTTACCAAATTATCGATTTCTTGTGTTCTTGTTCGTCTCATTTTGATTTCCTGAAATTTCCGTAACAAGTGGTATCAAAGCTTGGTTCGTTGATAAGGTGGATTGGGAGGCATCGGATATTGATTGTGGTTGTGGAAATCCCTTGTGGCCTGTGGAGGTGCCTTGTGTCGAAAGTCTCTTGGCGGTGGCGGTGTTGGGTCGGTCCTGACAGTTCTTGTAAGTCAGACAGCGGGTCCCTTTGTGATAGGCGGTGCAAGGTGGGCAGGGAAGGATAAAGGTTTCGGAAAATGCAGCGGATGAGATATCCGATTTGCTCTCATATCAAGTGAGCCTTAGGTTTGTTTGTGGGAGTCAAGATGAGTGATCGTCGTGTTGTCAAGGTATTCGGTGGGATGAACTTCGGTTTCTAGAAAATGCAGATAGAAGATTACCTGTATGGTAAAGATCTAAAGGCGGCGTTGAAGAAGAAACCCGAAGACACGGATGAAGCCGAATACAAGAAGATCGACAGGAAGACGATGAGTGCGGTTCGACTAACCCTTTGGGAGAATGTCTCGACTGAATTTAGATCTGAGGCAAAGGGAAATGATGAAGATCAAGAATGGTCAAAGTTGAAACCGAAGAACAAGGACAAGGAAGATACAAGTCAGGTGGTATGTTAGAATTGTAAAGGGCACTTGAAACGAGAGTGTGGAGCGGCAGAGAAGGATCAGGGTTCAGCATACGCAACGGAGGAAATCTCTGATGCGCTAATTCTGAGTGTCAGCAGTCCAATGGAGTCATAGATTTTGGTCTCAAGAGCGTCGTTCTACTCATGCAGTGATTCGGGAATCATGGATTCCTATACTGTGGGTAATTTTGGTGTTGATTATCTTACAGATGATGAGACACTGAAATTGTAGGTAAATGAATGATTTGAATCAGAACACCAAATGGTGGGAAGTGGAGACTGAATGACGTGAGCCATGTCCCGGGTTTGAAACGAAATTTGATTTCCTTGGGACAATTGGATGAGGTAGGTTACTCGACAGGTTTTTAAACTAAGTCGTGGAAGGTAACCCAAGGATCCATTGTGGTGGCCCAAGGGAAAAGAGATTGAACTCTCTACATGACGAAAACCATGTAAGACGGAATCAGTTCCGTGGCCATAAATAATGACACAAATTTATGACATTCTCGTCTCGGACACATAAGCGAGAAGAGGATAAGGGAGCTCATTCAAAGGGAAGATTGTCAGGTCTCAAGTCCGTCGATATTGGAATATGCGAGAATTGTATCTTTGGGAAGCAACAAAAGGTGGCGTTCTCAAACGGTGGGAGAGACATGAGAAAGAAAAAGTTAGAGTTGATTCATACGGACCTGCGAGAACCAGCTTTTGTATCGACCCTTGGAGGCTTACAGTACTACACCGCGGTCATTGACGACGTTACAAGGGAGGTATGAGTATATTTCATTAAGTGTAAATATGATGCTTTTGATACCTTTAGGAGGTGGAAAGCACATGCAGTGAGTGGGAGTAGTGAACCGATTTATGAACAATTTTGGAAGACAGCCTAAGGTGGTCACCTTAGATTCAATTGGCCTCAATTAGTGAAGAATGAGGCTTGACGCTGTTGTTGTCAATTAAGTAAAATTGAAATGGAAGATGCAATCCCTCTTCAAGTAGAAGATTGTTGAGATATGAAGTTTGATTATATACTAAAATCTAAGAATATGATTTGATATTATATTCTAAATTTTAGAGATATAATTAGGATATTATTGGCATATCCATGTATTCTCAATTTACCCTGGCTTAGCAGCGCCCCAAAAGTAGATCATCGATAACTGGATTACCAAATTATGGTATTGTCCTTATTTTTCTCTTCTTGATTTTTTGAAATTTTCATAACACCAACATATAAACATGAATATCTGTGTATTAATTCACTGCTAATGTGAATGATATAATAAATTTTTAATATTAAATTTGGGTTTATTCACAGAACACTTGAGCACTGACAGGGTATAATCTTCCACATTAAAGCAGCATCTCAAGATTATCCATCAATGCAGTATTTACACCATTTTAATGTTAAAAAACAAAAAACTTTAATTCAAAACAAAGAAAATGAAAAATGAATCTATTCACAGTAATTGAGCAGAGAGTAGTAGAGACACACTTGAGAGGTGATTCAAGTGTCAGCAATGTCCCGGCATCGAGCCGGTTCTTCGACTCTTGGTCATCTTTGGATGATATGGAAGTAGCACTTCAAAGTCGAACCCAATCCGGTGAATCTTTACCAGAACTATAGTTTGATTTTTCAAAACTATTGGAGGCCTCTGGATCATCTTCTTCAAGGTCGCTGAAGGACACATCATCGTCGTCCTCAATGGCAATGGTGGTCTTTGCAGCAGCTTCATCAATCTCAGAAGTCTCTTCCTTCAACCACTCATCTGCATCGTCTTCATCTTTATCTCCCGAAGCATTCGCTCCACCAGATTCGAGGTGTTCATCTTTACCTTGGTCAGCACCCTTCTCTGCCATGGCAGGTTTTTCTTCAATTTGTACCTCTTTCATATCTACAGGGTGGTTCTGAATTTCAGAACTAGCTGTTGCTGCCGGAGTATTATCATTGGGGTCAGTTGTTTTGTCGAGATTGTTTATAGAACCAACAGGCGATGCAATGGAGTGGTGTTCTTCATGAGGAGACAAACTTCCCTCTGAATCGGAAGATTCATTTCCAGACAAGTTTTCCGATACATTTGCCTTTCGGTTCTTTACTTCGTGTGCCAGTAAGCTCCTGGCTTCCATTATCTGCAGGGAGAAGTGATGATGATCATAAACCTCAGAAGTTGAGGAAAAAAGAACTTATTATAAACAAAAATTGCAAATATTAAGAAGTTGAAATAAGTAGTAGGAAGCAAAGCATTATTATTAATCCCATGAAAAGTTTCTGGTAAAACAAAATGTAATATTGCTAACCATAGTCTCTCCAAGATGCACAAACATAATAATTGCCAAAATATTGCAAATCAGAATTATAGATCGAAATGATGCCAAAAGATTGCAACTTACTCCAAAAAGACATCAACCACACGTATATTTTATACAGTGTATTTTTACATAATCCAATAACACAAATAGAAAATTCTTCTTGTTCATCGTAACAAAAGAGAATTCCACACTTCACTAATTTGAGGAATTGTCAACTAGAAAGAATTTAGAAGGGAGAGCTACATTCTTCTCTTTTTCTTTTTTTTTTTTTTCCAGTCATTAAATTAATGATCAAACATATTTGTTCACCTTTCTCACCTTGCACCAAAAGATGAAGTGTTATAAGGATAAGGGAAAGAAGGCAATGACATTAACAACGAAAGAAATCAACCTGCAGCGTCGAAAGAAACTCAGCATCCTGTTCATCTAGTCTAGGGTGAAGGAGCACAAAGTAGATCTTCCAGAAGTTGCTTTCACTCATATATTCTGGGCAGAGCTCAAGCCGTAATGCAGCCAAGCTTGGGGCAAGTCGGTCAATAGCTAAGGCATGCCCTTGTTGAGCATCGGACATCTCAAAACCTAGCATTGGAATAGAACAAACAGCCAATTAACTGAATTCTATAAATACTACATTGTAAAAACATCAGAAGAATTTTCAGCTGACATAAGTGCCTCCATTGTAACATGCCAAGAATAGACATTATTATAGAAACATCTAAAGATGTTTGTGTCGGAATAGATTCAACCTTATGAGAGATTGATTGAAGGAATGCATTCATAAAGCATTCAACAACAAAGCATTATGCATAATGGTGGCTTTTACATAGTTCCTGAAACCCCTAAACTCCCAACTCAGCAATTAGAACGAATTCAAATATATGTTGAAATTTGCTGCAATTCGCTTAACAGGGATCAACAAATAAACAACAGTCACTAATAAAAATAGTCTAATCACTATTAGGCATCACCATTCACTCTTATTCACAGTAAACTATGAATTTATGATCAGAAAGATAACTGTGAATCTCTTTCTCCATGAATGAAGATAGATGAACAGAAAGTAGATTATGAAAGAAAGTAAAACTAGCAGGGATTTACATACCAGCACCATATCCATCAATTTCAGGTAATGGAAAGTCCAACCAGGTCTTCGGATGCATTGACATGTCACGAGCAAATGCCAATACTTCCTCAGTCACGCCGATGGCTTCTTTACCCACGGAATCCAAGCTCGTCCTCTTCCCTGACTCTTCACTCTCATCATCCGATTCCAATTGCAGGAGATTCGAGGCAATTTTAGTAATTTCAGAGACGTTGATGTTGTTCGACAGCCGAGAAATTCCGTTCCTGAACTTCCCCCCAATCTCCGCTAAATCGCCTCTCATCCCTAACACTGGATCCCCCTCGGATTCCGGTTCCTCCGAGTCCTCTTGCTGCTCTGGTTGCGGCGGAGGTGCTAAGAATGAAGCGACCCCCCAAAATTGACGCGTTAGGGTTTTGCTAAACTCCGAGAGGTCCTCTTTGACGCCGCGCGACGGAGTCGTCGGAGATGAATCGTCGGTTTCCTGGGACTCAGGGCTCTCGGGGTGTTCATACTCCGGTTTTCGTTCCGAATCAACGCTATCACCATCACCATCATCATCATCATCATCAAATTTCAGCGAGTTTGCTATGGATCGGGCAAGCCATGACATTTTGATTCGTGTACAATCAGCCAATTCCGATGGTTAACGGAATCAAATTTCAGTCTGGATCGCCGGCGATCTACCTTTTGTGGTAACTTGATGTATTGCGCAGATACTGGACCCTTGCTCAACAGATTTGGCCATATTATAATTTTCGCCCCAATTAAACTCATCTTTAATTTTCAATTAACATCCTCAGCTTTCAAGTTCTGGTTCAACTCCCTTTAGAAACACCGTACTTGAGCTAACAAATGCGCGCCGTTTAATGGGCTATTAATAATAAATGGGCTTCCACAATAGGCCCAAAATAGCAGTAATAGTTTAGTTAACAGCCCACATGAACTTTAATTTGACCCAATTTATAGAATGGGTTCAAATTAGCAATACCCAATTTCGATATATCACATCCATCCCCATAAAATAGTATGTTTGTATTACATCCGTCTACACAGACTAATGTCATATTTTCGATTTGAGACGTCCAATAACTATGATTTTATTTTTTTTTTAAACACAGATTTTACTTTTTTATCCTTTATTTATTTATCACTTTTAATATCTACCTTATTATAAATTCATACCAAAAAGACCATTACCTAAAAACCATGCAAATATACTTTAGGACAATTATAAACAGACGGAGGGAGTATTCTATTAATATATTACAAGTACAATATATGAATAAATAGATAAACATATTTTACAAATATGTTCATACAACCCATATACATATATCAACTGACATCACACATTTTCAAATAAAAATAGAATAAAATGTACATAAGAAAGATGTATTTTCACCCTAATCATATATGGTTAGAGACCCTTCTAGTTAACCATTCTTCTTCTTCTTCTTTCCTGTCACAAAGTCTGCCACAGCTTACCTCCACTTGGATATCAACCTGATATATAATAAATTAAATTAATTAAATCATATATATAATCACTTAATAATTCAATCGATTATGTAAATTATATAAGTTTGAGTTTGAGAATGAAGTACTAAGTAACCTGGTTATCCACGTGGATCTTCTTGGCTTCATCGACGGCAGGCGGCTGCGGCGGCGGCGGACCAGCTTCCGATGAAAAGAGGAGAAGGGCCGCCGCGAGGATGAGCAAAGACGAGGACATATTTTGCTTAGGGTGGTCTTCTTCTTTGTTTTGCTTTTGATTGACTTATACACGTTAGAAATTTGTGAACTCATGGACTAGGAAATTAAGACACTCTGCAAGGAAGGTAATTGTAATAACGAATTTGAATTTAATTTCAGTAAATACTAATCTAGAACTACACAAAAAAGACGATGAAGAACTGTGTGTGTATATATATATATATATATATATGAATTTGTTATATTTTAAAATACAGAAGAGATGATTCGTGGACAAGTGAGAAATAATTTCGTGTTCATTGCCTTTCTCTCTCTGCTTTGATTGATTTTGATTGTCTTGGTACGTGTACAATATCGTTATATTAAGAATTGGTTTAGTTTATTTAATTAGACTTATGAGTATGATTTTTATCATATTCAATTATTCATATCTGATGTAGTAATTGAGACACGTGTAGAGTAACAGTTAAGTTTGAGTATATATTCAATATCATATTTTTTAAGCTTTAATTTAAAATATAACTTAAATGAATAATATATAAAATAAGGTAGAAATTCTAAATAAACATATATATATATATATATATAATAAAAGTCTTTAATCGTTACCTCTAGATGCAGATGGTGCTGTTGAAGATGGATCGTTTTGTAGGACCATTTTAGATTCGGTAGAGATTGTAAAAATTTTTCTTCACTACTTTAGAGATGCATGCATGCATGCATGCATTCTATTTCAATACTTTAATAAATAAAATAAAAGGGATTCGAATCACTTTAGTGATTATCTAACCATGGATAATGTAGTACAACTTCAAAGATCACATATTTATTATTTTTATTTGAATTTTGATTGAAATTTTATTTTTGGAATAATAATTTTATATGATATATATTGTTTATTATTTGAAATTAAAAAATAAAATAAACACACCCTATATCCTTCCCCAATATGATATTAAATTTAACATTCTTTGGAGTTATAAAAGAAATGAATTGTTCACTGGCTAGATCAACTTGTTTCAACTTATTTGGTATGTTTCTATTTGGACCTTCTTTTTTTTTTTTTTTTTTGCGTTTAATTTAAAATTTTTATTTCAATAATATTGGATATAATATTTTTATGAGCATTTTCTTGATTTGAAAGATGCCGTTGGGTTAAGCCGAAATTGTCACCATCAAAATTATTCATAGTCAAAATTGCGCATACACTAATTTACATTGATTGATTGAGTAAATATTATTTCAAACAAATTGCCAATAAAACACTGTTGATTATTTATTTAATTAATTCCTCAGTACTTTAGTCACAAAATGCAACACGTAATTTAATTAATTAATTCAACTATATATATATATATAACCAAAATTAAACATCAACCCACCAAAGTTACAAATCATTGTCTAACTTTATTACCACTATCTTCTGAAAATTCCGAGTATCATATTGTTAGTCAAAGACTATATACACACATGCCATATGTGTGTGCATGCATAAACAAGTATTAAAATTGACTCTTCTATTGGTATTTTTACAAAAAAAAAAAAAAAAATGAAAAATTGCATTGATTAATTACAATAAATATTTTGATATCTTCAATAGAAAATAAATAAATAAATTATAGTTGAGATAACACAAACAAATACACTCTTATAAATAAATAAAATTATTGAGATGAATTATTAACTTCTATTTTAATAAGTATTTGATTTGATATTTTAAAAAAATAATAATGAAATAGTAAAAAATTTCAACAAAAAATAAACACAAACCAAAAATTATATTATTAGCTCAATTATATTTTTTAAATAATATTGCAAAATAAATATTAATACGTTTTTATAATATATTACCTATATCAAAAGGCCATAAAAGATGGTCAATACCAAATATTGCCCCCGATAACTTTTGCTACATAATCTTTGGGAAACTTGAGTTGGATTGGTATAGGGGTGGCAATTCTTTTTTATTTTTAAAATTATTTTTTTAAAATTATAAAACAATTTAATAAAATTATTTGAAATATACATGAGAATTGAATTCATGACCCTTAACTAATAAAACAAGAATCCAACCATTAAATTATACTTTTATTTTTAACAAATATTTATTTGTTACTATATTTATAAAATTATTTATTTAAAAATTTATTAAATGTACTAAAACGGGTCAAGCCAGACCCAGCTAAAAAAGTATTCGGATCTATTCTTTAGGCTCAAATACAATTTATTTTTTATATTTTATTTTTTATTTTTTAAGCCACTTAGTTTGTGGCCAATTATAATTAATTATATGTCCTTATTCCTTAATCAATTTTCAGGTAAGGGATCCTTTCGAAACCCCATTTATGTCTTTTCTTCCTTTTAATTCCAAAGTAAAATCAATGAATAATCTTTCCATTTCAATTAAATTGGTATCCTATCACTACAACAATATTCATGGCGTAATTTAATTATCCATCATTTTTATTTCTTGAATTTGTGTCTATTGTTGTGGTGTCACAATGATAAACACACCTACCTATAAAAGTCATGAAATAATTAGCCTTACTTGTTAAGACAAAATGATCAAATTTTTTTAATTATCCCTTTCTCTCGCAATTTAATTTTTTTTACTTCGCATCACATATATGACATGAATGTCGAAGACCCCACAATTTATAATTAACCATAATAAATCATCAAATGGGCATCCCAACAATACTCAGAATTCAATGAAAGCTACAAATTAGATATAAATTAGGAAAAAAAACAAAAACCCACATCTTTCTCTATGCAAAAATTTAATATTATTATAATCAATCAATTTTTTTCCATCTTCTTATAATTTCAGTTTTATTATTCAGACAGCTTATTAATCCATCAATGGCCAAGGACGCCAACTGTACGTGCATTCCGACACGCAGCCCAAATTTCCGTTACGACACCACAAAACGGTCGGCGGAGGCGCCGCCGCCGGTCGCCGCCAATTGCGCGGTGGTGCCGAAGAAACTGTTGGGCGGAGTCATGGCGGCCTTCTTCGCCTCTCTGGAGCGCTGCTCCTGCTTCAATATCGCCACCAAAGATGACGGCGACGGTGACAGTGACGGTGACGGTGACGGCGATTTCCTGCCGTTGATCCGACAGGCGGATGATGACGTCAGATCTGGGGGAGACCTGATGGACTGTCAGGATCAGAAGAAGGCGGCGGTCGGAGGCCGCGCCGGCGGTGATTCGTAAATAAATTGTTTATCATTCTAATTGTTACTTTGTAAAGACTAGTCTAATTAATTTACATTCAAGTAATAAAATAATTTTAAAAAATAAAAATAAAAAAAGCTGCAGAATAATATTCTCAAAGAGAAAAAGGGATTCACTGGCCCTTTTTCTTTTGCATCTTTTTTTTTTTTTTTTTTTTTTTTTTTTTTTTTTTTTGTGTGTGTGTGTGTCTTTAATTTATTATTATTTTCCCAATTTTGCATGTGAGAAATGTGTAGTGATCTGGTAAGTAGGGTGACTTTAATTTTCTTGTTTGAGTGATAATTTTGGGTCTTTTTAGTATTTTACAACTCACTTTTGGGGAATTAAAAAGTAACATCCTTTATTGCTGTGTAATTTTGATTTTATCCACAATTTTGAATTTCATTTTTCCATACTTAGGGCAAAAAAGTATACTATTATGACATTACTAATATAAATTTTTGTTCTAGGTGGTGGTTCCATGAATTTTGTGTTTGTTTGGGGGATTTGATTGAATTTACATTATTCATCTCATTTTTTCTCTAAAAAAATATCAAATCAAACACATATTTTTTATTTTTTATATTATACTAAAAATCAATTTTACATTCACAATATCACATCAACACCTATTTATATCACATCATACAACTATTCAAATTCATAATTTTTATTAATCAAATCCCAACTCAAAATCCAAAACCTCCTAACAAACACACACACAGGTTAGAAGAAATGATGGCTCTGTTGATAGATAGTTTTAATTTTTTGAAGTTTCTTATTTCAAATATATATATATATATACATACTAGTATACATAATTTTTAATAAAAATATAGAATTAATTTTTCTTAAAACATGCAATTTAAATTAGAATTCAAATTCAAATTTAAATCAAAACCAAACAAAGTATTTCACATGTTGAAAATAAAAATATTTGAAGGTTAATTGATATGAAACAAGAAGTCTATTTGGAGCACAAAAAGAAAGTCAAGATACTAAAACAATACCAAACCAATTTGTGGGGGCAGTTGGTTGAAGTGTAAGTATTCTTTTTTACTATTTTAAAAAGTTAAATAAATAAGATCAAAATAGGAGATTTAATTTTTTACTAAATAATTATCGACAATGTATGTTGGAAGTTTTAATCTTAGCAAGATTTTCACAAGTTATTCTTGTAATCACAAATTTTCACCAAGAAAATTCGTAAATTAGTATATAAATTAAAATCAAGATAATCAGAATAATAAATTAATAAATACTACTTCTCCTGTCCCAAACAAGGTGCAATACAAGTTTTTACGTGGATAATATTAAGTAGGATAATTTAGAAATATATATTTTATTTTTTTTATTTGGATGATGCTAGGGGATAAAGGTATATGGTAGAGATTAAGTATAATTAATTATTTTCTATTTTAAAAATATTGCAGAATATTTGGGACATACCAAAAAAGAAAAGTTGCATAAGTCTTTGAGATCGGAGGGAGTATAATTTAAACAAGACCTATCTAGTTAGCATCTGGACCAAAGTGAAATCGGTGCAATAATATTTATAGTTAAAAAATTAGAAAAACAAAAGCCCCACAAAATAGATAGATTCAAGAATTATCATGTATTAATTAGAGTTAATAACTATTCTAATTATTTTCATTATGATAATTGAAAAAAGAATAAAATTTATAATTATTTACGATAATAAAACTCTAAATTGAAACGAATACAAATAATTAAACACGAATATTATAAGATATACAATGAATCAATAATTAATTTTCTATGGATCCTTTTCCCCCTAACTGTAGAAAGGTAAAACAAAAATAAGAATATTCCACTGTTGAAAGTATATAATTGGTGGACACGTGGATTCCTAATCCTACCTACCTTCCATTCTCCCAGCTCACAATGTTTAAAATATATTAGAATTATTTAAAAAAATGTAGTATTTTAATTAAATACTACATCCTTTCGTCCCAGAACGAGTAACTTTTATCCTTGTGAATATATTAGTATAAAAAGTAGTGATAATTGTGTAATAATAATAATAAAAAGTAATGACTGTTTTATAATTGTATGATTATTTATAAAAATAAAACTATTATTTTAGGACGGACAAAAATGGTAAACAATATTATTATATTGAGACGGATGGAGTATATTTTTATCTTATATAAAATTAATTGTATATAAGATAAATAAAAATACTTATATACAAGTTTTGAATATATAAATCTATTCATTTATTTTAAAGATATATATAAATAAATAAATAAAAGTAAATTCAATTAATTTTTTTTTTCAAAAAGTAGTTAAAATAAAATAGATATAAAAATAAATATGCATTATTATTATTATTTGATAAAAAGGGGAGTATGGAGTATGGTGTATGGCCCGGGTTGGCTTTACTCCAAAAAGTTGACTCAGGTAAAACTATTATCCATCCCCCTCCACATATATTTCTGTCTGATTCTAAGTAATAATAATATAGTAATTTTAGGATGTGTTTGATTGTATTAGTGTCTTGTATTTAAATAGTTGATGAAGTATTTTGTAAAATAAAAAATAAAAAACTAAAGTTTTGTAAGAAAAGCAAAACAAACACATCCTTACTTCTGATAAGTAAATTGAGTTTTTTCTTTTTTTAAAAAAATATATTTTGGAGGCGAATGACGAAACGACACCTGGAAATGTCGTTTCGTTTCCTCTTTACTAGGTTGTTTTTTACCAACATGTGAAAAGGGATACTGGACTCGACTCCACTGCAAATCTAATAAAGTAGTTTTCACACTCATTTTTATTTTTATTATTATTATTTTTTTTAAAAAAAGATAAATATTCTATGCCATGTCTGTCCCATGTGATCTCACTAATAAAGACGATATACCATTGCCCAGTTGTCACTCCAAACACCAACTTTATTTTATTTTATTTTTCAATTTTTCGTAACCTTTAATTTGAAATTATATATCTAGTTTTATTTTATTTTTTACAGGCTCTAGCGAGCGAGACCTACGTTGTTCCGAATAGTTCGGTATCCGTCGTGTCGGAACCTGACCCGTTTCTTCATGGGTAAGCCTAAAGTGGGGCCCACCATAAATGCTGACGTCATCCCATGCGCCACTTGGAAAGGCCAGCTCGATAGACGGGCCCCACCACAAGCCGGCCTGATATGATCATATAGCTTGCTTTTTTACCCGCTGAATATGCGGAATGACGAAAGTGCCCCTGCCCACGGTTTCGTTTCGTCGATAAATACCTCTCTCCTACACAGCCATTCTTCCCTTTTCCCTTTCTCTCTATTTCCCCTCCCACTTAACGGTTTTCCGGCAATGCTCTCCGCCTTTCCACCGGCCTTTCCCTTCGATTCCTTCACCGGAAACCAATTTCCGGCGTTCGAACCATGTTTTCCGGCGCCGGAGTTCTACGAACCGGCGGCTTTCACCTCTCTGGTGCAAGAAGAAACCGTCAGTCAAACACACCCCGCGAATTCCGGTTCTGACGGGACGAACCGGGATACCCCGACTCTGACCGAACCGGAACAAACCAATTCCAAAGGATTACCCTCCGGTTCCGACGAGGCCGGCCGGTTCGACCCCATCGTCGACGAGCGGAAGCGGCGGCGCAAAGAATCGAACCGCGAGTCAGCGCGGCGGTCGCGGCTGAGAAAACAGAGACACCTGGAGGATCTAAGGAACCTTGGCGGCCGGCTCAAAGTCGGGAACCGGGAGCTTCTGAACCGGCTGCGGTGGGTCTTGCATCAAACCCGAGTTGTCGCGTCGAAAAACGATTCCCTCCGGTCGGAGGCGGCGCTGCTCCGGCGACGCCTCTGCGACATCCGGCAAACGCTCCTCGTCCGCCACCATTTGATGAATCCTTCCGCCGCATGGCCTTGCATTATAAATAACGCTGCGCCGCCATTAACGGCCGACAGTTTCTGCAACATGCAATATTTGAACAAATAATAATCAACGGTTAAAATCAGTTATCACATCTATCAAACCCTAGATTGTACAAGATATATATATATATATATATATACAAATATTGTGTAATTAAAGTATCAGTGCATGTAATTAAATCAAACCTAGCCAGCTAGTTAGTGAAGGTAAAATTAGAACGAAACATGAGAGTGGCTTTGGGGACAGATTTGGAGATCGATTAGTTGTTGTTGGAAATTAGTAATTATGGCTTCTTGGTGTCTCCCAAGCCCATATAATTAATTAATTAATTAATAATGCATTTTGTAATTAATCAATTAATTAATTAGCATCACATCACATCGTGCAAACTTTCTTTCTCAAGCCTTTTAATTTTGTCCAGACAACTTTTTCTTGTTTGATTTATGTGTTTAATTATATATATATATATATCGCTTTATGCAAATTAACTATTGGTAGTCACTAAAGACGAAATGGCCGGTGGGATAGCAAATCTAAAAGCATTAAATAAATACTATAATAATAATAATAATTTGATGTGTAAACAACAATTAATTACTAATCTCTTGATGGAGGAATTTGGTGGATGATGATGTTAATTTAATTTAATTAATTAATTAGGTTATGGAATAAAGCGATGTCCACATTTACTATATATAATGTATCTTTCCTTCCAACAGTATGTTTAAATTAGGGTAAATTAATCCATCTGGTGGTGTACAATGAATGTAATTAATTGTCTGAAATAAGGTTCCATTAACGTAAGACATACATAATTATTTTCTTGTGCTGTAATGACAAAATTATAAATTAAATTAAATTAAATTAATGTTGTAGCATCCAAACAAATTAATTAAAAGAAACAGAAATAGCAAAACCCTAATACTGAACAAAGAATCGGTCAAATTAAAGACTGCTACTACGACGGCGAATCTGATGCTTTTTGTGCCATCGAAAGCCCTAAACCATTATTATTATTATTATTATTATTATTATTATTATTATTATTATTATTATTATTATTATTATTATTATCTTGTATGTCCAAATACGAAACCTACTTTTTCTTTTTCATCACTAAACTTAATTAACTTGTCTGGTTTGGATTAATTCCAGTACATACAAGATAGTGCCTTTAATATAATATTTAAATACTAAGATATATATGTATTGGATGGTGACAATAATAACATACTATAATTATTATTGACAGATAAATAAATTAATTAAAATGATGCCCCACGAAAATGCTGTCCATTTTATACTCCATACGATAAAGGGACATGATGGATAAACGCCAATATCGTTTTTAAGGAATTATTTTATTTAGTGATTGTTGGATTAAAAAATTCAACTGTAGGTTAAACCTAACTATTTAGGCTATCAGTCAGATTAAGTCTATATTTAGGGCTTAAATATATTTAATAAGTGCGGGCCTCCAATGTGCAGAAACCCGGTAAATTATTAATTGGATGATGAGATCAATTAATAATAAGGGATATAAATAGGGTTGTGATCCCAGGTCTAGACGCGACATCCATTACGTTTTATATCTCATCGTGGGAGTAACGGCATAAACCCTAGTAGTTTTCTCGGGAGAGGTTGCGACATAGGCTTGAAGAACACAAAACTCTCCATTGTTGGCAGATCCGAATTCGACTATGCTAATGGAACAAGGTCAGATTTATTTTGCTTTATTTTTATCTCAATTATGATAACACGGTAGATCCTGAGTTTAGGGTTAAATTCCTGACAAGTTCCAACAATTGGTATCAGAGTCTTTCCGTATTAAGTTATTGAGATATTATATTAGATAAATCATTTGGAATCAGATCTATCCATGTGCGAAATTAATCCTCCGTATTGTTATGTCCAATTAATTTAAATATGTGTGCAAAATTTGGTCATGCATCAATTTTTCTGTCTGTTTTCAATTTGAGAGTTGGTTATTGAAATATACAGGATGTTGCATATAAATATATATATATATATCCAATGACCACATGCGACTTGTCAAATTTCATAGTGAAAATATTAATGACAACGCATTGCTTTCTGCGGATATTTATGTATCCTAATTAGATCATCTAATTATTTAATTAAACCTAGTTATTTAATGGAGATTAATTAAGACAAATCATATGCTTCCACTCGCTGTGTGATGCTTGCACTTATTTTAGTATCTATTGATTAATTAATTATTTAGTTTAATCATTGATCGGTGTATAACGGAATCAGTTTAATCATACACACATTATTTGATCAAATCGTCATTAAAGTTTAATTGAAATAAGGTATGTTAAAGTCCAATTTGTATATGTGTGATTTGGTATTGGATTTTGTTATCCAAGAAATGGTTGGTCAAATTGACCGTGCGTATAAAGTTTACATTGTTTAATATTTAAAATCTTAATTAGATCATTTGATTATTTAATTGTAGAATAAGTTAGCATACATAAATTGGCATACATATGCATTAATGTATCTATAATTAAATTCAATACCTGTGTATATTTATTTATTTTGCTTCTAATTCAATGAATCAGTCTGCAACTCTATATACACTTTATGCATCTGTTGGAAATCATTTGTATGCATGAACAATTATGATTACAGTTCCCTACTTTATAGAATCAGATGCAGTAATATATTGGCTCATTCATTTAGAATTAATTTTCTAGAATCTGGATTGATGTCTTTCTTGAGTGTGCAATTAATTGAAATATAATGGATTGGTTCGATGATATGGAAATATACAGGTATTAAAAGTATTGATATTTATGCATTACATCAAATCGACATTCTTTACTAAAATTTGCAATGTCTATTGCTGGTGTGGCTAATTACTTTTATTGGAAATTCAGAGATTATTTCCATGAGTGCAAACCATACTGATTTATTTATTTTATTGTTGAATTTATTAAACAAGTCAGAATTACAGATTTCTTCTGATTTGTTTAAGATCCAATTAAATTTGGTATACAATAGCATGTGTTCTTTGCAGTATGCATTTGTTTAAATTCGACTCTAATTATTTGGTGTATTAATTTATAATCTCTTTGGGTGGCATGTTTTGCCTATATTATTCCGCTGCATTTAGTCTTTCTTGGACTACTTGATTATTTTAATAAGTCTATTAATTAATTGCTGTTATTATAGCTTTCATATGTAATGAACATACATAATTTATTTAAGGTGAATTTAATTAGCAATAAATAATATAATATATTTCATGAATTGGTTGAAACAGTTATGTTGCCAAAGCAGCCTCTGCTGTGTAAATCAATTTATTTTGTGTATTAGAAAGTTGTGTTAGTGACTTATAAGGCTCCTGATTAACCCAAAGGCAACTCAGCCATTAAGTAGTTACATACGTGTTTAGTGACATTGAATGTGGTGATGATAATTTTGATTGTTTGTATGTAAATAATAGATCTGTCCAAAGATAGGGTGTTGTTTGACACACTACTGTATTGTCACCATTCGATTGTCAAAACAAGTTTAGCACTAGTGAGTCAGTAATTTGTCCAACGACATTTGCTGATGTTGCTTGATAACTTGAGATATAATTGCTACTTTATTTTATAAATTCACATACGAAACATTCAGTAGCTTATAGACATGTGCATTCAGTTGCTAATAAGCATTCTTATTTTTTTTTATAGAATCAGACTCATATACATTGAACGTGATTCTGATTATAATTTAATTTAAGAAAATTATAAATTCATTAATAATAAATGCTGCGTTTTGACAGTGAAGATCAAGTATTTGACGTTGCCAAAGTAACCTCTCTTATATGAGATCTTTTTTTGATAACGTAAGTGTTTATGCGTATTTTAATTCATGTGATTATCTTCGGCCCAAAGGCAGTCGGTAGTTGACAGAATGAATATACATCTGCGATAATATGTATGAGATGATTATATGGATTTAACTTATGTGAATAGTAAATCAGTCCAACTGTTTGACATTACCTTATTATCCGAATATGATTATTGCAACAAGATGACTGCTAGCAATCAATGTTATTGATCTAAAGATTGATCATTGATGTTGGACTTAGTGTCTTGGGATGAGAATGCATCATTATTGAGCTTCATTATGATTTATTTGGTTGCATGAATCATGACTTGACATTAATAATAGACCAACTCACTCATACAATGAAAAACACTGCTCATGAAGGACAATTGTTTGAGAAGTGGGATATGTCCAACGCCTAAGTCTAATTATCATTAAGAAAAGCACTCCATAAATTTTAGGAGTACAATATATGATGATATGGATTCCTTGTCGAAATTAAGAAACGCTTTACCAAAAGCGATAAGGCATAAATGCGTATTCTTCTTAAGAGTCTCATTACCATAAAGTATAACGACAAACATAACATAAGGAGTACATCATGAATATGTCTACTATTGCTACTAAATTGAGGGCACTTAAGTTAGATATTTCGGAGGACATGTTTGTTCTATTGGTCTTGCTTTTGAAATTAATTTAATTTAAGTTCATAGACACACCTGGGGGGTGAATTTTGGTGTAACAACTCACATAAATATGTCTATGCAAGATTATTTCTATTGTCGAAATCAATTGGTGTTAAAAGATACATCTATATGGGTGACGACAAGAAAGTTCAAGTTGAAGTCATTGACAATTATAGATTATTATTGAGTACACGTTACTATTTGAATTTGGATGAGACATTTTTTTTATGGTACCATGTTCAGTCAAAATTTAATTTCCATCTCTATTTTGAACAAATTCAGTTATTAATGTTCATTCGGATATAGAGTTTTGTCTCTTCCAGAATTCAAAATTGGTTTGAACTAGTACATCATTTGATGATAATAATCATCATTTGCTTAATAGTCTACTTCATATTATGAATTAGTTATTGAACATTTTCGTACAGCTTTCGTGATTGTGGATCCGCTTTATTACTAAAGGGTTTCCACATAAGTTCTATAATGAGCATATTGTTCATATGTGAGTGGAACCATATAAGATACTTCGGTTTAGTGGGAGCTAATTAGTAGTGTTCAAATGCTATTAAAGTTACTTTGGTTTACACTGCACAGTTCAGTATTCAATGTTCAATATTCAGTGTGCAGTATTTAGTTATTCTGAATTAAAGTTAAGGTGGATAAGTTGGAAATAGGCATGTTAAGATCACATTACATGAAATTTTCATGTTGTGCATCCGCACTTGATCGAATCTTAGATTATATTAATGTTGTGACCACTGATCGGTCCCATTGCGATAAATGCAGTGACGGCCGCTTTGATCCGCATTGACGTGACTTATAGATAAGATTGGTAATATACATTAAGGATCTGATAGGAAAACATTCATGAGCTCATAAGGTTATTCAGTGTACATTTACCCAAGTGGGAGATTGTTGGATTAAAAATCCAATTGTGGGTTAAATGTAACTATTTAGGCTATCAGTCAGATTAAGCCTATATTAAGTGAACTATAAATTTATTGGGCTTAAATATATTTAGTAAGTGCGGGCCTCCAATGTGCAGAAACTCGGTAAATTATTAATTGGGTGATGAGGTCAATTAATAATAAGGGATATAAATAGGGTTGTGATCCCAAGTCTAGACGCGACATCCATTACGTTCCATATCTCATCGTGGGAGTAACGACAGAAACCCTAGCGGTTTTTTTGGGAGAGGTTGCGCCATAGGCTTGAAAAACACAAAACCCTCCATTGTTGGCAGATCCGAATTCGACTATGCTAATGGAACAAGGTCAGATTTATTTTGCTTTATTTTTATCTTAATTATGATAACACGGTAGATCTTGGGTTTAGGGTTAAATTCCTGACAAGTTCCAACAGTGATATCTTAAAAAACTACGATTTGGTTGGTTTTTCGGCTTGAGTTGATATTATACTTTCAAATTATTTTTTTTAATGTTATATTATATGGATTCATTCAAAAAAATTTAATCGTATTTCTCTCAAGAAAAAAAATATATATATTTATAATAACAACGAGAATTTATATATACCTTAATATTATAAAGGATTGACATTCGAATAAAGAAAATTATATATATATATATGTAAGCACGCACAAATAAAGTTGGATCACAATATCTAGCTAAAGTAAATAAATTTGTGAGTACATGATTTCATGATTACACAAATAATAAATAGCTCAATTAGTTTATTTAGCTCGACACTCTTTTAATAGGGTTCATTCATATATTTAATCATATATGCTTTTGAAGTTTGATATTGAATTTACTTTAAATAATAATTTGAATGTGATGCTATGTAAAAGATAATATTGTTATTTTACGGCCAACTGCGACTCATTCGTATTTTAAAATTACACAAAATTTTCTAACAATTGTATAAAATTCCCAAAAAAAAAAAAAAAAAACTTACAATAGTTTTTAAAATATAAGAGAAACTCATATAATTTCCAAATCATAAAAAACATGATAATTATAAATACTTTTACCTAAACCGATCCACTGCTCTTATACAAACTTTTATATTACAACATTCAATACCCAATAATTAATGTATGTACCAATCAAAGTTGGCTAGATTTGTTATTTAAATTATGTTTATTTTTTTTAGATTGTTTTTTAAGTGTAAAATATTATATATATATTGTATCTTTTTACGATAAAAGACAAACACAAATATTATTATCATTATAACTGTGCTAAAATGTTTTTGAAATGTTTATGAGAGAGAGAGAGATAATATATTATATTGTGTGAACAAATTTATTGCCAAATCAGTTTACGAGATTGATGGGCGATCAATTATACATACACATATTTTATATATATACATTAACTGGTAATAATAATAGTGGTGACTGGTGAGATCTAGTGAGATAGGTAGGAGATGCAGGACAGCATCGATCCATATATCTTACAATATATGATACTGCAGTTTGTTCTTAACAATGGATTTGGCATTGCCATTGCCACTGTATCTCTTCTCCCTGGGCCTGGGAAGTGGTGGAAATATACCTGTCGTCAATGGCAGCTTCAGGTTCGACATTCTCACCAAACTCCCATTTTCTACAGTACACGAATGCTGCTGCTTGCACCACAAACTGCTCAGCCGCCTCACCTGCTTCTTTCCTCTACCGGACGACGTCGACCACATATGTTGTACGACATTATCCACCTTCTGTCTTGATTCCTCCATCCAAACTTCTGTTTTCGTGCACGACTTGAAGGCTGCAAGAAATGGATCCTCGTCATCTAGCCGGCCGCCGGAGAAGCTTCTGCGCACGGCGGCGCATGGAGGAGGGATCAGATTCAGGGGACTGGTGATGGAATTGTGCCCTGTCTTGAATCCCAAGTACGAGGAGGAGGATGACTTGGGAACTCCCGGCCGTTCTTCCCACGAGAACGGGACGTGTCCTTCCGACGGACTCTTCTTATGACTGCTCATTATTTAGCAGAATCCATCGTCTGTTTGAGTGAAGAATTTATTTTGTTTGGGTGAAATTAGACGACGACGATGATAGATGTATGATATTACAACCATTTTGTGAGTGCGGATTAATTGGTATTTAAGAAAGGAATAAAGTTGGCAACAAGACACGTGCAGTCTTAATCCTATGATTAATTACAATTACAATTATTATAACACAAGAAACACCCATGTTTCCAAGATCCCATTTTTATAAGGTATATGTAATGTAAATCACAGAATCTTAATTATATATATATATATATATATATCATCGTCCTCAAATTCACACGGCGAGAAAGTGTACATAAGTTCCGACGACGGATAAGATCGATACATTATTCAAGCTCCTTTTCATCGAGCATTAGTTTAGCTGTTTCACAGCCATGACCGAGCCTTTCTGCAGAGCGGCGGCTGGGGGCAGTCCCGACGGCGGACCAGTAGTCTTCCCGGCTTTCATAGATAAGAGGTTCTCGCCTGCATTCGCCGGGGGGCTGCAGTTCAAGGCCTCCCCGAGTGGGCCGCCCATGGATTTTCCCCACCCCCACGTAACCGGCAGCTGAAACAAATTCTTTGGGCTGGGTTTGTCGGAGTCGTGATTCACCCCCAGGCTCATATGGAGCGGATACTGCTCGGGGGATAGCGCTGGAGTTGATGCAGGGAGCTTGTCATGCGGCAAAGGAAGATGCCGAGCGAACGGGATCGACATTGAGAGCTGAGTCCAGTCGGCATTCAGTTCTTCGGACCAGGAAGGTGAGACATTCGGTGTTTGATCTTTTTTCCAATCTTTGATAAATTGGAGAACCGGGTTTTCGTCCATTGGTTCTGAGCTGGGCGATTCTTCATATGTTGGATTCGACTTTTGAGTAGGGAATGGCGCGGATTTAGACTTCAAATCAGTTGTTGAGGGTTGAAATCCTTGCGATCTGCATTACAATGTTCACCATTTTAGTCGAGAACCAAGAGCAACAATTACTCTACATTAACCATGTGCTTATGTAAGCAATAAATGCCGGAGTCTAACAACGCAATTCTTTTTGACATGAGGCATAAATTTAATATACTTGGCTGTATTATCGAATGGAACATATGCTTAGAGACCACAAGACATCAAATTCGATATTTCAGACAATCACAAAAAACCAAAAGAAAAATGAGATCCGCATTACGTCATCCACCTGTTGCAAACATAAATGCAGATCGAACAATATGCCGCCATCCCAAAAGTACGGGGATACTTCCAAATTGCTCATTCGAATCATTCTTCAAGATCAAGCAGAGATTATTCAGTAAGAACTAAAAATAAAGATTCACGAGAAGGTGAAGAATTAAAACCTAAGTGAATAATCTCCGCATTGCTTGCTTAAAAGTCAGTCTGCCCTCCTCATATCATACGAATCAACATAGAGTGAAACCAAAAATGCACATGTATTTCTTGAATCTTTCAACTTTAGATATAATGAAGAAAAGTAAAAGTAATATATGACCTGGCAGGGGGGTCAAGAGCAGAGTCGGCAGCACTGGGCTGCAAAGGATTCTTTTGATGATGTATCGAACTTATGCGGTTGAGTGCGCTGCTACTGGACATCACTGATGCTTTTTGGGAAGAAGCAACCGGTGTCACCTTCAAAGTAGTGGATCCAGTGATAGCATGGGCAGTGCGGCTTTCCACAGGCTTTCTTGAACGATAACGCCCCCTATTGATATGCCTTTCGCAGTATTTCTGATCGGGAACAGCTTCCCTAGAGCACCGCCATTTCTTCCCATCGGTTCTCCTGCATCTACCCGGCTCAGGATCACCGCTGTTGGAATAACCTACATTGGAATGACCCCATCCCACTGCACACACAAGACGACAAAATTACAAACCAACTCGAATAATAATAGGAAAGAATGGTTCTTTGATCCTCCATTGATGAAACCTGCACTCTACACTTGGCACGGGGCTCTGATCAATTTAATTGCCCTCCCGAGAACAAGGAAATAACAGAATCCAAACCAAACCAAACCAAAAACGTAAAAATGCATAGCGGCTAAAGATCATTATTCTAACGGCAACCGAATTGGTTACTCAACAAAACAAAAACTTACAAAAGTTCATGGTGTAGGATCCAGGTGATCCGTACGGGTACAAGGAATTCTTCATAGGCAACAACAAGTTGTTCGGAACAGGGACATTTGCCACAATGTATTTATAAATTATAGCCTGATGCTCGAGTTCCATCCACTGCGACGGCGTAAAAGGACCCCTTGGCCCCGTAAACATCCCATGAATACCCTCCCTTATCCCCACCCCTGATGTAACAATTGAAGCAAGAAAGGCAGGACTCAGGTTATCCAATTAGGGGAGAAATCCCCAATCAAGAACAGTTAAAGGTATTTCAAACTGTAAGGGCTCATAATTATACATCACGCTACACAGTGTTTAAAGAACAGTGTAACCATGAAGATGCTAAACCTCCATTAATACAAAAGTGGAAGGCTTCCATAGCTACTAATTTAACTGTGCCGATACATTTCTAGATTAATTAACCCTAAACGAACATCATTGCCGAATGAATCTGTTACGAACCATTGACTGTACTTGCGATCAGAAAATGAAAACGAAAACGAAATACAAACCCTAGCAGAAAAGGAATCAAAAGTACCAGAAACGAAGGAAATTAAACCTAGAAATGCGCAAAACAAACTTGAAAAAATTGACCTTACCTCCTCCTGTTCTTCCGTAATGCTCATTCTGCGCGGCGGAAAACTCTATGGTACCGCCTGGAACATTCGCGACAGCGGGCGGAGACTCCGAGGAGGAAAACGACAGCATCTTCTGCCCATCGTCGACCGCCGACGTCCACAGATTGGATCCTGCAAAAGCAGCAAAATTTTCTGTGTCCTTACTGCTAGAGAAATCAGGTTGTTCAGGTTGGAGCACTCGCCAGGCGTCCTCGGCGAGCTCAGATCTTTCGCGTTTGGAATTCAGAGATCCATGGCGGTTTTCGTCGAAGGGGTCAGAAGAAACTCCTTCCGGAGTGGCACGCTTCCCGGTAACCGCCCCAAAATCCATATGAACGAGTTTACGGCTCGCAAAAACAAGAGCATGAGTTTATTTCAAGCAACTCCGCCAGACGAAATATCAGAGGTAGAGAGAGAAAGAGAAAGAGAGAGATATCGCATTGCTTACGCCATGTATATATTTGTAGTCCACTGTCCACCACCGTTTTTGATTTTGTACATTTGTATGTGTAGACTGTAGCTGAGAAACAAGGGAGAAGAGAAATGTGGACGTAAAATTACTACATTGCCCACCAGAAGATGCCGTAATAACATCACTACGAACGTAATTTCAATGGGCGAAAGAGATATTTTGAATGATACCACAAGAGAATGTCACCCGTTACAAGTATTTATTTATTTTTTTAAGTTTTATAAAATTAACAAAAAAGGTAGAAAAGTAATTTGTGTGTTTCTTTTTATTTGGTTTGACAATTTTAAGTTTGATTTTATTATTAAAATTATATATAATGAGATTTTTTTAAAAAAATATATATATTTTGGATTCCCATATTATTAAAAAAAATAATAATAAAATTTCAAACAACTAATTTTCAATACTTTCTGATTATTTGTCACATATAGATAGCTTAGTTATTTGTCTCGTCGGGTCTAATGAATATTAGATTCGATCGAAATTTACGGAGTAAACACTTTCGAATAGCGCCTGCAGATCTCACGTTATTAATAAAAAAGAGAAACTAATGGATTAAAAACCTAACATCATATATTTATCATGTAGTCAAATTAACATGAACAAAAACCAGTCATATTTATAAAAACTAGCGGATTAAATTCCAAATCAATAATATTCTCAAATTAATATTCAAATATTACTGAAAAAAAAGAAAAAAAAAAAAAGATTTTCTACGTGGAAAAAAAGGTGATTCAATATCATATGAGCAATTTGGCTTTAATTTTTTTTTACCTTTCATTTCAATCAAATTATAAATCATTGCATATGTCATATGTGCTCTTTTCATATGTGAATATAAGCTCTTAACTTTTTTACTTTTTATGTAAAATAATTATTACTGAAACTTATAAGGCTAAATTTTATAACAATTTCTTCTATATTTTAGTAAAAATATATTAAAAAATCTTATATTTTATAAAGTTTGAGCGAAATATCATTCTTGTCCAAAATTGATATTTGGTTCTTAATAAAAACCTAAATTATGCAAGTTTTATACAAATAAAAAACGCAAAATATTTTAAATATTTTTTTTCAATAAAATATCTCCAAAAATTATAAAATAAAGTATTAATTATTTATTTATTTATTTTAGACTGCTTGATTGTTGTCTGTAAGTTTAGGGTACTAATAATGTTATTGTATGTAGTTGGAGCAAATGTTAAAATTGATAAATATGGATGATGATGAAGTGTGATGTGTGAGAAATTATTCCTGTTTCTTGGACTTATTATGGAAATCAATTTATATATATATATAGAAAAAAAATTGCGCTATTTTTAATAAATACAAAATTTGTACAAATTATATATGATTTGAATTTAAAGCGGACCATATTCTCTAAATGGGTCATTTGATTCTCCCTTCGGGTCGATTTGTTTTTCAACTTGATTTTCTATGGCTTCTTTGATCCGAAGAGATTTGGTCTTCGGTTTGATTTTTGCCGGACTTTGGAAGACTTTGGTCCCCGTGTAGGTGATTTGATCGTCGGCTTTGGATTTGATGTCCTATTTGAACGATCTGAGGCTTTGATCTTTGATTTGACTTTGCCGCCTTTTGGAGGGCTTTGGTCTCCGTGTAGGCAATTTGATCGTCAGCTTTAGACTTGATGTCTTCTTTGGACGATCCGAGACTTTGATCTTAGATTTGGTTTTGCCGCCTTTTGGAGGATTTTGGTCTCCATGCGGACGATTTGATCCTCACCTTTGGATTTGATGTCTTCTTTGGACAATCCGTAGCTTTGATCTTTGGTTTGTCTTTTCCGTCTTTTGAAGAGCTTCGTTGTGTGGACGATTCGATCGTCGGCTTTGGATTTGATGTCTTCTTTGGACGATCTGTGACTTTGATTTTTGATTTGGCTTTGCCGCCTTTTGGAGGGCTTTGGTCTCCGTGTTGGTGGCTTGATCGTCGGCTTTGGATTTGATGTCTCATTTGGACGATCCGCGACTTTGATCTTTGGTTTGCCTTTTCCGCCTTTTGGAAAACTTCGGTCTTCGTGTGGGCGATTTGATCGTCGGCTTTGGATTTGATGTCCTATTTGAACGATCTGAGGCTTTGATCTTTGATTTGACTTTGCCGCCTTTTGGAGGGCTTTGGTCTCCGTGTAGGCAATTTGATCGTCAGCTTTAGACTTGATGTCTTCTTTGGACGATCCGAGACTTTGATCTTAGATTTGGTTTTGCCGCCTTTTGGAGGATTTTGGTCTCCATGCGGACGATTTGATCCTCACCTTTGGATTTGATGTCTTCTTTGGACAATCCGTAGCTTTGATCTTTGGTTTGTCTTTTCCGTCTTTTGAAGAGCTTCGTTGTGTGGACGATTCGATCGTCGGCTTTGGATTTGATGTCTTCTTTGGACGATCTGTGACTTTGATTTTTTATTTGGCTTTGCCGCCTTTTGGAGGGCTTTGGTCTCCGTGTTGGTGGCTTGATCGTCGGCTTTGGATTTGATGTCTCATTTGGACGATCCGCGACTTTGATCTTTGGTTTGCCTTTTCCGCCTTTTGGAAAATTTCGGTCTTCGTGTGGGCGATTTGATCGTCGGCTTTGGATTTGATGTCTTCTTTAGACGATCTGCGGCTTTGATCTTTGGTTTGTTTTTTCCACCTTTTGGAGAGCTTCGGTCTCCGTGCGGGCAATTTGATCTTTAACTTTGGATTTGATGTCTTCTTTAGACGATCCGCAGTTTTGATCTTTGAGGATGTGGATTTGGTGCTCCATAACACTTTTGGCGGCGTTTCCCTTTAACTTTTGGATCGAAGATGGCTTGGTTGATGCTTTTGACGAAAAACGTGACGAACACTTTGAAGCTTTGGAATGAACTTTGGATGCACTTTCTTGGCTTTGATGGATTCTTCAATGGCTTTTAGAGCTTTGATCCTTAAAGAGGTGGATTTGGTGCTCCATAACACTTTCGGCGGCGTGTCCCTTTGACTTTTGGATCGAAGAGGGCCGAGTTGATGCTTTGGTGGAGAACGCGATGAACACCTCAAAATTTTGGGATAAACTTTGGATGTTTTTCCTTGGCTTTGATGGATTCTTCAACGGCTTTTGGAGCTTTGATTCTTGAAGAGGTAGATTTGGTGCTCCATAGCACTTTTGGCGGCATATCCCTTTGACTTTTGGATCGAAGAGGGCCTAGTTGATACTTTGTGAAAAACACGATGAACATTTTGAAGCTTTGAGAAGAACTTTGAAGACCTTTCCTTGGCTTTGACGAATTCCTCAACGGCTTTGGGACCTTTGATCCTTCCTCCGGCTTGAACATACGACGAATAACGTTAACTCCATCGATTCATCAACCAATATTGAATCATTTGTCTAAATCAGTGACTTTTGACGAAGAACACTTTGAATGACACGAAGAATATGAAAAACAATACAGAGAGAGTCTAAAAGCTTACCATTTTGCTTGAAACCTCGATGTAACTTTGGTGTCTCAAATGAACTGGTCATAGCTCCTATTCTGATTGACCAATATAAAGATTTTATAATCTTTTCTTTTTCGTCAGATGTTGTTTTATATTCTTGACGGATTTGATTGTGCACATTCTTTTCTTGTCAAGATCTTTATATCATTATCCTTTTTTGGAAGATATTAATTTATATTTTTTTTTTATTGACAAAATTAATTTATTCTGATGCCAAATATATTATGACTCTATTTATGCATGTAATATTTGTACGATATCTTCCATCTTAAACAGATTTTTGCATTATTGATTGATATTTGTTGTACGAAATTAACATATATGCATAATTAAATATCATATATTTATTTTATTAAAATTTTATTTTCTTCCAAAATACATTATATTTAATTGAATTTAGACATATATATTTAGAGTCTACAATATATACGTCGGATTTATCTTCATTGTTTGTGTTACATATGTAAGTTTCGTATGTGTTTGTTATTTGTGTTCTTAGTTTGTTGTAAATTCTATATATATATATATATATATATTGTTGCTACGGATAGTGGTAGCAGACACCTACATAATATTTGAAATACATGCAATGTGTAGTATTTTTCTTTTTTATTTTCCACTTTAAGGTTAAATTATTATTATTATTTTTGTAATGCCTTTATAATACGTTGATATAATTAGACTTGTGTTTGTATATAGATATGTATTTATGCATGGTTGCATATAATTAGGTATGGATTATTTATGCATACATATGGAGATTGGGTTTGTGTTGGTGTTGGTGTTGTGTAAGCATATATAAGATTATTTATTGGCATTTATTTATTTTTATTGTAATTTTTACTTGGGCTCCAACTTTATTGCATACCGTCTTGGTTGATGTCAAATTGGGCTATATCCTATTTAGGGTGCAAGTTCATATGCAAAATAAAAACAAAGCAAAAAAAGACAAGGAAAATGTACATATTTAATAATAATAATAATAATAATAATAATAATAATAATCTCACAATTTAATTCATTTTCATACGGGTCAAATGGTCATATTTTTTTATTATAATAAGTTTGGATTATCGTTATAGTCTTAATTGAATAAATAATGTTTTATATTTAATAAATAGAATGTAAGTATATAAAAACTAAATATTTGAACTTGTTAGATTTCACATCTAATAAAAAAAATATGTTAATTGAGAAAGGGAGTAATTTTAAAATAAATAGCTGGACAATAAAAAATAAAAATTATATTTAGGATATTAAATTACATATAAAGTTTTTTTTTAAAAAAAAAAAAATATTACTTTAATATTTAAGATTTCAAATACTCGCACATTTCTATTTATATGAGGACAAATAAGAAAGAGTATCTAACTCTAGTTTTTTTTTTTTTTTTCGAATTACACAAAAAAATAATAATAATAATAATAATTGAAGATTCCAAATTCGTAAGAATATAATATAAAACCATGTGATCATTTTTCAATTCCATTCTTGTTTTATAGTGACATTATAGGCTTATACATAGGATTTCATAAT